ATCCCCAGCAAATAAATGGAGATTAAATACAAAACCATGGTTCCGGTGGGTATAAAGCTTTGGCTTGAAAAAGAATCGGCTTGAAATGAAATTTACAAATTAACCTGCTCCACAACCAAATTTGTAGCATAAAAAACATTTTATGCTCGGCGCAGTTGCGTAAAATTACTTTTAAATCGAAAAAGTGCATTTTTATCTAATCACTTTCACTCTTGAAGTCATTTTCTAGCCATATGCTTTTGCAACTGCAGCAAACTTATCAGAAGCAACCAAGTACGAAATTGGTTTGCTCAATAGCTTCTACTTTGATGAGATCGACGATATCCTCGTTCGACTATTGGAATTTTCAAGCCAATTTCGCAATCTCAATGGATAATTTGACATTCAAAATAAACTTTTATGAGACAATTTATAACAAACGATGAAATATACTGCAAAGAATTTCAATTTGAAATGATAATCGAGGCGTAATTGTTGAAAGAAAATTAAATCGCAATCAAATCACTTGATTCTAACCTTGTTTTCTAATTTATTTTTCAATTATCTTCCGCAAGCTTGGTAAAAACATTACCATTGTGCAAAAAGGAAAAACTAACAAATCGAAGTATATTCATTCACATTTTTTAGTATCTGTTACGTAATGCACTATTTACTAAGATAACACGCAAGTTTTCTCACGAACATAATCGTATTTCTGCACTGTTAATAAGCAAGTTTCAGTGTCGACTATTCAAGACCTAAAGCCACCTTGAACCATCTTAGTACATAAAATTAAAATTACTTTTAAATAATTTACGAAGGATATTTTTTAACGGTAAAGTTTTTATACTTTTACATAATTATTTAAATTTTTTATTATAAATAATTTAGTCGAAAAAAGGCACCAATGAATTTCATTATAAATGTTATATAAAAGCATTCTAAAGTGAATATAATGGTTGAATTTCATTCTTATAGTGCAGAAAACACACACTTACAATTTTTTGATGATATTTTTGAAGTTTTTTATTTATTTGAATTTTTGGATAGGTAGAAGATATTTTCTAAGTTTTCAGCTTTTGATTGTCAATGAAGTGTTACGTTATTTTTTAATTAGTTTTAATTTGAACAATATGTAATGGTCCAAAAGTATTTTTAAAAACATGTTGGATCATAATTGTTTTTTTCAATAATATGAATGAATTTCATTTATTTTGTCATAATATTTCAAAATTGTTCTCATGTTCTCTTAGTTATAAACCCTCACATATTTTTAAAGGGGCGAGTGCAAAGTCTGTTTTGAAATGTACAAATTTAATTATATAAAATTTAATTTTTTGGTCTGTCACAGCTAACGCGATGCAGCCCATAGTATATATTCACTCTCGATGTGCACAGGTTTCAATACAATCCACATGGTTGAACATATTTGGTTTTTGATTGGTTTCTCCGCACTGAACCTGTGCGCGCCGAGCTTCATGAAAATAAAAAGTGTCGATGGCCAGTCGCGCTCGATCAAGCGCGTAAAGCAACCTCACACAGGTCGATTGTTCGCAGCGAAACTTGTGGCAAAAAGCGCAGTTTACGTTGAATAATGATAGCCTGAGTACTTGCATATACATACGCAATATAAATCATAGGAAAATTCATGCTACCTGCACGGCATGTTAGCTCATCAAAATAATCGAAAACAGCTCGCAATACGTAGGAAAAGAGTAACGCCCGGATTAATTCGACACCGCACCTTAACTCTGCGTGACCATAGGTCGCGTCGAGTTGAATTATTTAGTACAAGCGGCCCGTGCATATGGTTATGCGACCCATGGGTCACACCCACTACTGCGCTTGTATGTACATATATATCACATGTATACGTTTATTCATTTACATACTTTACGCGCTGCTCGGCTAGTTGCGCTACTAGTAGCGCTGAATGGACAAATGCATTTGTTAATTTGAACTTTAAACATGGACTATACGATTTGTCATCGCGAATGTCACAAGGACGCTTTGCGCGCGCGATATGCGTTCGTTTAGTCGCAGAGACTGCCAATGAGCGCGATGTTTTGTAATGACTCGTCGCACACGTTAAAATTTCTCAGCGACAATCAACGAGTTTATTGTAATTATCGTCGTAATAATACCGTGAGTCATTCTCGAACAATGAATATTTTGGTACTAATTTTGCAAAATTAATTCAGTCTGGCAATAATGAGGCGTACGCCTTATTTCGAATTTAGATTTATAATTTTTTTCCCATTTGAAAATTATATGAGTCAAGGTCAAATGAATCTTAAGCAAGTGGCAAAATTCTTAAAAAGCATGTTAAATTATTAAAAAAAATTAACGTTTTCCAGAGATACACGGATACACGTATGTGAAATTGAGGTAAATAATATTTCGCGTTTCATAAGACCATAATAGAGCCAAGTTTTTCAAGGTTAAACGCGAACAATACTAGTTCCAGCAACTTTGTCGTTACTGAAAATGAAAAAAAAAATCGTTTAGCTGTAAACAAAGCTATTATTGCAATTTTTTTCATAAAATATTTTTTTCATTTTTAGTGAAGAAAGTAAATTGTTCTTTTTAGATACGAATTTTTATCCAACAAATAAAAATTTATATTTGACCCTTTAAACAAAAGCAGAACGAGACGAAAGTGCTTTTATCCTTTCAACGGCTTATAACAACTTCGGGAGATCAGCAAGACAATTCGTGGACTCCCCAACTGCAAAAGTCGTGCATTCCTACACAGGATTCCGTTTTCCAACTTATATAACTCTTTGTGTGCGTCTATATACGTTGCTGCTGCAAAGCAAGTGGGAGGAAGAGAGATAAGCCTATATGTTAGTAAACGCTGTCTTTCAAGACGCGACGTTCTACATTAATAATTGAATCTTCTAAAACCTATTTGCTTGCTGTGAGTTACCTGCATGAGGATAGAATAAACATTAGTATAGAAAAGAGGATTGTGAGAATAATGAAGCTAAAAATGGCATTGATTTTCAAGTTTATGCCAATAAAATTAACGAAATCTTCAATGAACATCTTATTACGTCATTTATATAGCTGCAAATTTCACAATATTTTCACAACAATTGTTTTTTTGTGTATAACAGGGTTTTTACCTAAAAATTAAAATACCGTGACACTGTCTTGAAGATGATGGAAGTGTAAGGTTAATGGACGGGCAATAAAGGCTGTATGAAAAAAACAGCAGCAATTATGACACAACTTTAGAACAGAAATTCTTTATGGGTCTCAAATCATTCGTTTGAATTGTTTGTCCTCATTTGAAAAGATAGAGAGATTTAAGAATAAGAATTCTAATAATTCGAAAAGAGTAATTTATATCCAATCCAGTATGTAACTATTGCTACCGTCACTCATTAAAAATGCATGCAATGTCCGAACAAAAACATAGATACAAGTGTGCGATCTCGAAAAAAACATTAAGGTTCTGTCGGTGCAGAAAGGGTCGTTTAACAAGGAGCAGCTGGGGGTAAGAGAGAGAGAGAGAGAGGTCCTTTCTGAATGGCAATATCCATTATCGCAACGTCACAGCCGAAAGGACACATCTCGGCTCGTCCTCCCGTTGATAGGATTAGCGCGACTAAGAAGGCGCTCAGAGACTTCCTTTCCCATTTTCCGGCTCTCCTTTTTTGCCCACGCGAATCCTCGTAAATAATCGCAGATGAGAAAGTCGCGCGTCCCACACCTTGTAACCAGTATACTTTTAAAGTGATATTAGCTCCGGCTATATATACACTGTATAGTGTACAGTAATACGAATAATGTGTACGCGCTGATATTAAGTGCGCGCGAGAACACCAAACTCGATAAAATGAAAATTTAACTGCTTTTATAATGAAAAAAGATTCGCGAGCGCAAAACTATTCCACGATCAAAATAACTATTCAGATATCTCGGATAGAAAGTTTCGCATCAGAAATTAGACCTTGCAACTTTGCAACGCTTAGTAAAAACTTATTGCACCTTTTAACACGAGTACACGTTTAAAAATGAACCAATTTCATGAACATAAATTCTATGCGGATGTAATATTTTTTTTTCTTGAAATGAAAACATGAAAATTACCTTCACTTAAAGAAAAGAAGTAGCCCTCGAAATTTTCAGTTTTGTTCTGCTTGATTTATATCAAAGTGCCTACATCGGCTAGCTGTATTATATACATATATTTACGTACATTCCCTTTCATACAAACACAGCCGTAACTCCTTGTCAAAAGCCCTAACTCGAAGCACATGAATACCTGAATATGCAAATATATATCCGTCTTAGAACGACGTACCGTTTGTTGCTGACACCGCCTTATGCACACGTGCTTGCGCGCACGCAAGCCAAGACGAAGATACCACTTACGAGCTTTGAGAATTAATAGCATTTGCGTCTCTCTCACTCGAAAATCAATCGCTCAAATGAGACTTGCTCTCTCTCTCCCTCTCTCTTTCAATTTCTCGCTCTCTTACACTTTTGATGATGTTCAATGCCTTAAAAGTAAAATAAATATAGATTTTGACTTTTGACTGCAAAATTGTAAGCAATTGAGTTTGTGTGTAGTCCATCTTGTTTTGTATTTCAGTATTATCTTGACTATACCAGATTGATAAAAATTGCATCCTATCGTTCGATCTTTCACAAATGATTTCTGATAAAATCGTTTTATGCGCGAGGTAAATGCTTTTTAAGAGATAACGATTTTTTCAAATTATATCTTTGAAGGTAATATTGAATAATTTCATTCATAACGTAAGATTTGTAATGCTTTTGTAAATAAAATTTATTCTTTTCATTACTAGGAGTAAGTTTTAGGTGACTTTAATAAATGACAATTTACAGAAAACGTATCAAGCTAAGTTATTGATTTCTTTCAAATTATAATTGTCAAAGAAATGCAAATGATTCCTTACAACTTTGAGCGTTCGTTCGAACAATTGATAATAAACGTATATTATTGATTGATCAAGGTTGTTGAATGTATTATAAAAAAAACAACAAAGTAGAATAAAATATTTACTTTATTACAGCTGCTATGTAATATTTGAAATAAAGGTTGAATAGAATAATTGGCATGATCGTTGTATTTCTATAGTTAATTATAACAAATTAAATAATGAAAATTAGAATGTTTTGGACGGAATCTTTTGCTTAGCCTGTACACAGCATAAGATATTAAAAAATAAAAAACTCATTTTAACAACAGGTTGAAATGCAATTTTTCAAGCAGGTTAAAAATTAATACTCTCTAATGCTAATAATACTTTAGATTAATTTATGTTAAATCTTAGCTTTTACATCCCCAACCCGCTTTTGAAATATTTGAAAAATGTCATCATTACGACGGCCAGAGTAGCTAACTGAGCTTTGGAGGTGCTCGCTGAATTACACTGATCGTAATCGCAGAAGTCACAACTGATGACTTGCTCGTATGGAGGAGCCGTCCTTTGTAGATAATCACACGTTAGCGAATCCGATATGCAACCTCGTTTCGTTACATATCCTCTATCGGTCACTCCTAATTTTAAAGGCACAAATTAAATGAATATGGTTTTGAAGTTTTGTGTATGAATTTTCTATGTAAATGTTACAAAAAATTGTAATTACTTACTGGAAGTTGATTTCAGGCAGCGATACCTTGAATCTGCAATTGTACAAGTAGTTATAAGTAATAATCAGTATACAAAATTTCTATTAATTCTATGTACTTGTAAAATACAAAAAATAACGCAATTGCTCAAGTAGTTTTCAAATCTGTATGATTCATTCATAACAATCTTTATGTAAAAGAAATATGAATATGCTCTTACGTGATGAATATTGGTTGGGACAATCAACAAGAAATTGATACTGAGCTGGATCAGTTTCGCACCTTCTATCGTTAGCTTCATTGCATGCATAGCACTTCAATGCGGTTGCTGAAATCATAATGATGAAATTGATTATTTAATTCATTTTTTTAAATAATTTTTTAAAGCATTCAAATTATTTATTCTATTTTTGGTCATGACGCATACAACATCGAAAAAAAAAAAACAAGAAAAATAGTCATTTGTAGAATAATCAAATTGTAGTCGTAATGGCATCGGGACAATTGAATTGCAGAAAAGATAGCAGCAACATTTTTTAAAGAGCTTTGTTATCTTACGCCAGATTGATGTTTTTACTTCCTTGCTGAATAGAGGATTATAAGTTTTTCTGTAAAAAATGCGATAGAGTATATAAGTGGACTTTTCCACTAGTTAAACCGTAGCAAATAAAGCTCATTGTGTCTCGCAAGGTGCAGATCACTCGCTCGTGATCGGTGCAACGATGTGGTGTGTTCATCTGTTAAGTGTTTGCCTCTTGGCTCATATTGTCAAAAGTTGCGAAGTACAAATAGACGAGACGAGACAAGACATTCATTGGTGGAAAACTAGTGTCATCTATCAGATCTATCCGCGTAGTTTTAAGGACAGCAACGGCGACGGCATCGGCGATCTGAACGGCATTACGAGCAAACTCGAGCACATTAAAGATGCCGGAGCCGATGCTCTTTGGCTCTCGCCTATCTACAAGAGTCCTCAAAAAGATTTCGGTTACGATATATCTGACTTCAGAGACATCGATCCTACCTACGGAAATCTGACTGATTTCGATAAGCTCGTTGCCAAAGCTAAGTCGCTCAAATTAAAAGTTCTGCTGGATTTTGTGCCCAATCACAGCTCAGATGATCATGAGTGGTTCAAAAAGAGTGAACAACGCATAGATCCGTATACGAATTATTATGTTTGGGCAGACGGTAAAAATAATAACCCTTCGGTACCTCCGAACAATTGGTTATCAAATTTTGGTGGTTCCGCTTGGAAATGGAGTGAAACTCGAAAACAGTATTATTATCATGCATTTGTTGATGGGCAACCCGACTTGAATTATCGCGATGAGAAACTCAGACAAGAGATGGAAGATATATTGACTTTCTGGATGCAACGCGGAGTCGATGGTTTTCGAGTTGATGCCATTAATCAAATGTTCGAAACTACCGATTTGAAAGACGAACCAATATCTGGCAAAACTGATGACCCCAACGATTACGACTATTTGATTCACAATCAAACAAGAGATCTAAACGAGACGTACGATGTCGTGGGTTCTTGGCAGAAATTAATAGACAACCACGTGCGAAATTATCGTACCGATGGTAAACTGATGATTCTGGAAGCATACACCACGATCCCGCGCTCAATGATGTACTACGATGTAGGATCGAATCCCTTCAATTTCATGTTCGTGGCTACTTTGAACAATCAGTCTACCCCGGAACACTTCAAGAAAACCATCGACACTTGGTTGAATGCAGTACCCGAGGGCAAAGTATCGAACTGGGTGTCGGGAAACCACGACAACCACAGAGTGGCGACTCGCTTCGGCGAGCACGGACGGGCCGACCAGATTCCTATGCTGTGCTCGATGCTACCAGGAATCATGGTTATCTACAACGGCGACGAGATCGGAATGGTAGATCGTGACTTTAGTTTCGAAGAAACCGTGGACCCAGCTGGTTGCAATGCAGGAGAAGAAAAATATGAGGATAAATCGAGGGACCCTGAGAGAACACCGTACCAGTGGGATAGCACCACGAGCGCTGGATTTTCGAGCAATTCAACTACATGGCTACCGGTACATCAAAATTACCTAACTTTGAATTTGGCCGCACAGAAGAACGCTCAAAATTCTCATTACAAAGTTTTCCAAGCACTGACAAAACTCAAAAAGACTCCCGTATTGCTAAAGGGTAAAACGGAACTTTTCATTATAAATAATCAAGTTCTTGCTGTAGTAAGAAGATTAAAAGGAGAAAAAAGCGTTGTGTTATTGATTAATTTCAACAATGACCAACCTTTAACTCTAGATGTCAAGGCTCATATCAATATTTCGGATAATGTTACTGTTTATACTTCTAGCGTTGAATCGGGTTTTAAAGTGAATGACACTCTCGATGCTAACAATTTAGTACTACCAAAAAGAGCATCGTTAATAATATTTTCTGATATATAATTTATACTTAATCAACACTTTTATAATCACAAATTTTACAGGTAAACATAAAAAAAAAAAATTAAGAGACAATCTAGTTAAAATTTATTCATTTTTTTAAAATGACGACTGAATATCGTAAACATACTTTTTTTCAATTTTCTCTAATCAGAAGAAACATGTGATTGTGTATAATGTAACTCTATACACTAGATCGTATTCAGTTTATTACGCTCTATTTCCCAACAATGCAATATTGTTCACTCCAATAAATGAGAATCATTGTGTAGCTATTGTCTGTTGGATCATAATTCAATGATCATGATCAAAGTTCAAAGTAAGGGACAAACAAACTGTAGCGATAATGTTTATTAAATTTGTTTAATATTGCATAAAAATATGCAAACAATAGTCAAGCCTAATTTTCTGCACGAAATTTTTGACGCACTTAATTATGCAACGCTTTTACGATAAATAATTCTATATTTCACAGTGCATAATATTGTGTTCAAGAAATTTTTAACTTTTATATTAATATACTATTAATTTTTCAAAAAATCGAATGTTTTAGTTTTTCATTTATACCATTATTCACTTCCGTTTAATAACAAGATGTAGTATTCAATACTTAAAATAAAAAAGACGCGATAGGTATGTTATAAAATTTATTTGAGTAAATGTCTGATAATGCGTCCAAAGTCTGATAATGTGTGTAATAATATCATGTTAAAATGTGATTATATATATTAATAAATGTAATACAATCAAGCTAAACGATAGAAATAAACATCCATTTTTTAACAGTCGAAGAATAACTTATTTATTAAAAATAATATAATCCTAATAAATTTGTATATAACTTTGAATTTTTTTTCGAATAAATATAAATTATGATGAGATAATAAAATTAAAGATGTCTTGATCTAATGGGTTATAGTTTATTTTTAAGTGTTGATATATGATCCAAAATTTTTTAGTTTTTTTCACGATTTACTTAGTGTATTATTTTTGCATTGAACTTTGACAAGAACTAAAATGAAACTGCAGTTGAGTAAAAAGCGAACTCTCAAAAGTTTTTTCTTTAACAATTTAATAAAATTAGTGTGTTAATATTTAAATTCAATCGTTATCATTTATTTGATTAATTGGTTCATTTATTTTGAAGGAAATCGGTTATTATATTTTGAACCTTTTCATTGTATTTTTTAGTCTTCATAGAAATAATGTTGCAATATTTGTTTATCTTAAAACTTTATGGAAATATATAGTACTGAATGAAGTATATTTTCTTAAATCACTTACTTGTATCTATGTAGCACAACACAAACAACACACACACGGTCAGTGCATATCGCGAAAAAAACATTTTGATACCTGAACTACAACACATGAACTAAAAAATTAACACTACGAATAGAGCATAGATGATTGGCAGCGGAGTGTTATATAAGTTGAACCGACATAAATAAGTGTTTCCGCGAGACTGGCGTGTGGATAGTTAAGGCAACCGCCAAGTTCCACGATGCCCCAACATGACTTATTCTTTTTATTTACCAATCTTTTGTACCGTGACTCCACCTATGCCATAAACAAGGTTGTTCTAAATGACATCATTACAATTTTTTCTGCAAGTCTCGCAAAGACAATTTATTGTTTGCGTATCATTGAATGAATTCTTTTATTTTTTTTTTAAATTATAGTACGGTAAAACATACAGTTAATATTTTTATATTTAATTTCTTTTTCACAACTATAAACAGTTCATTCGAACGAATTTTTCAAATATTACTTCTATGTATATAAAATTGTTTTCTTAAATTCATTATTTAAAGATTTTAAATAGTAAAATTATAATATCACACGTAAAAAAGTATTCTATTTTGAAGGTCAAAGATGTTATTTAATATAATAATTTCAAAAGTAAGCAATTTGAAAGCAATAAATATTTTTTGTCCAAAATGATTTCAAAATATTGTTTACTATTATATTTTTATCCTCATATTGAGTAAAAAAATCGTTGGAAATTGATGATCGATTAAATCTACCTAATTATAATTATGACCATCAGCTATAATATATTAAAACTAAACTGCTTCAATGTTTGCAGTGATAAAATACACTTGGGTATGTGAGTAGACGTGATTTACATGTTCAACGAGACGATACAGTCATTATTGAGATGTCGGCGAAGATTAAAATCAAAGAATAAGATAAATTATGTTGAAGTATCATAATGGTAAACATGAAGTCCATAACGTAAATGCTTATTTACAGTAGCGTTTAAGAACTAAATATTTAAGTTACGTGTGCAAATGATCGTTGAAAATCAAAAATTAATCACCATCTCAACGAGTACTTTTATTAATTAACTCATTGAAAGAAAAAAATTATTATGATCTAGATGACACACGAGTCGATGCAAATATTTTTCATAAAATAAAGAATTCGTAAAAAAATAAAACGCCCAAAATATAATGATCTCAAGAAAACAGTTACATTACACATAATAATTTAACACTTCACTTATGTGAGATCGCTAACAGGGTTGCATACTATACAGGCCCTTAATTACGCTCTAATTTGAATATAAGAATAAAAATGTATTTTATTGACAAATTTTGTACGGAAATAGTATTTAAAATATCTTTCAAGTTTTAATAATGACACATTGCTTTTTTTTATTTTTATGTTAGCATTGGCACAATTTCGAGAATACAACCTTACTATTCAGTTATGCACATAGGATCCAGATTTGTGAAATCTGGGATATTTTTTAGTTGACTTGATTTAACAGTAAAGATTCTTATTAAATCAAAGAGGCTAAATGATAAATTCAAGGAATAAAATTGCTTTCAAGTAGTGATACTTGCGCGGTTTACGCCATTTAAAAGTGTTTTTAGCGCAGATCACACTTTTTGGAAAATTGACTCAGAAAAAATGTGTAAGAAACACAAGGAGCACTTTTTGGCTTCATTTAATATCATTACGTAAATCAAACTTTCATTCCATTTTCATTCAAGTTATTCTTTTAAATTAATCTGATTTCGGTGTGAAACAATTATTTGAATAGAAGTTTATAAAATAAATTTTTTTAATAGGTGGTCTTTGTAAATTAAATTTGGTAAACATTCTAATGGACTATAAATATCACCTTAGAAAATTACGAAAAATTAATATTAAAATTTGAAGCAACGCATTACTGGAAGCACTCAACAATTATTAATTCTTTTTTCATTTTTTAATGTAAGAGAAAAAGAACGATTTTTTCCGAAATTCAACAACTGTTTGACGAGTTGGATGTATTAGTTGGGATCATTTGATTTTACTTTTCCAAGACATCTCGATTATTTTCGATTATTAAATTTATTCTAATTTTCATTAAACTTTTTTACACGTAAGTTATTTAAGCTGATATTGTTTAAAATAATCCAGTTTTACAAAACAGTTATAAAACATAACAGTTTATAAAATACATTCAATTATTACAAACTCTTTTTTTATGAAGTTAATTAATGAGAACTAACGAAACAAGGTCAACAAATAATTTCATATTTTTTACGAGAGTGATTTCTGAAGAGGGTTCTTTGCACTACTTTTTTGGATTTTTTAAAAGGAACGTATAATTTTTGATACACATGAAAATAGTAAAATTATTTGTTTGAACAGAAAACACTGAAATGAAAATTGCATTTCTAAAAATTTTAGTATTATGAAATATAATCTGCTCCAAAAGTACTTTGCTGCAAATTTCACATTTCCAAAATATGAAGCATGCATTTCTTACACTTTTTCTGCTGTGACGATTTTCTAAAAAGTGTAATCAACGATTGCAATACATTTGAAAAGTGTAAACTGCATCCTTGCACTTTTTTGATAACTTTCAAAAAATATAATCTGCACTTGAAACATTTTTGAATAGTGTAGAGTGTAGACTGCGCAAGGATCACTATTGTGAAGCAACTTTTACACTTTTGAGTTGCAGTGTATGTCATGAGTATCATAGTCAATTTTAGAATACTGTGCTATGTTGACATTTAAGCCCTGTTTTTTTAATCATAAATCACACTTTCTGATACTGGTTATGGTACTTGTTCCCTTCTAGTACATTTTCGGTACTTATAGTTTCTGCAAAACGAGGGGTTGTAGCATAAACTGAAGGCGAGTGTTGTAACAATTTTTGCTGAAAAAGCTTATTCACACAAGTTGTATACAATATTTTATAGCAAAAAACCTAAAACTGGCAGCAAAGTTGCAACTTTTAGGTAAGAGTGCTATAATCATTTTAAATGAATTTATGTGAATGAAAAGAAAGCAAAGTAATTAAAACTTCAACACCCCAACATACACTCACACCTCAAAATTATTTTGACATTATGCATAAAAAATTATCACAATGTTTCAGGCAAATAATAGATTGTATAGTTTTATTATCGGCCAATCAAACAAATTTTTTTTTTGTAAGATACTAAGGATTTTTAAAAATCAAACTTTCATTATGTTTCTTCATCCTGCTATTCCTGAAAGTAACGCAATTTAATTACACGCATGCTATCAGTATTGCATACCATAAGGCGCATATAAAATGTTTTATAATCAATACTATAATTCCATCATAACTTAATAAGATTAAGTCTAAAAAATTAAAGTGGCATTCGAAAATTTTTATCTGTGAGTGTATAAAAAAGCAGCATTATAAAAAATTTGACTGCTTGAAACTTTATTTCGATTTAAAACTATTCAAGCTACTTCATTAACAATACATCGAGAACTCGAAAAGCTATCTGGATTTTTTATCTACAGTCTAGTTACATTTTCATTGACTTTCGTTTCTTAATTTTATTTCACAAAATGAGCCTATGGTAAAAAAGCATAGTATTATAATCGGACGCTTAATTTTTAATTTAACATATATTAGCCTATAACCAACACATGACAATGATAAAGTTGGACTTATGCCCAGACTTTTTATTGCATAGGGGTATTTTGGTACTATTTTTATCACAAAGTAAAATTTAATATCGTTCGATGAACGATTTATGTATAAATTCAATTCACATAAATAATGACTGCGTTCGCAATAATGTTTTATTATTGAGTTTTTATATGTGAAAATTGTAAATAGCATTCAGATTATGAAACTGAATTGAATTAACATTATTAAAGTGCGAATTCATTTACGAGAATGTGTTTGGTTAACGTATTGTATAAACGTGTATTTTTACTGTACGATTGTTTAATTAAAAAGAAAAATTCATTAGGAGAGTCAACAATGCAAAAAGATCGGTTCATATCATGCAGTTTCTGGTAACTTTCTCAATCCATTCTATATAAATTTAAGAAATTCACAGCCCATGAAATCAAATAAAATAAATCTATCTAAAGTGCATTTATCATTCATAAGCGTCCAATGGAATGCGTCCGTTAACAATTAGAGATACTTATTGATCACGTAAGAGAAATTAATAGTCTTATAAACTTGTTCCAAAATCAAGCGTAGTGTAATGCTACAGCTATGCAAATTGATCTCATATGCCTACCTAAAATGCACTTGCGAAATGAGTGCAAGTGACCCATTGAAATCTGTGCCTTACTTTTATCCCCAGCTTCATTGGGGAAAGAAAAAATTTAGAAAATCAAAAGCCGAGCCACAGTCCGAAGCGTGAATTATAAGCAACGCACATACACTCTCGCCGCTGCGAGCCTCTCACCTGCGCGTTATAGCTTACAAGACACACACGCATGTGCCTACGTTCGCGTGTGTGAGTATGCGTGAGCTCGAGGTGAGCCAAGACCTCGATCTAAATTGCACGGTGTGAGTGGAAATCGATTAAAATCCTGTGCGTTCGCGTAATGTCACGCGGACCGTAAAGAGAGACCCCTTATTAAATGCACATTATGCTCTTGTGTGACACTGCGATGTTACGTGACAGAACCAGCACAAATGTCAGAGTTGAAATGGTAGTGCGGGTGGACATCTTTTTCCCATTTATTGAAAATCTTCAATGATGATTTCAATGACAACTGAGAATGGCTGCTAATTAACAAGAATATCACCACATTTTCTTCTCGTTCAAAAAAAAAGATTTATTCATTGTGAATTTTGAGCAGAAAATTATAATTTTACTACTTAGAACTTTGTGTTATGTTTAGCTTACTGTGGCATGCTAGTGGCTTTTAAGATTTTCAATGCACCAAAAAAAATATAATAAAACTTTGAGTAGATAACAGTATTGACATCCGATATTACTTTTGAATAACGTAAAAAAGTCATCGATGGACTAAAATTTTTAGTGCTTCAATTTCACTCCCCAATAACACAAAACGACAACGCACAGCTCAAGTGTACAGAAGTCAAGACGCATAGTTTTCAATTATTCATGAGTTCGTCGATGCACACGGCAATAAACTCCTCGTTGCAAATTTCGCAGTTAGCATTCCTAAGTGGTTCCACATCAAACTCTGTTTGTGTATATGTTTTATGTATACGTAAGACTACGTGACATTGTAAAGATGATTATCAATTGCTACTCATGTCATATGCACTGTTACTTCCTCTTTCTCTTCAAAATGTCAATTTTGAGTGGGGAAATGCTATCAAATAGCCCGTGAAAGCGATATTAATGTGGAACCAACGATTTTTTATTCATTGAAATCGTTGGAAAAAATTTTTTTCAAGAAAAAAATAATATTTGTTCATAAAATGCATGATTAAACTCATATATTCTAAATAATACAAATTTTAATGTTAAAAAAACAACATATAAAAATTTTAAAACATCATATCTAATTATTAGGAAACGTACATGCAAGGTAAAATTATTTTAAAATAAAATGTGTAGTTCTTGATCAACAATATTATGAAATTATTAGAATTTAGCCGATGATAACTTCTGAAAAGGATATTCAAGCAGGTTACTTCAATGTAAGCGTAAAAATTGTTTTAATTATTTATCGTTTCATGCTAATAATTACTTCCTTGACGTAATAAAGATCTCAGCAGGTTTTTCGTCATCAATAAGTATGCAAATTAATTTCGTTTGTAATCTTCATTGCGATCCTTATCTCTTTTTTTGCGTAAACCAGATCAAATTGTCTACTGTAGTTGCAGCAGATAAATATCATCTGTTCATAAGATTTCCTGAAAATTTTTTAATATTACGACGAGCATGCCGATTTGTCAGAATTCTATTTCGATCTATAAACACTATCTCTGATGTAGAGCAAATCATAAGTAATCAAAAACGAGTTTATTACCGCGGGAAATCGTGTGCTGTAACGTGTTACATTAATTCGATAATAAGATTATCTTCCGTTATGGTAATATATAGCGTCTGATAATTGATGGAAATTTTTCGAAAAGTCTTGAGTTGACTAGTTATATTTAAAATAAAGTGCGATGTAAATGTATTACAAAAATCTGGTGAATACTATCAGGCTATAATTAAACGACAGTCGTACTTTCATTTTATTAACAGTACTTTTAAACGTAATTATAATTGTATCGTTTATATCCCGATTTTTCATTTGAGCACTCTAAACCAATTTTAAAAGTAGGGAATAACAAAGAAAATTATTAACAAGCTCAACAACCTGAGCGATTCACTACATTTGTTTTTCATTTATTTACTTACATGCCAAAGGAGCAAGTTTTGAACTAAAAGTGAATTATTAATATAAAAAACTGAGAAAACCGGTTGATTTCTATGCAAAACAAATACTTTAGCTGAACTAGCACCACCTACAATTTGGCCACTTTTTGAATGACTCTCACGATCAATCGATCCGCACTCAAGATATGAATTTGAAACTTTTCGATTCTCCGGCATCAATAAAATGCATCTAATCTTTTTTTACGTTCTCTTGGCTCGCTCACACATACACACATGCGTGGGCACGATAAGCAGAAACCAGATTTTCTAATCACTAATGCTGCACAGTCTGTAACTGATCGCGAAAAGAATCTAGAATTTCAGCTCCACGCTCCTTTCCCTTTTTATATGTGCAAGGCGAGCGCGGACTCGCACATATTGACGATCAGCGCTTTAAGCCCACGTTTGTGCACCTGATGCTGACGCGCCAAAATAGTCGTCGGTAGTTCTCCAGAGCGTGCGCTTCTTTACTTCTTCGGCCACGCGCGTGTTTATGAGTGCTCAAAAGTGGAACAGTCGAGCTCAATCAGTACAATTTTTTAATATCTTAATCGAGAATCGTTACACTTAAGAGTGTAATACGAAATTCTAGTATTATGAGATGTTTTATATAAAACGTTCAACGATCAAGCACATATTCAACTCTGTAACTCATTCCATTTTCTCGAAAATTTATTGAAAACTTCATTAATTAAAAAGTCCAAGTATCTAACAAGAATGAAACTGCTGCAATTAATTTTACTATTGGGATTTTTCTCACACACCTTGAGTGACAAAGAAAATGAGTCGACGGCAAATAGTGTAGCAATAAAGTATGAAACAGACCTCGAAGGATATACCTTGCCGTTCATTGAGAGAGATCTGGAGTTTTTAGCAAGTCTTGTGGAACAAATTAATAACGATGCTTGCCGGAACCAGTGTCGAGCAATTATTTTGGGTCTTCACAATCTTACGACATGGGCAGTCGAATTCTGGGATGCGTCTGGGAAACTGCCAGAAGGTGTTTTAAGGTAAAAATTGAAAAAAAAAAAATGAAATGTACAATAAATGTCAAGACTATATATTTAAGCAAAGAAATGCTGACAAATTTTAAATTATCTTTACACCATACTTTTTTCTAATTATTACTTACGTATAATAATTAACATGAGAGTCAATCACCTACACGCACAGATCTAAAAAGAACGTGAAGTAAGCAATTTCTTGTAAATACAAATAAACTATAACTTTAAACGATCATTTCTTTGAAAAAACGAATGCGCACACACATGTGTAATCATACTTGACATTCAAACATCTTTTTGAGAGCCCAACATCTCAAATAAAATCGTGTAATATTCTATAAATAATGCACTTTAGAAAACTATGATTCAAGCTTGTATTGATGTAAGCATGAAATTATTCAATCATTTCTCAAGGAAAAAGTCCGAAAGTATTTATTATGTCTAAGTGAATGTAACTAATTATACACTTTAAACATTTCATTTAATATATTGTGCAAATATTTTGTAGTGGCTCAACTTTTCACCTTGGCAACTTTGATGAGTGCATGTCCATCGGCAAGAACCCAGAGGATATGGTACCTAATGGAATCAGGGGCCAATACTGTTTGACAAATGTGAAAATCGAAATTTCCGAAGAAGGTGTCCTGAACAAACTCTTATCACCCATGTGGCAAAAATTCAAGAAACTCGAGCAACGTTACGATGATAAAATCAATGAATTACACTGGGGCATGTGTGTTCCAAGTGCTTGTTCAAAAGATGACGTTCAAGATGTCATGGAAACGATATTTTCAAATGTATTAATGACCACGAGTTTGCAGATCAAAACGCATCTAGATGAAAAATCATGTTATAAGGATGAACCGATTACTGTCGATGCTTATGATATAGCCTATCTGTAAGTTACTTTTCATAGTGTGTCGATCAGACATTAAGTAATGTTCTAGCGTGATTAAATATGTAGAAAATTTTATATTCACCATAATGCATGTTCATACTTTTTTTATGCTTTACCATTACGAAGTTTGGCTTGCATCTTGTAAATTTTTCTTCGTACTTGTTTCACATTAACGCTTATGAATTCGAAAACTCATCAGATCAATGCTACATTATATTGTTGAAGTGACGAAATATTATGTTTACATATTTTATTATTTTGTTATTAAAGATTCGTTGAAGTTTATTATTTTGTTTTCATCATGCACTTGTGTGGTAATCATATTGAGCGCAATGTTTTCAGAATGATCGAATTATGAAGAAGCGTCTTTAATAAATATTTTAATATAAGTCATTTTTCAAACATATAAAAAAACTAATTAATGATTTCTATAATCTTTTTTCAGAACTGTGATATTATCAGTGATAGCCGTTATAATAATAGCTACAATTTACGATGTATTTTATATAAAAAATAAAAAGGATGTATCGAGAAGTATTGGACCACAGATTTTGTTGGCCTTTTCGATGCCAGAAAATCTAAAAAAATTGTGTAGTCCAGCTCACGACGACTTAAAATTCGAGTGTATCTCTGGTATGAAGTTTCTAGCTATGCTTTTTATTATAGCTGGTCACACATTGATCTTTGTTGTCAGTGGACCAGTACTCAATCAACAATATTGGCAAGAGGTAAGGCTAATAAAATTTTTTAAATATATAAATAGTAGATATATACGTATACGTTAAAGTGCTTTCAATGAAATTCCAGAATGAGTGTAATTTTTTTTCTGTATGACTGATGAGTTTTCTTTTTGTTGAAATAAAAATTTACCATATCATGTTTATGTAATCTTTTTTGCAGGCTATTGGCAAAGTGGAAAATTCTATATTCTTGAATAATCCTCTACTTGTTGACACGTTTCTTCTTCTCAGCGGTTTTCTTTTTGCCAGGATTCTTCTTCAAGAACTAGACAAGAGAAAATCAGTTAACTTTGCATTTATTTATATTTATCGCTACCTCAGGTAAGATTACTTGCTAAAAATGTTACTTTCAAATGCCATTTAATTGCTTGTTCACATTGGTCAATACAATGATTGTTGATTTGGCAGGCTGACGCCAGCCTATATGGTAATCGTAGGACTGTACGTGACTTGGCTACCGAAACTAGACTCCGGGCCACTTTGGTCACGAATGAAATTAGAAAACGAGAGGTGCATTGCCTCCTGGTGGGCCAATATACTTTACATCAACAATTACGTCAATACTGATCAGATCGTAAGTTTTAGATTACCGATAAAAAATGTATAATTATTTTGCTATTCAAAATTAACACTTGCGAATCTTTTTCTTCTTTTATTTGTTCAAATCAACTTTTCATAGAAAAATTTAATTTGTTTCAGTGTATGTTTCAATCTTGGTACTTGTCAGTGGATACACAATTATTCATTCTTGCACCGGCTATAGTTTATCCACTTTGGAGGTGGCGCAAAGTTGGACACTATTTATTAGGAGTATCCACAGTTTTTACCACAATTTTACCATTAGTAGTAACTTACGTTGAAGATTTGGATCCCACACTGCTTATTTACACACCGTACGTTAAAAAATGAAGAAAATAGCTAAGATTATTTTTAAATAACCTGATATATTTCAATACGTGCTTTGTTTTTAGAGAAGTAAAAGATATTTCAGCAAACAAATATTTCAAGACTAGCTATATCAAAACTCATATGAGAGCTGGTGCATATTGCTTTGGTTTGTTATATGGCTACATTGTCTACCGCATACAAAATTCAGACACCAAAATTCCCAAGGTATGAAATGTTTAGTATTGTATAAAAAACAATTTCCTTAAATCATTTTTTTTCTTTTTTAATTTTTTTTAAATAGTCATTTTGCGTAAAACAATTTTTAAGTAAAACAGCTAGGTTCATTGATATTTTTTAAAGACAGATTTTTATAGTAATAAAATCTTTCTGCATCGAATTATTTCAGACAAAATGCATTACTCTGACTAGAAACATGAATATCACTATACACATAAAAATATCCTTACAGAGTATGAAAATTGATTGATGCTATAAAAAAAATTGAATAGAAGTTCCTGCTCTTAATATTGTACGTGACTTCTTTTACTCGTTGCAGAATACGGTAATGATCGGTTGGCTGCTGGGCAGCTGTGCTCTTCTAGTATCGATGGGATCGATTAGCGTCTTTTACGGGCCAAGAAAAAATTTCACCACTGTCGAGGCTGCCTTCTATTCGTCCTTGCATCGTGCTTTGTGGAGTCTTGGCACTGGCTGGGTCTTGCTCGCTTGCATCACCGATAATTCTGGTAACAATACATCTTCCATTTTTTCCACCTTCAATTCAACTATTTATTTGAAAAAATCAATAGTCACACAAATCTTATTATCAATGGCAGAACTGAGGAAAAATCAAGCTAAATTATAAGTTTCAATCTTAAAAATTGTTAATTTTCTATACGATTTATATTTAAAAAATTGATAAATTTTACAGTATAGACAGTTTTAGAACTTTATAGTATAATTCATACATTTACTTGCCATATATGAAACATTTAAAACATTTTTGTGTCTTCTCAATGAAAGTATTATAAAAATCAACGCATAATTTGAAAACGTTTTTTTTTACTGCAAAAGCATACAAGTAAATGAAATAAAATAAAATAATTATCCTACAGGTCCACTTCGCAAATTTTTGAAGTGGAGACCATTCGTACCTCTCAGTAGGCTTACTTATGCTGCATACCTAGTCAATGGTCTGGTTGAACTTCACAGCGCATCAACCGTTAGAACGCCTCAGTTTCTAGATACTTTTGGATTGGTAAGTTTAAAATGAATTGAATTTGTCAAAGATATTTAATAATATATGAATTCCTCCAATAAGTCGTTAACAATTAAAACAATCATTACAAAAATAATAGAAAAATATATTTGCAGTTCGGTAAGGTACTCTCTCACCTCATGCTAACTTTTGCCGGCGCAGTATTACTTTCAACGATGTTTGAATCTCCAATATTAGGAATAGAAAGGATTTTTCTGCACAAAGGTATAACATAATACGCATACTTCATAATTAACCTTAGAAAATACACTGATTAAATAACCATTATTTACTATTTTCCTTTCAGCAAAAAAATCATCTGGGTCACTTACAAAAAAAAGTGACAGTGAAGAATCTACAACAACAACTACTGATGCATGAAACAAGACTTGTTTATAGTAGTTATGCAAGATTTTAAACATCAGTTAATTGTTCACTAATATGAATTTTGTACATATGTTTGCGTGGATAAAATATCTAAATTATTTTCGTTATCTGTATCTGTACAATTTTCTGTGATGCCATGCATGCAAAATTCAAGCTTAGAAGCATTAGTGTTTACTGCCCAAAAACTCATGAACTAAATTTTATTTCGCTGTACAGAGAAAATAAGATTTTTGGATGCAGTAAATATAACATTGCCAAAACTTCGTACACAGTACTTTTTTTTACTTTCATGTCAGGTATATTTTTATATTTGTTGAATTTATTTATTTTTATATGCATTTTATAAGCATTTTATAGGCATATTAAGGATTTTGGACAAAAAGTATAATAAGATGTAAGAAATAAAAATAATGATGAACATTATATTCAACAGTTTTAGGTCTGAAAATATAGTATAGTTCATACAATTTATTTAAGGGTTCAAACAAAGTACTTTTAAAGTAACTCATTGAACTTAACATTATAAGCATAAATTTTCTAAATGAATCAATGGGACAAAATTCTTCATTCATTTCTTAAAATGATCATTATTCTTTGACTATACTTATGAAATTAGTGTACGTAAGAATAAATCAAATATCTTGAAAAGTATCTTTGTCAATAAAAAACAAACATTTTTATGCCTTTTTGATTCATTTAATTGTATTATACAAAACTTCAAACAATAACTATTCATTGAAACATTATCATCAAGCATCATTGACTAAAAGTTATAGAAAAATATTAAATAAATAGCAAAATTAAATAAAAAAATTATCGAACTGGAAAACTAAATAAATTTGTACACTCCTTGTTTTAAGAATAAATTTGATATAATTTTATACAATTTATTTCTGAGAAAAATAAAGAAAATGCTAAACGTAATACTTAAAATTTACGATGAATTTATACGTTTATTGTGTTCATTTAAACTTATAATATTATTAAAATTTAACTTTTCATGAGAAAAAATAATATTGTAATGTGGCTGATACTTGTATGTAAAAAATATTCTTATTTAATGAAAAAATTTTGGTAATTACATAATTTAAATGTAATGAACCATTATAATTTTGGTTTACGTAAAAAAGAAGAAATAAAATATCAATTTACAAAAACCCTATCCAATTACGAGTACATAATCAATTTTTAAAATTCAAACGGCTCACGGCAATAGCTTTGTTGATGTGTAATTTAAATATATTTCAATATTATTTAATTATTACTTTTAATCCAGTTTTTCAGTTTCGCATTCAGTCCAAGACCAGTTTTCATCATTTGATTTTCTTCTCTCTCTAAAATTTTCATTTTCTTCGTCCGACCATTGGTGAGAAGTTGAAGATATATCAGAATCGCTTTTTACATTACTTTCTTTGTATTTGTTTCGAGGTTGCCAAATAATGGTTACATCGCAAGATACATCTGGAGCTTGGTCCAAATCTTCTGATTGAGCACTAGAGTTATTTTTTTGGTCGTCAACCGCTTCTTTAGCTTCTTTTGATTTATCTGGCAATAAATTAGACGATTTTTGGTCCTTTACTATAAAAGGTCGGCCTTCTTCCTCGGATCTCGATTTTTGTAACTGCCAAGCCTTTTTAAAAGGATGTTCTTGTTCTTGTTCAACCAACTTTGGACGTTCAGGAATAATATACTCTGGATCTTCTTCACTTGCTTGGCTCTGAAATATCAAGTCGTTAATCATTATACATATCTATGATATCAAAAGAAAATGTACATTTCTATACTATACTTACTTTTATGATTGATTCTCTCTTGATGAGACCTGATTTCACATCCAATTTATTCCAATTAATAGAATCATTATCAGCTGACAATCGGCTCAAATCTTGAACAGTAATTTTTTTATCATTTTTATTTAATGAAAATTCATAACTAATCACATCATCATCATTATCATGAGAGGTTGGTTGGGTCTCTGTGAAACCTTGACTAGATTTTTCCCTGAGTGGAGGACCTTGTTCTCTATACTCTCGTCTCTGCTGATTGTACAATCCTTCCTCAACCTCATCGTCATCAGGATCTAGTGATGATCCTAATGCCATTTTAGAGACGGTCCACAGCTCCATGTCACCAGGCCTCATTGGTTCACGCAAAAGAGCTAATTTTCCTTCAGCTGAAGATCTACGCTTTAATGAATTCCACAATTCGAGCTCGTCGTCGTTGACAGGTGGCGGGACCCCCTCACGTTCTTGGGAACTGAAGCGACTTCTTCGAACGTACATTTCTTCTGCCCACTCATCTTCACTATTCATTCGTGGCTCAGCAGATCGACGCCCGTTTATATGTGCACTACTTCTACGATTTCCATATCCCTCGAATTCAGTATCAGTCGATATAGATCTTTGCTGCTCATACATTCGCGAATACGGCGTACGAGAATTTCGATAATTTTCTTCTCTATTAATTGTTATAACAGGTCTTCTTGAGTATTCCCTGAAATTTATAATATATTCCAATTGTTGAAACTGACATCATTTCTAATATATTATCTTATAGTCAATATATCTTACCTTGTAGAAACATCAGAATCATATGGTTTGTCTCGAGAAGCTGACCTGCGATACCTATTATCCATATCTCTCATTGGAGATCTCGAATACCCACTAGCGTAATATCTATCATTAGGATGTATGTAATCATAATCATCTTCATATCTTGAACTACTTCTTCGGTAATCATATCTACTTCCACCTCTATCATCTACGTAATAAGGATCTGGCCTCGAACTTCTTCTGCTTTCCCGATCATCCCACTCATCATAAGCTCTCGATCTCACAAAAGAATGACGTCTTGAATCTTGACTACCATACCTTGAATTTTGATAAGGATTATCAAGCTCATTGTCCTCATAATCCTGTGTCTCTGATTTTCTAAGTTCTCTGATACGCGAAAGCCACGAATCGTTTGTACCCTCCGAAGTTACTTGCTCTGAGGTAAGTTTAACACTGCTCGAGTCATTCACATGAGGGGATGATGATTCTTGAGGTAACTTAACACTGTCGTAAGTTATAGTTTCACTGCATTCAATTATAACACTTTTGACTTCTTGCATAGGAATATCAAACAAAAGCGTCAATATAATCGATACTACCAGAACTGCTATTATTTCAAAAATGTCTATCTGCAAAAATAAATATTTTTTTGTTAGACACTTATATTTCTCAAATCTGTGCTCAGTCTGCAAATAAACTTACCACTTTAAAAAGCTGAAATTCAGAAGAGTAACGGACAGTACCGACATTATAAAAAAATACAGCGAATTGAGATAAATAAATTGCGTACGATAATTTGCTAAAAAATATCATCCAATAGTTTGACAACATTCGGTTAATAATTCCTGTCAAGAAATACATATTAATTACCAATTAATTAAACAATTTTACAGTAATAAATGAATTTACTCGTAAAGTTCATTCATTTTTATGAAATATAATCTTACCTCCATGATCAGTAAAGCAAGCAAATATGACCCAACATAATGATATGGCTGAAGCTATTGGGCTGAGAACTGCATAAAAAGTAGCTTCTTCTACATTATACACATAATTTTTTGTAGCTAATCGCCAAGGTGACAGTAAAGACCAAGCACCCAGAGCTATGGCAATTAACCACCCTAACAGAACAAAAATCTAAAAACAATCACATAAAAATTTACATATATTTTTAGGGAGAAATTCAAGAAACTTGTTACCTTGTAAATATGAACTTTCTTGCCAGTTCGATGTAAAATCACGCCAAGAATTACTCCAAATAAGTACGGAGTTGCTCGATGATGAGGTAATATGTACGTTAAATTTGCGGTTTTATACAATTGATCCACTCTAGAAATGACACGGAAATGAAAAGTACAATTTATTGTAGATAATATTTAAATATTAAATTATAGACTGAATATAACTTACGTCATTCCATGAAAAATAACTAGCGACAAATTGTTATGAGCTGTTGCAAAATATCTGAAAGTCGCTGATATTTGAATAAGCAGCAGAACTATCAAGGTCCCAAATATTGGTTTCATTACTAAATAAAATACAATCGCTGGTGCGACTAAAAATAATTGCATATCTAATGCCAGCTGATGTGTATGAGTTGCGCACTAAGAGATAATGATTTTGATTTTAATGAAGTATATAGACTACTTTAAATGACTAAATATTCAATTTACCATTTCTTGGAAGGGAAGAAAATTTTGAACATAAAGAAGATTAATCCACGAACTTTCCTTGCACATATCAGCATTATTTTTAACAACTGAGTTCCATTGTGGCCCCGATCCAATGTGCTCCATCACATAAGCATACCAAAATATTACTACTACCAATAAGGGTGTCAACCTAAAACAAATATTTCAACTTACTTTAATAATGCACTTTATGTTTTAACTGCTATATTACAATGTCTTCATTTCTCACCTTATATACCTTGCTACCAAACGATTGAGCCAACGGATTTCACCTCGTTTCTTTAACTCTTCGGACATATTGTAAGCGGTAAGAACTCCACTCAACAGTAAAAATGAATCAGTATAAAATAATGAAGTTCGAAGAACAACACTCAATGGGCTACTTGCGATCTGAAAAAAATAGATTTCATTTTTTGTTATACAATAATGAAGAATTTAATAACTATTATTTAATGCAACATTTTTTAGAAATATGAAATAACCACATAATTTTTAATGCCAAAAATATGTAATTGTACCTCAGTAAGAGACGATCGATTGACGTATGGAATTCTCGATAGAGGAATCAGTTTATGCGCGACGAACAAAGCAATCGTGGCCAAAGTTCTTATTCCATGGATGCAACCGATTTCATGAGAGCTTGGTGGCTTGTAACCAAACAAATCTCTAAGCGTTCTTCTCAAAGAAAAAGACATTATCATTCTTGTCGAGTAGCTGCCTATTAAAAAAAAAACATTTTACTTAATATACTTTTATTAATTATAAATAATGTACCTTTTTCTTCGGAGCTTTTAAAATAATCTTTGATTGTAGCTATAATTGTTATACTTATAAATATTCCAAATAAATATCTGTAAAAAATAGACTTATGATTTTACTAATTCCACGATACGAGTAATACTTTCTCTGTTAATTTTTTAATTTTAATCACAGCCACTTACAGTACACCAAAAGTCTCTTTAGAATAAGTTTGATTTTCTTGTTTTACGTAGCACATATTTGAATCAACATCAACATCAAACTTAATACCTATAGTTTCTACGTAATGCGCCAATGCACTTTGAATTGCTTTTTTAGCATCTTGTACTGAACAAGCTGCTGGAATACAAATTGCCCAGTTGGCGGTCGTGAATTTTGGTACAAAGTGACCTGGCTGAAAAAACAAATATAAATAAGTTAAATTTTTCAATTTAAAATCGTTTTAACTTACATCATGCATGTTTCCTTTTATTAGCTCTTGACTTTGCATAAGATGAACAGGAAGCTTAGTAGCATTTTCCAATGCAACAAGATCAATATTAGCCAAGCAATATTTCCCTTGTATCTGAATTATTTTTTTCTTTAAAGTTATATTTGCTGACACAGCTAAACATTGATCAAAATCTCCAAATTGGTTAACATTTCCTCTCAATAATCCTGCTGGTATTTTCGCACTTGAATCCAACACTGCAAAAAGAAATATTTTACCATTTTCAATGTTTATAGTTTGAATAAAATTTTGCGGTGATTTTTTCTCAAGTAGCTTCAAGTATTTATATTTTATTCTACATGTTTCTGTCCTACTTTTCAATAAGAACGATTAATCGTCAATTAACCGTAGCAATAAAAATTTTAAAATCACATTTTTCAGATAAAATAATTGCTGTAAAACTTTTGTTATAAGACTTTTGTTATAACGTGAAGATCAAATTATTATAATGTTTAATAAAAGAAGATCTATTTGTTACTTTTTTATGAATAAGTACTTACTTTGAAGAGCCCATAATTTATAATTCCGTAATTGTTCTAAAAAGATAGACCCATGTAACCGACAATCTCGATTCTCAGCTGCAGTAAAATTTGGCACGAAAGTCGGAATGCCAAGAAACACATCATTAAGGGGATTTAATGTGTTCGACAAAACTTCCGGACGATTTGATGGACTTGAATCTAAAATCTCATCTAAAATAAATTTAAAATTTATTGCTTTTAATTTAAATTATCATTACGCAACCAATTATAATGCTCAACTCACCAGGTTTTTCATCAAAATTTTCAGTTGTTACATTTTTAATAGAATTGTGATTTTTCGAACTTGAGGAATCATTTTTTACTCTGCTCATTTTGTCTTCTGTTTGATTGATATTTTCAACCTCTTCATCTTCTAATTTATCTTCTTCTAAACGTTCCTCGACTGATATTTCATTGTATTTGTCATTTTTACTACTCTCATTTTCATCTTGACTTTTCTCATGTTCGTCATCATCATTATTATCATCTCCAGAATCAGTTTTTTTATTATTTTCCTTTGCATTATTATCTTCATCGTCCATGTCATCTTCATTACTAGTATTTTGATTTGATTGATAGTTATCATCGTAATTTTCATCATCTTCTTCTTCGTTTTCTTCTTTCTTTACTTTCTCGCTAACTTCATTTTCTTCATCTTCTTCCTCGTTTTCTTCTTCATTTACTTCTTCGCTTACTTCGTTTTCTTCATCTTCTTCCTCGTTTTCTTCGTTATTTACTTCTTCACTTACTTCGTTTTCTTCATCATCTTCCTCGTTTTCTCCGTTATTTACTTCTTCGCTTACTTCATTTACTTCATCTTCTTCCTCGTTTACTTCGTTATTTACTTCTTCGATTACTTCATCTTCCTCATCTTCTTCATCTTCTTCCTCGATTTCCTCGTCGCTTACTTCATTTTCTTTTTCAGTTTCTTGTTTGTTTTCTTCCTCACTTTCTTCAATTTCTTTTTCAGTTTCTTGTTTGTTTTCTTCCTCACTTTCTTCAATTTCTTCTTCATCTTCTTCCTCGTTTTCCTCTTCACTAACTTCATTTTCTTCTTCATCTTCGTTCTCGATTTCTTCCTCATTTTCTTCATCTTCCTCTTCATCATCTTCCTTATTTTTGTCTTCATTTATTTTCTCCTCTTCGTTACTTTCTTCATCTTCTTCATCTCTTTCACTATCATTTTCATCGTCATCGTCTTCACCATTTTTCAAATTGTCGTCTTCATCATTTTCTTCGCAATTTTTCTCGTTAATGTCATCATTAGTTTCATTATTATTTTCTTCATCACTACCTTTATCACTTTGTTCGCCAATTTCAGTATCTTCCCCAAAAATTTCATCAGTTTCTTCATCGCTATTCGTATTTTTTAGTTTTTTTACATTTTTTTCTCCTCGAAGCTTCGATTCTTCTACTTCTTTTTTTAATCGTTGAAGACGTTCTTCATCTCTCTTTTTCTCTATTTCAGATATAAACCTAGATTCTTCATCGTTTATTTCATCTTTCACCTTCTGAGAACTTGTTCCTCTTTTTAGTTTTTGTTCATTTGTTTTTGCTACTCTACCTTCGTGTCTTTCTTTGTTTTTAGAAATTTCTTGAAATTGATTTTGATCGGTAATTTGATTTTCCACTTTATTATTATTAACTTTTACTGCTTGTTCTGGTATCAATTTTCGGTTTTTTTCATTTTGATTTTGTTTGTTATCACTTTCTTGAATTTTCCTATTATATTTTTCATCTTTGACGTTCCGTACATTATTTTTTTTTGTACTTTCTTCGCGCAACTTATTTTTCGACGAATCATGTACTTTCATATTCTCTGCTTCAAGTGATTCGGAAAATTCATTATCTTCTTCAACTTCTATTTGTATATGATCATCATCATTGTCAATCTCATCATCGATATCATCAACTACATTTGATTTTACTAGAATTTCCTTTTTTTTACTATTCAAATGAGCAACTATTTCATTTTTCTCATGATTGACATTTAATGGATTATGTCTACTTTTAGCAAAAGATCCTCTTACGCTTACTTTATCAAATTGACGCTTCAGTTGTTTTGAAGAAGAAGATTCAGTGGTACATTTACCACTAGCAGAGTGACATGTGTCCACATTTCCACTAATAGAATCGCGGACACGAAATGCATAGCCGGTAAACAGAAAACTGCTCACTAATATAAACACCACTGGAACAATCACGCAATATTTGCCTGACATAGGCAAAGCCATTTTTACTCACATCAGAATAAAGATTCATAAAGCTTGCAGTAAAAATTTTAAATTGGATTTTTCAGTAAACTTTCACATAATCGTGTATAAGAATTGAATGAAATATTATCAAAAAAAATTTACTGCTGGACAATCTTTTTTTAAAGATTCACTCACAATATTATGATAAAATGCACAATTCACATGTCTTGTAAGTTAATGATAAAAAATTGTTAAACTTCGTGCACTATGTATCTTCCCTTTTTTAAAATCATTCACAATATAAAACACCGTTCACATAAAGTAGACATTTTATGATTTATTATTTTGTTTATATATCTGGCTATAATAATTATGACTTATAGTTAGTTATAAGGATGAAAATCTTGACTATCAACATTTACGAACGATAAACTTGGTCAATGACGTAGAAAAACTAAAACAGAACTCGTAAAACTGAACACTCAGAGAAAAATAGATTTGAGTTCAGCAAATTTGCAAAATCGAAAATAGTATAAGAGTTACAAATCTATTTTACTTGTTAATTTTGTTTTTGGTCATCGTCAAGATCTTCAATACTCGTACTCTCTTTCTTCTCAATTCCTTACTTGAAAAACGCTCATGTACCGGCATGCAAAAACACACGAGAGACTAACCGGTGGGAGAAAGAGAAAAAGATAGAGAGAGTATATACGCGCAGAGCAAAATTAGAGTAAGTTGCAGCTGCCCAGCCGAAAGCCCCAGTGGGGAAGTTTTATTTAGCATCCCAAAGCATCGCTTCAGATACACTATAGAACATCAACTAATACGCAACACATATGAATTGCGTAATAGTTTTTTTTCATGGTAAAGATATTATCAAAGTATGAAAAGAAAGAGCAATCGTTTAAGTTTTGATTGGTAGGTAATACTTTTTTTTCATTTCGATAAAAAAATTTTAATTTTGTAAGTGCTTGCAGCGTAAGAAAAAATATTTATAATTTAAGTTAGCTATGCATTTTTTTCATTTGAATACTTTAAACATAATTAATGTAAAGTTTGATTGACAAATTAAAGGATAAGGCATTATTGATACAACTATTTTTATTGTAAGTCTCTTATGTAATCATGCATCAAAAAAAGAATTTTTACAGAAGCAACAAAATGCAACAATTTTCATTTAATTCATAGCGGATATTGATGACTTTGTATTTTAATGACTAGCTAACACGATTCAGTTTTAGATTTTCAGTTACAATGAAGCTATTTTTATATAGCAGGTCAGTCATAAAATGTTATCGTTGCCCTAAAATTGGTTTACAATCTCAGTTTCAAATACATCAGCAATCATTTTCAATTTTCACCAAAATAAATGTTTATAAAATAAAAAAACATTAAACCTTATTTAAACGAGTACCTATGATAATTACATTTGTTATTGAAATAACATTTACTAGCTGTTTGAGGTGAAAAAATTCTTTTCGTGAATTTTCTTCCTCAGTTATTAACAAATTATTGTTTTGTTCACTTCTTAGCTAATTGATAAAATTTCAGATACAAAATTTATACAGTAATCAGGATGTTGTATAAAAACAAGTATACATTTATGTATGAAAATACAAACACTTTATTAATTTCTTTTCGTCGATTGAATAAATTTTATTAAAAAAATCAAAACTATATCACAGAATCTATTGACAATAAATTTGATATTTTTGTAGATCAAAAATAATTTCACGAGATTAAACATTCTGCTTCTTACCGACAAAATTACTTTGAAATTATTTAAAAAATTAAGCTTCATCTTCCTCGCCGTTTACCGTATCTTTATGTGATTCATATGTAGATTTTGGCTGAAGTAAAATTTTTTCTAAAACTACTATCGGTGACTCAAACATCAAACTAAATATAAATGCAATCACGGTACATATTATTAAATCACTCAAGTAATAATGCCACTGAAAAAAATATAATTAATTATGAAAAACATAATGAAATTCTAAGGAATTCATGATTACTATACTTACTATGTTTATTTGTGAAAAATATGCTGGAGTGCGTTCGGCAAATGTTTCAATTGCCTCAAGTACAAAGTGTACAAGGTAAAGACAGTACGAAATCCTACTCAGAGGCATAAAATATTTCCAAGATAAGAAATGTGACACTGGTCCTACAACATTTTAAAACCCACAAAAAACTATATCAAATCAGTTATTATAATTATTTTTAAATTGAAAAATTGATTCAAAGCAGATCATACCTGCTTGATTATTGACGCAAGTATAAATAACCCAGCAAACTGCTAACGCCCAGATAGGCTTCGATAATGCATTGAAAGTAGTTTCCCAAATTGGATTATAAACATATTCTGGATCAGTGAATGTTCTGGTTCCATAAGTCACAAACACGAAAGCCACAACAGCTAGAATCCATCCAATCGCTACGTAAGACTAAAGAAGCATTATTTAACGTGAGTACATTTTACTTATAGTTTGGATAATGTTTTAATGGTTAATGCCTACTTTTTTTACTATTTTCATATTATTTTTCAAACAATATCCTGCTAATATACCAATAAGCCAAGGTGATGCTCTAGTGTATGGAACTATATAGACATGCTTAAACATTTCCATTATTCCTGTTATACTATAAAATTTTCACTTTAAATTATTCTTATTTTTTTCTGGATAGTTATGAATTTTTTATTAACATACTTTGTTTCTTTCCCAAATGATAATGGATGATAATCATTAACACTGACGATTACTGCTGGTGTGATAATTGAAGCTACTATGAAGCCTGATAGTATCAACAAACCTATTTTTGGCTTTTTGTATAGTGGGTAAAGTATTATTGGTGATATCCAAAATAATTGCATGTCTACAGCTAAATACCATAAATGTGGTAGACACTAAAAAACAAAAGTGAAATGCAAATATTTGAACTTTTTTGTAAGTTATAAAAGAAAGATTTTTAATATTATTATGAATATTATTATTATTATTACCATATCATTCACATTAACGAAATTTTGAACGTATATGATTGTTGGCCACCAATTCTTTCGACAATTACCAACGATAAGTCCTATCAATGAATCCCATCGAGCACTTGACGTAAATTTTGGGATAAAAACGATTGAAATGGCTAAAAGTGCAACGACTGCCGGCGTTAATCTTCAAATGTACAAATCATTGAAAATAATGCAAAAATTATTCTAATATCTATGCAGATAAATTTTTTACCTAAAAAATCGATGTAAGTAATACATTGGAATATTGAAAAATTTTTGTTTTTCAATACTTTTTAAAAACATATAAGTCATCAAAAATCCACTCAATACAAAAAATGTATCTACAGCAAACGGCCCCATAAATAAATATAACGATTTCCAAGATTGGATAAACTAAAATTAAAACAAGGCACATTTTTATTTATGAAAACTATCATTTTCTACCTTTTTAATTTTACACTTACTTCAAAAATATCTAATTCATTAATATTAACGCTCATGGCCTGAAGGACAAATTCGTGACCCAAAACAATCCATGCTATACTCAAAAATCGAATGCCATGAATCGCTGGGAGACTTCCTTCATTTTGTTTTATACTCAATATAGACGCTGCGTTTCTTTGTAATGAAAAACTACTTATAATTCTTTTAGCGAGATGACGTTGTTGATTAGAGTCACGAATACTAAAAATATAATCACAGACACTGCATGCAATCAAGAAATTAACAAAAAGGACAAGTAAAGAGCTGCAAAAATATCAAAAATTTCAATGAGCAAATAAGATTAAAGTTTTATAAATATAGTTTAGAAAATTTTCACTCACAGACAAACGATAAATTCTGTATCCCAAATTGTGTTATCGATTATGGAACAGCTTGTTGTAGCTAAGGAAATCATCGAATGATTTGACGGGCTAATTGTCTGAAGAGTATTATTAAAGAGGTAAGCAATATCATCCGCATTACATTGGGATGGTACGCAAATTGATAAAGAAGGATTTATCGGGAGTGTAAAGTTTCCCAAAGTTATTCCAAAGGAATACATACAATGTCGGCCCCGAATCTCAAATTCAGATGAGTTATCGTAGACAGATATACACTCGTCAAACATACCCAAATCGACAAAATTACCTTGCAATATACCTGACGGCAATTTCGATGAAGCGTCGATCACTGGAATTGATAAAAAAAATTATAATTTTAAATTTTGTTTCATTGTGTATTTGTGCATTTGCAGTGAATGTGAATGAACCTTTTTTGTCAATCGTAACTGTCTTCATCGACCATTATTGAATTTTCGTATTATCAATGATTTATAAATTTCATCCTTCAACAAAGATGATTCTGATTTTTTTATTTAAACCATTAAATTGAATAAATTTAAATAATCTACGTTAATCCTCGATGGAAAAAATACTCCCGCAGAGCAGGATATCGATCGGCTTTCAAACGATTGATTGCATAGTTATTTTTATGAAAAAAAGTACATGATAGTGCATAATTTCGAAAATTCTTTGCTGCAATCAAATTTTTTACAAATAATTAATCCACTCATAAAAAATATAACACTTAGAATGCAAAAATTAATTATTTACATAATTAATTTCAAATGCACAGAATTTAAAAAGTTTTAATGAATGGAATTCAGTGAAAATATTTACCCATTAACTGTATAAGATGAAATGAATAGAAGAAAATTCAAAATAAGTAAAATAAAAATGATAAATTTACAACAAAAATGCAAAGCTCAAAAGAGGTCCCTTTTGAAAACATTACTTACTTTGCAAAGCCCACATTTTCCCTTCCACGAGAGATTCGTCCATAATAATTAATTCTTCTAAACATAGTGTTCTATTAGATTTTATTTCGTCCCTTGTCAAAGCGGCGTTAAAATTGTGATTACGTACTAATTCTCTAGGACTTAACAATTTCAGCGCATTCACGACATCTTGATTGAAAAAAGTTTCTTCGTAGTGATTACTATTTATTGCTACAGTTGGATAAGTGACAAAGGTAAAGAAACTTGTCATGAAAAGCAAAACTTTGAGTCGACGGCACATCGTGATTAAAAGTAACTACTCTTTCATGAAAAATTTTTCTCAAAGTGACGTCTTCAAAACAAGCAGTAAGTATATATGAGCTTAAAGTTTATCAGCTCCCTTGATAAAAGAGAAAATCAATTAATCTATATTTTTCTCAAGTCCGTATCTGAAAATGATTTCGTTTATAAATGTAATTTGCAACTATTCCAATGACTACAATGTTTTATTACAAATTATTTTTAGAATTATTCGTAAAAAACTTATTCCTTTTATCTTATCTCAACTCGTCTAAAAACCCGAAAAAAGTTTATATGGACTTTAAAATCACTTTATTCGCAAACGAACTTAAACACAACTGAACATAGATTATTCAAACAGCTGGCATGAAACTATCAGTAATGCGCCGCATACAAGCGCATATCTTTGTTTTGATCGTGTATGACGCTGCATCAACAATTATTTATGAGATGAATGTACAGTGTTGTGTAACATTTTCCTGTAATTTACTTGTATTCGTCAATTTAGCATTAAAATATCAATAGATGTTTTGGATTACTTATTATGATCATCTTCAGCGATAATTCATTTCATTAATCGTAAAAAACGGAGTATCACGTCGGCTCATTTTTCCACAACCGCGATTGGTTACAAGTGATTCGATCGATATTACACCGTAATCCAAGTTGAACCTTGTAATCATTTCATTCAGACTTTTTTATGATTCAAAAGAAATTTTAATTATGAATAATGCATAAAGTGCTTTCAACATTTATACACCGTCTTTTGAATAGAATAATTTGTACAAAATGAGAGCAGATGAAGGTATAATCAAAATCTTCGATATGTTGGCGCTTGGTAAGTTGTCGGTAACCGATAACAGATCAAAGCATGGTAATGAAAATTTCTGCGCAGCCAATGGCTGGTAATAGTACAATGTTTGTTATATTCGATTTGGATGGTCATTTTTCATTATTTGTTTTCTTGGATAACAAATTTTTAAGTTCATTGTGTTATTAATTTGTATGATTTTATTTATGGTACTGGTAACGAAAATAAGTAAAAGAAAATTTTATTTTTCTTATACTTGAAAAAAAAATTCTATTCAAACTATGATGATATCAGTATTATTTAGATTTTTTTAAATTAATTAAGTAATTATTCTCTAACATCTATGTTACAATTTTATTGCAAAGTTATCTTTCAAACATCAAAAGTAACAATATACCTCAAAATTGTCTCGTCGGTCAATCGGTTTTAAATATTCATAAGTCAAAAACTCAATTCTAAGCGAGTTTTTTTTTGCACACCTGTCGTCTTGTAAAAAAGCGTTTGAATTTTTACGACCCGAACGAGCATATTTTGTGTCACTACATTGTACTATCATTAAATGCAGAAATTTATTTGGTGATGTCACTGTGGTGCTCATTCGTCCTTACGTTCGCGGCTTCGCGCCGCTTTGAGATTGATGATCATAACTTCTAGGGCTAGTATTGGCACCTCGAATGTAATGCTCACGCCCCAAGCCATCACTACTGATAAAAATAAGTCGCAGATGCAAGACTGCCACTACGACAAAAGATACGAATGCGGTTGAGCTGAGATAATAAATTGTAGTTTGCTTTGCATTACACTTACTGTTACGTAATCGTGAAAAAACGTCGGCGTTCGAGTTGTACTTGCTCTTGCCAGTGGAAATGCTACGTGCACTAAATATATACAGTATGATAATCGACTAAGAGGTTGAAAAAACTTCCAGGACAAAATATTCGTGATGGGTCCTAAAAAACAAAACAAAAATCATATTGAAGAAATAATTTCATCCATAGAGAGCTCAACTGAGAAATATTTGTTCTTGTCTAGCGGTAAGTTCATAAGCCTAGAAATGACGGTGATTATGTTTACATAATGAAAAACGACATTCACTCGGAAGGATCATTTTTCTTTTCTTTGCTTATATATAATAACATTAGTGTGCGTTGGATATTGATGATATATTTATGTGTGTGCGAGCGAACCTGCGCAATCATGGGCACTTGCATAAACGAGCCAGCAGACAGCGAAGGCCCAGGCAGGCCTGGCTAAACTGGCAAATATCACTTCCCGTACGATATCGTAAACGTAATTCGTGTCGGTGAAATATCTGCTGCTGTAGAGACAGAAGATTAGCGCCGATATTGTTGCGAGCCACCCGCACCACATCACTGCCTGCGCACACAAACGAAATCGACGCTTGTAATTGATAATCGTTCGCGATTGTTGTAACGCAGCTATATTCTGTATCACGCCGTTAAGACTCACATACCTTGGAAGGCCTTTTGGTTTTCGTTACGACGGCGTAGCCGAATATAATGCCAATGCACCATGGCGATGCTCGGGTGTGAGTCGTTATGTAAACATCTCTAAATTCCCTCATGATTAATTCCATGCTAGAAAGGTATAAATAAATCACATGAGCTAGTTATCGATTAGAATCGCCTCGAATTTCCAATTGGCTTTTCCAAAGTCCAAAACTAGTTTAACATATAATATATATTCTACACTTCATTTTCTTATGTAAATCGACGCACGCGTAATAAATTTGCTATAATTTTTTTTTCATTACAAACTTAAATTATGATTAATTATGTAAGCTCAACTATATACGTACTTGGGCTCGTGAGTAGCATAAATGGCTGGATACTGGTTCATTGCAACGATTACACCAGAGGCGACAATCGACGCCACGCACAGAGCCAAGGCAATTGTTATGCCTAATTTGGGCCTTCGATACAGAGGGTAGAGAATTAATGGGGATATCCAGTATAATTGCATGTCTACGGCCAACGACCAGAGATGTAAGACGCACTAGGCAAATTCGTAAAATATTTCAATCCTTGTAATTTGACATCGTATAAGTGCATGATCAACTAATCGTTAAGCTTACTAAATTTTCTGTGTCGATATAATTTTGAAGGTACAACAGGATCGACCACCATTTTTCCTTAATGCCCATTACGAAAATACTGAGGAACCAATCCCAACGAGGACCAGATCCAATGGACGGATACACGTACATCATTATAGCGAGTACGACTGCAACTGGCGCGGTCAATCTGCGGCGAGGAGTTGATTAAACTTTGATTTACATTATATTTATATTTTATTAATGACCAACCTGATGTATCGGTGTATGTAGTACTGATAAATTGAAAAATTAGCTTTTCTGTTCATTTTCTTGAAAAACGTATAGGTCATCAGAAAGCCACTCATTGCTAAGAATGTATCAACTGAAAAAATACCTATCAGTGGTATCAACGATTTCCATGAAGCGTAAAACTATAAATAAATTTTTAATTTTATTTCATTTTAGAGCTGTAATTTTAATTATTTTGAAAAATTACCTGTAGTAAATCTAACATGTTAATGTTGACTTGAAACAAATCAAAAATGTACTCGTGAGAAAGTACGATCCAAGCTGTACTAATCACTCGTATTCCATTTATAATAGATAGATGACTTTCATCTGCCTTTGTATTGAAAATGATTCTATTACTTTTTGCAAAAGAAAGATTGCACATGCTTTGAAATGATTTGGAGTTAATTGTTTCTGGGCTGAATAATATTTTTCGGTACATGTGGCAAACTGTACAAACTCCAAGAAAAAATACATACAAAGCTATTAAAAACCTAAAAGAAATTATAATCTTATTTCATTTCATCGTCAATAATGATTTTTTTTTCAACTCACAAAATTATGAAACGTGCACTGTCGTCTGATTTTTCCGAATCGAGTGGAGAGCAAAAAACCCATTCTAATTCGACGATCTTTAGCAATTCAATTTGATCGGCTGTTGCATTCACGAGCTCAGCAACATCTTCAGAATTACAACTCGCAGGTAAGCAAATCGATATTATTGGATTGTAGGGAAATGGCTTTTTGAGTGTCGTAGGGTTGACCGAATACATGCAATGTCGACCTCTGATTTCGGTGCCCGACAAATTTTCATGAATAGAAACACACTGGTCGTAACTGCCAATATTTATCAAAAACCCATTCAAAAATCCAGATTGAGGTTTCGATGACGAATCCATCACTGTAAATGATGAGCATTTATTCAACTGAATTGTTTTTATCTCGTAAATGCCATATTATGCAGAAATAATGAATAGTCTACTTTTTAAAGCCCATTCTTTGCGTTTTGTCAAGTCCCGTTTCAAAAAGTCCAAATCTCGGCTACAAGAGTTATTCAACGTATCAGAACCATCGCACTTTCGATTAGCTAATAAATTACTTGGTGAAAGTAGATGTATTCTCTCCTCGACGTGATCGCTTAAAAGTATTTGCTGATAATTTCTGCGGTCAGATGTTAAATAACCGATCACCGAACTGGTCACGCACAATAACAGCAGCCATGCTGTTAGGAGCACACGAGACATTTTTTAGACAAAAGATCGTTTTGCCGTAGTGACTCGTCTTAAGTAGCTGCAGATCTCAGCTGCGCGTGAATAATAAGTAGTTTATAATTCAGGGGTCAGTGCAAAATGCAAAAATTCATGCAAACAAGTAATTTTCTTATATTTACACAAATATAGATATGTATAAATATTTATATATTTATTCTCATACATTATTACAATGGTTACAAACATTAAGAATGTAAAATTTATACAACTATTTAATGTAATACAAAATCCCTTTGGCAATTTGCTAGTATTTTGTACACGTATAAATTCAATTATATAAAAATACCAAACAATTTATTTTTAAACCCTATTATTAACTATGTTAAACTAAAAGGTTTTTATGTCGAAATCTTATGATATAATTATTTATAAAATTCAATCACACTCTGAGGTAACCATTGTACGCATTTCCATCGAGCTCAATTGACTATCTAAAAGAATCATTCAACTTTATTAATAAAAGATATTGTTCCAGAGAAGGTCTCGAACAAAATTTCTTCCATTCCTAACATTTCGAATTAATCTTCATTTACACGGCTCTTTAATAGAATCATTATAAGAGAGCAGTTATTTATGATATCACAATGATTTTTTCTTACGAATCTATCAACAGTAATTAAAACTAATTCAGCTCTATGAACGAAAAAGCAATAACTTTGCGAAAATTTAAATGGTTATTATATACTACGATTTTTCACTTTTTTTCTCACTACTAGCTGCCTCTTCAGCTTTCTTTTCTTCGATACTACGATGCGATTTAGTTTTTGTGCCAAAAATCATATCTTCTAAAACTAATATTGGCACTTCGAATGTCAAACTGAAGAAGAAAGCAACGAAGATCACTACCGCCATGTCTCCCAGATAATTGTGAAACTGAAATGACAAACGTATATTATGCAATGAGGTATATCTCAACTGAAGACAGTATGTGTGTATGAGTATCAAAAAGTTACTTACAATTACTAAATCATTGAAGTTCACATTGGTCCTCGTCAATCCAAGTCGAAGAAACGGTACCAAAACGTGAATAATGTATATGCTATACGATAATCTACTTAGCGGAAGGAAATATCTACACGATAGGAACTTGCAAACGATACCTGTGAATAAAAAAAAATGTCAATCGATATTATCGAATGAAACATCAACGATCAACGTGACAAGGCTTTTTATGTTAAACTCACCCGCTGCATTGTGAATGGAAGCGTAAATTATCCAGCATATCGCGAAGCCCCAAAGTGGCCTGGCCATCGCCGCGAAAGTCATCTCCCAAACGACGTCGTAATTGTAGTTGGCGTCGGTGAGCGTGCGAGTACCAACAATAACGTATCCGAAGGAAAAAATGGCCATTAACCAGCCAGTGATGAAAGTCAGCTGCGCATTCAGATTAAAAAGAGAAAAAAAAATGAACGATCGAGTAAAAAATCAACAGCTCACCGCATCTGATTAGAATAATGAGCTTAGTCGAGATATTTTTGAAGGATATACTTGCCTTGCCAGGCTTCCAATTATTTGTGGCCACCTCGTAGCCTAGTAAAATGCCGAGCAGCCATGGAGTTGCCCGTGTATAGGTAGGTATGTACAGATCCTTGAAAGATTCCATAATGAAGGCAATACTGTAATGAAAAAAATATTTCGCTTATACTATTTGCAAATTCACGAGTTTTTGACTATTCAAAGTGTTATAAAATTCACGCGACTTACTTGGGTTCGTGCGACACGTGTATAATGGAGTAGTTATTTAATCCGATTACAGCCGCAACCAGTCCAGTGCTTATGGAGAATAAGGCGGCGATTATTAAAAGTCCTAATTTAGGCATTTTGTACAGCGGGTAGAGAATTAACGGAGAGATCCAGAATAATTGCATATCGACGCAGTTGGACCACAAGTGAAGTAGGCACTGCTCGCCAAAAAAAGTGTATCGATTAAAATTCTTAAAATTTTTGTAAAACGATTGTAAGAGTAAAGCCCGAGTACTCACAAAGTTATTGGGATCGACGAAATTTTGAACGTAGAACACGATGGCCCACCACTTTTCTCGGCAGTGGCTCATGAAAATGGTCTGCAGCCAGTCCATCATTGCACCCGAATGGATTCTCGGAAATATCACCACTCCCGCCACCAGAGCTACCAGTACCGGCGGCGTCAACCTTTTCGTTTATGGGAAAAAATATTTTTCACTGGACATTACGATACACGTTGCAGAAAAAATTTAGGGAATTCGGCCTCGGTGCGGGCGCGTTACCTTATAAATCGATGTAGATAGTACATTGGCACGTTGAAGGCTTGATTTTTTTGCAATTTTTTCATGACTGAATAGGTCATGAGAAAACCGCTGAGAGTAAAAAACGTATCTACATTGTAAATACCGACGAAACAAACGAGAGACTTCCAAGACGGGAACCACTGGCGATAAAAAGCAAACATTTATAGGCTTGGTTTTCCATCTATAGATTTTTTTGTAAAACTATCTGTATCGTGCAGCTTAGTACGTACGTCTGACAAATCGGTGAGATTATTGATCGGAGCGAGCAGTACGAAAAGGTACTCGTGCACGAGAACGACCCAAGCTGAACTAATGAAACGCAGGCCATGAATGAAAGCGAAATCGTTTGATTTTTGTTCCGTGCTCAGAAGGGCTTTGCCGTTGGTTACGTAAGAAAATTTCGAGAGAGTCTGCAGCAGTCCAGGCTGTTGTTCCTCGGGCGCTTGACTATCGTACAAGCAACCGCATAAAGTGCACAGCAACAAAAAGCCGACGTATACAGCTCCGAGGACTCTGAAAGTTGATGGCAGAAATGAAGGCAAAAAAGTAAGTCTCATTCGACGATGCATTATGTCGAGTCGCGGACTCACAGGACAGCGATGAGCTCCGTGTCGGATTTCTTGACGGTACTCGTTCCGCTGCAGCTGGCGCTGTTGATCATGACGCCGAGATTTCGGAGATCGTCGCTGGCGCTGATGGTGCCGTTGAGGATAGCCACGACGTCGTCGGCTCCGCAGGTCGCCGGCACGCAGATGGACATCCGCGGCTCGAGGGGGAATCTCACGTCGCCCATCTGGACCGGCTCGACGAAGTACATGCAGTGGCGACCCTGGATCCTCAGGCCGTTAACGTCGACGCCGCTGTCGACCTCGACGCACTCGTCGTACATGCCGATGTCCATAACGTTGCCCTTCAGTAGGCCCGACATGTCTTTCGACGATGCGTCCAGCACTGCATGGTTGACCAAAAAAAAAGGCGAAGGAAAAAAACATCATTGATCATGAATTTATAGCAGCGACATTGTAAGACAAAATGTGTCACGCGTCACGAGATTTCGCTCGTAAGTTTTAAATCAATTTGACGCTCAATTTCATTCGAGCACGATCACGTGAAAATTGGCGGTCATTTAAATGCGCACAAAAGTTTATGAATATTCAAAATAATTATCGGGCGAGAGAAGTTGCTGAATCAAGTCTTATATGAGAGAGGCAGGCAGCGTGGCTAATAAAGGCTAGCCGACTCGTAACGATCCCGACTCGATTCACAAATCGCGCGCGAGTATAAAAAAAGTCATATTCCTCGGAACAGTTTTTTTTTTCATTGTGCATATAATTTTCTTGGGTGAGATGGCTTTTGATAAAAATACGCGGTCTCGTCGCAAAGTAAGTGCAAAAGCCAAATTACAAGCGAGCATCTGCCTGGGCCGTGATTACGCATCGTGGTATGCATTATGATTTTACGAACGATCTGCGATGCAGACATCTACTTCGTCGTACGACGCGAAGGATGCGCGAAGTATTCAGCGAAACGACTCGAGGCATAGAAAATGTATAACGACGGTAATGAATTATGCCGAGGCTCGAGCAGTTTTTAAGCCTCTCGTGTATACAGTCGGATATCTTCGAAAAATAGGACACATCGCGAGGAATAATAATCAAGTATGGAGCTTGACCGCGATTTCCTCGAGGAATCTTCTAAATTCCTTTTCACTAGATATTCTACCGAAATTAAGTACACACACACATTCGTAGCTGAAAAATTACAATGGGAGCTCGTATACAGTATAGACGTGCTCGTGTGCATTTCCGAGCGGCGGGGCGTTAAAAATCATGTTATTGTTCGTCGACGTATGGCGCGCGTATAATCTCGCGGAAGATTAATAGCCGCCACGCGCGAGAAGGAAAGGCATTTCTCCTCGCGACGCTTAATTGTTGCTACCTTATTGGTTGCAGCTCCATACGTATACATAAGTATATATAACGCGGCTATATATTTCGCTAGGCGATCGATCTAGCAAAACGAAAGCGCACATCCGGAAACTCGCCACGCGACGACGACGACGGGTGGAATCTTTTGCACTTTGCGCGTTTGCTATGAGCAGCCTGTGTATATTATGTGAGTCAGTGAGCGCGGCGCGCAAAACCAAGAGACGATTCAAAAAAGAGCCGAACGATACGCGGCCGATATCTCGGCCGTGATTTTCCGATAAATCAAAGAATCGACCTGCGACTCCGGGTTTTACCGTTTATCTCTCTTTCTCTCTATTTTTTATTCGGTTTACGCGCAAAATTTCTCCCGAAACCGAAAGTGCCCAATAATTGAATACCCGTTTTGGTGATGTAAATAAGTGCCGTCCTTATTCGACCAAATCATCATCGTCGCGCGTCCCGTTAACTCTACTATCGCGCAGTGTGTCACACAAGTAGGTACACAAAACGGTCTATAAAACATGTAGAGTTGTTTTCGCATATTTACATAAGCGTCTGTACGAGGCTCTCGAATTTTCAGACCACAAAGAAAGGAGCGATAAGGAGTTAAAAAAAAAAGACTCACTTCTGATGGCCCATGATTCTCTGCGCGCGAGGGCCTTTTCGTAGTGGCGAAAATCCCTGAGGCAGGTCTGGTTGATGTACTGCGTGGTCAGGTCCGACTGCTCGACGCCCCGCTGGATGAGCGAGACCGGCTGGACCAGCAGCAGCTTCTCGTCGATGCCGATGTTCTCGAGCACGGCGACGAAGTCACGCCTGGCCGCGTCGACGCTCGATATCGCCCACACGGACACGAGCGCGGCGACGACGACGACCACGGAAAATTGCCTCGTAATAATGACCGACATGATGATGTTCCTATGCGCAGGCCACTACATTTCCCGGAGCGACCCGGCGCTCGCACGACTTTTCTCTCCGCGGTGGATCGAGTCGATGGCAAATTTTCTCTATGCGCCGTTTAGTATAGGTAGCTAACGCGGCACTGCGGCTTCGATCAACCGGTTTCCTCTTCTTTTCTTTCTCCTCGACTCGTCGGCTTCCGCACCGCTGCCTGGCACGCGATACTTTGTTCGCGTCCTGACTTTTGACCGATTTACTCGGCAAACGGCGAGAATGGGTTGAAATGGTTGATGCGCACTGTTTGCTGACACTACGAGTGTCCGACTATGTTGAGCAGAAGCACCAGTTATTGCGATTGTCCGGAGCAAACGAGTCACGAATTTGTACACACCTCTCGACTATAGCAGTAAGTAGTAAATGCGATATCGGAGGTTTTGGTAGCGGACTATATTATACCTCTACCCACTCCATGCAACCGCACGCTCACTTTACTCCCGCGAGTTTTTAGATCCCCGACGCGAATCGCGCTTGGCCAGGTTTTTTTTTTCATTAAACACTCGCATTAGTTATTCGACTGCATGAGTTTGTAGGATATACCCAGTCTAGCTGGCTCTTAACGGAGAAAGGTGGAGGAAGCGTGTGTATTTGCGCTAATGGTCTCTCTCTCTCCCTCTCGCGGCGCTGCACACAGCACATGTAATCACGGCAAATACGCTTATTAGCTTTTTATCACCCTCCTCGAGGTTGTGTCTGGTATTAGTTACTTAATACTCGAGCGAAGATCACAAACGACACGATGATTTTACAGTTGAATCTCACGTTCTCGCGCACTCAACTTGATCGATAATAAATAGGTCATCGATGTTGTTTGTCGTCCTGTCGATCATCGACAAGGCGACTTTAAGCTGTATTCAACTCGCATCGATGATACGAAAATGCACAATAGACGGAGATAAGCTGGAGAATAAACAAAACACACGCACTGAAGTTGTTCTCTTCGATTTTCTTTTATTTTGCCTTTATTCCGAACTTTCAAAAATTCATTTCACAAAGTTACAAGTAAAAAAAAACATCAGCACTTACAGCTAAAGGTGTAACAAAAAAAAACCTTAAAATTATCCAATTCCTGTGATTATACATATGACGTACGTATATATCAACGAGTCATTAGCCCGTTGATCGATCGTCGACGGCCTTTCGACACGTGCTTTTGTGAATCTTATACACTTATATATAGTTGCGTAACGCGCACATACACACACATACACGCACACAGACATACAAACTCGAGAAAATAAATAACAACAACAAGCTGACGATAGAGATGATACGTACGATAATGTGGTCGTGTCGCGCACTCTCTTCTCTATCTCTCTCTCTCTCTCTTTCGCACAATACAATCAAAATACAACTATCCGGACTCGCGCGAGTCATTGGCACTTGGGTGTATAATTTATGCGTGCGTACGCGTGTACATTTATATACATTACAAGTAATACTGTGTACGTCTACGTCGATCATTACCATACTAAAAATCATATACATATATGATAAACGTATATAATACGAACTCATCAACTCCGTATTTACAAAACGAAACTCGCGCGCCGGGCGCTGCTGCTGCACGATCGATCGGACCCCTGCCCCATCATCACAAAGCGCACTTCATAATCATGCAACTTAATCTACCTTTGGACGAATTCAAATGTACATTGCTCTGTCTTGGATATCGATTAGTCGAACGAACATCGATTCTCGATTCATCGTCTCTGCTCAAATACGCGACAGGATGCAAAATGTTTCATATCACTGGCTTTTGCGCGTCTCTGTGGCGGCGACGGCCTTTTTACTGCCGAATATAATATCCTCGAATATCAGCATGGGCACTTCGAAGGTGAGACTGAAGAAGAACGCCGCGACGATGGACAGTCCTAGATTGCTGATGTACGAGTGGATCTGCAATGCAACGAATTCGGTCAATGTAGGTTTGGAATTCGACTAGAATGATATCGATCGCGTATTGTGGCAAGCAAACTCTTACGATTGAATACTCGTTGAAAAATCTCGGTGCACGCAACGCAGCTATTTGGATCATTGGAAATATTATGTGAACCAGATAAATGCTGTACGATATTCGGCTGAGAGGCAGGAAAATTTTCCAAGACAAAAATTTCGCCAATAAACCTGAAAAGAAAGAAAAAACCCATAAATTTTTATTTATTTATAAAAAAAGTAGGTTGATTCGACCTGACGCAACAGCGAGCCTTTCAAAGTTATAATTAAGACATCGCATTTTAGCTCGGGCTGTTTTATGCCAAACAATTAACATTCCATTAAGTGAAACGCCGCTCGCCTATTGTCTCGATATTCGTGAAATGAAAAAATTCCAAAAAAGTAAGAGGAAAATCGCACGTGTGCCTTTCGTCGTAGCATTTTTATTGGCATAGTTTTCCTCGAGGCACCTCCGCGTAACGGATAATTCTATCATCTCATGATACAAGCTCCAGGCACACGAATGAAAAAAGTCGCGTGTTAGTCAATTCGTGAGTTTGTCAAAGTCAATTGGCACGTGACGTATACTTTTCATATGCTCAAGTTTCTTTTAATATGTCGTTTTTTTTTCTAGTGCAGCAGCAACTCACCGGCTGATTTATGTATGCTGGCGTAAATGATCCAACAGATGCCGAATGCCCAAGCAGGTCTGGCGGCGGCGGCGAACACGATTTCCCAAATTGGACTGTATTGGTAGCTGGCGTATGTAAAAGATGCCGTCCCGAGTATGCAAAAAATGAACGCTGCTATACTAAGTATCCAGCCGCAGCATATGATTATCTGTAGAGTGAGACAACTTTGTTTATCACAGCTCTCTGATCGAGTAAAAACTCGTTTGAATAATACATTAAACGTGGCATTAGCCACGCGGAGATCGCGAGAATCACTCATTCAAATGGTTCCAAATTATGTACAGCCGGAGAAACCGCAAAAAGTTGATACTCCGAAAGTAAAAAAAAAAGTCAAAAAAACCGCTGCCAATGCATTGGCAAAGAGTTTCCTCATGAAAACATTATCACTCCTGCTTTTATTTGTAAATGCTAATCAAAAACTAATTCAATCTTGTTTATAAATATAATGTCAAAATCTACAAGACACAACAATTGGCAAAATCTATTTTGGACCCATGATAGAGCTTTTTCTAAGAGGAAGCAATGCGGTTTTGTACGTTCCTCCCACTCAGATATTTTTAAGCAAAAACACTTATGATTTTTTTTGCACACTTGATTGAAGACAGAAATTTAAAATCTAATTAGAATTCTAATCAATCAAATATCCGCTTACAAGTATTTTACTCATTAATTTATGATTAAATATATACTTTGTCGTTTTTTTTTTGTCTTTACATAATCGACTCGACTGAACGTCAACTTTTATTCTCTTGACAATGAGCCTCTATTAAAAGTTAAACTGTTTTATTACCTTGTTCGGTTTGATTTTTTTGTACGTGACTTCGTAGCCAAATAATACACCCATTAACCAAGGCGATGCGCGCGTGTACGACATTTCATAGACATCTCTGAAAGAGCCCAATACTTGCGGCATGCTAAAACAAAGACATTTTTATCTACGATTAATTAGAATTGGAGCGTGAAATTTTTGCCTTAATTACAATTGAATTATTCTTTGTCAAGGCGTATATTGCGAATCAGTTTTTGAAACCTACTTGAGCTCTCTCGTTAGGTATATCGCTGAGTATTTGTTTATTCCAACCAAAGCTGCGGATGTCGCTATCGAAGTTACGAATAATGTGAGAGCGATTGCCATACCAACTTTTGGTGATCTGTACAATGGCAAAAGGATGACCGGTGAAACCCACAAAAGCTGCATATCCACCGACAACGACCACAAGTGCAAGAGACACTGAAAAAAAGGCAATCATAACGAAATGGTCGATCTTTTTCATCGATCGGGAAATTTTCCATTCCACTTACGTAGTTATCCTTTTCGACGAAATTCTGCACGTACAATAAAATAGACCACCACTTGGAGCGGCAACCCGATACGAATATGTCTTGCAGCCACTCGAGTCGTGCTCCGGTTGTTATTCTTGGCAGCAAAATTATCGTTATTGCCACAAGTGCAGCCACGGGCAGTGTCAATCTGGGAAATATTTACAGAAGCGTGAATGTAATTATTTCCTATATCCAAAAATAGATCCACGAGAGAAAGAGAGATGTCCATTTTTTACATTTTTTCTTTCATCTGATGCATGAAAAAAAAATAATATTTACCTTATGAAACGATGTAGATAGTACAAAAATACATTGAAAGTTTTTTTCTTTTCGATTTGCTTGAAAAATGTGTAGGTCATCAAGAAACCGCTCAGTGCCAAGAAAGTGTCAACCGCAAATACGCCGACGAGCGGGTATAATGATCTCCTCGACGAAAACCACTAGTGATTTGAGTTTTTTGATTAATTTTTTGTGCGTATATACATTGTATTCATGGTAAAAAGAAAAGCAACCATCTATTATTTCGCAAAAATATTACAAAGATATTAGTAATATTCTGACGTTTGTCAATTACGAAAAAAAGCAAGAGATAATTGTAATTATCCCAGATCTTTTTGAACGTTAATTTTTATGGCCCACCGACTAAAGGCTCTTCCATGCGACGATTGAATCTAATTTGAAGAAGAATAAAAAAACTAATGTACCGCTTTTTGGTATCATTCAAACGCGTGTCCAGATTGCGAAAAGAAATATTGCTAAAACGTCACGGAGAAATGCAATCGAAATAGGTACCGGCCACAGGTGTGAAGTAATCCGGCTATAAAAGCAAAGCTCGCCATTATATCATAATAACGAAACGATTATAATAAAATACGATTATAATTAACGATTATTGTTTTGATAATTATCATCGTAGACCGTCACGGCTTGTGTGCAATTTCAAAAATGTCAGCTACGCGTGTCGTCGCATCGTCGTCTCGACTTAATTTTGTCCCAAATCATCGTTACAGATTTCTCGTCGCGCTTCACCTTGGGAATGTCCAGAACGTTGACGTTGACGCCGAAGAGCTGGACGAAGTACTCGTGAAAGAGGACGATCCAGGCGGTGCTGATGACGCGTATCCCATTGATGACCGGCAGATTGCCCTCGTGCACTTTCGTGCTGAGCACGGCCTCGGCGTTCCGTACGAAGGAAAATCGCACGAGTGTTTTCGTCAAACCGGTCGTCGACGTCTCCGGCGCGGCCGCGTCGGATTTAGAAGCGATGGCTTTGCAATCGGCTCGCTCGGCCGCCTCTTGTCGCTCGCGCAGATCCAGCAGCGTACACATTACCAAGAACCCGATGTAGATCACCATGACAATGCTGCGTGCAGATCAATTGTATCGTGTAAAAAAACATGCTCTTGCTCAAAATACGCTCGTTGCGAAAGCGAAAATTATTGTAATCAAGCCGGTCGCACATATATAATTAAGCAATAAAAGCGTCGCTTAAGTAATTTATATGTTTTCGGGTGCGATATTTCGCGCGTCGAACATTTTTCTCATTATCTCGAAAGTGCAGAAATTTATCGATGTTAAATTACGCGTATTATGAAATATTTCGGGGTTTTTAGCGCGAAAATTAAAGAGATGAAACGAGCATAGATGCAATTAAGGAAAAATGTGTCCGCTGCGTGTATAATTAAAAAAGAGTCCCAGTGACACGAGAGCTCTTGGCAATCGATCCCTCGCCGCTGCGGCACCGGTCTATGCTGGGCATTATGTTGGCGCGCGCGGGTAATTACACGCGTGACAGGCGTACGCCGTATGCAATCATCATCGAGAGACGCGCGGCTAAACTAAGATCTGGCCGCCCCTTATATGCAACGATTACATTATACCTTTTATACCGCAGCAATTCTTTGTTCGCGGAAAGACGACATCGCATGCTATGTACTCACACTAGACAGTAGAGCTCCGAATCGGAGGACTTGGACTCGACGGTGGTGCAGGTGGCGGAGGCCACGGAGATGCCGAGACTTTGGAGGCGACGCTCCGAGGCGATGGTGTCGTTGAGCAGCCGATAGACGTCTTGGGCCGAGCAACTGGCCGGCAGACAGAGCGACAGGGTCGGATTGAGCGGGAAGTGGTGCTCGTCGTGGCCGACCATCGTCGGGTTGAGCTCGTACATGCAGTGGCGGCCTGCGACCTCGAGGCACTCGTCGTACATGCCCATGTCGATCACGTGGCCCTGCAGCAGGCCCGAGGGCACCTTCGACGAGGCGTCCAGCACTGCGTTCAAAAATGACAGATAGGGTCAAATTTTACAGATATAAACATACTCGAGATGTATAACGAACGATTGTTCATAGCTGCGTGGCCTTTTAAATTCGGCCGAGATACGCGCGAAAATATTTCATCGCAGAACGCGGCTCGCTGCGAATTCTTGGCATACCGAAATTCCAAGCCATTAGATTGATTTGTTTTTTGAGATTAGCTTACAAAGACATTTTTCGGAGGCAACGATGAGTTTTCGTTTTTTGTCAGAGCTGCATGTCAAGGTTCCGTGTACATATTGGTACTCAACATACGTATTGAATAAATACGAGGGGTTCAAGTTGTAACGTCAGTTTGCAACTTGCTGGGACATTTGCATGAGACGTACGTCAGTAGTCGTATAAGTAAAGCAGTCAAGTTTTGTCACCCGACGCCGCACGTGTGCAACGAGCTTCTTTGCGACATTTTTTGTATCTAAATTGGCCCGATCGCTTCGCTCGATCAGTATATAGATAGGATACGATGCACTTGGGAGCGCGCGCAATGCAAAGCGAATCTCGCTCTATAAAAACACGTTGTAACACTTTCACGCTCGCCTCGCTGCCTCGCTCGCAATCTGTACGCACGCATGTAGGCAGGCTCGGATTACACAACACACATAACAAATCGATCGATATATATACACGCGATTATGTGAGTGATTCAAGCGAGTATATGTGTGTGTGTATTAGACTCACTCGCACATACACACGTAATAGTAACGTCACTTTCACTGTCGGTCATTGATAATAGTAGCAAATGTAGTAAGCTCTTACGCTGCACACATTATAACGCGAGAGGCAATTCGCGCGTTACATTATGAATCGGCTGCTATACAAGCTGCACGCGGTCACTCACTTTTTAGCGCCCATGGCTCGCGATTGCCGAGCGCCCTGATGAACAGCGACAGGTCACTGGCGCAGCTGGAGTTGATCGGTCTGGCCAGGTGGTCGTCGTCGCGCCCCTCCAGCAGCCATTGCGTCTTGAAGATGTTGGCCGGTCTCAGCAGGTTCAGTTTGTCCTCGATCTGCTCGTTCAGCAGGAACTCCTGGTAATCGGCCCGCGACCCCGGCGCCAGGATCAGAATCGTTAAGATCGCGGCGGCAGCAGCAGACAGCAGCATCGGCGGCTGACACGGAGCCGCTCGCGGCGACCACATGACTTTTCTTCTTCCTCCGTGTATCTTCTTCGCTCTTATCTCTTGTCCTGTGCGCGCACGGATCCTCCGCAGTTGCACTCGTTGCTCGACACGACATGCACACACACACGTACGCGTGCTATATATTTTTGCGCATGTGTATATATAGCAGTAAACTGTCGCGAACTCTTATATATATGTCGGAGTCGATCGCCGCGCGATATATATTGCCTTTCTCCGGCAATAAACCAACGCCAAATGAGCCGCTCTCTCGTCAACTGCTACTACCACTACTGCTAGTGCTGCTGCTGCTGCTTCTACTGCTTCTACTGCTACAGCTGTTTCTACTGCTACTGCTTATACAAACGCGGATCGGCTATGGCGTAGATATATACTTATAAATGCGCGAAAGCGTCGCCGGCACGTAAGCCTATATAGCAGCAGCCTTTATAATACACGGCGACTAGATAATCGCGCGAATGATGATGATGATGATGATGATGATGATAGCGTGTGCGTGTAATGTTACGCGTCAACGAACTTTACCGCAAGACGTTTGTCAAAATACCCCAAGCTTGACTTTTCTCCCGATCTCGACTCAAGCGAGAGCTCGCGAGCTCTCATGTAGCATCTATATTTATATATTATATGTACATATGTGTGTCAATGTGCCGAGAGCCAGCCGGCTCGTATTATCGCGTATCTAATGCGCACACGTGCTATCCACGAAGATTGCGTGCCGAGATGATCCACGCTCGAAAATTGAATCTGCTGCTGCTGCTCACACCACTCGAAGATACAGCTATGTTTGGTTGCGTGCGCGCGCGCAGCTCGGCACGTAAGAGACACCGACTCTGAAAATCTTTTCTATTTCTTTCGTTTGCTCGGCTAGCGAAACACGATCGTCTTCGAGCCAACTGCGAATCGATAAAAAGCTCGAGCGACTAACTCGAGTGTTTGGTTCTTTGTCACATCGCTCGTTGAGCTAGTATTTGATATTTCGTGTGGGCGGGCGGTATATACGCCTCGATGAAGCTCTAATCGATCTGAAAATTTGCACACGATCGTGATTATAATGATCGTTTGACACGTCTATTGGACTCATTTATCATTGTCAGACCGATTCGCCTCCTAGACGATTCAATTCCATAGATTATTCTACTCTTAAAAATTTTTATCTGCTCCTCTTTCATTTTTTATTGCAGGTGGAAATGTTCGCTTGAAAATACGCTACGATCGTGTAAAGTAGTTTTAAAGAAAAAAAAACTTGCTTCGAACGACTCTTGGACTTAGTTAAAGCACCTAAGCATCCATTTATCGCATCGTTATAAATATTTAAACGCGCGCACTGTAAATCTTGCCTGCCGTTCGCTCGTAACACGCGCGTACGTAGCGTCGACGCACCTTATTGCAATAATTGGATCGACACAGTTTCGGAATCCTCGTGTCTACTCCTGTCCGTGGGTAGTTTTTTTTTTCTTTATTTTTTTTCTTCTTAACCTCCTCGCGCGCAGCTCACTTTCAAGTCGAGCGTCTAAATCTTTCCTACCAACCTTGAAACTTTACTTATATTATTTTCTATTAAAAAAATTCGCAACATCGGTGATACAGGCGACGTCCACGATGACGAGTGTCGCGATGGTGATTGATGTAACTCGAAGGCGTTCGAAATAATGTACACATGTTCTCTTTGTCCGTATGTTAATGAGAGATCGGCAAGTCCACAATGTTTTGGGTGGCTCACGTCGAGTACCTTTTTCGCAATCTCAATCTACTACCAAGTTTAATTACCTTCGAGACCGGCCAATAACACAATGAGAAAAAAACTTGAGCCTACCAGCCGCTCTAAAAACTTCCATTTCAAAATACATCAATAAATTTTGTGTAAAATAATGAATTTTTTGTACCCGCGCGTCTGTACAGCACGCGATCTTAGAGCAAATTAAAAAATGCCGACCCGAGGAGTTCGAAGTTGAATGCCTTATTTGCAATCCACGCAAGTATTTATAACAACACTTGTCTTACCTCAACGTGCGGCATTTTACTTTGACCTTCGCTAAAACGTATAGTTATTATCGAGTCGAAAGATTTTGCAATTGTCAGCGAGAAGAGAAAAAAGACTCGGTACGTATAGTTGAAATACATTGCCTATGAGTGCGTTCGACTTCGAGAATGCTCTCGTTCAGTGCGCAGATGAGAAATCATATTTCTGATTCGCTCGACGCATCGTTTCGATGAAAAATCATGTACACACGCGCGCCTGGACGATGATTACAAAGCAAAGCGAACGAGCTGCGTTCGTAGCGTTAAAAATACTTTTATATTGTAGCGGCGAAGCATAAATAAGCGATAATTTGCATTTTATTACGTGCTCGAGTACAATTGTGAACAATTGTTTCGAAAATATTTATTGGAGAAGTGCGGAAAACAGCCTATAAATTATTCAACTGTAACAACTCATGGGCTTTTAATGTTTGCTAAGCTCCATAGCAAAAATCCGCCTGACTATATCTCGAATGAATTACTCATGAATGGAAAAAAAATTAAAAAGTAGACAATTATTCTTTTTACTCACTTAAAATAAAACTCATTATTTTCTTCTATCAAAATCATGCGTAGTTTAAATAATTGTATCACAAAATATATCATATAAATTTAATGAATTATTCTTGCAAAAACTCGTTGATCCAGTCAACGAAATCTGAAACTCTGGTGTAAACATCGGGCATTCCTAAGGCACATCTGTATCCAAAGGAAGCAATACCAACTTGGACGTCGTCGGCGAGCAGAGGACTTCCAGAATCACCCTGTAATGAAAATGACGGTCAATTGTATAGCAATACTCGCCTAATAGTACAGCGCACGCCTGCGAGTTCATGAGCAATCGATAATTTGAGGCTCATAACATTTACCTTGCACACTCCGTGATTCACTGACGCATCGGTGCATATCATATTGTCTTCGATGCTAGTCAATTGACGCGTCAACCAAATCTGCTTGCAGTCGTCGTGATTGAGGATTTTGAACTCTTTTTCTTGGAGTCGTTCCGGGTACGAACCTCCGTACTGTAAATTATCGGGCGTTGTTTGTTTGATTATATTTCGTGAATCGATTATTATTGAAATGATAATAGATAAAATGTAAATTTTGTCGACTCACTTTGAGAGTTCCCATTCCAATGAATTTGACTGACGCATTAGCAGGAACTTCCTCGTCTTGTTTGGGCAATTTAACGGGTTGAACTTTTTCGTTAAATTCAATATTGGACCGTACGCGAATTACAGCAATATCATTGACGGAATGATCGGCGTAAATTCCAGCTTTCTGAAATTATCGAACCAAAATATATCGAAATTATAATTGGCCAAATATTTATTACGATTTTACATGATTTTTTTCAAAATGACAAACAGAAATAATTGATTGTTTCAACTTACACCATATTTTTCGTGAACAGTAGCTGATTCTACCCTTAATACAGTTGCATTCTTATCGTTTGTCAAATCGGTACCGATAGTTACCCTCAATTCGGATGGGGGGATACTAAGAAAAAATTAAGAATGCATTACTAGAACGTCGAATAAGCCAAGGCAGAAATAAAATAAACGAAAATTAGTTTACTTTGCAACACATTGGCCAGCAGTCAATAAGTAGCGCTTGTTGAGTATCGTAGCTCCGCAGAGAAAACCATTCCAGTCGGTCAAATAAGCGTGGAATGGATATTTGCCCTCAGGTGCATCACGACCATTGATTGCTTTATTGTGAATTTCAGCTAGGAAAATATTGAATTGTTAACAAAATTCAGATTCATAAATTCGTAATTTTTTACTTATCATGAAATGAAAACTTAAAATTTACCTGAGTAGACACTGCACAGTAAAACACTGAACACTACGAAAACGAGGAAAAAAGTCGAGTAGTTCGTCATTTTGTGCGCGTGTTGTAAGTATTTTCGATCGAATGCGATCATGGCAGCTACGCGGGTTATTTTTATATTTTTCTGCCATCATGATTTTCTATATAAATTTTATTTCTTTCTGTAGATAAAAAAACGTGTACAGATAACGTAGCGTGTCGGTGATAAGTTACTCGTCCGCTCAACTCCACTTTTCAATTACCCTATAACTTTCAACTTATATCTTTAGCTAAATCAGATCAGATAATTCTAGTATAATTTTCGGAAAAAAATCTTTCGCGTGAGAAACAATGTTACGATGACGATGATCGAATATCGATAATAATCCTTAATCAATTACAATTAATAAAATGTGTATGAAAATCGTTTTTTATTACAACCGATCTATACAATTATTATCAATTCATAATTTTCAAGCAGTTTTTCTTCTAAAGTCCATTATTTTGCATAAACTTAAAATAATTCTATATAATCATAAATAAATATCATATAATATCATATAATATAAATAGAAAAGTGCAAAAATTTGAATAATGAAACTACTAACAGCGTTGCATGGCAAAATTATATACATTCATTTAAATTTCATCAATTCTTTTCATACATGTTATCAACGTATGCACTACTTTGAAACATTTTGAAATACATCCAGTAATCCTTTTTTCGTATTTAATAAGTGATAAGAGAAGAAGATGTTACAAAAAATTATCTCAAATATTATGTCTTTTGGGATCAAGTAAATAAATGTTTTTAGGTTAAAAAAAGTCGCAAAAGTTATCTCTTGAAAATAATTTAATTATGCATTAAAGCTTTCAAAATAATCTGTATCACATAAAAAATCAGAAAAAAGTTTTAATTCACCATTTTGCTTTACAAAGGTTCATGCGGTAAAAATAGAACCACTTTTAATCATAATTGTAAAAACTTTAAAATTATTACTTTATAAATGAATCCCCTTAGTTAAATTCAAAATTTCTTGAATCATACATAAATAAAATAACATTGTTTGTTTTTTACTGAATTAACTCTTTAGAATCAATATTTAGCACACAATTAACTTTTAACATCGATTAATATTCTCAGCTAAAAATAATACAAGTGAATGATATTGAATAAAATTTGTATTATTTTTGGCTATTTTTTAAAAGTATCGAAACATTATTTCCAGAAATATTTATTGTTGTGGGGGATATGGCGGAGGTCCAATTGGTCGGGTATCTTGGCCTGGGATTTTTATTCCATATATTGGAACGCACTTTCTGTTGTATCCCAAGCAGGTTAAGTCACGACAACAATCTCCATGTACGGAACACTGAAACATAATTTATTAATTACCTCGCATTTAATTGAATGATTTGTTTAATTAATTATCAGATTAAATGAAAATAATAACTTACGTATCCCAACCAAGGACTACATGTTGATTCTTCATTTTCCTGAGCCGAAACAACAGTCAATATCAAAATAACTCCCAAAATAAAAGTAATTACTCTCATCTTGATTGCTTAATCTGTACTAAATTAAGAAATAAAAAAAATTAAAGTCGATGCAGTGTAATAAATATATCATTGAAAAATTGTTCTAATTAACATTCGATATCAATAATAAACAAAATTTAATTATTCAAGAAAAATCGTAGAATAAACGTATAAATACGTGCGTATTGTTTTTTTCAAACAACTTATTAATTTGCGCTTATAAAAGCAATGTAAATTCGAATATTTAAACGCGATTCATTAAAATATTACGATTACAAAGTCGTAATATAAATTTTAATAACTATTACTTGAATATTCTACTAATACTATAACCAGCATAGATTTGCATAAATAAAAATCAAATCGTGAATTTTTCGTAATAATCTACAACAAATCGATAAATTTTCAAATTGAAAATTGGTTGATATAGGGAAACTTGAAATTAATTGCTTAATTTTATATTTCCGCAAAAAATAAAAATAAAAAATTTAACACCGTTTGCACGAACACTTCGTTTAGAGCGAAACAAAAAATTGCCACTTGATTAGTATTCAGTTCGAGTTCATACAAGTTTCACTAAAAAATTTTATTTTACGTTTAAGCACATAGTAGTATTCGATGTTTTACACTACAAAAATCTAAGAGAATCTGTTAGGTAACTTTTAAAACAGAATGTGTTTCGTATCCAAAACGATCAAGCCCGTTACAAGATTTGAATTACTTGGCACCAAAGAACATAAATTGAATATTTAAATATCAAAGTGACTATTATTACAATTCAATCGAAAGCTCATTAATTGTTTAATATTGTTAAAACTTTCATAATCAAATAAAGTTTGATTTATCAAAATAAAATAGAAATACTTGAATTTGCGTTTTTGAAAACTGCGATAATAATATTTAAAAAAACTTATGCTCACTTCTTTTACTGCAACAAAATATCGACTAAGTAATCGATGACACTTGCTTTTATATTCTTCAGAGAAAAAACAAATAACAATGTATTATCGTTCAAGTGTTTGCTATCAATACAAATGATCATAATTTAATTAAGTCGTTTCATCGTGTATTCAAAGATACCACCGACTATTTGATGCAATCTATCAAAAGATTACATCGCGACAATGGTTGATTCACAAAATGTGATGAAAAATAATCTTTTATTTAATAATTTTAAGAAATTAACAAATAAGTTTCATAATATTCTATTGACATTTGAATTAAAATTAATCGACTACAGTGTTCGTCTGTTATTTATTTAAAAGTAAATTCCTTGAACTCTTTTTTCGAGAAAATTGATATCATTGTAATTTATAATAGATTTTATTATTAACTTTTTTTTGTTACAATAATTAATTAAATATAGAAAAAATAATAAATTAATCTATATATGATGAATAATATTTTATTTTTAAGCATTTGGAAAACTGCAAACCATTTTTTACGATATTAAAATGTACATTTTTATTTACAATAATTTGCTCATAATTAAATGGAACGAAAAATTTGAAATCGATGTATGAATTCAAGCATGTATGTAGGCGCTAGCGTCAAGTTAAATATACGAGGCTGACGCATGTTTTGTACTATAAATCAATTTGTATTATGCTAACAATTCACGGTTTCTTTAAATTTTTTCTTGAAACACAAGAAATGATATTTTTCTAAAATATATTTCAACGCCACAAATTCTTGATTACGTAAATTATAATAGTTGACAACGGATTATAAATTTGAAATCATTCACGTAAAAATACTTGACATTATTTTGAAAGTTTGAAAGTACAGATACTTAGAAATTCATATCTTAGAAATAACTTTTTCGAATAAACATGTTATCTATCATTAAACTATCTTTTTGATCAACTCTTGGGCATTAGTTAATCATGATTTCGCGTATTTTCTCAAATCCCGGTTCATCCTTGTAGTTCTGCAGGTCCGATCTTATGCTTCCGCATTTATCCGTCAGAGGTCTGGTCTAGTCCCGATTACCGAACTGTTTCAACCTTCCGAATGCATGAAGCTGCTGTTTCTCCGTTCTCCAGCCGCAAAACAGGCGCACTACTATCATCATCATTCATCCCGGATTTGCGCGCGCGCAAATCGAGTGGCCGTCGTCTGCTAAAACGCAGTATTATTTATTTGCCGAGACGTATAGCAACGAAGCTGCGAGTTTCTGTATGTCATTGCTGCCCATATTCCAATGCCCATCTGTGAGGGCGAGCGACGTCGAATAAAAGAAAAAAAATCCATACAATCGAGAGGCGCCAGCCCGCCTGCGCGCAACAACCCCCCTTAGCGCCGCCAGCCACCCACCCGCAATCCTACGCAGACGCGCCAGTTGCATTGCTGCTGCTGTTCAAGTACTCGCGGTGGATAAAGCTGCCCGATATACAGTGATAATGTCGGTGCAGTGAAGTTGTGAGCCTGTGAGTGTGTGCATGTGTGTGCATGTGTGCGCGCGTACCACCACCCCCCAAACCACCCCTTCCAGTCTTGTTGCACTTTCAAGAGCACGTCCGTCGAAATTGACGATCAAGGTTGCGCGCCCGCGTGTACTTTATACAGACACGTTTTCAGCGCAGCGAGCTTAAGGCCAAATATTCATCATGTGATCCAAAGCTCGCACAGTCTCGTCTCTCCACTCCCACTGAAGATTGCATCGGTGTCCTCGGCGTAGCGCGACGTAACGTGCCAGCGAATATACGGCGAGATATTACGTGCACACACATCGCAGACTGCACGTCGGAAGAGAGAGAGAAAGAGAGTTGAGTTGACTCGGAGCACACGTGCCCAGCGGAGCTTCGTGCGAGTGCGGAGAAAGAGATCGATGAAGCAGCTACTTCAAGGATTATCGTCTTCGCCCTTTTTATCTGCATCTTAATAACTTCTTATTCTTCTGTCTCTTCTGCTAATCAGTCAATATTGGTAAGCTTACTAGCTTCTCTTGTATACTCACCATTCATACGCATCAACGAACTCGCCTTTTTTCACAATTTTTCGTAATCGAGATTTAATAAACTCTGTTGATTTTCATTGCACCTTTTGTTCAATAACTTCCTTGTCTTGTTAAATTTATCACGTATTTCTGGTTAACTTTCAATTTTCAATCATCAACATCATTTAACAACATAACATTGTTTGAACTGGCAAAGTTGACAAAAACACAAAATGTTGAACCAAAAATAAATAAAATGATATCTGCATTATTCTATGGAATTCTGAGCTGATGCATGATATCCATTTTTAATTTTATTTTAATTTTTCAGATTCTATCAACATGTCTGTTAAAGATACAATCAAAGGTTTTGAACATCCGATTGCCATGGCTTTTGGAAATCCAATTTTGGATACTATATTGACCACCGATGATAATGATCTTTTAAATAAGTACAATTTCAAAGTTGATGGACAAACAGAATTAGACGATAAAGAGATGGAACAGCTTTTTGCAGATTTACCAGAAGAGTAAGTACAGTTTTAAGTACATCTATGTTATGTAGATGCTGCTCTAAAAATTATTCAAAAATGAATGAATGAATTCAGAATGAAATACAAAATAATTATTTAACATCAAATTAATATGAAAACCGAGAACAGAAGTTAAATTCAATATCAAAATTGATTGATTTACTTTATTTTATGTAACATGATCTACAATAAAACTTTTAATTGAATTGTTGATAGCATTTGTAGTTACATAATAAAAAAGCTATTGTAATTAAGTTAATTCTTTATCAAATTATGTAAGATATCTGTGTCTCTCATGTTGGTATTAGAACCACTCATTCTTCCTTTTCATTAGTTACAAACTTTATCAAATTTTTCATTATTACAGATCAAAGAGAATAACCAGTGCAGGTGGATGTGCTCAGAATACTATGAGATTGTTGCAGCAATTGTGTGGAGAAAAAGATGGTCCACAGTTGTGTGTTTATTATGGTGGCCTTGGAAATGATGTTGTTGGTGAAACTTTAAAAGAAGTTGTTAAATCTGCAAATGTTGATGCAAGGTTTGTAATATCATTGATCTTAAATTAAAATAATTATAATCCATTAAAATATATCTGATATACAGGTATGCTATTCACCCAACTTTACCTACCGGAGTCTGCATATCTATAACAAATGACACATGCAGAAGCCTTGCAGTCAATTTAGGAGCTTCTGCTGTTTACACTTTAGATAATCTGAGAGAAACAGAATTACCTCTAGACACTGTTCGAGTAGCTTATATCGAAGGATTCTTTATTACACATAGTTTGGATGTGGCTAAAGAAGTTGTAAGACAAGCTCAAGGAAAAAATGTTGTTATAGCTTTTAATTTAAGTGGTACATACATTTTTGAGGTAATTTACTAAGCTTTAAATATATAAATCAATAAATATGATAAGATGAAAACAATTGAATTAAATAATTTTTTTCAGAAACACCATGCAGCTATATGTGAAATGGTTGGATTATCAAAGATTGTATTTGGCAATGTCAAAGAAATGATAGCATTGGCTAATCTTTTAGATCTTAAATTTGAAACACCGACAGATATTCCCTTCCTCCTTAATAACTTGAAAGGTGTCACAGTTAATGCATCCAATTCTTTCAGCAGTGAGTGGCTTATGAGTGATAGTATATTTGTTATGACTCAAGGTGGTATGGACCCTGCAATAGTAGTTTGGGGACATGGTGATTCAGCACAGGTTGCTCCATGCATACCACCTACTCCTGTAAAAGATACCACAGGAGCTGGTGATTCTTTAGTAGCTGGATTTTTAGCTGGTTTGTTGTGTGATAAAGATCCAAAAACATGCTTGGAATGGGGTTGCAAAGTAGCATCTGATGTAATAACTAATTTAGGTGCTACATTATCTGATGACCTTCCAGATGATTTTTTACAATAACGATGAAAATGCATCGACTCGTTAATAAAATAGTTTAATTTATCATTCATTCGTCTTGTAAATGTAATGATGAATTTGCTTTTGCAATAACACATAATTCGAAAACAATACATACTTAGATGAAATTAGGTAAATTTATTTATCAGACTGATAAATTGAACAATGAATGAATGGCTAATTGACTTATATAGCTCGTTTATTAAGAGCAATGAATTATTAAAGAAAATTTAATAATTTGAAAAAATAACTCTACTTTTAGAGTAGATATAAAAATTGATAGTTTATTGATCTTAAAGTTGTTGAAGCTATAATAATAATAGTACAAATAAAGACAATGTTTGTGTGTTCCTTACTAAGTCAACTGTTGGGAAGTGTGATGAGCAGCAATATCATTAAAAATTTTTTTTTCATCCTGCCTTGAAAGTTCAGATCTGACAAAGTACAAAGCAAAATTATATTTGATTGATTTTTATTAAGAAATCTAATTGGAAATTTTTGAATGTTACTACGTAATTAGAAAAATCTAGCATTCCTCAATGTTAAAAGATAAAATGTAGTAAATGCATTTTTTTGAAATTAAAATTAGATTTTAATTCAATGAGTGTTAGAATATCTAAAAGATTTTCTAGCAAAGTACTTATAAAAAAATATATGTGCTTGCATGTACAATTATATTATACATAATTTGAAAAATAAGCACGTATCAAATATGTAACTTTGTTTTATGTTTGATCAGCATATTTTAAAATATATTCGCACTGAAAGTTGAAAGCTATAATTGTGCTTAAGAAAAATAATTTTCCATATTCTTAAAATTAAGAATTAAGGATAATTTTTATTATTTATAAAAAAAAATCAAACTTGGTTGTGTCTTTGTTATCTAGTCTATAATTATAGGATTACATTATTAATGTAATCATTATTATTATTGTTGTTGTAATTATTATTATTGTTATTAGAAAATTATGGATGCCTTGATGATAATTTATTGAAACAAATTGTACTATATGAATATATTATGCTAAATATACATTTAGTGTGTAATACAATTGTAACACTTATATTTTTGTCTTAAAAGGATGTTGCTATTTTTTGTGATTTATATGTGATTCGCCGAATAAAAAAAAGCGTAATTCTTATGTAAATATTTACAAAAACACAATTATATGAAAATTGTATTGTTTAAAAGTATCAGTCTATGATTGCAATGAATAAAAGAAATTATATTTATAATCGGTTCATGTTTATTTTAGTTTGTTTAAATCTTAATATTTGTTTAATATAAACTTTTTCTTACACTAATCCTTTATTATATTAGTGGACTAGCATAAATCAAATTCTACATTTATTTTAAGTCACATGTATTGTTTCAAAAAGTATTAGTTAAACATAATAACAAACTAATTATGTTTATCATAATGCTAAACTAATGTGAGATAAATAATTATGTGTGAAAGACTACTCCATGTATTTAATTACAAAATAATATCATCTATATTTTCATGAAATATAAGGGTTTCTATTATTATGAATCGATTACTGAACAGGCATTGTAGAATGACATAATAATATTTGTTACTCACAAGATGCAATTTATCCTATCATTACAATAATTTTTTTTCTCAAGTTTTTTATCTGCAAAAAAACTTTCATTTTTAAAGAATTGGTAAATTGAGTTAATAAACAACCATGTTTTTTATAAAAGATAAAAGAAAGTTATTGTTTACCTTAAAGTACTGTACAACCCACTTAATTTTAAAAAAAGAATATGTTAAAAAACAACTGGCTCAGAATTTTTTTATTTTTATCCCAATAATCAAAAGTTTCATTTTAGTGCATTTTTACATCAGATTAAAGTTAATATTCCATCAGGTACTCAAAGGTGTTATGTTAATATTTCATCAGGTACTCAAAGTGTATTAATAACACATATAAATAAGCAATATTCTTACATGTAAAATAAATAAACATTTATTCATAAAAATTATGTTTTACATTAGTATCTAAATGTACCTAAAGCTAACAAAACTACATTTTATCTATTTCTAAGTTTTTCAATAAATTTTTAAATTGCTCTATTGACTTTTTTCAGGTGGAGAAGGCTCATCATCATCTTTTAAACTAGACATTTTTTTAATAGTTTTGTCCAATGAAAATGGGTTCACTTGAATACCATCTTGAGTATAATGGACATCGACAACTACTTCAAAAGTATGTTTAATCATCACTTCATCGTCTGAATCAAATTTTTCTTGGAGACATTCGATTGCACTCAATAAAGCTGATGAATCGAAATTGGAATTTTTTTCAATAATTTTGCATTGTGAAGCAACTTTTGATATTACGTCACATTTTTCATTCATCTTATGTTGTGAAACAGCTTTTGATGTCAATTCCAAATTATGAAGAGCTGATTTAGAATGATCAAATCCTTCACATTTTTCAGTTGATTCTTCCATAGTTTCAGAAATATGATTATCTGGCAATTCTGGACTTTCTGGATCAATGTCTAAATCAATTTTTCTTCGTTTGGGTTGAACTTTCATTTTTGGCGTTGATTCACAGCTGCTTAATGAATTTGCAACCTTCCTTTTAATCACGCTATCATTTGGTGTGCAACAATTAATATTACTAGTACCACTTGAAATTTTTGAAGTATTCACAGTTTTAGGTGTATTTGATGTAGGTGTCTTGGATACCTTTGGTCTTTGAGCCTTTCTGAAAGACTTAAATCTGTTGTTCGCTCTCCTGTTCTTGATCGGGTTCTTCGTGAGACATCTGAGACAAAAACAAACAAAAAGTTAGTACTCATTAAATGGAAAGCTGTCATAATTGATATCATTAAGGTATGAAAAGTTTTAAAGATTGTATAGTGTATAAGAGAATTCTATTGTACATAAAATATCGAGTTTTTTTCCGCGAAAATGATAAATTATATTCAAGAAGTCAAGAGAGACCTGGGTGTTTGGCCCATGTGGCTGACGTATCCCGTCGACTTCCAGGCTTTTCCGCGCAATTGGGACTCGGGAAGAAATGGGTATTGCACCCTGTATACGGCCATTATTTTTTCTATTTCTGCGGTAGTGGGTTCTTTTTGATCATCTTTGGCCCGATGATCGCCACCCATAACGTGAGTGTACCACTTCTTCACCGCACTTGAATTTCCGGACGACGACGACGACGACGACGACGACGTGTAGAATGAGTTGGCCTTCTTCTGCGATGCCGTGGTCGACTTTGACTGCTCATCAACCTGATCTTCTTCGAGATCACCCACTGGCTCGTTGGTTAAATTTTTTTCGGTCATCGTTACGAGGAGTTGAACGCAGATTTCAGGAGTAAAAATCTCAAACGATCGAGTAAGACGCGCGTGAACGTATAAATGTGACGGCAAGCAAACAAGTCGCGGCGTGCATAGGGCATGAAAACGTGCTGGACGTCGCGATCGGCTGCTGTTTCAAACGTCTCGCGCGACGGATACGCCATAGTGAGAATTTTGCACTTGGCGCGCGCTGCGCGAATAGAAGTGCGTGCAGCGATTCGCCAACCATGCGGACGAAGTAAAGTGTGTATACGCAAGTCGCAACGAACTCCGCGACGATATTCGTCGGCGATGTTTTGCACTATTTTTTTATGAGTAATTTGAACTTGATACATACCCAGAAGAAGCTGATATTGGTCTCGCAATAATTTACATGAATTCACTTGCAATATTGTTGCGTAGGATGTACGTACACCTACGCATGACTCCAATGGACTAACGTCCACAAGGTAGAAGATGTACAGCAGTGATCATGTGAGATAGTTCTAACGACTTTTTCAAATTTTGGCCCAGGTAAGCGCGACCTGCCTATTCTTAAAGTTAGATAAGAAACTTTATTGTGACTCTCTGGTTTACATTTTATCTGTTTCTTTAATTTTTCCTACGCTTATCGATTCAATTTTTGGATAAAAGGTAACGTGATAAAGACGAGTCAAATACACGTAAGTGTAGTTTATGTTTTGAATAATACAAACAGAAATAATAATATTTTTGATTTGAATACGTTGGCCTTTAAAAAGAAAATCTAACAAGTTCAGATGTTTATTTATATAATGTTTTATAGCTACACTGATGTAAAAGTTACATATTTTACGATTTAATAATCATGCATGCAATTGAGATTGGCTCGATGAAAAAAACTTTCCATTTCTTTCGTTTACTCGCGAGCCTTTTCGTTCCGTTGCTGCTCCTAATCGTCGATTAATAAAAACTTTACTCTTAATAATATAACGAAAAAAAAAAAGAGTTAACGTCGTTCGTGGCAGTGATTCATCTGAATCTTTTTGATCCATTAGGTTTTACGATTACTGATATGAAATTAATTGTTGCGCATTGCAGGATAACGATACGCGAAAAATCATTGATTTTAATTGGACGTGTTCGAACGATCGTCATGAAATTGAAAGCAAAAGTTGGGAAAAGCTACAAATTCGCCCGTAACATTAATAGAGATAAAAAAGAAACACGGTGAGTTCTATTTCGAGTTTTGAACGCGCTGACTTACACCCCATATAAATTCAAATTCACCGGTCATCGTGCATCGATCGTTGACTTTCGAGCTGAACTCGGTCGCGTCGGGCCGGTGGATTTTCTGCGCGTATAGTTATTATGTCTGTCGGCGAAACGAAACAATACGTCAGTTGAAATATGTATTATCTCGCGAGGCGCCATAAGGCCGATCTGCACAAGAAGCTGCGCACAGCTTATGTACACACACACACACAATATAATACTCGAGTTGTTTTCACGCCTTGGCGCACCCCTGACGAATGACCATATTTTCATCACGCGAGATTTTCTCAGCCGCCCGCGCGCGAGGTCGTGTTTTCACGCCATAGAGTCCATAATACATACACACATACAATCGAAAGTGCAGAGCTAATCCTCCTACGCTCGTTCGCCCGTATTATATACCCGCAGAGATGCAGTATATAATACCGAGGCGTAATTTAGCTCGACGTTCAAACTCGAGTACTGCATGAGGAGTTTTGCGTTTGTGTATGTGTGTGTGTGTGTGTGTGTATGCGTGTGCGAGTATGGATGCACATGCATGCTGCGAGGCTCGATCCGGCGCAGCGCACGAGATGTCGATTAGCAACGAAAGAGCAGCGGAAGTTACTTTTCATCAGCGAAAGTGCGGACGCGCGTTAATTAGCGCCTCTCGCGGATCGAGGCAGTATACGGACGGGATCGATAGCCGCGCGCCGCTGCTGCTGCCGCCGACGCCGATTTATTGCCGATCGGCCTTATGAGCCACGAGATTGCTTCCGATTTTTACTCTGGAATGTTTTTGAACGATCGGTGACTGATCGTTATTCTTCTCGCTTTATTTGACTGCATTTATACAGATGCAGCGATTTCGCTTTCTACTTTTCATGTAACTTAAAATGCGTCGATCGTCTTCAACGAACAAAAGCAAATTGACATTCATTATGATAAACTTCATAAAAAAACAGTCGCGGTGCTTTGTAAACGCGGATTAGAGGAACGAAGCCGCCGCGTATAATAATATATCGATTTCACTATTAAACTCTTGTGTGCGTATCCATTACAAACTTTTAACATCTCCATCGCTGCTGCTGCTGCTGCACTGCTCGCGTTGCGTCGTTCCACTTTCTACGGCTGCGTGGAGCGGCGCACGCCAAGCTCCTGGCAGTCCAGTTTATAATATTATGTACGCGCGAACGGCGAGATGCGCTTGACCGTCGAAAATATATATAACAACTAGCTCGAATGCATGTTAAACGTATGCGCCGCGGCAGCCGATTAACATCCATTCTGCATTTCCGTATACTTATATTATATACATCTGCACGCGCCTCGCGCATTAACATATATTTTCCATTACGTGCGTCGGAGATTAGTTCGAGCGTCTCGCGCGACTCTTGGAAAATTCAGCCGATCATTTTCAGTTAAATGGTTGGATTAATAATTATGTCGCGACACGATTGTTTTGTTGGGTCGTATAAAGACCGAGCAAAAATATTAATTACATTGACGAATTGAAATTAGTGTTCGAAGAGTAGAAGGATGCATTGTCTGCGTGTACAGCTGAAAAGTCGAGGACTTTAAATTGTTTGTTCGCCTCCTGGTTCAGCGCAGTGCACTTGTTCCATCCTTAATTGATAGCTAATTATAATATTCTAATTATGGCTTCGTTTTCATCTTTAACAGCCGCATATTTAGTGCGTGTATACGTTATGCTACGAATTAATGAACTAACTCGAGATAATTGGTGACCATAAAAATATAGCTTATGCAAAAACATACGTATTTCTTTTCATTTTTATACTCGTGAGAAGTGAACGAGTGAGTACATGACTTTCGGGGGCTTGTATGACGCATACGTGCCAGTGACTTGGATCCTCCCTATACATATATTGTTTCGGCCGATGCTCTGCAGCATGTAACGAGGATACGTCGAGGCTCGTGTACGAACATGAACGGGGCAGCATAGGTACGCTATACCAAAACCGCTGGCTGCATCCTGCCTATTGAATAGCGACGCACGCAAACCGAAAATTGTCGGCCACATCGTGTAAGCGCGCATATACAATATTACACGCAGTGACGTAAATGGCGAGAGTCACGAAGCGGCATTGCATTTTGTTTGCTCTCGACTTTTCGAGTACTTTTTGACCATTTTTTTTTAAATTTAATGCAATGTGTATACGTAAAAGAGTGAATCAAGTTAGATCAGCCGAACTTTATACAGCGAAGCAGCTTCTTGGATGAAATTTAGCCAAATTTGGCCGGTCGGATCGGTAAGAAGTTAGATGAACGTATGCATATATAGGCGAGGATGGACGCAGCGACGTGGGCAAACGCATCTCCCTCTCAGGCGCACGATGCGGTGGCCTTTTCACATGCATTATATACAGCTGCTGCGGCTACGGCGGCTCGCGTTTCTCCCGCGTATAGCAGCAGCGAGTAATATGCAGCAGAGAAGGTATACCTAAGCGTATGCGCCGCCGAGAGAAGTGCACAGAGAGCGACCGGCGTTATTCGCTATAGGAGCAGCTCGCAGTTACTTATAGTTCGGAGTCCGACTCGCGCCGCCGACGAAGCGAGAGCAGAACGCAGCTACACTCAGCAGCAGCAGCAGCAGCATCGTCGAATCCTTTTCTCGACTCGCGAGCGCGAGAGAGCCTTATTACAGTTGGCGCGCGCGCCCAAGATCCATCGCGCCGCACACACACGCGCATACACGTATATACACCTGTAATCGCAGCAGAAGCAGCTCGCGATGATTTTTACCGCGGTGAAAGTATTATAAAGCGAGTGCGCGCATCGCAAAAAACCGTTTTGCATTCTACCATAATAAACCAACGTGTCTCTCTCGCTCTTTAGCTCAGTTTTCATCTCGACTCTCGGGCCGTGCGGTGCAGTGTCGCGTAGTGTGGCTTGCGACGAACGCGAGCGCCGATTTCGATCCAGTCGATCTGCCGAAGTGCGATATCGACGTCGTGCGGACGAGTCGCGAAGACGCATCCAAGCATGCGCATCTTCGACTCTCTCGTCTCTCGCCGACGACAAGCGTCATCATGCATTTTCTCAAACTGAGCATCAACGAGTACTCCGGAATCACGCGTACTTTCGTCGGTGGCTGATGTCTACTTCTGCATAGAAGCAGAAGCAGTAGTATTAGCAGTGGTATATAGGTATCGGTATAGTGCAAGGTGCAAACTTAATAATACAACAATAAGCGCAGAGATCTAGGAGAGCAGTGCCTCGAGTTTATTCTACGCGTGTGCAGTACGTGTTTGTGTGCAAAATAATAATATCCTTACTTTCATCGCAGCAAAAAAGTGAAATTGTGTGTATGTATAATCGAGCTCGCGCGCGCGCCTCGCCTCGCGATCGCATCCGATCCGTTTGTGTGCCGCCGTTGCCGCGAGTAAGTATAGTAGTACGCCGAATGTAGAGTAAAGCAAAAAAAATTTATCGTAAGACTACGTGCGCCGTGCTAATGATCTAACGCGCTTTTGACCGCTGGCTTATAGCCTGTTGGATTCTATGTGGCAGCTGAGCGTAAGAGAGAGAGAGAGAGAACAAAAGCCGCGGCCGAGTGTATAGTTTGCCAACGGTGCGAGGCTAGGACGACGCGACCTGTCGCGCGATTCGTCTCGCGCCTTCAAAGAGCTGCAGCAGCAGCAGAGTTAAGTGCAAAATAGAGACTTCTCCAGTCGGAGCGGCGGTCGTGAGTGAGCAACATAGCAGATAGATATATACACATCGAAGAAGAAGCAACGAAGAAAGAATCGCTAGAAGAAAAAGGAGCGAAAAAGCGAGTGAATAAAAAAAAAGGGAAAGAAAGAGAGAATCACAACGGTTTCTTCGTTCGAATGATCCACATAATCGTTGCCGGAAAATATTCGCCGTGTTCGAGCGTGACGTTATAAACAAAAGTGCGAGACGTTATTTGCAGGCCACAGCAGTCGCGAGAATCGGCAAACTTTTTTTCAGCTTTTTGTTTTAATTTCGTTTCGCAAAAGTGACCTGTCTTGTATTTTTTAAATTGATTGTGACCAATTTCGATCGTGACAAGTGCGCGACACAACGTCGTATTAAATTTAAAAATCGTTGGGGATCGCTGCTCGCGCGTCAGCTGTGCGGTACATCCTACATAAATTGACACTCGGGCCAAGCGAAGCTATAGCGGCGCGAGAGCCGCAGGAGAAGGCCCGAAGCTGAGCTGCACCGAGGAATTTTCATGGACCAGGAGGAAGCCCGGGCTCGCTGTTTGAGTCGCCCGGCCAAGAGGTACGAGATATACTCGAACAAAAAGCGCAACAAGGAGCCGAGACAGTCCGTCAGAATGCCGAGGAACAGCTCGCTACAGCCCATCGAGGAGAGCAGCAAAAATGGTGAGTCCCTCGTTTACTACCTGCGCTCTTTTTGCGCGCCGTCTTATTATATACACCTTTCCCGCGAGATCGCTCAATCTGGCAGTCGCATACACGACGGCGTTTGCGCCTCTCGAAAGCTCAGAATTTGCCCCGATGAATCGGCGAGATTTTTCGCGCTAGCATCGACAAAACTGTTGGATTTGCTATAGTCGTGCGGCGCATGGCGTACTCTTGTAATACACGAGTGCAAAGAGGCGCACACGATGATACGCATCTTGCATATGCATAAAGTTATAGTTTTCTCTGGATGGAATACGGCGTATAGGCAGGCGCGTGTCGGGCTTACAATAAACAATCTCGCGTGCGATATAGGCGCTCGAGCTGGCTCGACGAGCGGGCCTCGCTACACGGCGCGCGCGGCTATTGTTTCTTCGGCAAATCCGTTATCTAAAATCCTGCGGGCGGGCGGGCCCAGTACTTTAACGTATACTCGGCGGCACATTATAGATAGCAGTCCCACCTACACCGGCGGGCCCCGCTAAACTCTCGCACTCGCGCGAGCCTGCGTGTGGATGTGTACACAAGGAAAAACTACTCGCGCACACGCACGCACACCTGCTTATTATTACGATTCTCGCACTTGTTCTCTCTCTCTCTCTCTCTCTCTCTCTCTCTCTCTCTTTCTCTTTCTCTCTTTTTATCTCGTTCGCCTTGTCTGCGCGCGCGACTCGTTGCGAGTAATTTTACGCCCAACTACCTGACAAATCGTCTGGCTCTCACGTGCGCGCGGGCGCGGAAGTCGAGCCTCGCCGCCGCCGACGCTGCAGCGGTGACGAATTCCTTTCTCAAACCACCCTCGAAAACCTTTCCTCGCTCCCGCAGACGTTCCCAGCCTGTTTAGCTCTGCAGCAGCTGCTAAATTTACATTCGCTAAATTGCCTCTCTCTCTCTTCCAAGTCAATGGTAGAAAAATTAATAGCTACGAACGAGCTACAAACTGCAGCTTAATTTCATCTGCTGTATATATCCAGCCGCGCGGCCCATTAGACGTATACGTTGTATATGTACCTTTGGCTCGAGCCAATTACTGTCACTTTAAGGGATAACATTCGTAAAGGCCAAGTCCGCGTGTAGCTTCGGCTCGGCTCTAAAGCTACGCCAAGAGCCTGCGAATTATCTCGTTATACCTTTTTTGCTTTTTATCTGCTTTTTTTTTGTTACCATCTTGCGGATACTTACGACTGTTGCAGCCAAAGGAGTCATGAAGTTTTTTTTATTCGCATCGTGCGCCGCGAAGAGAGTTTATTATTTTGCCAGTGCGGCTACATGTCGAATCGAACTCGAGCCAACTACATACCTCAAGTTCTGTGGCGATATAATGTAGCGAACGAAGAGCTACAACTACAGTGTTGATTTCAAAGGGCTTTGAGTGAGGTAAACGTTGAATCGTTGATCGGCAAGATCGTACTACCTCGGTACAAAAGTTTTTATAGCTTTTTATTTTACCAAATTTACAGTAAATTGAGCGCTTTGAATAATTCCCATCGAAAATGCGAATACTCGTACTAATCGAAAATCGCGCCTCTCGTTTAAATAATACGCGTCGAGCATTTTTACTCATGATGCAAAGTACTCGAAAACTTTTAAGGCTCCGAACGTATGAGCCAATAAAGCTTATTACTTTGAATAATTGTAAAGCGAGCTACAGAACGTTATAAAAGTGCCTTGGTGTATATAAAGCAAAATTAATTAAATAAACGGCTCTCGAGCTAACTCTACTGTTTCGCGCTGCAGATTCGCTATCTCATAACAATGCAGTTAACCGTGTGAAAGCCGTATACACTCTATACACGTGCGGTAAATATACCTATACTCGCTTTTATTGCGTCTGCGAGTATAAAAATATAATTAAGAAAAAAAAGCGTTTAAGCGTACGATATAAATGTATATATAGGTACACGGGCTGACGGAGTTCGCGAGGAGAACAATTGAAAATATCGAAGTAAAAGCGAAACTCGTGCATTTTCCGATGCATCGCGACGCAATTACAATGTGTCGGTATCATCATCATCATCATCATCATCATCATGGAAGAAAAGTCGTTGCTCGCTTGTCGCGCGGGTGGTGATGCGCACGAGGCAAACATGAAAACCGCAAAAACGACGATAGGCGACGAAAAGAAAACGCCGATCGGTGTACGAGGCGCATAGGCAATGCCCATAAATGGCCTCGCGGCTCGATTCGGTGTTGCATTGTAGAACAATAAACATCGGGGGAATGGCACTTTCGGTGGCAATCATTGTATATAGTGCGACTCTCGTCGACTTTCCAAGACGTCTCAAATAACAGCTTCCCATCGATTTGATTCGAGCAAAAACAGCCAACAAGTGGGTTGTAATAGCTTTATAGATACATAGTATCGGTAGCCGTCGCCGCCGCCACCGCCACACAGACTTGTACAACATTTCTACACGCATATAACTTTCCCCTTTCTTCTCCTCTTTTTCTGCGGAAGTGAAAATTTACCATCGCTGCGTGTACCATCGCGCGCATACACACGTATTGCAAAGCACATCTACGCGTATAACACCGCGCGGATTCGCTCGATCTATCAGGTGTATTGTAGCAAAGTCGATCTGCGGCTGCGGTGGTTTCCGAAGCTCGATCGCTGTACAGCTCCTGCTGCAGGTGCACGGCATCCTGCATATTCCTGCGCGGCGATTACTCGAGCGCGGGTAGACGCGAGTAGTCTCGAGTTTTCGCAGCGGCGAGCGATCGAATTGTTACGCTGCATACTTTTATGCGCTATGTAGCATTATATTTAGAGCCAGCCGATTCGGCAGTGCTGATATACGCCTGTATAGGAAAGGAAGCGACGACGCGGTTCTTCCGAGCGACGCACACACGTGTTCCTTGTCTATGGCTTGGATCGCGTCGACAACGAGCTCTCTCGAGACAATTGGGACTCGTTTCGGCGCTCGTTGGAATGCATGTACGATTTAGCTGATCCTCCCGAGCGATACACTACATGTAGCTCCTTGGCGCAGCCAGCTCGATACAATGCCGATCAGCACTTGTATCATGCGCATGCACTGCACCTATATGCATACACCCGTGTACATTGGAAATCTTCATGAGTCTTACACGCGTTACAATAACAACAACAACTGCAACAACAATTGCGACGCTGCTGCGATGATTGCAGCTGTAATATACAGCAACGCTGAAAAATTAAATGCGCCATGATTTCGCGAATCGCGCGTCGGGCTTCGCGAAACTGCACCGCACGATTTAGCGTGTCCCCCGGGACTGTTTGCGCAGCTTATTGTCTGCAACTAGAGAGGGAGAAAGACTCGGCACGATCTGCACGCGGCAACGACACGCCGTGGAGGATGTTGTACATATTAATTACTGTCATCGCCTCTCCAGCCCCAGCTACCGCTCAATCCGAATAATGCGCCTCTCCGCGTTGGAAAAGCTGAAATCGCTCATTATTCGACGAGGCAGCATATAGCAGCGCACTGCGAAGTGCAGACACGAGAGTCGAGGGAAGCAACGACGGTGAGAAGGAGAAATGAAGGGCTTTAGAGCGAAATGCCAGCAACAGCTACACATTACGAGTCTCTCGGGTACTCGAGCTTTTTTCGCCTTGCCTGACTGTTGAGCCTACATGTATAGCTCTGCCTCTCTCTCTCTCTCTCTAGGCGTAATGGCTGAATTTTCAAGTTTGCGGTTGCGGAATGCAGAAGAAGATCCGTTTACGATGTGCAGTCATGACTACTTTTCGCTCTTAGCGTATTTTGCAATATGCACCGCTTGTGAGCCAAGCCGCCGCCTCGTCGTCGTCTAGCTATTATATCATCCTCGTACTTGTAGCTATACATACATATATTGTTTCTGTCCTTTATTGCCGTCTTTCGCTCGACCGTCTACTCGTTAAGTCGTAGGAGCGCGTGCGAGAGCGTCTAATTCCCTGCCAAATTAGAGGCTACTTCAGTTCCGCAATTCGTCCTGTCGCCGGATCTTACAACTTACCAAGCGTCGTCTAACTTAACCGCAGAGACTGCAAAATCTGTCTCTTGGCGTAATGTGTTCACATGCGCAACTCGTTAGAAAATTCGTAGCATCGCGGACTCGATAACGATTTTCATTGATTTATTAAAAATTATCAAGTTTGAAAGAATATGAATATTTACATTCTTCGAATGCAAAAATGAATAAAGAGAAAGTAATTATGCTTAAATTGAAACATTATGATCATTGAGAACGAATATTTTAATACTGATTTATTTTTTCTTTAATTTTTTTTATCATTTTATTATAACGATTGGTCTCTTGGATGCACACGTTTTGCATCCGAGTGCTAGCTCGGAAGATTAATTTGTACCGCGGAAGCTACGTAGGTATTGTCTGTAATGTTGCAGGCAAGGATCGTCACGTAACGGACGAAGAGACAACGCATTCAAGCAAAATGTTATATTTATTTGTATAATAAAAGTTAAAAGTTGATATAAAAGGGATGGGTCGAAAAGCGAAGCTGTCTTAAACGAATTCCGATTGTTCGAGATACTTTTCACTCGAGTCGAAATGTAATAAAGAGAAATCTATGGTCAAATAACATCTTTCTCAGTATACAAGTAAAATCAAGAAACAATATTACAAAGCAATGCATTGAAAGAAATACATTAAACGAATAATAATGGAAATTAAATTTTCATTTGCGCAAATGGTAGGTTAACTTTATCCAAAAATCAAAATAGTAATTATACATTCACTTACTTGCAAATTTTTCTGCAACAGCTTGGGGAAGATTACATTTCTTAAAAAAGTCAAACATGGTTGGGGCTTTATGTGTGCGTTTCGCTAAAATTATTTTACTCTACAGTAAATCTCGAGTCACTGAGCAACAACTGCTTTTGAAAATCGGCAATTCGATACTGTTACCAGACAAGTCGAAAACGTCCTATTTGGTCTTATTTGTTTATCTTACTTGGTCAACTTTTGTTTATGTTTTTTGGGCGCGAAATCGTCCTAGTTGAGATTGAAACGATACTGCCGTGTCGGACGATAGCGCCACCAGACCGCGGCACATTTAGTTACCAATCGGTAAAATAAGAGTCTCAAATTTCTTTCAGTGTAGACGAATGAAAAGATTATGTGCGTGAAGTGCGTTTTTGAAAAATAACTATTAAAAAACTATTCATAAAAATGATATCATATTTTAAGATAGCCTATGCCGCAAGATGGCGAGTACTTGTAGCTGTAAATCTGCAAGTGGCAAAGTCAAAATAATTGTATAAGTCAAAACCGAGTTCGATTAGTATTTTCTTTTTATATTTCAAATGTACACAATTAAAAATAAATCTGTGAGAACTAATATAAAGGTGAAGGAAATTTGTTACTTCATCTGAACGAATTTAATTTCGTACAATGAATTAAAATGACTATGATCTGAATCAAATTTAAAGGATTTAACATTAAATCGAAAGTTACTGGATTCATGAAAAAATATTTAAATTTAATTGAAATCATTTTAATTTAAATAATTTCACATGAAATTGAATTCATTTACATGGAGGAAAAGCTTCCCCCAATATACCTTAGTTTCAATGTAAATATTTTTAAAGGAAATCGATGAATTTCATGATTGATTTCAGAAAAGATATTTGTGTAACACATTTTTGGTTGTAAACAAAATAATGCTTATTCTTAGTAAAGTGCAAATTCATTATTGTGCTGCAACACAATGACCCATTGTTCTACAAGATTCATTCTGATCCTTAAACATAATCGGCACTTGCGTCTCATTTACATACACAAAAAATGATAGAATCATAGAGCTAATTTAGAAATTGACCTTTTTTTACGAATCAAAAATTTTGGAGGAAAAATTAAAACACAAATGACATCACAATCGGTTTAATTTGTCAATATGGAAAGAATCCTTGCTTTCTTGCAATTGAAAAATTTCAAATTGATTTCTTCATATTTTTCATTTACCATTTCACGATAAATGCCAGTGAACTTGATCTTGATGCATTGCGCACCACACTTGCAAGAGTTGCAAAGACTTTCTCTTATACCGGAAAATTCACGTGGGCTTGGATATAAATCAACCTCGATTCACCTTCTGTATACTTGCAGCTTATTTTTCATATACAGGACGTAATATAATACACTTATACGAAGTCGAGAACTTGTTTGTCAGCGATGATGATCTGTCAACCATTTAGCTGCACTACAAGTTGATATCATTTTGTCGTATGCTCGCTTTCCTTACCTTTTACACTAATAATTTCTTCAATACTCTGACTTTACTGATTGAAATACTATACTGAATCGGACTTTAAGCGAGGCGAGAACAACATTTTCTTGCCATCATTTCACACTAAATTTGAGTAATTTTATGCTCTGAAAATCCATTTATATTTAAATACATACCAAAATTGAGCTAAAGCTACGTGTAGTTTTGTAATTGATGTAATTTCACCTTATTTATAAATTTAATTTCGATTAAAAGTTGCCAACAAGTGAGAAAGTTTTTGTGCGTTAAAAAAATGTGCAAAATAGTCTTTCACGTGCACGTTTAGTCGCATTTTCAGAACAAATAAATCAACAAAAATTGAAGAAAGCAAAGGTTGGATGTAGAATAAAACTCTTGCGTATTATTTACAATTGCGAACGATTGTACTTTTGATTAAGTTTCTATGTGTATTAAAAATTCTTCAAATGAAATTGTTCTTCATAAATTCCCAACGCCTTCTGAGTAATTTTAAATAAGGTATTGCGATATACTATTTTAAAAGGAAAACTATTTCTACGTACTTCATAAATTTTAAAAACAATTGTAAAAAAAAATGAACTTGAAAACACAATATTAGTTTAGTGACAAATGTTCAAGTCAAGTGGAAGTTAAAGATGTAAAGCGAAGTGTTAAAAATGATGGAATTCGCAGAATAAATGTCAGGGAAAGTAGTGGCCGACAGACACACTTTTTTTATTGCAATCGAATCTTGAACGACATTCTCGCACGTAGCTGAATGATTTCAAACAGAATTTTACACGTAGTTTTTGTTCCGCGAGTTAATCGACGCGACTTTGGACATAAGCTGTTGAAATTTGTTCATTAATAATAAAAAAAAAGATTTGAATTAATCGACGCACAGGAGTGATGAGCGTATCACGAGAGCACTCAGTCTCAATCTCGCATGCGTTTATCGAACAGCGTCTCATTTGCGATTAACGGTGAGTCGAAAAAACGTCTTTAAGGACGCCTGCAGGCTACCTATAGCAGGAATTAGAAATGCGCATGATTTTTAGCCCGGTGCCCATGAATAGCTAGTTGCAACAGCAGAGGCTCAGCTCTAGCTCAGTGCAGGCGGCGGCGGCGGCGGCGGCGAAGACTCGCAGTAAATCGCAGCCTCAAGGATCCTAGAACGTAGCTTTGATTACTCGCATAGGGCCAGCTCTCGCTCCATCTCTCTCGCTTGCTCGTGCACTGGCCGCAAATACAAATTCTGCACTCGAGTGCGTGTATGTACTTATATTATATTACACGTGTAGCCGCCTGCCGGACTGCCAGGCGCATCGCGTTGTATGTGTGTATGTTCATTCGAACTCGCGCAGAGGTGCGCGCAATGGCATGCACGAGCTGGCGCTGCAGCCCTACATATATCCCATAAAGATATATGCACTTTATACATATATGTACGTGCCTCGACCGCACTGCAATATGCTGATGAAGTAATTAACGTTGACGATGATGCATGTTTATTTAGAGCTCGAGGCAGCTCGCTACAGCACCGAGAAATAAAGGAGCTGTATCCCTTGCTTCAATCTTCCCAGGACTTTGTTGTTGCGATGTACACGTTGGCGCGCGCGAGCGAGTAAATCGCGCCGATTGTACGTACCTTGGAATGAAAATCTGATACACCCGCGTGCGATACCGCGTTTGACGTTTTTATATTGACAAAACTCGAGTGTGGTTTATATTTTAATTTATAAAATTTTTACTAAAATTCACACACATTTCCCCTCGTAGTATCGTAATATTTCAAGGAGTAACAATTATTTCCTCCTTTTCGTCCGAAGCTATGTGGCTTTCGAGCATGAAATAGAACTGATCCGGTTTGTTATTTAAGCTCGTGTAACGAACAGTGGCCTGCGTCGAGTTCACGCCGCCGGCGAGCAGACTGACGTTGCCGTTCAGACTTATCGAAGCTGCCATTACGCAGTGTATGACGTGACGGGGTCGCGCGCTCATTGTCGCCGTTATCGTGTCGGATAAATTCAGAGTCGATGCCAAATTCGCAACTCTGATGTATCGTCGCGAAGCCTCCTCTTGGCTGATCGCGTTGCCCTGCATGAGCCAGTGCTGCCTGCGAACATTCGAGGTGCTTATGTGACAAGAATTGCGTACCCGTACAACCTACCCGCTAACGTACCCGTGGCAAAAATCCAGCGTGATCAAGGTCAACAGTAGTAGCAGAGTCCTACTGGCTCTAAAGCAGTTAATCATTTTTACCACTTAGAAATCGACTTTTGTCACTCGCGAGATATCGAGAAAAATTGAAAGCTCGCATCAGCCGATGCATCGGCTGTCGATCGAACCATAGAACTAAACGATCGCTTAGCGCTATCGCAACTTGGCGGAATGCAGTGCTCGAATCAATTTGGCACAACAGATATCGTCGCCGGGGATACAAAGTTCCACATAAACTAACAAGAATTGTGTTTAGATAGTAGCACATGAAAAACAGATTATAGTCTCTCAACATCTTTATTGCGAGCAATTGAATTTACAAATAATCACACATGTTTAATCGATAGTTTAAAAAGTGAAAAAATTAAAAAAATAGCGTAACATTTCGTTGGCTAGTTATAAAAAAATTAAAAACTGCTTAATGGCGAAATCACTGGATGGTTCTCATTTTTCTTGGGCTGCTTGGCCAGATCTTGTCGATGTCAGCCGAAGCTTCCACGTTTACGAGGAACTTGTCCTCCTTTCCACTTGGGTTTTTGTACTCGAAGCTGATGCTGTTGTGTCCAACACCACCTGAGACGACTGTGAACTCTCCGTAAACGCTCTGGGCTTTGTAGTAATGAATCTTGTAACCTTCGGTGGTTGTAACTCCGAAGCCAGAATCGGCAGTTGTGGTGAAGGTGTTATTGGATTTCGACAGAGTTAAATGGCGACGGTTAGCTTCCTCGCTGCTGATGGGCATACCTTCCTCATAGAAGTGCAGTCTAGTTTGGAAAATAATAATTTTGTATAAGATTTCTTGCGTCGCTCGTATGAAGTCGGATTTATTTTCAATTCTCAACGGCTTACCCATAAGTGGAGGCCACGAAGGCTAGCACCAAGAGGGCGACGGTCGATTTGCTTCCAAACATTTTCTGCAAAGGAAAAATGAAGATTAATCTTTGCTATTAATCAGTCCTTGCATTTACAGACAGTCATAATTTTCAATAGATTTTCCTCCCAACGATTTAATTATATGATATCATCACTGTCGGCGAAAAAAAAATTACTACGACGATTTTTTTTTGCTATTATGATAAGTATCGGTTGATAAACGATAACACTTGCGACGCATGATTACTCAGCACTGGTAAATATATCATTTCTTATGAAGTTTCCCGACGCTTTACTTTCACTCGACATTTCGTTTACTCGTGCGTGAAGTTTAAAGTCGTTCACATGCAGAAATAGCCACGGGCTGAATTGCGCAGAACACAAACCGGTGCCGCGTGTACACGCTTCTGTATTACATAAGGTTCACGACCTTGTAACCTTGACCGGTTTCCGCAATGAACTCGGCGTAGTCATTTGTAACTCGATAATTGGTCCACATACGCTTTTCTCGATATCATTTGAATGTCGGCTCTCCACGTTGGTTTTCAATCGTTTTTCAAATCGATCAATTTCGGAATTAGAACGCACAATCGAGCTGCACCGTCGTAAATACCTTCCTCGTCCAATATTTCAACGTATACAGGAAGGATAGTCGGAAAAAGGGTATACGCAAGCGCTGAATGCGTGTAAACCCGTTGCTGCTGCTGCATTATGCTCTTTGTGCGAACGGCCAAGTGAAAAGCGACGCGTCGAGTTAAAACCTTGTAAGTACGTGTCCGATCGCTGGCATCGGCACACAGTGCAGCGCCACGCGAGAGTACATAAGTATGAACGTCGCGGCCTTTTTTCAATTTACAGTTATTAAATACGCACGGCGCGTTTGCATGCGCTTAAATATACCGCTCGGAAAATCGGTAACTGCATTGGCATGCAGAAGTCGTTCTTTCGAGCGCACATCATGCCCTATTATAATAAACGACGATGCGCTACGTTATCGACTTTTCAGACGAGATAAAATCGCCATGTGTGCGCGTGTGCTTTCGTAGATCCTCGTCACAGTTCGTTTCTCTCTCCACACATATATTCAAACGACGAGCGATATAAAAGTTTCACTTTTTAACGACGGGCAATGCACGAGCGCGGGTATTACGCGGCGCGCACGACGTGCAATTGATTTGCAGCACAGCAGAAATTTCTCGCGCGGCTTTAAAGTGCATTGGACCCGCGCGTGTGCAGAGCGACAGATTGTACTAGAGAAGTACACAATGTCAAAAAGAGTGAAAATTGAAAGATCTCGGGCGAGAGAGAAGAACTTCCAGCAGATTTTATGGAGCTTCGACGATGAAGCGATCGGCAGCATATGTGTGGCTCTCGATGTCGCTCACGTATACCTGAAAGCTACGATATCGCGCAGAGTCGAATTATAATGTCGCGGATTATACGAGCTTTCGCTGTACGTAGATTCCTCGAGCGAGATACCGCGTCGCTGCGGCTCCTGAACGATGACGAGCGTCAGCTGGACAGCCGCTGCACATGCTGCCCCGAGCGAGCGCACGGCATAGCTGTTTCGCGCATGTAATGGAAGGAGCTATCCTCTCGAAAATGCGAGTATCGAGGTCGATTCGCTAGTCTTCTGCCGACTGATTGATGAGAGAACATCTGCTCCTCTCTATAATTACGTATAGCAAGAGCAAAAATGCACGTATACAGTGCGATGCTTAGATTTTTTCTGCCAATATATACAGAAAATAGATTCTCGGAAGAGCATGTGCAATGATCTCACGCCAAGAGAATAAAGCAAACAAAAGAGTTCAACAGGCCATATTTCATACTTACTGGCTGACGATGAATCGGCCTGTACGAAAGAACAATACGTGTATAGTTTCGGAAGCCGTTATTTATGCCTCCAATCGAGCAGTCAAAAATCGCTCGACTTTTGTAACCCAGAGAACTTCTTAAACGGGTGCGTCGTTCACGCGCACCTAATGCAACCAGCTCACGCATCGCAATAAGCACGAGAGTGCGAAGAATTTTGCTCGCGATGCGTACGTGGACACCGCCGATCACCGGAGGACGCTAAGTAATATTATGTGGCACGAGTCGCGCAATTGGACTCTCCGGTCACGATCGGCAACAGTACTGTATTATACGTGTACACAATAATACGCGCACACTTGCATGCCACGTTCATCCTTGGCTCGGCGACTTAGCCCCAACTAAGGCCATTTTATTGCCGATCGTCGAGCTGGTAGCAGGTATATTATTTTCCCCGGGCAAAAAAGTCGGCTGGCGCAGTCCTTTACGAGGCCGCGAAAAAACAACATCGAACAAGTCTTAATTCACGAGTACTCGGGGACTGGATATAGCCTTTAATAGGGCTATCGAACGTGTGTTTTTCCTGTACGCGTACATCGATTCAACCCGACGTTCATCGAAGACTATTTTAAGGCGATAAAATTCTAACGACGCATCGTCCGTAAACCAAGTTTTTTGCGCTATCTACCGTCAAGTATTTACTGGCAGCATTCGAGTGAGTGAGGATTCGAGCGACAAACTCGAAATGTCAAAGTGCAGTTGGAAGATCGAAACGCTCGGATGAATCTAGACGACTGAGCCGCCACGAGACAATCGACAGCGCCGGCGTGAAAATAATAAGCCGAACACTGCGCCGCATCTCCGAGTCATCGGCCGAAATAATAATCGCTGGCTTACGGTCAGTGGGTCAAGCCGTCTTGTATCGGAAGTGGCGGTGGCGGTAGCCGTGGAGGAGGAGGAGGATACGAATTATGCAAGTATAATCCACGCTACATTGTTGTTGCTGTACAGAGAGAGAGAGAGAGAACAGTGCGTTTGCCTAGGCCTGGCCTGGCTTGGCAAGCGTAGCAGCGTGACCGTTTAAGCGGTGCTGCGCGCATAAATAATCACTCGCGGCCTGCTCCTGCATAGCTAAGATATCAGACGACTCCACCTCTATATAATATAGCGGCAGTGGCGAGTGCGGCTCGCAGGCATTCTTCTTTTTCGGCCTGAGCGAGCGCGAGCCATGCTCCAGGCCAACGAGCAGCAGCTACAGCAGCATCGGAGCGACGTCTTCGAGCGCGATCCATCAGTACGAAGCGGAAGCCCGACGACGCGCGAGTTCAGGGTACCGCGAATCGATCAGCGCAATCGCCGTCACAGGACCCGCTCGGCCTCGTCCTGGACCTCGTCGATCGAGCACGCGGCGGCCAACAAGCCACCTATACCACCGGGCTGCAGGAGCAGATCGGCCCAGCGATTGTCGGCCACCACCTCCGCCGTCGTCCACGAGGCACTGCCCTCGCCCCGGGTGCCGTTCGAGCACTGGATGCACCGAGCGGCCTCGAGAGCCGCCAGCATGAACGAGATCGAGGACGAGATCGAGCGGCGCTGGCCGTCGTCGTTGAGGCTCGAGCACGACGAGGAGCTCAGGCCGACGATGCAGCCCGTGCCCCGAGGATTCCCGATGGAAAGCGCCGCGGCCGCCTCCAGGTAAGAACACCGGTTCACGTATACCGATTATATACCGGTATCGAGCGGCTACCGATCTCGAGCGTTCATAATTACTCGAGCTTCCGTAACCGATCGCACAATTGCACGCAGAAATCGCAGGCGCACTTGTGGCAGCGATCTCGACGGCTCGAATCGCTCCTGCGACGACGAAGAGGATCTCGTCGAGGAAATCGTTGACTCGATAAGTCTCGTGGCCAGTCGACACGTCTATCGGCCTCAGCAGCAGCAGCAGCAGCAACTGCAACAACATCGGCACGAGCCGAGAGAGCAACGGAGAGACAGCAACGATCTCCAGGACGATTGGTGCAACGAGCTGTCGGTGGAGCGAGTCGACTCGTCGAGGGCCGACGAGCAGCCGGCGTCGAGCAACGTCAACGACAACGATACTCTGCTGATCCAGCAGAGCGAGAGGGAGACATCGAGCGCCGAAGCTGACAAGCTACATGGAAATAAGGAGCAGTTTCGAAAGATCGAGGAATGGAAAACTATGGGCATACGCTACGGCAGAGAGGAGCGGGCCGTCGACGTGCCGGACGGCGCCAGTGCCGTGTCGCTGGGCTACTGCGCCAAAGCCAAAATCGGTAAGCGACCGCGAGAACGAGTTTGAATCTAGTGCGGCAACGAATCGATTCGAGATGCCTGCAAATTTATGTCAGCGTAAAAATGTCGAACGCGCGAGTGATTTTTATAATTGTTGAGTACTCGTCTCGTCGCTCGTCGCATGGCCGTTTATTGAATCATTTTTCGCATCTGTCGTCGTTGCCCGAAAGAGAAATGCGTGCAGCGATCGGATAAACGAAATCATTAACGATTGAACCCGCTGCGAGATATACGATATAATAAGCGCGCGTACGCTTTCTAATTCATGCAGAGTGTATATTTTAGCGATGAGTTTAATGCGTCGAATCGAAGCTAGGCTTGTGCTAAACACGACACGTGTAGCGATCGATCCATTTATCGGATCTCGATTCGATAAAAAAAAAGTCGCGTGACGAGATAGGCGAAAGTAAAATCGACCGAAATTCATTTGCATGATCGTGTGTATGCGCGCTGTGTATCTGTATACGAGGAACACAAAGATCGAGCGAAATCATTTCTCGCGCATCCGGTAAATCATAAAATGCGGGCATCGAACGCTGCTTCCTATTATTCTCACCTTCCTCGACAACGACTCGCTTTCCTATAGATCGCTTCGCGTGCAATAAACGATATGCAGATCTGCCAAAGCGCAAATAACTCGATATTATTGTCAGATTATGATTGTGTAATGAATATGTCGGTGCGGTGCGGGCGTGCTTTCACGGTCCGAGTTCGCGAAACTCTGCGTATAGCTCTATGCGTGGTTCAACGTATCGTACCTATAGGTGTAGGCCGATACCTATACTCATTGTTGTTGGACTCGATACTCGCGCTGCGCGCAACACATCGCAACTAGCAATATAAGCAGCAGCAGCAAAACTGATTTATGTATTCGCCTTTTGCCGTTTGGCGCACACACTCGTATACAGCATATATTACGCGCAGCGGTAGATGCATCCTTCTTTAATAAGATGAAGATTAATGCGCGTCGGAGATACCGATCGCCGCGAATTTTTCTTTCTTACTCCTTCGCTCTCTCTCTCTCTCTCTTTCTCTCTTTCTTTTCATAATATCTATTTGCGTGAATGCATGAGCGCTCGTGGCCGATGATGATGGCGATCTATGGTGCGCGCCAACAACGAAGGACTGACCATTCTTTGCTAATTTTTACCTCCAGCTCTAGCGCGTAGAATATTTATAACGTTAGACGAAATTGAAAATTTCAAAAGAAACAAATATTATTATATAAAGTTAAAACTACGATTAAGTAATTTTCGACGCGGACTCTGAATTTCCGTTGGAATGATATCGAAAACTTAATTTTTCGATATCATTCCCCTTCATAGATGAACTAAACAAAGCTTCCCTGGTAGAAATGCAACATTTTTTTACCAATAGTGTAACGCTTTTTCTCATATAAAATGGTCATTTAATGGTCATTTGCCATGAATGGCCATTAAATGGCCATTTTATATGAGAAAAAGCGTTACACTATTGGTCAAAAAATGTTGCATTTCTACCAGGGTTCAAGCTTTCTTTTATGTGAGAAACAGGAATTATCGATCAGAGTTTAAAATGTTATTGCAGACAAGAGAAGGAATTATTATATTATCTTTACTGAAAAACAATTTTTTGTTGGGTGTATAATTTTTTTTTATATTTTAATCGAAATTCAGTTTTACCAGTAAGGCAACAGATTTTCTTTCAATTATACGTCCTATCAGTTGACAATGATTCATCGATCGCCAAGGTATTAAAACGTGTGCTCGCGACCAAACGATAAGTTCAACTTTTTTGTAAATATGGATTTTGCGGTATACAGTCATTTCATCTGTAAGGATGGCGTGCGAGAAAAAAGCCAGTGCACCGAATAGCCCTTGAGAGATTAAAACTGAGCTACATTCTTTCGAAAGCCGAGATTATAATGAAGCATAAACCGTGACATATGGTCAAGCGCTCCCTGCCTTACTTAATTGAATCGTTCTCTTGGCTTTAGCAAAAGCGAGAAACAGAAGAAGAGCAAAATCGCAACTGTGCAGAAAAAACTCGATTCCACATTTGCTTACATACAGTTTCCAAGTAGTTTTTTTTCAAAATTATATCAAATATCCGATCACATTGATTAATTCAATTTTGAAAATATTTCTATGAATGGTTAATATGTTAGTTTCAGTGCTGCACTCGTTGACGTTTTACGATTTGTTTCTTTGAATTTCCACACGAGTCGAGGGATATTGGAACAAAAATAATTTATAGTCTACGTTTGGAAGTTTTCAGACTCACATCGATCTTTACATTTCGTAATATTGACTAAAGTTATAATTCATACTACTTTATTTGAACTATTTTCCTTGAAAAAGATAATGATTGACAGCAAAACACGAGTTGGAAAAAATCATTAGATAAATTAAAAAAAAAATAGTAAATTGCGGCTTTGTAAATGCTCAAACAACATCGAATTTAAATAGCTCTCTCGGAATCGGATTAGCTACGCACGTGTATTAGAGTTGAGTGACATTTGTTTACATTGCTGCAAAACGCGAAAAATTAAATCTATGACGAAGAAGAACTCATGATTAGGACTGGAGTTTTAGCAACAAAATAAACAAACGTGAATCATCTCGTTTGAAACCGAACTCGTACACGTAATGTAACTGATAAGAGTTAAAGCCAGATACTTTGTTTCTCAATTTTTTTCGATGTACAGCTAATAAAATTACAGTGTATTGACTTCGTGTGCGAAAAAACAAGTCATGGACAAATTTTGGAATTTCAACAAAAAAAACTATTCCAAAGACACCGTGTGCAAGCACTGTCGAATTTAGCTCTGCTGCTGTTGTAATGGCAAAAGTAGGGCTCGTTGGTGGGCACTCATACTTGCAACAACAACAGCAGCAGCAGCAGCAGCAGTAGTAGAAACTGCACGACTAACTGTATATTTATCATAACGCAGCTAGACACAGACACACATATTATATATACAGAGCAACAGTTTTCGTTCGCTCTAACGACGTCGGAAAATCAGTTATGGCCACGCACTCGAGCCTCGGAGCATAAACGAAAAATCATACGTACGCGAGTACCAGGCGACAGCTGTACACGCGAAATATCGCATTAGCGCGCTTGCTCAAGACTCGGTCCATTTTACCGAGAGCACCGTTTTAACGCTTTGCACTGACCAGATAAAGTACGCGTCCGTAGGAGTTGAAGATGCTTCGTCTCTTTAGTGCAACTCCAGTATGTACACGAGAAACTAGTTCCGAGCAGCTCTACAAATAGCTTCATTCTTTTTCTTCATCAATTATTCATGGTACGGTAAATTTTATCATTTTGTTTTTCGTTGTTCTTCACCTGTATAGCCGCGAACACGCATTTAGTATAGTTATGATCACTCGCACGCTACTCACCACTTTTGATGTGCTAAAACTTCTGATTCGATCGATTGCTTCTGCTGCTTCTGCTGGCACACTCGGCTGAGTCAGAGTAGTCACTGCCTCGAAAGCTCAAAAAGAACAGAGCTATGACTGCGAGATAAGGGCGGCTTATATTTATACTGCTGCGCGCGACGATGGCGTCAGGAGTCCGTTTTGGGAAATACGCAAAAGTTCTCCACCTCTCGCGCATAGCTTTTTTTCTGACTAGTTCGATGTATATAATTGTGAGCCTATTATATATAGTTTCATCATGATTAATGATCGTATCGAAGTAGTTTTTGCTTTTTTTCAGTAAAAAAAAAAACTTAAGTAATAAACTTGAGCATTTCCAAGAATTATAAAATAATTGATAAGATAATCGAGGAGTAATGAGCTGATTTGTCGCTTGTTTTGTCATACAGATCTTGTTTTTTTACATAGTCATGAAGGTACAGTATCCAAAATTTACAATACAAAATTTGCAAGATCTTTATCAATGCTTCTGAAACGTCTGGCATAAATAAGAATCTTGGTACACTTAGAATGATGGATGATGCATTATCTCTCTCGTCTCCCAATTCATAATGAACATGCTACAAAAAATATAGCTATTAATTATTTTCATGTAGATCGACGATTAAACTTTATTGATACTATTTTCAAGCTACTTGTTTTCCTAGATTATCAAGTAGCCTATAATTTTCCGGCAGTAAAAAACGCGCAAAACTATTTTATAAAATTCGACTTAAGTACGGGTCTCTTTACTCAAAGTAAAAGCTGAAAGTGGCGTAGTTTTCTCTTTGATACCATAAAATAAAAAGTACGAGGTAGCTCCCACAACGACGCGACCATTATAGTACGATCGTCGAGGCAAATCCATCATAAATCATGCGTCGGTGCAAAACTGACACGCGCGCGAACATCTGTCGCGTGAGGTCTGCGCTGCTACTCGAGAGCGCGGATAAATCCGCAGCTGGACTGCATACGCGATGGGTGCAGTGCTAGATCCTGCGCAATGCGTGTATACATACACGTGCTCGCGCACCGCCGTAATGCATGTATAACTTTCCAAGATGCGCACCAGAAGAAACGGGGCCAAAAGCGAACCGGTATTTTCTAAACGCGATGCGCAGAGGCCACGTACTACAGCGGCACTGCGCATTTGACAAGCCGATCTGCACGTCCAGCGCAGGACTTCGTGGTCTTGGCAGTTTCAAGTAGTTTTTTTTTTTCGAATTCGAACTTTTGTCCTTAATTCAACGGACCGAAAGTTATCTACGACACCTCACTGGTGACATAATAAAAAAACCTTAGTTGAAGGGGTTTGATAAATATCATTATCAATCACACTTGTTACCGCAACAGCTCTGATTATCATTTTCTCGATCGGTGACGATTGCAGCTATTTTTTGCACTTTCATCTTAAATGACAAACTTGACCATACAGCTGAAGTTGGAAATTATTCGTTACTTCTATCATTCGTCTTCATCTCGGTGCAACTTTCGCCCAAACAGCTGAGCGTCCGAGTCTAGAATTTCTTTGTCTAGGCCGAAGAGCCTACAGCTAAATGGGCAAGTTACAGTGGCGCACTCGAGGCATATACGAATTGTGGCATATTATCAGATGGCCCATCCTAAATCTGCATTTGTATATAATACGCGCGCGGTGCAGTGCCAGCCAGTGCAGCAGTCCCTCGAGCAAAAATCGCGCAAGCGCCGCGTCGACTTTCTCGTTTTCTCGCACGGCTTATTTATCAAGCTGCATACACACACAAACATATAATAATAATAAAAGCACACACGCGCCAGGATCGGAATTAGACATAATAATCGCGCCTCTCTCTCTCATATGCCCTATCTGTCTCGGGCCTTTATAACAACGGCACGACTAATTGGGACATTATGTATACCGCTGCAGCGGCTGCTGCTGCTGCTGCTCTTGCACATATTTATATATTTTCGCTCTCGTGCGCACGTACGCGTGATGCAGCACGTTCTCTCTCGCGCAGGTAGAATCTCTGTGCCGCGGATGAGTGCAATGGCTGCTGCGGCTGCTGATTCTGCTGTGGATAACACTGCTGCTGCTGCTGCTGCTTCTCAGAGCGCCTCGTGGGCAGGGATAATGCGCTTGTTTATAACGAAAAGTTTTCACTTTATAACGGGCCGATGACCTTGAGATTTGGAACTGCTCGAGATCGCGTATAATTCTGCGTGAGATATCTCGTTGCGCGAGCCATATACGAAGAGAGGCATTTTCTGGATTTGTTTTTTTATTTGCACGAGGCTTCGAATTGCTTCGATTATTTTTGCCTTTTTTCATCTCGCTTCATGTGGTTTACCCAAGTTGGAATTCAAACTATACTTTCATAGAATTTCGGACTTTTTGTTGGGGTTTTTTCTTTGTTATACTGCTTCTATGGGGAAGAACCTAAACATGTTGCGATCTAAGTCTATGATCGTGTGTTATTGTATTCGTTGAAATTTCGATCTATATTAGTTTTTACCAAAATATAAAAACCCAACTGCTGCATCGCAATACCACTACCACTTTTAATATATCAACCAACGTTATACGATTTTCCAGATACTTTCTTTAGTCTTTATTATATTTCTTGTTATAATTAAAAATAAAAATTATTTAATAATAACCGTGTAAAGTCGAATCAAATTTCTCATTTCAATGATACAGTCAGTGCCTGAATATCGCTTTAAAAATGTCGTATCTGCTGTTCGCTGCTGAATTAATCATCGATTCTGGAAATGTCCAATTTGATCGATTAACATATTAATACATTTAGGTATATTTCACGATGAAAGATCTCGTGTCCCCACACGTGGCGCGTTGATCCAGTAACAATGACCGGAGACTCTCAAAATAACGTATGACCTTTTATTTTCGATGACACGATGAAAATTTTGTCTACTTTGTTGGAAATGACTCTTGATTCTATTAGAATTGTTTGACTCTTTGAAAAGATATTTTTGGAAGCATGAATGTGTTTATTTATTAAATTGATGTTTTTACTTAATTTGAAGTAATACCTATCAGCCCTGAATAACTTTAGAAAAAAATCTTAAAATCATTTTTTGCCTTAAATTTCTGCAAACTTGAACAATTTGACAGAGAATCGGTCGATACGTACAATGGAAGTTTCACGATGGCTCACGGCTACACATACGATATACGCAAGTGCAGGTATTATGATGATTCTCTGCATCGAGGTTTCGGAAAAAGCGAAAACTCCACTAAGGAGAAAAAAAGTGTACACCCACGCATAGACACGCATATACACAAAGGTGAGCTCTGCGTTGGCGATACGGACTCATCAGTTATACTCAACTGGAATCATGTATGTAATTTAACGCACCCGTGAACTTTTTGCACGAAGCATCGATGCCCGACCGCACATCGCCCAACTCGCCCATGTATAGCAGCGCAAAACGCGCATATAGTAATCAGGCTTGTCTCTGCTTGGCGCGCGCGCGCGCGAGCGATTCGCTCGACGTAGCGTCACGCGATCTTCTCAAATGAAAGAAAAAAAAGGAAAAAGAATCCACGCACAAAAGCATCGCGTATAATACATCGATATATGTGTGTGTGTACAATTGGAGGCGATTTGCAGCAGCGCGAATATAAGCCGTGGGGAGAAAAAAGTACACACGCGGTACAATATGTGCTAAACGCTCGCGTGAACTAGAGAAAGTTATATATAGTTTACATTTGGCAGATTTTTATCTGCACGAAAAAACAGCGTCAGCACAGCGTTGCAAAGAGATGTGTGTATGTGTTTCATTATGTAAAAAGTTTGTTCTACATCGAAATGCAACGAATCACTATTTATGTTTGTACATTTGCTTATTTCTCACTCTTACTCGCAGATACACCCATATAATACGCAGCTTATACGTTGTAAACAGCTGCAAATTTCTGATTATGCGTAGATAGCTAAGGATTGTATAATTAATTGGCACTTTTAAAGTTTATTCTGTCGGTCCGAGTGTGGAAGATTAATGATTCTGACTTCATTTCGAGAAGTAAAGTTTTTTGTTATCTCGACGTTTACAACTTCATAAATGAACAATTCGTTGGCTTTTTCAACCAACTTAATCTCTATTATTTTCCCATAAAAACGTTAATTTTATTTCGTCTAATTCTGTTCTGAATCGTTACTCTGAATAGCCTTTCTACGTGAAACACCTTTCAATTTTTACATATTCTCGGTCATTTAAATTTATGAAGCTCGAACCAAAACTCATATTGACTTGTTTACTTTCTATGCGATGCAGCAAACAACCACAATCACAATAACAATAACAACAGCACGAGCAACAACAACAACAGCAGCAGCTCGAACAACAATAACGCCGAGCACGATAAGGACAGCCTGAATGAGACGGGCAGCACGACAGGTGACACGGTGAACGGCGGCCCCGGCAACGGGGGTGGCTTAGCGTCGTCCGGACCCGGTCGAGCGGATCGTCACCTCGACGATTTGCCCGGGGGCCGATCGCACTCGCCACCCCCCAAGTCCCTGGTATCCAGGATACTCGCCAGGTCCAGGAGTCCCGACGATCTCCTCGACCATTCGGAGCCATTGTGAGTAATTCCAACAGATTTTCAGCCGATTGAGATCGACCTTTTATTAATCGTATCGTGTGATTACAGTTCACAATTATGGATCGTCTTGTCGAACGTTTACGGCGAGCTCGTTATCGTCCTAACGATGGCTCTGTGTTTGGCCGAAGTCATGGATACGCCCGTGCCACTACTCAGTCTTCAGGTAACAATTTTTTTTTTAATTCAAATTCGAAACTTGCGCTTTTCATGAAAAATTTCGCGTGGCATATTCCATCGAACGTTATTAAAAATAATCCCATCTAGTCATTAGAAACTTTCGCAATTTGAAGCGCATTCGCGTATAACAGCGCGCGACCGATTCGCAGATCATCGACCTTCCCCGTGAATCGAGGAAACATTTTCCACGTCGTGGCGCTCAACGGGCTATGATACGGCGCGGACTTTTATCAGCTGCTAAAAAATTCAACCAATTTGTTAAACGAGCGTTTGAGCAAGTGCAATATTATGCGCGCGTTGCATCGAAGAAAGTATATCGTTTGCAAAGAGGCGCGTATAATATACAAGTCATAATACGTATATTATGGCGTATACAGCTGTCGATTGGCATCATCGTGAAATCTTATGGATTTTGCATTATTCATCGGAATAAAAATCGTAACTCTCACTTTCGCGAGTCGCTGAGTCAAAAAACTCATAGACTCGGCGCCGCTGCCGCGAGATCCGCTATAATAAAATGCAGAGAGCGCCGCGCCGAGCCGGCACAAGGTTGCAGAGGAAAAGCCGCGCCCCTGCACGCAGTTCGACTGGCGATACAGCGCCGCGGCGCCGGCGCGCCATTCAGCCATATAATATTTGCGATTTCGCTCGGGCATCGTTAAAGACTCTCATTGGTATCGTGATTGGAGGCTTCGTGGATATACCTGCACGCTTACGTATCTGCATATACGTGTACGTATCGTTGTGTTGAAAGTCAAACGATATGTGCTGTATATTCTTCGAACGGATCTGCAGCGCAGCAATAAAAAAGAGCGCCGATCGTTGCACCTTTGCAACTCGTATAATTCAACTTGACAATAATAGTTTTTTCTCCGTGTTTGTTCGGACCAACTAATTCCGATTATGAATTGTATCATCTAAATTTACAATAGTTTCAAAGCAGCCAAATCGTCGCATTGTTATTGCTCGGCAAAAGACCGAATGTTCATTTCGTGGATAGAATTATACAATCATAAACTTCATAAGCATTTTTATTTTAACGTAAAAATTGCACAATATCATTAAAAAGTGCAGTGCCTATCATTATCCAATCGAGCTATTACAAATAATACATTATCGATCTCTCTCGCTACACCTTGATATGGAGAACACATAAATTCTCGTGCTCCACTTACAAGGGTAAATAAGGAACTGTTACATTTACTACTCTGAAAGAGACGCCCAATTCGTTTCGATATTAAATTCGTTAAATTGTTCTATTTTACACTCATCGTTGCATTCGTCCGATAAATTACTTAACGGAGAGAAGCAGCAAAAAACAAAAAGTATTTCAATAGAACAAACTCGAAAGTTGCATGGCGATATACATTTGCGAGACGCGTATAGTACACGTCAGTATACTTTTTTTTTATATTTTAGTGTATATTGAACCTCGTTAGAGATATTCGCACTTTTTTTATTAGATATACAGTGGTCGCCGCTTAAGAGAATTGCGCTTAATAGAATACGCCGGTTAAATGAATCAAAAATCCTAACAATGATTTTCCCGTATCCTTATACATGTAAAATTCACCGCTTAAGTGAATAAACTTTTCGCTTAATAGAATCAAATTTAGTTTGAAGACGATGTTTACATTCAATGTTGTTGTCGATTAAATACAAGTTTCATTGTCAGTACTTTCTCATAGCACCGTCGGTATTACATGCTCATAATAATTAATTGTGTTAGTGATACAAGTATGAAAAAATCATCAGCTATAGTTCATAGAAAAGGCTTAAGTGTCCTTGAAAAAAAGGAGCTACTAAAAAAATATGATTTGTTGCCAAATTTATCACAAAGTGATGCAGCGCTGTTATTAAACATATCACAAGCTACTCTTAGTAGATTATTATTAAATCGTTACGAGATAGAAAGTACCTCTTGCTCTCACGAAAATCTCAGCCGCAAGAGAAAACGATGCGGCAAAGACGAAGACGTAGAAAAAACGTTGAAGAAATGGTTTGTGGAAGTGAGAGAAAAAGGCGCTCCAATTAATGGCCCGTTACTTAAAGCAAAAGCTGAAGATTTGTCAAAGAAATTAGGCAAAGAAAATTTCAAGGCCACTGACGGTTGGCTCTCACGTTGGAGAGGCCGAGAAAATATTGTGTATCGCAAGCCACATGGTGAACAAGCCGAAGCTGATTTTACAAGTGCAAATGAGTGGTTTATACAAGAATGGCCAGAAATATCTAAAAATTATTCGCCAAGCGATATATTTAATGCTGACGAAACGGGTTTATACTACCGAGCATTACCAGAGCATACATATGCTCTAAAATCAGAAAATACGAAAGGCTTCAAAACAAGTAAGGAGCGTATAACGTTGTTATGCTGTGCCAGTATGGCAGGTGAAAAAAAAGACCTGTTTGTTATTGGAAAATTTAAGAATCCACAATGCTTCAAAGATGTGACTCAATTGCCTATTGCTTACACGGCCAACAGAAACGCGTGGATGACAAGAGACATTTTTTCTGATTGGCTACGAAATTGGGATAGACAATTAAAACGCAAAATTTTATTAACCATTGATAATTGCGGTGCACATTCAAACTTAGAGCCTATGAAAAATATTACAGTGGTTTATTTACCTGCCAACACGACGTCTCTGATACAGCCTTGCGATCAAGGTATAATTCGTACATTAAAAGCGTACTATCGAAGAACAATGAGGGAACGGATTATACAAATATTAGATAATCAACAAAATGTCAAAGCCAATGACATTGCCAAGAAGACCTCTCTGCTTGATGCGCTACATCAGATCAAAGAAGCTTGGTCTTATGTATCTAGCGAAACGATAAAAAATTGTTTTAGAAAGGCTGGGTTTGTTAACGGAACTAATGAAATATGTAATATTTCGAGCAACGTTAGCTTGAACGAAATTTATCCGGAAGATATGACACATGAGGTTTTTGACGAGTGGATAGATATTGACGAATGTCTAGAAACCTCTGGAAAGCCAACAGATGATGACATATGCCAAAAATTGGACACAGATGAATCAGAAATTGAAGAGGAAGATGATAGTATAGAACCCGCACCTAATAATCTAGAAATGTTTAACGCATTACAAGTCTTGAGACGAGGAGTTCAACATCGTTCGAAATCCTTTGAAGAGTACTACAAATTTGAAAAATTTATTTTCAAAATAATTGACCAAAAGAAAAAACAAACCAAGATAAATGACTATTTTACTAAATTATAATGGTGTCACATATGATTTGAATAAATATTTAATAATAAATAATTTATTATATAAATTATATATATATATATATTCATTTATAATAATAAATTATTTATTATAATAATGCATAATTTCTCGGATTCAAAGTTATTTATAAGTTATTGCAATCCCTATCGGATAGTAGAATCATCCGCTTAATAGAATGAAAATTTTTGTCACACAGTGATTCTCTTAAGCGGCGACCACTGTATTAATTGAACTTTTTTTTTACTATGATTGAGCGAGACAGTTTTTGGCCGAAATGCGAGGACTTTTTTAAAATTTATCATTAATTGAAAATATACTACTCCCATTTATCTTAAACATTAAACCATTGCTTTTACAATTGAGTTCCGTGTTCCCTCATCTTTCTCTGTTCATAAAGATCGATAAAGGATTTCAAACGTTTGAATAGGTCTCGTGACTCTTACTATATATGAGATAGGATCCAGTCAAAATCGACCGAGTTATTCAATTTTTTCTTAAATTTTAAAGTTTTCTGTTAAATTGAAGTGAGCTAAGATACTTCAAAGCACTGAGTTAGTCCGTAAGGATGATGAAGTTTCTGTTTCTAAAATCCAGGCAACAGTTTACTGCCAGTGCGTCAATAATGCGCTCGACTGTCTGACTTTTCCACGAATATCGGCTTGTAAATTCGCGCACCAACTTGGCACTGTTGCATATATCACACAGTTTACCGAAAACTACTCAAGTACAATACAAAGCCGTTATCCGCGTACGTTACTGCACAGGCCGCGAATAGAATCTCTATAAATAGGCGCGCGCACGCGAGATAGGTATACATATCGCAACATTAATCATCGAACTGTCAGTATATCGCGCACAATGAACTTCGATTTTTCGCCGAGATCGTAATCGCGCGAGAAAAGATTTTCACGGTATAAGGATGATTTATTAAGTTAAGCGAATACATACGTAGCTCGACTTCCACGAAACTTGCCGCGAAAGCATAATGACGATATTTTCTTTAGCAACTTTTGCTTTTCGAGACAAGGAATTGCTTTGTCGGTTCGTATATGGGCGCGCGCAAGAATACTTTGCAGGACCTTTCAGAGATGCAGAAAAGTAATTTCGCGTGGCGAGAGTATAAAAGTGAAATGGAAAATGTGTGGCGCGCAGCGATGCTTGCAAAACTGTAGTAGCTCCTAAGTATATGGAGGATCGGCCGTCTAAGCTGTAAAAAACATCGGTGTCTGAAATTGAGGAGTGTATTAGGGAAGCTCGATGTATTCCAAGCACCAGTTGAGGCACAGAAATCTGCCCAGCACACTACTTAAATGCTCTCGGAGTAGTCGGCTCGGATGCAGTAATCTCGTACATATAGTTTGGCGCGCTCTGGCGTGAGCAGCCCCCACGCATACATGCGAGAGAACTCTATGCAATAACTGCGCATACACACACACGTGTGTGTGCAGACACTGACAGATACCGATACATCATCGGACGTCTGCCGCAATTACGGATCATATGCGCTCGCGGAGCAAAACTATGTGTACAGTTGAAATTGCCCCTAAGGACTACGGACTCGTCGATTTTACTTCGAATATATATGTGTGTGTGTGTGTGTGTGTACAGCTCTGTACAGCTGCACTGCGATGCATAATATAATGGCTACGTCTGAATGCATCGTCTTTACAGACGCACATGCATTCGCGTCTATCTGAGCGAGCTCGATGCTTGCGGTGCAGCATACTCTTATCCTTCACAGTTACGTCTTCGAGTATGAATTGTAGATGCTGGAGTGGATGCTGATTCTGCCGTTGGAGATAAAAAAAAAAGACGAAAATATCTAACGACGCGTGAATTTTCTTTTCTAAAAGTGATTGGTTTCTAGGGCAATTTCGACGTGATTGTGGATACTTACCTATATTAAAAAAAATTATTCGTATCAAGGAATTTTTTTCAATTTATTTCGCAATAAATAAACTCGTTTTGAAGTTTTTTTTTAAATTAATTGTTTTAATTATATCTAAAATAAAATTATACGATTAAAAAATTTAGAGAAATCGATGAATTAAATCATTTTCAATTTATTTATTCAAATATTATAATAAACATGCAACATTAAGTAACACTGAACATAACAAAGTATTTCAAATATTCCAATGAAGCCATTACAAGCTTTGGTCTGTAATCACCAGGCAAATATGCCACAAATCTTCGTTCATAAGTTGCTCGATAATCATATCGCAGCAAAGAATAGGCAGTCGATAGCGCGTCAGCTTCAAGAATGGATCTAAGGCGCATCGTCGGAAAATTCTTCTCAACAGTATCTCACACAGATGCGCAACACAAATTTCTGATTGTCTTTCGGGAAACTTCCACAATATATTTCCGTTCTTGAAGTAGTCTACAAACGTGTATAGCTTCGCTGCCTTCTGGGTTGGTAACCGGATCAGGTCGTAGAGCGATAGATTTGGAGTCATCATCAACATTTTCGAGTGGCTCACAAACTTTGTGTTTTCAAACAAACGTGGTTGGAGATCTACCGACTTCAGGAACAATTCGTTTTTGGCGAGCAATTTCATAATCGTTTGGGCCCCGCTTTGGTCCAGTTCGTATCCTCTTTTCTCTAAGCTTCTAATGACAGCAGCAGCGCTAGATGCCAATCTCAATTTAAATTCCAGCAAAGTTTCATCATCCTGTTGTATTAATTCCTCAGCAAAGTGACTTGCTGTTGGAAAAACCAATGTAGATAGATCAGCCCCACGATTCAGCAAAATCTCGACTACATTGGGCAAGAAGTTCACCACGGCCCATTGAAGGGCTGTCCGACCCCACTTGTCCCGAGCATCAATCCTCACCGGTTCATGTTTTTCATCACTGATCTCAAATAACATTTTCACCCAGCCATCACAGTTGTTATCAAAACCTTCGCCTCTCTTACAAATAGCGTATAAAGGTGTCAATCCCTCTTCATCGGCTGAATTTGGATCAGCGCCTTTTTTCAGCAGCAATTCCGCCACTTTCTTGTTGTCGCTGACCACCGTTAAGTTTAGCGGCGTGTTACCAAACTTGTTCTGGGCATCGATCTGCACTGGCTCATATTTGTCGTTGGCGAGCTCAAATAACATATTCGCCAGGACATCACTGTGTTGAAATTTGCAAATAATATGCAGAGGAGTCGAGAAATTTTCGTCAATTAAATTCGGATTCGCGCCATATTTCAGCAACAATTTGGTCACTTGCCTTGAGCAGTGGTTCAGGGCCAAGTGCAGTGGTGATTGAGCTGTTTCCGGTACGAGGCAGTTGGGATCCTGACCAAGCTCGAGAAATTTTTCGACTACGTCGACATGGCCATACATGCAGGCCACATGAAAATGCGTTAGGCCGAACTCGTCCATGTAATTCACGTCGAATCTGTCGTATATCTTGAATAGACAATGAATAGTCCATGTTTCTTTTCTGCGTCCAAACGCATGATGCACTGGTGTTGTGCGTAGCGACGGTGGCTTGCCGTCTTCATCAACGTCGGGCATGTCCTTGTAGTCAGTGCGAGCCACAAAATCGATTATTTCTTCTCCGTCGTAGTTTAAGTCGCCAACCATGGATTCCGTAAGAAGCCAATGAATTTCTTCCTTTCGTAAAACGTTTTCCAAATGGAGATTTGGAAGTGGCCGCCTCCAATCCCTGATTAAGTAGATGAGATCGAAGATAAATTTTTTTCGTTCTTCTTCAATCTCCCAATCGGTCCGTTCGCGCATACTCTTCAATTTTTTCAAGTTTTCTTGGTTAATACGATCCATTTCCGCTGGATCATAGTCGTCGCTCCCGCGCTCGCTATGAAAACTTGCATCGGAATCATCGTCATTTTCGCCCTCGCCATAGAAATTTCCATCGAATTCTTCGCCGCTTTCACTTTCATCATAGAAAATTTCATCGAATTCATCGTAGTTTTCACCCTCGTCATGGAAATTTCCGTCGAATTCGTCGTCAGACCACACGTTGCCCATTGTTTGCGGCACTTACGCACAACACACACAATATTCTTCACTTTTTTCGTGAGGGTAATGTTCTTTCTGCGGGCGATGCGTTCTTTTTTGTTTAGACGAAGACCGTATATATATACTGTGTTAACGTACTCAAAAACTAACGTTATGTCGATGAGCGAACAACTCGCACGAACCTGCACAGCGCGAAGGAGACAGTGGAGTGTCGACAAAGTAAGGGGCCTTCCATTAATTACGTAATGACCTTTGGGAGGGGGGTGGTTGGCGAATTTCCTTACTAATAATTATGTAGGGGGGGTAGGGGGGTATTTCAAAAATATTACGTAATTTGAATATTACATTCGTATTAAATTTTTTTTTATAAAATTATACACATCAATAGTATTATGAATCAGAACTATGTTTTAGTGCACACACTGCGTGAGCACACATTTTTTACTATATATTATAAATATTTTTGAAGGATAGAGTTTGCCGCTACTGTGATATATATTTTGCGAGTATGAAAAATGTTGAAGCGCATAGAAAAGCTATTCATCCTAAAATTAAGAAAGTAAAAAAAAAAATTTCTGTCGAAGTCATTAAGCGCCGCGAAAATGAAGCTTTATGTATTGTTAAAAACAATGATTTAGAAGACGTTGAATGGTGGGATATCGAGGAGCTTATTGCGAGGGATATATTAATTCCCAATGAGCAACCTGTACCAGAAGATGATTTACCCATCATAAAGTCCATACAAGAATGGCTTGAGTGTGATTGGACTGAAGACGCTTAAAACATTAATTACTTAAAAATAATTTAAAATTATATTAAAAATTATTATTTTTATAATGTAAGAATTATTTTTGTTCAAAAATGTATTAATCAAGAGACCAAATATTGATCCAAAAATTGTTAAATCTAGAAATTAGAACACAAATAAATAATAAAAAAAGAATTCAATGTTTGAATTATAAAAAATATATTGCTCGTCAGTTTTTGTGATTTTTTTTTTTTTGATGCATCAGTTTTTTCAGTTTTTTTTCAGGAAGGGGTCATTACGATTACTACAGAGAGGGGGAGGGGGGGTATGTAGAATCTTACTATCCATTACATGGCAGGGGGGTGTATCGAAAAAATCAAAAAATACCATTACGTAATTTATGGAAGGCCCCTAATAGAGTGATCACTATTCACACGTTGCGAGTCGGCTGCCGACCGCCGCGTCCGCCGCAGCCGAGCAATCGCGTGTGCAGCGCTGACGGCTTAAATCATTGCGCGCGAAATACCCTGCCTTTGAAAAGGCCATACTAGCACGTAGATTGCGCGTAATAGCGCTTGACGTTAGTTACGAACTTCGACTAATAATTAACATCGTTAAAAAGTTTTGATTCAAAAGATTCACAAGAATATATTTAAAATTGAATGTTATTTTACAGGGCATATTTCTCATGTACATGTACGTGGGCAGCGTAGTCGTCATCCTAGCCATTTACATTTGGGTGCTGGTGGACAGTTGCGGCAGTATGCGGCGAGGAGGTCGCCGAGGCCTCGGTGACGTCGAGCTCGGGGCCGCCTCGCTCACGAGGTTCGGCTCCCTCAAGCTGGCGCACATCTCGAGATCGAGGACTACGCCCACGAGTTTTTACATTCGCGTCGGAGCTCTACGTAAGTTTTGACCTGGCCCTTAATATCGTAGGACTTTCGAAGTGAATCTTCTTTTTTACGCAACTCTCTTATCGCTTAGTTTTCGGCTTGGCTACCCTCGTGTTCAACGGCTTGGAGATGGCCATGCACACCATGATGCAGGGCGCCGAGTGTCTCACCGACGTCATCTTCGTGCATCCGGTGCTGCACGGACTTTTCACTTTCTTACAAATGCACTTTCTCTTCGTCAATTCGCAAGTAAGTGGAACCGTCGCACCTACGGGCGTCATTTCAAAATTCATATTTTTCATTGGCTTGTAATTTTAATTTCAACAGGTGTTGGTTGAGAAATTCGGTCTCGCTGCCAGATTCGGTTTCACGCATTTGGCCGCGACCAACATCGCCGTGTGGGTGCGTCTGGTCATATGGGACTCGGCCCAAGAGTGGACGTACTTCGTTCACGTCGCTCAGCGTGGACCCCTGACTTCGTCGTCGACGCTGAATTTACGAGGTTTTCCAGAGTCCCTTACCAGACAGTCCATCAATGGTAAGTTCCAATATCAAATCGTTAGTTAGAAAAGTTGAACAAACTGTAACAGTAACGTGGATTGTGTTGCACTACAGACGAAGCTCATTACGAGCACCAACGCCAAGCCGAGAGGTACGAGCCGATTTCTCAGGAGCAAATATCCCAAGTGGTGGCCCTGCAGGAGTGCCTCAATACCAACTCGCTGGGACAGCTGTGGACGTCGAGCATGCCTTTCCTCTATCCTTTCATAGTTCAATTCAGGTGAGTGGATGAAAATGGCTCACTCGTTCTTATAGGTGAAAATTATCAATAATTTACTGACGAGACACGTTGAAAACGTTGGACAGTTTGATAGCCGCAGCGGTGACCTTTGTCATGGGCCAGAACGTGGGCAAGTCGTCGCGGGCCCTCCACAAAAAGTTCCACAGCATGAAGGATCTGCCGTCGTCGAGTCGGGTCGGCTGCGACGGCTCGTCCAAGGGCCTCTTCCTCGGCATCTTGTGCATGGTGGCCGGCATCGTCGTCATCCTCATCTTCCTGGTGGTGCGCGACGACGAGAACTTCCCGGCCACGACACTCACCTGCCTCACCTGCGGCACGCTCATCGGCATCCTGGCGCTGAGCGGCGTCATGACCGCCAGCGGCCTCGTGCAGATCCGACAGATGTCCGTGGTGACGCGCTCGCCGGCCCAGCTCGACTCGATGCTCAGCAACGTGGCCCTCTTCGGGGTGCAGCTTTACTCCATTTTCACCATCGTCGTATGCGCCTGTTCTCTCTTCAATTTGCCCGTACGTTTTCTCTACACTGATCGTTAATTTTATTTGATGTTGCGGTATTCGTTTACGCTCGAGTACGTATCATTCGAAATGAAATCCTCAACGAGATGTTCATTGACAATTGCAGGACACGGGAGAAGAAATTAATAAGGATATCGAGGACATGCGACTGAGGCACACAATGTTATTGGCTACGTCCGTTTTGCAATTGTTGCAATGCTTCGCTCAGAGCACTCTGATCGGGGAAGCTTCCAAGCGATGCTGCATCACGCGATTCCAGATCTTGGCTAAGCCGGGAAGACAAGTCATCACGTTCCTGCTGTTCAGTAACAGTAAGTAATCTTACATGCGAGGCGCTTGTAGCAGATGATTTTATTTTATATTAATTACAATTTTTTCCACTAACTCATATGCAAAATGACAAATTTCAGCTGTTCTTTGGGCTTTCGACACGGTGATAACTCAAAATTGGATATCGCAGGAGCTGCAATTGAGATTCTTCGGAGTTCTGGCTTGGGGCATAATATCTCGAATCGGCTTGCCACTGCTCATCTTTTATCGTTTCCACAGCTGCATCTTGCTGCTCGAGGCATGGAACAAGTGCTATCGCTCTCTCAAGAACGATCATCCGCTCAACTGACAAAACAGAATCTCCAGTAATATTGGCTATCAGTGCGTACACCTCATACTCTCTACTTTCGGTGCAACAAAATTGCCGATATCGTTCCAAACTTATTTAACAGTTAATGCGACCATTTCTAGGTTCAAGCCGAACGTCTGGTGTCCCCGTAAAAGTAAGCCACGCCACAGTCGTTTGTACCAGCGGCAGCGTCGTCGACTGACGCATCGGCCGCCCTCGTCGTTGAGGAGTACCGACAACAATCGAAATCGCGCTCGATCGACTCTCGCGTACCTCGAGACGCCTCACGCTTATCTGCACCACCCGTACGTAGACAGCGCCAGCTGGATGTACCTCGAGCCGTCCTACGCTCTGCCGCCGCCTCCGAGGCTCCATCGTTTGCACTATCCGTCGTATCCGCCACGAGTGCCCAGCGAGCTTAGCTGTTGCGCCTCCTGGAGAAATCCACAGCCCAGAGGACCGTCCAGGGCCAAGCAGGACAGGAGGTTCATGTACTACGGTGACGACGGCAATAATTGCCGGCTGGGCGACGACGACGACTGCGAGGAGAATAGGCTCGGCCCGACCGTTCCAGCTGCCGCAACTTTTCGTAAAGTGCCATGGCACCCCAATTTGCACATGCTCAAGTTACGACAATTATGACAAAAGTTTAATCGTCACATCGTGACTAATTTATATGTACATTTTCACGGCTCGCGTGAATATTCTTCTTTTAATCTCCGACTTCAAATAATCATTCACTGGAGTCTTAAGATTCTAGTTTTTACATAGTGAAATACTCAATACGGAAATAAATTAAATTATTTTTAACCGTCCATTGATGAAATGATGATTCCCTTTTTTGACATAAATAATTTTAGAAACAATTTCATTCTATTGATCATTCTAGAGCGCAAAACTAGCTCAGTTAAAAATGCTTTAATTTTTTAACGCATGCTGATTATGAAGGATGGAATACTTATTATCTATCCCATTATTAACGATTAAATTTCTAAGTATTATAATCTAGAATCCTCGTCAAACGTTAATTATAAAACAAATTATATAAAAAAAATCATTATTTACACTTAGTAGTAGAGTTGTTTTTAATTTGTATAAAATTAAATTCATTCCAACAGCCATTAAACTAACTAATTAGGATGATTAATTTTTTATTTATGTACAATAAATTATTAATGTAAATGACATAAAGTCTTTATTTAGTGACTAAAATACTCGATACTTTGAAGCTAGAAATGTTATGTTTAATTTCATGTGTATATGTATCTTCAGTTATAGCAGTAAATAGTTAAGGACTGAAACGATCCTTTAAAGTTAAAATAAAAATTGTCTGTCATCATTTGCAAACCAGTTTATTCAGAAAAATCAATTTTATTATAGTGGTAAATACACTCTATGAATGTAAATAAACCAAAAATTAGCCAACATTCATAGATATTATTTATCAATTTGTGATCGGATCTTGTCTCTCTTTTTTTTTTAAATAAAAATCTTCATTCTCTATAATTCGAGAAAAAAAGTATCGTCTCTTATTTTATCCGAACCACTGAATTTATATGATCCACAATGCTTTATTAAAGATATTCATAATCTGTCAAACAAATCAGTGAAATACGAACTCATATAACATGCATATATATAATAATGGAATACTTTTAACATAGATTCTTGATTAAAATTTAATGGCTTCACATGAAGATTGTTATAACTCGAATTTACATTACAGCTTGCTCTAGAAAACATCACGAAATATAAGTATGGAGTGTAAATATTATTTTAAGCAAAGCGGTTCACTCTGAGTAAAAATAACAATCGACGAAAATTAAGATGACGAATTCATCAATACATTACAATGTGCCTTATTTACATGCAACTTGTTAATATTAAAAACTGTCTCTAAACAAAATTATTACGATCAATAAGTATTAAAATCAGTAAATTTTATGAATTACTCTTGTAAAAAGTTATATTTTATTCTGCAGCATATTTTTAACGATTTAATCAAGATTGAAGTCTTCAAAGTTATTGGATTTTGGTGGAGCCTTAGGACCTGCATCTGCACCCGCACCTGGAAAACCGGGCATTCCTCCCATACCTCCCATTCCACCCATACCAGGCATTCCTCCCATTCCGCCCATACCAGGCATTCCACCCATTCCGCCCATACCAGGCATTCCACCCATTCCTCCCATTCCGCCCATGTCAAATTTGCTTGAGATCTTATTAATCAATGACATGATTTTGGGATTGCTTTGGTACTTGAATAAGTTCGAAGGATTTGATGAAATGTCTTTGAAGGCTGCAGCAACTTCAGGATCCTGAAAAAGTAATGAAAAAGATTGAATTTTGTATTTAATTTTAAACTCGTTTAAAATAGTAAAATGAGCAATAATTTACCTGGAAAGCTTTCTGAATTTCTGGATCGTTTAAGAACTGACCGAATTGTCCAGCGGCACCAGGCATGCCTTCGAATTGAGCATCTGCTCCTGCCGCTTGCTGTCGCTGTTTCGCTTCTTCACTTGCCTTTGCTTGAGCTTCGCGCATTAACCGTATGCGCTCACGTCTAGCTTTTTCTTCGCGCTCTAAAGCTTTGCGTTCTTTTTTACGCTTGTGTTCTTCAATTTTACGAGCCTAAAACAAAAAATAATAATTTATGCATATTTGTCAAAACATTTACGGATATAATGAAGTGTCTAATAGAGATATTCATAAAATTAAACGTTCAACATGCCAAAAGTGAGCACAATATATTCATAACTTGTACGTTCAAGGCAAAATCTCCCGCAGTATCGATGTAAAAAAAAACTTTTTTTAGTAATATTTTATAAAAACTAATAAAACATTATCAATAAACTGGGTACAGCATGCGAATTTGTTTGCTCATTGATATTTTAATGTTCCCAATAACATTTACTGTATAGATAATGGCGCGATTTTTAAAAATAGAATCTCCATACGCAAAGCTAATTTGTGAAAGTAGCAATACTTATACCCTAATTATTATCTAATACTTAATCGTTTTTGTATAATTATATTTATTGCTCAAGCCCAACTTTGGAAATTTATCTCGATATGAAATTTACAATTTTTAATCATTAAATTTTTGCATATGTTCAAAATTTTTCATCGTCTTCGATAACCTTTAGACCGTCCAGATGCATCGTGTAGCGCTGAGGTTTGATTCGCCCACATTCACCCTTACTTGGACTATCTATTAGGTTGAGTTAATCTAAAAGACTTTAGTAAATCTTTATACAAGACGGATCAATTTTTGTTTTTGTCGAAATAGAGAAAATCTAAAAGTTATTATGAAAAAATATGAAATTTATACACAAAAACACGTTGATGGACCGATTCTTACATGGAAACTCGATATCCACTTGGAAATTTCGGCTCGATTATGTGAGAAACAATGAGAAAATTGACACATGTAAAAAATGATATTTCGAACCAACGATTGATGAAGAAAAAGTACAAAAATAATCTGATGCTTTATATAGTTATTATTATTGCGGTGAAGAGCTACCTCGTGCAGTATAAGCAGCCTAGACATCTAAATATAAAAGGCATCCAAAACACACTGCGCTCTTTCCTCATATTCATAACTGATACTTCGTTTAAATTATAACTTTTAGAATATTCCAATCTTATAAGTACATATAGGGCCGGAGATTGGCGTAAAAAAACAAGTTTAGACGCTATAAATGGATTGGGAAAAAATATGTCAATTGCGAAGAAGTCCGGCAAAGCCGTCGAATCTATAATTAAGTAGTACGACACGACGTCAAGTTGGGTTCGTAATCATTCGTTCCGATGCGGAGGCATCAGTCAAATTGAACGACGTTTCTTCTATTGATTCATCGACCAAAATAATCGTTAAAAAAACGTGTTAGTACTTTCCAAAGTTGTGCGGCGTGCAACGGCAAAATGTACGACACATTATAATAATACAGAAGCAGCAGTGGCAGTGGCAGCCAGCAGATTTATTCGCAAAGATGCGCCACATATTCAATAGCGTAGCGACGACCTTGCTCTCGTATATTTTCAAGCGTCTGAAATCACCATCGCCGTGCGAAGAACGAAAGCAAGAAGAAACTAGCGCTTATGAATATGACGCAACGAAGCTGCTGCTGCAAAAACTGCAGCTGCCACTGCTCATTTGCCGCCACTTGTCCGCGTGGAGTTGCACCGAGATTTTCGGATCTGCTCGATTTATGTCTATTCGAATGAGGCATCTGATCGTTTCAATTAACAGATCAATTTGTAGCCAAAGAAATCGGCACGCAATCGTGCATCGATCGAATTTTCACCCATGTCCTGTTGCCGAGTGACAATCACGTGTCGGAACTTTATTTCGGATGGTTTCAGGTGTCGAGCGACGATCGACATGAAAAGATCTTAGAGACCTAAGATTGCACGTCGGATAACACTTTGTGATGGATTGACTGTGTACAAACTGATGTGCACCTAAATATCGAGGGCCAAGCGCCATGTGGATTGAATTTCATTGTTGAATGAATCTGTTACTACCTCCGTTCGAGAATGAAACAGTTGGCTGAAAAATTGAAAATTGAAACGAGGCGGTATTATGAAAAATTGCTTGAAAATGAGAAAATATAAATTCAGAGTCTTGATTGCGATCCCTGGTTCGGGTGAATAAACAAGCTTTCCAAAATGTTGAATAGACAGGGAGCAAAGAGAGGGAGAGAGTGCGAAAGAGCAAGAGAGAGAGAGAACCGATGTATAGAGAACTACGCGGTGAGTACCTACGTTTTGGTATAAGCTCATAAGAGTGGTTCAGTGTCGAATCGTCGACGGGCCAGTTGGCCACTCGTCGTCTTTTACCTTTCTACAATTTTTTTACGTTCTTTCCTCTTCGTTTTTGTATTTATATTTCTAGTCTGTATTCACATATTATCTGTATATAACCTTTAGTATATATACTTGTATGTGCTTACATATATACATATGTGCAGTGAAATCGGTGCAGAAGATAGCTACCACCGCATTAAAGCGTGACACAGTCCTGGCCGCGGCCAGTGCCAGTGTGGTTTTTCAACGAGACGCGCCATGAGGGCCGCTTATGTATTGGCGGGCCTCCTCATAAGCCTTCTAGTCTTCAACTTGCCTGGTAATTCTACTTCGTCAAATTATATCGACACATTAATTAGATGACTTCGACATATTTTTGTTGTGTTCTTGTGCCCTTTTCCAAGTGAATCGGAAAAGTGATTTCGTTTAGTGTAAAAAAGATCGAGAGACTAAATTATGTGTGAGGTATCATGAATTCAAAGATAACTCATTAAGTTAAATGTCGACCAAAATTTCGAAGCAGTCAATATCGAAACTATTTTCACGTTAAAAAAAAGCACTATAACCATAGTGACGTGACAACTGATCGAGTGCTTTGACACTTTAGTTGTCGAGATTCAATGACCAAAAATTTAATCGTATATTTAATTTTTATAAATAAATTAACTTGAGCTAAATAAGAACACTTAGCGAGACTACCTGACCACCTAAAATGACTAGTTCTACTGAAAATTTGCCAATCTGATTGCCAACCAACGCTTTTCCAAAAATGTTACGAGGTCCGAATTTTTAGTTCACGCGCAAATTTAAACGGAAAATTAAATCATAATTGTGATAAATCGAATGAAAAATGTTATTAAAATTAAAAAAACTCTTGCTATATGTATGATCAATACTAATTTAACCGTAAGACAATTGAAAAAATGCAAGAGAATAAAGGATTTAAATTCATCAGCAATTTTTCGTGATAAATATACGTAATAATTTATTACTAATAAAATTTTAAATGTTGAATCATTATACTAGTAATAATCAGACAAAAAATTGAAATTAAGTGATACTACACGCTATTCCTCTCTTTCAAATTAATACACTATAAAAGTAAGTATTCTAGTTATTCGATCCAAATTGGCCGAATAATAAAATAATTGTTATCTATTATTAGTTTGGCCGAACAATTTATTATACTGAATGAATAATTACTGTAGTCTTTAAATTAATTATAAGTTCACCAAATAAATTTAAGCCCTCGTATACCAATTTAAATATCGCGAATACAAATTTTCAAAACGAAATTTTTTACTTAAAAATCCGAACAAAAAAAGTCTTGAGCGAATGTCTGCGTTCTGCAATAAAACTAAAAAAGGCCTTAATTTCCACGTGTAATCTACGGTTGAATAACCATGCCGTCCAAAATAAATTTATTTATAAATTCAAGTATACATAAAAGCTTACAACTCGAAACAAAATTACCGCATTTTCCAAGTACATTGCCGCGGGGCAAAAGCTTTCGCTTGCTCGGGGAGCCGTCGATCCCAAAACTCTATCTTTAACCCGTCCCGGCACGCGGAAACCTTGCCAAGTTCGCGCGTCAAAAGATGCGCCGTTTAAGCTCAGTGCCAAGCTAAACTCGCGCTCTTTCTCTCTGTTTCTCGCTCTCTCTTCGCCTCTTTCTCTTTTCCTCGCTATTGGTCGCTTTTTCCCATGCTCTCTCCAGAATGAGACAATTTTGACATTGGAACATTTCGCCCCCTCTCAAATGTGAGACATACCTATGAAGAACCAGGGTCAGGTTCGGCGACGTTAATTATAAAAGCGACCAAGTCCATAACGTATTTGTATACACAAACTGGAAATGCCAACGTCAGCTGCATTTGACGCATAGGGATGATATGTTTAACTACACGTGACTATAACGTATATCATGAAACGTCTCATGAGTAAAGCTTATGCTTTTTATGTAAAAGTTTAAATATTATGTTAAGGATTTACTCAATAGTTTCATTTCCCGTATCTATTTATTTAACACAATTATTTTAAATATTTTAATTATTTTTATTTTCATCTGATGATTTTTTCTACTCTAAGCTAAAATTGAGGCACTCGAATAAAAATAATTTTAATAAGTCTATTGTTTTCCATTAGAAAGTGACATGTTATGATTGAAGCTTTTAAAAGTAAAAACAACAAGAATGCTTCTGAGATATTTCCACGTGTGTAAAATGACTGAAAATTCCGCCTACCGCGATTCTAAATTTAGAAAATTCGACCTCGTCCCAGGTAACACCTATGAGCAAATAGTCGTTTTCCCCGGTTGTTGCAATCCTCTTGAATAGTTCCATAAGCAGTAGAGCTTTATAAAGTTCAGCTTTTCTTGGAATAAGTTGTTCTAATTAAAGTTTACGTCCGGTTGAATTACATTTGTACAAGAAGTGCAATGGTTCAATTTAAGAAAAAAAAATAGAAATTTGAAGACGAACTAGAAAAACTAGTAAATAATAATAATCATTATTAGCCTTACGAATATAGAACGTGGCACTGACCTGAATAAATTTGAACATTATTATTATATAATAATGCTTCTTTTCCAATATTTACATAAGAAATTTGTTACTTCGTTTTTAAAAATTAAAAAAGCGTCATGCGAACTATTATGTCGATCTTTGGCCAAGCAAATGTTTGCGTCATTGCAAGCTTAGATATTTTTGGTATTTCCGACCACATGTACCTGATGAATATGAATGAATTTTTCAGTCAATTTCATATTTTGCTGCATTTATCCATTTATTTTAGCAAAATGTATCTTTCGGGATATTTTTACTTAATTTTGCAACAGTTTATACACTGTAAATGGAAACTTCTAAGTTTACCATTAGAATCTTGTTCTAAAATATAATGTTCTTATCCGAAGGTACGCAAGGTGAGGAACTTGAAACAGTTCCATCAGAGGCACAATGTCGACCATATATCGAGAAAGCTTTAAAACATTTAGAAACAGGTATTGTTAAAAACTGAATTTTCAAAGTGTTTTTCTTAGTTATGAATAATATTAACGTTTTTACAGATGGATCTCATGAAAGTGAGAGCGCCGAAGTTATTGATCTTACCGACGAAGGAAATGAAATTATCCATGATGTAAGTTTGATAACACAATAATTTTACGCAGAATAAGAATAATTCGAAAAATTAATTTATCATTCAATTACTGTATTTTATGATCAAAGGACACAGAATCTAGTAACAAGGTTAAACGGGAAATTTCAAATGAAAATGAAAATGTTGAAACTTTGGAGAGCGAAGAACCAGAAGTTGCACCAGATCAAGAAACTGTCGAAATTACGAACGAAGTAGAAAATCCAGAACAAGAAGAGGGTGTAAATGAAGTTGAATCTGAAGTAACGGAAGAACAATCGCAAGGTATGATGAATTCAAATTTCATGATGCCATCTTATAGTTTATTAAAGTATACAAATATTTGGAATTCTTTTGTAGAAACTGAGGGGACACTTGACAAATCTGAAGATACACACGAAGCTGAAGAAATAAAGGAGGAAGAAATAAAGGAGGAAAATAGCACCGATGAGGAAGTAACTGTTCAAGATAATACTGGAGAAGAAGAAGAAGGCACTCATGAGGAAGAAGTAACTCATAGCGAAGAAGGTACTCCCGAAGAAGAAAATTCCCACAGCGAACAAGAAACTTCACACGAAGGCAGCGTTCAAGAAGAGAATGCGAGCGAACAAGACAATCTTGCCGAAAAATCAGAAGAAGCCGAAAGCACTCAACAGGAAGTTGAAGTAGAAGAAAATAAAACGGTTGAAAGTGGTACTGATAATACAATTGAAGAAGAAAATATTAATGAACAAGTTAAAAGCGATGAAGTACCAGAATCCACAGCCGACGTTGGAGAAAAAAGCGAAGAAAGTGAAAAGCCAGTACAAGAGGAAGAAGTACTAGTTGAAGATGCTAAACTTGTAGCAGAAGTACCTGAAAGTGTTGAGACTGCCGAGGTTTCGAATGAAGAAGATAAAAAAAGCCAAGAAACGGTACAAGAAACTGGTAGTACAGAAGAGATTCAATCAGGCGAAGATGGTGAGTTTTGTTCGAAAATTATACTTGACAATTTTTTTATAAAACTTTTTTTTAGCTGGTAGTGGATCGGGCAGTGGAGAAGGTGAGATTGTTGAAGACTCAAGTCCAGAAGAAGAAGAGCTCATAATGGAAATAGAAATACCCGAAGTACTCAGGCCACGAGACCATATTGGTCAATTACTGAAATTGGACGAAGATATGGAAGAAAAAGAAAAAGCAGTTGACCAGATAGCACAAGTAGTTTTGAGAGATCTGAAGAAACTTTACGACAATGCTATTAAACCTCTAGAAACTTTATACAAATACAGAGATCTCAGCAATCGGCATTTTGGAGGTAACTTTTTTATTGAAGCGAAACAAAAATTTTGCATTGTAAATGTTATTAATTATGATTAAATTAACGTACAGACCCAGAGATTTTTTCTAAACCGTTAGTACTTTTTATGGGGCCGTGGAGTGGTGGCAAATCATCCATTATAAATTATTTGTTAGATATTGAGTACAAGCCAACCTCTTTGAGGACAGGTAAATAAAATATGATCTTTAGAAATTTCCTATTGCAACAAAAAATTTTTTCAATGTATTACAGGAGCTGAACCTTCACCTGCATACTTCAATATTTTAATGCATGGAGAAGAGGAAGAAGTACTTGATGGAACGCAATTAGCTGCAGACTGGACCTTTTCTGGACTACAGAAATTCGGTCAAGGTCTGCTCGACCGTCTCAAGGGATATAAGTTAAAAAACAAATTATTAGAAAAAGTCAATATCGTTGAAATTCCTGGGATTTTGGAAATTCGCAAACAAGTCCAAAGAATGTTTCCATTTAACGACGCTTGTCAATGGTTTATCGACAGAGCAGATATCATATTTTTAGTTTATGATCCAGCTAAACTTGACGTTGGCCCGGAAACTGAAGCTATCCTAGATCAGTTGAAAGGTCGTGAATATCAGGTAAAATGATGTGTGCGACGAATATAACATAATTCTAATTATAAATTAAATAGTATTGATAGAATTTATATCATTGAAATGCCTTATTTTTCATATTAGACTAGAATTATTCTCAACAAAGCTGATCAAGTAAAACCAGAAGAATTAATGAGAGTCCAAGGGGCTCTGATCTGGAATATTTCCCCGCTTATGTCAAGCGCTGAACCACCAATAATGTATTCAGCTTCACTGTGGTCCATACCTTATGAGGCTGGTTCTCCAACGAGATTGCTCTATGCCCAGGAGCGGGCTTTTCTACGTGACCTTCGTTCCGCTATCGACAAAAGAGTCGAGCACAAAATTGCTAGCGCTCGAAGATTTGCGGTAAGATTTGAAAATAATTGAAATTAGTATTGAAAATATCATATTACTTGAAAATTAATTTTAGGTACGAGTACGTAATCATGCAAAAATGGTCGACTGTTATCTCACTACTTATTACAATCATAAGTCATTCTTTGCTAAAAGGAAAGAAGTGAGCGATAACATAATCGAAAATCCTCAAGACTATCACATTTATGAAGGACTCAGTACACTGACGAATATTTCACGCTACGATCTACCGGATCCCGATGTCTATCGCGATTTCTTCAGGCTGAACAACTTATACGATTTCCCATTACTGAGTACAACTTGTACATACTTTAAAGGTTGCCCAATCAATAGACTTGACGTCGCCATTGCCTATGATCTGCCCGAACTCGTTGGAAAATATAAAAAATCTGCGGAAGCTGCCCAACATATTCAAGAAGTTACATCCGAGCAGGTTGATGCAAAAGCACAAGCACCTCAAGCCGCAGCGCAACAACAAAATAAGCCAGCAGCTAGAAGCGGCGCGTCTAGCATATCTTTCAGATGAATTCGTATCAAGTGATTGAAATATCGAAAAACTTTTAATTTCACGGAAAAATTATTAAACTTTTAGATATTCATTAAAATTGTAAATTAGTTTAAAAAATTGAAGGGTGTAATTGGAAAATTCAATAGTTAGAACGACCCATTCGAAATATAATTAATATTATCTTCGAACATTTTCAAGCTGAACCATGATTTTGGTCTGAGTGAATGAAAATTTCACTTAAGCTAAAAATAAAAAGTATTTGAACAAATAAGTGTATGATGGTTAGCTGGCCTGCCATTGTAAGTAATGACAATTACCAAAAAAGATACATGAAACTGATAGTTGCATATACTCAAAAATTAGTATCAAAATATTGTACACAGAAAATTGATTCTTATTCATATATATTTACTTTGAGAACGTGTGTAAAAACAAAAGCAAAAATGTGAGAGAAAGAAAGAGAGAGAGAGAAAGCTAAAAATTACACATGAATCAAGTTGAAAAAAGTGCCCATAGATGTGTTTCACACAAGAAATTATGAAATTCATAAAAGAAAATTTATGCCAATCTCCAACAATCTTGTTCATTCACTACAGTAAATATTCGAACTTTACACTGTCACTGTTACCATGGATATTGCACATTTGTAGATATATTTTGATGTTTAATACATTATTTCATTTATGCTTCAAGTGATAACGAATTATAGTCAAATAATCATTAATAAATGAAAGGATTATTCAATTTATCGTGCATCCACTAACACTTTTAATTAGTTTTTTCTTTTTAAATGAGCAAAGAATCTATTGGCAGAGGCAAATTTATTAACAATAATATCAAGCATTTTTGTTGTGTTGTTTTTGCAAGTTCCTTCCCCATGAAGATTTTTAATTTAGCATATAATAGTAGGTTAATGATTTTAGGAAGAATGAAACTATCTAAGTTCTATAGTTGGTCTTATAGATGTAATAAATATAACATGTAATGCATGTTTAATCCATGCCATTACTCAACTTTAGAGTATTTACATTTCCTTAATTTGGTAAGCTTATTATAAGAAATAATAAATAAAGTATCAAGTCGCTTAATTTTATTGATACACTCTACCAATTTTAAGGAATATTTATAGTACTCTTTCAAATAAATTTTTTCTAAATATAAGGATTCTCATGGAACAAGTAATTGTTTGGTACCATTTTATCTCTATTCACTTTCAAATAATAAATCCAAATACTTTTAAATGTTATATCCTTAAATTTAATTTATATAAAAAAATGATCAAAAAGAAATTGAAAAATAAAAATTTGAATACTCACATTAGGAGTAACTTCTTTGAGCCATGCATCAGCTTGCTCATCAAAGTCAAATTTGCATGCTAGCCTAAGGTCACTTGCTGCTTCTTCCCATTTTCCTAAAAGTTGATTAGCTCTTCCACGGAACTTATGAGCAGCTGCACTATCTGGGTTCAATTCTAAAGCACGGTCACAATCACGGATGCAAGCATTTGGTTTATTAAGTAAAATGTAAGCTTGTCCTCTCTTAGCATATAAAAGAGATGCTTGTGGATTGAGTTGAATTGCTTCTGTATAAAGTTTTATTGCCTTTTCATAATCTTTTTCAACAAAAGCAGAAACAGCTTCGGATCGCTTGCTATGTGATTCTTCAATTTGTTCATCTGTGGGCTGTAAATCATAGTCGCCCATGGGTTGAGGATCATCGTTATCAGGTTCTAGAAAGTTGTACAAAAAAAATTGTTTTACTATTTTATTCTCAGTTTTATAGAAAATTTAATAACGCGCACATACCTATTACTCCAGTCATGTCTAATTCTACATCGCTTTCTTCGCTTACTGGTTCTGGCTCTTCTGCAGGTTCTTCAGCTGGTTTAGTGAAAGTTTCACTTTTTGGTTTGTCTGTGGTTTCTGATGTAATTTTAGCTCCTAATTTGACAAGGAAATTTTTAAAAAAGGCCAGCTGTGGATGGTGAATAACTGATGGTTGCTTGTCCACTAGTTCAATAAAAGCTTTCAGTTGAGCAATATGCTCAGTGCTCAATGGTAAAGACATTTTGGAAACTGTAATCAACAAAATATTTTAAAATATTAGAAATTTTTGAGTCAAGTTCATTAACTATTCAACCAACTTATAATTCTGTATTACACTAACAATTTTCCTAATTGTAAAATCAAGAAAGGTTATGTTGTACAATGATTTCCGTCAAACTACTGAAACTACAAATAAAACCTCGTTTTCATTCAATTTTTTTTTCAAATCATAAAACATTCAGTTAAATCGACTATCGCATTATTCAATTCGAATTAAATGCATAACGTATTTCATTATAAGCTGCAACTAATAAGGTAGTTATGATTTTACTGAACTTAATCGCACGATACAAAAAACGATTACATTTTTGCAAATTTCAAGTACTGTAAATGGTTCTAGAATAGTTGGATTTGATAATTTCTTAGTTAAATGTACACAAATAATAAGATATTAAATTTTAAAAATTTTATGATACGCGAACGAGAACCACTATCGATTTCCAATTTCGCGACTCTTGTTGATCCGAACGATTGCCTGCCAATATTTATCCATTGTTACATTTTTTATCAGTTCATGTAGATACAATAACGCACCCTCGATCGTTTATTATTTTGTCTATCTGAAGGATATTTGGCGAAGACTAATGGCCATAATCTTTTAATCTAGTTATATTTCAAACTGCGTCACCGGTGACACGGACACTTGCAAAAAAACATCAATCAAATATATTTACTTAGGGTAAGAAAATCATTACCTGAAAATTAGAAAACAGGTCAAATGCAAACGTAATTCTCACGTCTGTATCACGATCACGATTTGTTCTTTTTGTTCGGTCTCACAGTCGGTGTCGAGCTTGTAAACAAAGAGTTGCGGCGTTTTGCGACGTTGTGTCTCTATCTAATGGCACAATGATATTGCACGCATTTACACGTAGGCCACTTGACAAAGATGCCGGTATACTATATGTGGTAGTGGTATATCGGATGGTGGTGGTGGGTGCTCCAGAGGCTCTAGGGGCGACGAGTGTGTGTGTGTGTGTCGATTGTTCGCGCGACGGCCGACGCTACTGCTGCCGCCTCGTTCTCAATTATTTTTATGTTACTTTTTGTCATCTTCCAAATTGTTCGCGTACTTTCGAGAATCTTTTAGCTTTCGTCTTCACGCACACCCCAGTCTATATGACAAAATTTTTGTTGCGCAATCCGTAATTCAATTCTATTAGACGTCGAAGAAAATCGAACGCTTACATCCATCAGTTAAATCAGTTCGTCATTCAAATATCAATTTGTTTACGATTTCTCGCCGAACGAGCCATGAATGCTATTGATAAACATATAGCCAAATATTTATCAAAAACATTAATCTTTCAAGGTAATCAAACACGAGCCATTTAAAGGGAGATCAGGTGATTTTGGAAGAGGCAACGTCAGACCGCGGCCGGGGGGTGCAATGGGAAAGTTGAAAATAGCTTTTTCGCGCAGCCGCTGCGGCATCGGGAGACCGCCGTTGTCCGCTACTATACGGCCTGCGTGCGTACTGCATATGTGTGTGCTGTCGTCGTCGCACAGCACCCGCAATCCGCCGCCGCAAAAGCGTGCGTCTCTCTTATCCGCGGCGCACAGTAGTCGGTGAAAGGTTTCTGCTTATCATCGTATTAACATGTCTCCAGCAGCGGCGGTGGCAGCGATCAGCCGCGCTGAGAGCTGCTGCTGAACGGCATTGTAGCCACAGTTTTGCGCGGAGAGATCCCGGCTCGCGCACAAGTTGTGTATATTAATATAATCAAGAATGGCCGCCGCATTGACAAGATGTCCCGCGAGAGGACTGATCATCGGCAAGGCATTTTTCCAGCCTCAGCAGCATTCCAGCCAGATCAGGTGGGTGACGATTTAAAGAGCAACGAAAAATAGAACGATGCACGCTGCTGGGTGACAGTTGAACATCTACACGACTGACGCCTGCGAAAACAAAATATGGATCAGTCGTGTCTCATGATCATCTCGTACCCAAATAAACATTATGGCTGTAGTCACGCGTAACTCCTATTTACGCACTCGTTAATGATCTGTCCCCTTGTTTTTTTCTTCAAGATGCCTGACCAAATCGGCTGACAGGCAAGACATCAGCGATAGCTGGTTCAGTAAGTTGCTCGTGAGGAAGATCGAGCCCACCAAGGAGTCGCATTCGCGCATGCTCTCAGATAAACAAATCGTCTATGCTTTACATACGCATAACATCAGGCCCGATTCTTATGATAAATACTTGGCAAATTAGTAAGTATTCAATTGTAACTCTTTAATGCACTCTATCGTTTTATTTTATTTCCATTCAATAGTCTTTGACATTTTATCAATAGAATTTTTGTAAATGTTTTCTTTTCAAAAATGTTAATTGATTAAAATCAATTTAAAAACCTTCATAGAATGTCTTGTACACAATAACTATTTTTAGAGTATAGAGTAGAATGATGATAGCCTTGATTCTATGTGTCTATTTACACTTGTTATGCAAGTTTCAATTTATTACTCTTAATTGCAAAAATAGTAAAGAGTAAAGTTATAATTTTAATTTCAACCAAATGAATCTAGAAATCAAATTATGATAAAACATTATTCTACTGTCATATTCTTGAAAACTTTAATTATATAAATAAATAACATTTATTATAAAATTTCTACTTTATTTCATAGTTCTGCTAATGTTCAACATATACATGCTAAACCAGAACTTAATATGGAACTTGTTGGCTCTTGGACTGTTGAAGTGGGAGATATGGATCAGGCTCTTCATTTGTGGCAATATAATGGAGGATTTCAAGTTATCGATAAAGCACAATCTGAACTATCGAAAGATGATGTAAGGTTATATTAATATTGATTTATATTATTAGGTTTTAAAATCTAAATCAACTTATGCATTTATTTCAATGTGTTCAAAGGCTTATCAAAAACTTCTCAAAGAACGTGGGAATTACCTGAGATCAAGGCATTTGCAATTCTTGTTGGCATTTAGTTACTGGCCTCAGATTAATCTAAGGACTGGATCGAATAAATATGAAATAAGAAGTTATAGTTTAAAACCTGGTACAATGATAGAATGGGGAAATAACTGGGCAAGAGCTATCAACTTCAGACGGAATAATGATGAGGCATTTGCAGGTTTCTTTTCTCAAATTGGGCGACTTTACAATGTTCATCACATTTGGTGTAATTTATAATAATATTTTATAATTATTTTCATTATTTTACCAAAATATAAACAAACATTTTTTCTTTTTCTGCAGGTTATAAAGATTTGCAGTCACGTAAAGAAACTCGTGAAAGTGCATGGCGATCACCCGGCTGGGACGAGTGTGTTGCCTACACTGTACCACTAATCCGTGAAATGCATTGTCGCATCCTCAATCCAACATCTTTCTCACCCACCAAATAAATAAATTGATGTGTACATTGAAGTTGTGGTTTTAAATTCCGCACAAATATCAAATACCATGTATTTCAGAACAATGAATGAACAGAAAGCCATATTATACTTCTTACTATATAATACGTTATTTAGGAATGAAAAAAACATTCTATACTTCTTTAATTTTTATATCCTGTAAAATCGTTGATATGAATAGCACGAAAATATTGATTGGATGTATGAAGTGTTTCGTAATAATTGTAAAAAGTGACTGTAAAGCTACATAGATACATTTTCCTATCAAGAATAATGTAGATGAAGATTTTGAATATTTATTTGTTGATAATGATGATGAAGTTAAATGCGTCTAAAAAGCAGGCTAAGTGAGATTTTTAATGAAGAAACAGTCAAATTATCATGTTGAATTGTGATGCTATGCAGATTGTAATTTTTGATGCTAAGAGATCATGTGAAGAATTTACTCATACTGTCTATGTAAGTAATGCTAAATTATAAAGTATAAAAAAATGTAAAATAAATGCAAGTTACTTGGATTATTTTTGACATATCATGTATTTTTTTTAAGTCTACGGCAATTTTTAATTTTTTTTCAAATAATTATAATTCAATTAATAGGGACAAAAAAAACAAAATTATAGAAAATATTCACATCAATACAATAAACAGCTTATACACCAAAACGAAATGTATAATGCGAAAACATATAAAAACCGTTTGATTTACTGTATTTTTCAACTTTTCATTTCTGGGCTAGATGTCACTACCTTCTCGAAAGGCAGCGCGTTTGTACGATAAGTGTTTTCCACTTTGCCACTCATCGGTGTACTTGCTAGTTTTATAAATCGTTTAGTTACTTTAGATTCTAATTTATCAACGAAAAAACTTTCTTTGTGCTCTAGTACATCTTTTCATTTTTTAATTTTAATTTTTTTTTTTAACCAAAAATACTTTGATAAATCTACTCATACACACGAGTGAATTGTGGTTTAAAATTATCTATGAAAATACCAAAAAAATACCCTAGACCTGGATTTTGTCTTTCATATTTTTTAAATTTATATCGGACTGAATTCATTTTATTTAGATTTATGAACTATAGAACTAAACACGAGTTTCATTTTCAACTGACTTCATACAATCTTAGTGGACAGTGACCTTTTGTCATCGATTTTTTCAAATCGTGAAATAGAAATGAAAAAAATGATTTACAAATTTTCGATCTTACTTTTCAATGCGCAAACGAATGCCTCGTGAAAAAACTTCATTCGTCTACCACTTAGAAAAATTCGTCTACTATTTAGAAAAATAATAATTTTTCAAAGAGGGTTGTAATATGAATTCGAAATACAGTACAAAAAATAAATTATTTTGGTTATATTATATTCGTTTGGTTCATTTATTGTATGGGCTATGTTCATTTTCGTATGGATGTAACTTTATTCAGAAGTAAATTTGTTCTATTCTCAAAAAAGATTATGTTTTGTGCAATGAAACAAAAGAAATGTAAATTTATAATGCAAAGAAATCACTCTATAAAAATTAGAACCAAAAAATTAGTTGAAAAGTTGGAAATTAGTTGCCCACAACCTTTTACGTTTTTAAAAAAAAATGTCGTTTAATCTTTTCTGTGCACTTTGACCTATTCATTTTCTTAAAAAACTAAAAATGTTCCCAAGTATTCTAAAAAAGTTCATGTGTATTCTTTGATAACTTCAATTAGTATATTATATTCAATTTGCGAGTAGCACTAAAGAAATTATTATTTTTGAGGGCATTAATTGAAGGGTGTTTTTCGCTATGAGTAGTTTGGTATAGCGATAATTTCCACGGACGAGAAAGATATTACAATTTTCTCCACATACCTTGAAATTAACTCTTTGCTGCCTACTCCAGAATTAAGTTTTTTCAGGCCCATTTTAAAAAGGTGTAAAAGTTCCATATGATACATATAGAAACAACTTCAGTATTGAAAAAAATACCTTAATTTTAATGCAAATTTAAAGTAGAATCGGTTATTACAACTTGATAATCTGAGACAGCATATTATGTAAGGTAATTTTACATGAAATTCTCATTAAAGACTACGAAAATTCATGAAAAAAATTCACGTACTTCATTTTTAACATAGAAAATTAAAGAAAAGGATTCAATTTTATACTCTTATTTAAATATTTTGAGTGAAAATTAACGATTAAATGCTAATTTTTTGCAATGTATTTCTTAAAAAATGCAAGTAAATTTAATCATATAACTAAAGCACTACTTCACTACTAGATGGCGAGTATACTTATCTGAAAATCTGCAAGTGGAAAAGTAAAAATGATTACTCAAATTAAAGCTTCAAAACAATAAATAGTAATCTTTTTCCTTTCAGTGCATACAAATATTTGTAACAGTGTAATGAAGTTTGATGAGCTAATTCGCATTTGATAAGTACTACGAGTAGTAACTCGCACCAGTAATTATCGCCTTTTCTTAATAGTTTTCTCGATCTCACATATGTAGCTACAATAAAATTGAATTAACATTTTAGAAATAATTACTCGTATAAAAATTTGAACAGAAATATTAGATATTTTATTTTACATGTAAAATACAATGATTATTATGATTATCCCTTATTTTATAGTACAGTATTTTAACATTTATGGCATTAGCTTATGATTCTTTTTACTTATATCTATTTTATTGTCACCAACAGCACTTTAATTTACATTGTAGTTACTAATTGTATCAATCATATTCATAAGCTTACAATTTAAAGTAGTTTTTTACATCGATTTACTTTAGCAGTAAGATTGAATATTGTCACATAATAATATTAAAAAACTCAATACATTGAAAGTAACTTCAAACCATATACATTTCTAACTGAACTATTAATGAAAAAAAAATTGTATCTGAGAAAAAATGTACATAATCTAGCGTATAGTAAATTTTTTAAATTTTTGTATAAAAAAATAATATAACTAGATATGCGCTTTATAAAGGTTCAAAACATCATATCTTAAATCTAATATCTTAATGCTAATCAAGCCATACTATAATATAGCTTTGTATGAATCTTTTGGAAGACGTTGATTTTATTGTTTCTTAAATTTATGTCTTAAATTTGTAGTAACGTCTAAATCATGTTTTTTTTACTTACAATGAATTGTTTAATAGTATTTTTGTATTATAGTCGATTTTGCACGTCACGCCCGGTTCCAAAAAAGTTATTGCATTATACACACATTTCACACCTGCCAAGTTCACTATAATTTTTCAATTTTGACTTTAAAAACTTCAATTGATTTTGTCATTACCGTAATATTTTAGTGAACCAGGCTCAGTATTCAGTTTTAAATCTACATTAGTTAAATGAAGAGCTAGATTTTTTCATGATAATAGTGAATTAATCATATTAGCGAATAAAAAACTTGTTCTTAGCTTAAAGAATACATCACCCTGTTTACTTACTCGTATAAGTGATTAAATAATACGATATTTCCATTCTTAGAAAACTTTCAAATTGAGGATTTTGCTCTGATTTAATCAATTGATCAATCATACAAATCTAGAATAAATCGTAAACTACCCTTACATTATCGCTTTTAAGCTATTAAAGACCAAGAAATTATATATTTTCAAAATTGATTACTCGTTGAAACTGTTTGATGCGTCCCATAATTTGTAATTCTGGAACCATGATCTAACTATAGGATATGTGAATTCATTCGCTACTGCGCTTATTTTACCCACGGAAACTTTTTTTATCGCTAAATTGTGATTCGGTATTTAAATTGTATGAAAAGCAAGATAAGCATAGCTTCAAGTCAATTCAACTAATGCGTTATATTCATTGTTAAGCCCATGCCGAAACTAGTGCACGTTATGCAGAATACAGTTACAGTCTCATATTTGTAGAGAATAATTTTTAAAATAAGGCTTGGTGTAGTTATAGAGGCTTCTTTCTTGTCCTTTTCCATTGATTAGTGTATCTTGCAATGTTCATTGCTGAATTTAGCGTCATTTCTGTCCACTCTATTTTACCTTATGAAAAGGAAAAAAGTTTATTACCCATAATTTGGTTTCCCAATAATAACTTGAAAATTACAATTGCATGATCAACTTGATTATTTTTCAAGTTATTAGATAATGTTTCAAGTTGAAACATACTTACCAATTTTTAAGACTTCATTCATCACTTTTTATTAATAACTTGACAAAGCATTATAAAAACACAAACAGGGTTAACGAAGAGAAAAAAAATACTCGAAAAAAAATTTTTGTTCAAAAAGAAAAAAAAAGGCAAAAGTATCTGCTAAGTGCTTGAATGCCTACACTAAACTAACGCAGCCGTCATGAAGCGCCCCGCATGTAGCCAAGAAAAGCTCGCGCATGCCTACTGACAACGATCCCTCGTTTGTCCAGGGAGGAGGGGCTCCGGCGACACATGCACACACCCACCTGGAGCCGCTCGAGAGAGAGAGAGACTATGAACTGTGTGCAGCAGATACTCCTTCCCCGTGGCGTCATCTGAAAGAGATGGCAAATCAATACCGTGCGGAGGAATTTCCGGCTCGTCGTGCGATTTTTCTCTGTCATACTTGCGATACTTTCGAAACTGTGTAACATACATGGGGTGAGAGAGACAGAGTGAGAGGGAGAGAAAGATACATCCACGGAAATTTCATACCAAAGGTTTTATCTTATAATGGGAGTTTCGGGTAAAAAATGTTTGAGCCGATCACACTACAAACAGAACAAGTGCGAGCCTCGTGCTTTGCGCCACTGCTGACAACGAAAACGTTTTACCGTCGAATCGTAGACGCTTCAGAGGCAGGAAAAGATTGGTGAAAATTTCCCAAAACTATTACAATGCGAACTCGCACAAAATCTGCTAACAATTAATAAATACACTAAACAATTTCGCTTTCATTTCAATTAGCGTTACTTCGATGAATTGAAACTTCCAAATCCATAATTGTTATTAAATCATTTCGGAGATGAAATACAGAAGCTACCAGCGGGCATCGCTTGAAGGACGAAACTCTGTATCCTTGAAAATTGATTCTTCAGGATATACGCCGCAATTTAATCATCAAGGCTTTTCTATTGACTATATGCCCAGCTCGATGCTACGCCAGAGTGGATTATACTTTCATACAGGAATTGTATGATCCATTCAAAACCTGGCTTTGACTTATACAATCATTCTTACTTTACCAGTTGCAGATTTACTCATATGGGTACTCGCCATCTAGGGGCTATGGATGGCATTAATTACTATTCAATTCTCCTAAATTTACTAAGCAATCAACGAAAAAAATAAATCAGTATTAAAATATTCATTTTCTGAAAAAAAATTTTAGAGTATTTTGTATGAAAAATAAAGTATGATTGAGTTTTCCTGCATTTTTGTGAAGTTATAACCGAGTAAAAAAAATCTGTACTTATACATAAATTTCAACGAAGATTTCATGTACATTAGTATTTTAATTAAAATGGAGTATAAGTTATTTTAATTTTTATGTCTAATTTTATATCAAATTATGCATTAAAATGAAGGTTTTTCATGAAAATGAAATTTGAAAATAATAAAGGCTTACACATGTGGCAAGCAAGATTAATGGAATGAGGCCTATCAATTGGATGGATTCCAACACGCGTTGACTATATTACTCGAACGCGACGAAATGCATGTGCAGAATCCAAACTACTTTGCCAACTATAAGTACACCTATTCCAGATGCGAACAGATCGAAAATGGTTATAGATCTCCGAGAATCATAATGAGTCGATCAATCAAAACTTTACTATTCATTTAAAATTTAATGATAAAAGTGAATTTAGAGCCTCTTTACGGTTGGGGTACATTTTTATAAATCCAAATTTTATAATTTTATAATCTTACCAATATTTTTATTTAGCAAATCATAATGCGCAATTGATTGCAATTGAATAAGATTAATAAAGTTACCCGAAGGGATATCTTTAAGCTGAGTACGTAATACTTGTGCCGGCGGTACTTCGGGATAAGCTTCCGCTTTTCTTTTAATGCCGGACACAACCTTGATTGCTTCAGCTGCGTCAACATCAGGAATATGTGGTCACTCGCTGCACCTTTCACCAATTGTAAATCCTCTGGACCACCGATAGTCACAGCTCGGGCACAATACTGAGGGGTCTTTTTACAACGCCAGTACGCTCGTTTTCCTATAGTTCCGCCGTTTTTATAGTGCAGAAAACCTTCTCAGGATAGATGATAACTGGAACCTCGGGATTTTATCAACTCGGCCATGTTATTTATTAAAACCGTTACTTTGTTGCCTGTCGAAGAAGTTATGATGTATAATTATTAGATTCTGTTCACAAATCTGATCAGATCAGCTCTGCTGTATATACATATGTACGTATACAACGTGGTGCATACATACGTTGTATAAGTGTAAATTTATATTTATAAATTAATTTTATTATGAAAAAAGGTATTAAAAATAAATGTTTTTATAAAAATAGGTATTATAAAAAAATGGATTATAAAAATTTGAATTTATAAAAAAAAGAATTATAAATAAAATTGTATAAAAAATGTCCCCCCACCCCTCTTTACAAATGCTCTCTTTTTAATTTCTTTCAATAATTCGTCAAGTGCAGCTGCATCTAATCTATCAAAGCTGAGTGAACAATAGCGAATGGCTCATCCACTTCAAGCTTATCTCCAAAAATATTTTTCCACGGTATCTTTGATAATTTAAAGTAGAATGAAAAAAATCTTTGTATAAAAATGATAACTTTATCCTTTCGAACTTTTCGTAGTTGCAAAGCATTTTCGATAAAATTATTCAAACCAATTTCAAAGTCAAATTTTAGATTCTCAAAGTCCTATCGAAATTTGCATTTGAAAATTCGAAAAAAAGTTTTGCTCTTTATGCTAATGATACCAAAATTTTCGAGTATGAGCGAGTAGTTATTATTGCTTTTTAAATTTCCTGCGAGCACTTGAATCTATAGATACTTTTAAGAAAGAATAAACTTGAAGATATATTCAATATGCTGATGAGAAAGGAGCATCAGCTAATTAAAACTAAAAAGAGCGAGTCTTGGCAATTGTTCGTGGTCAACAAGTAAAACGACCAATCATAAAATGGCTTTACTATACTTTTGGCGTGTCTTGAATAACTTTTGGTCTCTCGACCGAATGAATGCTCAAGTAAAAATGTCTCTTCTCTCTTTCTCGCGCATCTGTATCATAATAAAAGTATGCAAATTCGCAAACGAAGGACGTAAAAAGTAAGTCTGACTCTTTCCCATGTCTCTCTTTTTGTTGCAACGAGCGAATAACGCGAGCTATAGCCTCTGGGCGGGCATTATAAATTTTACGAGAACTCGGCACGATCGCGCGTCCCTCACCCGAGCGAAGGACGAGCGCGTGCACCGAGAGCTCCCGCGAGCGGGTTATTGATTAAATCCTCCCTGAGAGCAGCCATCTTTGCTGGAGCTCTGAGGCTCTCATTGGATGCCGCCCATTTTACCACCACGCGCAGGAACCTCCGAAACTTTCGCTCCATGCGCCCAACTGAGAGGCGAAGAAATTCTTAAGTAATGTGTAGTTTACCCGTTTTTTTTTTGCCGCCGTCGTCGTCATCGTCGAGCTTGTAAGTGATATAAATCGCAGCTTTGGCCCACATAAGCTGCGAGGCAATATAATTTTTTTCTCGTCTATAAGCATATTCGTTCCAGGTAAATATTCATTTGTCCTCGAAAACTGCATTATAATGTTGACGATGCTCGTGTATGATACTCATTTTTTCACATAAAATATTAAAAAGATATAAATGGCTATTTTCCAACACGTTTACTGAGATTTTTACTGGATATCTTTCTACAAAGTTATTTAGAAGTTTAGAAATACGCAGAAAAATGGTGTTTACGTAGTTTTTACAAAAATATTTCGCAGAAAATTCGCCGGTAGAAAGCTTTGAAATGACATCTATAGTTATTGCATTGGCATCTAGAGAATGAACTGGATGAATTAAAAATAATGAGCCAAAACTAGAACTTGCCCACAATTACAATAAAAGCTAAGTTTCAGTTTTTTTAATTCTTAAAAGATTAAATTAAAGAAAATGTAGATCTCGATCGAAAAGAGCAGAGTAGAGTATTTGTTCATCCGAAGAAGTATTAAATCATGTACGATTGGCATTCATTCGTAATATTGCATCATTTGTATAATCCCGAAATGAGATTTCTACTCGAGGCCCAAAGCTCGCTCGTCAATCTTCCGCAACGCTAATCTACTCTTGGCTGGCAGCTAATTCTCCATAATGTCCGTCCAGTCGTGTTCAGTCTATCCTCTTGGCTGACTGACGTCACGGGCGTCCAGGCGTATTTGCATCATCATAATTTTGCCGCGAACGCGCGTCACTCGGAGGCGCGCGTACACACGATGCAGTCATATCCGCCTAGGGCTGCAGCAGCAGCAGCAGCAGCTTTGTGCCGAGTAACAACAACAACTACTGCAACAACAACAATGGCAAAACGATATAGAGAGAGAGAGAGAAGCCGAAACGTCATTTACGTTTGTTGCATATGCATCCCACGCCGCGAGTGAAAATTCGCTCCCAATGACGCCATTGGTTACATGGTCTCTAGCTACAGAGAGCTCGGATTCTCTCTCTCTCTCTCTCTGGTTCTCGTTTGCGCGAGAGAGTAAGAGAGGCGTCGCACATAGTGCACGGCACAGTCAAGCTCTCTCTCTCTCTCTCTCTCTGTCTGCGTCGTTGAGTACGGTTGCGCGCGCGCGTCGAGCGATGGTCCGAAACCACGCCTCCCTCGCTGGCGTCTCTCTCGCTCTCTAGGATGCCGAGCTCGAGCTCGGAGCAGAGAGAGATGGAAAATGGGTCAACAACGCGCGCGCGTACTACGCTGCCGAGGGTAAGTTTGTCGGCGTCGAGTGCGCCAGCATAGCGGCAGTCCCGCGCGAAACCACCCCACAGCCCATACACGCTCGCGCCCCAGCAGTCAGCAGAATACCCGAAAAGCTTCTGCGTTTGTTGCGCTAGAAACGAGAGCTAGCCTACCTATAACGTACGTACATGTTTATTGTAGGTACGCATAGGCAATAACGCTGTACAATCGTCACTCTCTCTCCTTCTGTAATCGCGGAAACAGTGCGTGCTTAAGAGGAACAACGTTGAAACGACAACGACGAGCTTCTTCTCGCTTTAGCTCGGGCTAAACATTCTATCCGGAGAGTAACGATTTGCGAGCTTCACCGAAGCTCCGATTCAAGCTAGCAGAAGCTTCAACGGTAGCTGCTGAGCACGGCGGGCTATTGGTATTACAGGTCAGTGCAGAGAATATTCTTCTTTTAGACTTGTTCGATTTTTCGATGTGTAGACCCTTTCTGGTTCTTGCAAGCTCGAGTTGCTGATAGTTCTTTGTACTGATGCTGACGATCAGCCGATGATTGACGTATGCAGCGATGTACTGCTTGAGTTTGACCAGAAAGGGTTGTTCATTTGATGTACGTTTATCATACTTCATCATTCCTTAAGTAAAAGCTCAGGTCCTTATGTCGTATATCGCTATAGCTAGTAACATGTATTTCATAATAGCTTTCAAGACAAAAGATTTGGCATAACGGAACTAAAATAGGCATTTTCAACCATCGTAGCTGCATTCTCGCTCCTTTATCAATATCGCCCGCAATAGATTTTACATTTTTAGATACTAGTAAACTATTCCGTGTATTCAAGCGTCAGCATTTGTGTATTCATCGCACTTGGCAATCGGCCAGCGAGTAATCTTTAATAAAAAAAAAAGAAAGAAAATGAATATATTTCGCCGTCCATGTACATCCTTACCTTTTTTTACGCTGGTTCGTGCGCATTTGAAAACTGCACAGCGATCGTATATGCAGTATATCGTCGTTTCGAAACCATAAGTTTACGTAAGTTCATGATTACATAGGAGCAGCGCTTGGGTGTATACTCGTGAATGCACAGCTATTCATCTGGCTTCTTTTGACAAAATGATAATTTCTCACGTTTTATCGAGTTATAAAAGAGAATGAGGAATCGAGCTGTTCGATAATGTCTCCTTGGTCGCTAAATATGTGTGTATTTATAAAAAAAAAAAAAATCTGCCGTGCTCCTTGACTCGACTCTGCATCTAAGTGTCTAATGTACAATTTTATAATTAAAATTCAGGGAAACTCAAAGTTAAACTTGTGCCATTTTTTATCTTCTTTGATGATGAAAAAAAAAAAATTATAAAATCTTGAAAGGAGTTGTAATTGTAGTGGAAAAATGTTGTTATTGACTGTTGTAGGGATTACCGTGCGAGGCGAAGAGCACCGCAGAGACATGGACAATGTCAATGATCAAATGCAAATGATCGGCACTAAAATCACAGCGATCAAGGATTACTTATATGTAAGGCTTATTTGTCGACGCACGAAAATTCCTTATTGCACATTTTTTTACTTAGAATCAAGTATTCAGAGATACGTAATATATATAACATGCCCGAAGTAACATACTCTCGTTCTACTGAAAAAACTCGCACTATGTGTAGCTTTCACGATATTCGACACACGCCACAACCTCGAGCTTGTATCAAACTTTATTACGTGTTCTCTCACAAAAGCACATCACTACATATACATGAAATTTTGTCTTTGTGTGTGTGTGTGTGTGTGTGTGTGTGTGTGTGTAACTTTGTGATATAAACGCATATATGCGGTTATTTTGGCTACTTTGCAGAACTTCGCCAGAACGCACTCGCCAACCAGACTCATGAGTTCCGAAAATACATACTCGCTCTCGAAAGAGCACTGTAACCTTAAATACTCGGGTAAGTTGAATCGCAACGAGCATAATAATTATGATAATTTTGCATGACATGTCCGCGGGCAGTAGTAGTAGGTAGCTCTAACGATCCAGCGAAAATCATGTACATGCTGCAATAGTTGTACAACTACACGAAGATCGCAAGCGAGAGAGAAAGAGACTCGCGCGCTTGCGCATATAGTTGCGGGTCTTCCTCCTCGGTCCTCAGCCAGAGACTCAACAACGACGAAGACGACGACGACGACGACGATGGCCTTTGCTCATTTGCCTGGCATCGTAATGGCGGCGGATGTGTGTGCGTGCCTGTGCACGCGCATTATACCATAACTATATCGAGACCTCGACCCTTTTTTCAAGGCTCTCTCTCTCTTTCTCTTGACTCATCGATAATACTTGTCGTCCGCCCGCGCGCGACCACGACCGCGACGCACCTCGCCATACTGTTATTATGATTATCTTTTTTATCGCTCGTCGACTCGGATTTTTTGGCTGAAAAATCAATATTGCCCGCACGCGACACAGATTTTATCCTTTGTGAGCTTTGACTAGAGCTGCTACTGCTACTCTTATAGGGTGCATAATAATCACTCGAGCCTCAAGAATTAACGCTGGAGCTATTATTCGCTGAGAGACACGAGATTACAACACCGCATCCGTATTGTGTATCGCGCGGAGAAAGAGAATGAGAGAGAAAGAGAAGGGTTCGTGTCGTCGGATATTTACACTGCGAGCATGTGTCGAGCAACGATAACAGGATTCCGCATAATGGCGCGAGATTGATTTTTAAAAACGTTGACTTTTGCGGGCTTATCGAGGCGTCAGACCCGTACCCGATCACTGTTATTTCAGCCGTATCGAGTGATGCGATGTATATTCGTAGCGACCAAGAAATCGATTAATTTGTTTCAAAAAATGTAAAACGCTTAATCCGAACGAAAGGACGGTGCGCAGCGTTCGCTGCTGTATACGTGGCGGATAATAATTTCCAAAGTGCAGCTTTAAGTCGAGGCACTTGTACGTCTCTGAATAAAAGAAGAAGAGGAAGAAAAAATAGAGTCGAGGAGAAAAGAAACATTAAATGAGGTTCTTTGCTTATCTGCGCGAGTATAAGCGCGTGGGCGTATATACCTTCTCCGGACGGTTAGATTGATGGGGCGAGATTAGCCTGGATCTCGTCCAAAGAAAGCCAACGGGATTTCGCCATAGTCTTGACTGACTGATCAGCCCTACTCGGCGCAACTTCCCACTCGTTTCTTTTCTCTCTCTCGCTTCTCTCTTTTTCTCTATTTAACTGATATTAGCCTGTCATAAACGTCGAGACTCGGTGCGGGGCCTCGATGCTGATATGGTAATCGCGTGTACGACTGCACTCAGCTTTTTTTCAACGAACGAAGATCGTTGGCGAGCAACAGCGAAGAGCCTCGATGGTGTCTCCCCACCAAACAAGTGAGAGTGTGTTAAATTGAGGTCTATACTTTCAATTGTTTGATGGTGCGAAGCCATCAACGATATCATCGATGTACGAGAAGAGAAGAACAATCGGCAACAATTGGTATTGGTCAATGCGCAGACACAAGTTTTCATAGAATGGCCCTCATTGCTTCCTCTCAATCTATTCTCTCTCTCTCTCTCGTTCTGCTCTATCGATTATTGCCCGCTGTTGAGCAATTTGCGAACTCGCCGTGCGTCGCTCTGTTGCAGATCTCGTCCCTCAGAATGTCGAGGGATTCCCGGCGTCCAAGGAGTTTCTCACGAAGGTCGTGGACATCCTCATCGACTACATAAAGAATCAGAACGACCGCAGCTCCAAGGTGCTGGACTTTCATCATCCACACGACATGATCAAGCTGCTGGATCTCGAGATACCCGACACGGGGGTGACACTGCAGCAGCTGCTCCTCGACTGCTCGACCACGCTCAAGTATCAAGTCAAGACCGGTGAGTACTTCTTTCTTTCTTTCTTTCTTTTTTTTTTCATACTTCTGTCGTCGAAAAACAAACGAAGCAACCCCTCGAAACGGCGGAACGATAAGCGCGCCATGATTTCATATTCAATTTAGCATATGCCGATGCGACTGCCTGTGAGACGAGAGAGAGGAGATAAGGCGAGCGAGATACCGTGCATCCGACGGGCAACTGGCCCCACATAGCTGCACAAACACTTACCGATCGTGATAAATAGTTGCGAGGGTGTAATTCACGATAATATAATACGCATATATGATACAGCCGAAGAAGAGCGCGTATCCCTTAGGCGACGTTGCATTATCGACGCCGATCGTTTATTACAACAATAATTCGCGCAACTATTTATCGGTCGAAAGAGTCGAGCAACTTTTAATCTAAAACATTACATAATATAATGGGGTAGGCGCTTCGCGTCGAGAGAGGGATGTAGGAGCGGTATCGCGTTGTCGTGCATCGTGCGCAGCGGAAATGAATGTACCACGGCGAGATAGCCATGGATGGCTGTATAATATAGGCAGCGCGCCGGAAGCCAGCCGCAAATCCCCCGCGAAACGTCTCTCCGTATCTTGGCCTGCGCTGTGGGATTCGATTACGGAATAGGCCTCGATGCTTGAATGGATGCTAATGTACAATAGAGACGGCACCCCTTGCGGCGCCACGATATGTAGGTTATCCAATAGCAGTTTGCAAAGGCGTGAGCTCGTGACACCAGCCAGCGAATAACAACAAAAAACAAGTACTATTAGATTACGCGGCGGCGACGGCTACGTTGTTGTCGTCGTCGTCACCCTCTCGTGGCAACAGCGCCAGTTCTAGGGTTGTTGTTTGTTGTTGATGATTGCGCGCACGAGGCTCGAATCCGAGAGAGCCGCCCCGAGTAGCAGCAGCCAAAGTCAAAAGAGTCCGTTAATTGAAGTAACATATTCAATTGGCAATTCGAGGGCGCTCGTGGTTATTAGCATTATTGATATATTCATGTATTCTTTTCGCTGAACGTTGTCCTCTGTACGTAATACAATTGACGAACGATGTCCCGGAAAACTTATCAAATTGATACGTAGGAAGGAAAGCCGCAGAGCTCTTGCGTTTTACACGAGCAGCAGCGAGCTTGCGATGATAAATTAGGGGGATTTCCATTTGTATGCAGAGAGAGAATAAGAAGTGTGTAGCTACACAGGGTTTAACTTTGCCTATACACTTGTATGATCAATCATAGACAGTTCTTACGTAGGCGCGCGCGTGCTTCATTCAAACGATATAAAGAAAAGAGAAAATTAAGCCCGAGCTGGCAACTCGGCAATAAAACCGAATCCGTGTATCGCTCGTCTCCTCCTCGCAGCCGAAGTATGCGTATGCAGTGTGCTTTTAGATTAGTTTACGCGCGCAGCGAGCAGCGAGCAAGATCGATTAAACTGCACAGGACGGCAGTGAAATAACGCAACGCTGCAGAGAGTCATGGCACGTCATCCTTTAAACTATCCCTCGGCCGAGCGAAGCTATCGAAATTCCAGAGAAGCATCCAACTTTTCCTCCACGTTTTTTTCATTCTTCATTTTTCAGACTCGAAAGTTGTGTGCGTGCGCACGGCCCGTAAGTATGCGCAGCGTCGAATAATGCTTATACACGCGCGTAGTAGTAGCAGCAGCAAACATTGCGATCCATACACACGTAGTCCCTTAAACGTCGCAGCTCCGCATGGGGGAGCGAGAAAATCGTGTAGAAATGGCTCTTAATTACACCGATCCCATTGAATTTGGCTGCTGCCGCTGCTGCCCCCCTTGCGCGTATAGAAAGAGAGCTGACGGAGCGAGGGTGTGCGCACGTGCGCCGCAGAAGTGTTTTTCAACTCTCGTCGTCGTCTGGCTTGCAGCAGCAGCCGCCGCGCATATATCCACTTTAGGATTTTGCCGCAAATTCCATCGAGTCCTGTGAATAATTGGCCTCTATCTGCTGGCCCCCCCTGTGAGCTACGACACGACCATATCGTGTACGTAATGTGTACGAGGATGTATCGCCGGGATTTCGCGATTTTACGTCTGGTTGAGTGGGTCATTTTGCTTCGCTCGCTCTCTCCTGCTCGTCCGCGCGCATCTTATATGATATACAAAAAATTCGGTCTATTCTGATTTCCGGGTTTGGGCTAAACCACTAGGGATGCACGGCCACTTTTTTGACGATGAAAAATAGACGTTTGCATGTGAATTCTTACACACTCGCGTATATAATATATTATTATAGTCATAAAACGTCGTAATCTCGCCGTTATATCTCTCGCTGATCCTCGCCGCGTCGAAGGGAACGAGAAAAAAAAATTGAAAAAAGGCGACCTATCACTAGGAGAGGTTTTTTACATCATTGATAATCCTTATCTATGCTACATACCGCCTACGTATAACCATCATCCACAATCTTGGGCTTCAAAGAAATATTTCATTTACGCGCGCAGCAGCAGCAGCAGCAGCTCCCGAGAGAGAGATCGATAATCGGGCAGGCTGTGTCGTCGTCGTCGTCGTCGCATTGTTACGCGCAAAAAAGAGGAGAGCGTCGCGGAAGAAGAAGCTGCTGAAAAAGAAAGTGCGCGTATTGTTGTCGCAAAAAAAAGGGCAGAGCTGGATGAAAGAGCGCAAAGACAGAGAAAAAAAAAGGAGAGAAAGGGGTGAAGCGCAGTCGTAATTTCGCCCGCTCTGCTGTCTGCGTGCATGTGCATGAAACGGTGCTTTTTTTTGCTCGGCGACGACATCGCGCGCGTTTCGTCCTCGTTGCCGATTCGAAATTGGTACGCGAAGACAAAAAAAAAACGATCAGCGAGGCTTGGAGCTTATCGGAAGCACCTTAGCGAGTGGAAAGGAGATCGATCCGCGGAGTTCGAGCGCCCGCCTAGGCGGTTACACAACTTGGCAATCAAGGGTTAACATCGGCGCGGCGCGCGCAACTCACTCAAACGTCCATCAGCGGCGTGAGAGCCAACGAGTAAGCGTGTGTAGGTGTTGAACTGGGCGTGTGTTTAATGCGGGGGGGCCGCATCCATCGGATCGCGCGAGAACAGGTGAAGCCCATTAAAATCAAGCATCTCCCCATTAATGCTATATAGTATATAGTGGCAGTTGCACACCCCTTTTGTTGAACGTATATGCCAACAAATCCTCTTACGACTATATATAGGCTCGCCGTTAGTGTGTAAATCTGCATAATGCACGTACTACAGGCTTATCTATATAGAGCTACGTGTGTGCGTATAAGTACACTTGCACATAAGCACACGCGTTACATAAAATGGAAAATGTAAAGAAAAAAATAACCTACAAGCATGAAAGGGAGATGTTTCTCCCATTCGCTTTTGGCGTGGGTGTGCACGTCTGTGTATATGTATGTACGTGAGCAAACAATCTAGTGGTGCAGCGACGCGTGTGACGTGCAAAATGTGCGGGCGGCGGCCGCCCCTATGCACAGCATCAGTCTCTCTCTCACTCTGGATACTTTCTCGGGATAATTGCGAATAACAGCGAAAGATGAGGGGATTTACTGATCGCTAGAATGCGCTTCGATGCATCTCGCAGGCCTTAGTCTACCATAAAATGTCAGAGAGAAGAAAGCTCGGCTGCTGCTGCTGCACGATCAAGGTGACTTTTCATCCTGTATCGTGCGAGGGGGTGTACACAACGCTATATAGCTGCGGTCAAATCGATTCTCGTGTATGATATACGCTTTTCCATGATTTCGTTACGCGATATCAGTCAATTATATCGCAATGACGGATAAAATGAGGGAAAAATTAATACAAGTGTACAAACGTCTACACGCTTATGTAGGCTCGAGTCCAAGGCATTAGGTACAAATGGCGCTGCCTTACGTACGAGAGATTACAAATCATTCTGAAAACTATTACACGTACACGTCGAGAGAGGAGAAACGCTATCTTACAGTACGTTAGGCGCGAAAATCCTACACATAACGGGAGCAGCGGCGCACACGTCTGCTGCCAGCTACGCTGCAATGGGGGTGAATGAGGCCGTTATTATTGAGCCTCGGCTCGAATGAGAAACCCCTTGGAATGAGAATATATACGTATATAAACGAAACGTCATACGTCAATCAGACCGGCTGCTGCTGCTACTACCGCTGCTGTTACACCGCTGCTGCCACTGCGCAAGATTAAAATACCCCGGTCGGAGGCCAAATTTGCGCGTCTGAAGCTGCTTGATTAATCTCTCTCTCTGCTCTCTTCCTTTTTTTTTCTTCTTTTTTTTACGCAAAGATCCGTTTTCCTCTATCTGTAACTGCAGCGTGGGCTACATTGCCCATTAAAAGCTTTTGACCCTCGAGGCTCTTTTGCCAACTACTGCTAGTTGTGTACGGGAATAGTCCTTTTTTTCTTCGTTGTTGCGGCGAAACGTTACGAGCTTAGAGTGAAAAATACTGCCTGAATTTCCGAAAACGACTTTAAAACAATACATTCACGGGAGCGTGCGAAAGTTAAAAATTAGTCGGCACTGCCTGGGAGAGCGAGAGAAAGAAGAAAACATCCATCCATCGATGTCTGCTGCAGAAGCTGCTCTCGAGTAGTAAGAGAAAGAGAGAGAGAGAGAGAGAGAGAGAGAGAAAAGCCAAATCATCATCGTACGCGGCGAACAACCCTCGGGAGCATTAAGCCTTGATCCGTGTTGCCTGATGCTCAGCCAAGCGAATGACAACGTACTCAGCTTAAAGCCTTCTTTTCTCTCTCTCTCTCTGTCGAGCCTCTCTCTCGTCTCAATACCCCGACGACGCAGCCTCGTGCACTTTAACCTTTTGAAGAGTACGTGTTCGTTGAGCCTGTGCAAGAGTAGTGGCCCACCCCCAGCCTGCAGCCACACGTCGTAGCTCTCCTCGCGATTAATTAGGCCGTTTCGAATCAGTTAGCGATATATCTCTCGTAATATTCTTCGGTTCCGGTGATCCACGTACACGATACGAATCGACAATTACCGTTGCAGGTCATCCGCACTTCTTCAATCAGCTGTCGTGCGGCTTGGACCTGGTCTCGATGGCCGGCGAGTGGCTCACCGCCACGGCCAACACCAACATGTTCACCTACGAGATAGCGCCGGTCTTCATCCTCATGGAGCACGTCGTGCTGCAGAAGATGCGCGAGATCATCGGCTGGCCCAACGGCCAGGGCGACTCCATCCTGGCGCCCGGCGGCTCCATCAGCAATCTCTATGCTTTCCTGGCCGCGAGGCACAAAATGTTCCCCGAGTACAAGGAGAAGGGACTGGCCACCATCGGCGGTCAGCTCGTCATGTTTACGTCCGATCAGGTGCGTAAATATAACCACTATTGTAATTGCCGCAATATGTTTGGTGCGATTTTTTGTTTGTACGTATGTAATATACAGTGTCACTACTCGGTGAAATCGTGCTCGTCGGTGTGCGGACTGGGCACGGACAATTGCGTGATGGTGCCGAGCGACGAGCGCGGCCGCATGATACCGGCTCGCCTCGAGGAGCTCATTCTGGAGCGGAAGGCCAGAGGACACTTGCCGTTCTTCGTCAACGCCACGGCCGGCACCACGGTCATCGGAGCCTTCGATCCCATTCAGGAAATTGCCGACATTTGCGAGAAATACAACTGCTGGCTGCACATCGACGTAAGTTCTTTCCTCCAGCGCAAGCACACGCATATTTTTTCTCTTCATCTTTTTGAGCTTCAATGCTCGCGATTACCAAGCAATGTACGCATGAACTTACACGCGTCTGTACGACTGACATCAATCGACGAAAGCTGCTAGTAGCTACAAGGACACGATAAGGCTTTTAAACGCGTTCGAAGCTGCGAGCGATGACGAGCGAGTATGGTATAACGTTCTGTGCCCCGTGGGCTGCTCGATGAATGCGCTTAAACTCGACGTAATCGACGAGCCGCTCTCGGCTCTCTTGGCTTTAATTATTAACGTGGGAGAAATTCGCCATCGGTCCTGCGCGCATATACCTAAACCGAACGCCGTCCAAACTTTCTGCGCTGCGCGGCATTGTCGCGCGCTCCAACTTTGCCACTTACACCTTCGCATCGCGCTATTATATCTTCTGTATACATAAATTGCATGTATTTTCTATTTGTGCAGGCGGCTTGGGGCGGCGGACTGCTATTGTCAAGAAAGTATCGACATCCAAGATTGACTGGCATCGAGCGGTAAGTTATAATGAAAAAATTCATACGTAAACAATATATGGAAAAGACAATAGCGAGTCTGAGCATTCGTTTGTTTTCTCTACTGCGGCATTGAGTCAAGTTTTTACACAATAAAGAAAAAAACGTAAATAATGCATTAAAATAATTGTCTAAAGCGTAGCCGTGGTTTTGCGCGTGAGCTCGATCCATTAGCTCGTCTTTTTCTCTCAGTCTCCTATCGCGTACAAACTCCTATATATGTACGACCCCCAGGATTGTCGAAGGCATATTGATTTTGACGCCGGTGTGCCTGCTGCACAGCTGAGAGAGAGAGAGAGAGAGAGAGAGAGAGAGATGAGAGAGACAGAGAGGCTGTTTTTCTTGAAGGACTCCATCAAACTAAGCCTACCGTCCAATAAACTATATAAGATAGGATTAAGGTCTATGTACACATGAGCAGTCGAAGTGTCTCTATCTCTTTATATGGGCATGTGCTTTCGATGTAAAAGTTATTTATGGAAAGTAGAATATCGCGCACCCCCAGTAGGGTGCTCTAATTTTAAATCTTCCCGCTTTTTTAAACCTCATATTATGTGAAAAAAGAACAGCAGTTCACTGAAACTTTAACGAAAATTACGACAAAAAAAAAATTGGAAATCCAAGCAAGTTAGCGATTCAATTAAAAACCCAAGTTAATGAGGAATTTATTTGAAAATATCATTAAAAATCAAAAAAAGTGAAATAAAATAGTTGGTATTACAAATATGCAAAATTTTTACAAATAAAATTGGAATAAAATTGGAATAAAAAATTTAAATTCAAGCAAATAAATTTATTAATTTCAATGTTTTTAAATAGATTTTAATTATAACATTTATTCCGACATAAAAAACTTGTAATTTTTATATTGATAATATTTTTGCCGTGTTTTGCTTTTAGTTTCAATATTTTTCTTCATGTGAAATAACGGTTGCAACAAATATCACTAAAGTTTTTGTCTGTGGTCGCCAAGTAAATATACCACAAATCTTTGTTCATTAGCTTTTTGATGATCAATTCGCAGCAAAGAATTGGCAGCTGGTTGCGGGTTAGCTTCAAGAAAGGATCCAGGGTCCATCGTCGAAAAAATCCTCTGGATAGTTTTTCACACACGTATACAGAACAAGTTTCATTGTCCCATTTTGGGGGCAACAAACATTTAGACGTACGCTCGAACTCCAAGTAGTCGGTAAATGTAAATAGTTGTGTCACTTTATAAGGCGGCGATTGGATCAGATCGTAGAGCGACAAACTCGAGCTCAGCGTGTGCTTTTTCGCTTCGCTCACGAACTCTTCGTCTTCGTACCAACGTTTTCCGAGGCCCACTGACTTTCCGAAGAATCGATATTTAGCGAAAAATTTCATGATCGTTGTTGCCTCGCTTCGGTCCAATTGGTATCCTTTTTCCTCGAGATGCTCGACGACGATTAAAGCGATGACTACTAATCTCACATGAAAATTATACCACGATTCATCATGTCGCGGTATATCCTTTTTCTGGTAAAAGTAACTCTCTGCGGGGAAAACGAAGCTGGATATATCAGCTCCATTATTCAAGAGTACATCGATAGTTTTGGGCAATAATTTCGCTACGGCCCATTGCAGCGGTGTCCGGCCCAATTTGTCCCGGGCGTTGACTTGTATCGGCTTATATTTGTCGTTGCTGAGCTCGAACATCATCTTGACCAAATTGTCATAGTCGTGTCTTCCGTAGCTAAGAATGTGTAGACAAGTCAATCCTTCAACATTGGCCAAATTCGGATTTGCGCCGTTGCTCAGCAGTAATTCGACAATCTCCGCCGCATCGAAAGGGTAATCCAAAATAAAGTGTAACGGCGTGTTACCCGAATTGTCCTGAGCGTTGACGTGCACCGGCTTATTCTTGATATTCATGAGCTCAAATATCATCTTCGCCAGCTCAATTTCGTCGCATTTGTTAATGTTGGATCTGTGGCAAATAATATGCAGAGGTGTCAATCCCTCCGCATTGGGTACATTCGGATTCGCGCCTCTCTTCATCAGCAATTCGAACGGCTCATTGTACTCCACATCCTCAAGGGCCAAATGTAGCGGCGTGTTACCAAATTTGTCCTGGGCATCGAGTTGCAGCGTCTGCTCAACGTCATCAATGAACTTGAAAAAGAACTCGAGTAACTCGCGTGGAGAAATAACTCCATCACGTTGGGGTTCGTACCCATCATAGTTATCTCTAATGCAAGTATGCAGAGGTGTCAATCCTTCTGCATTAGCTACATTTGGATCTGCGCCTTTTTTCAACAAAATCTCGATCATTATCGTGTCGCAGTAAAGCACAGCCAAGTGCAATGGTGTATTACCAAATTTATTGTTCTGGGCGTTGATCTGTATCGGCTGGTACTTGTCGTTGCTCAACTCGAATAATATATTTATCAAGTCATCGCGCTTATCTTCCCAATAATTGCCTCTCTGACATATTACGTGCAAAGGTGTCAATCCGTCCTTGTCAACCGTATTCGGGTCGGCGCCGTGTCTCAGCAACAATTCGACCACCTTCTCGTCTTCGTTCTTAAACGCTAAGTGAAGCGGCGATTCATTTGAATTTTGCTCGAAACAATTAGGATCCTGGCCCAGTTCGAGGAATTTCTCGACGACGTCGTTGCAACCACAGTCGCAGGCCATATGAAAATGTGTTAGCCCGGACTCATCGGTGTAATTGACGTCAAATCTGTTATATATTTTGAAAAGATCACCGACCATATCTCGATTATTCCACTTGCTTTTGCTCGCGTGGTGCAGTGGTGTGGTGCGACGCGGCGATGGCTTGGCGTCTCTATCTACCTCGGGCTCGTCCTCGTAGCCGGTCTTAACCACAAACTTGATGAACCGTTTTCCTTCGTCGTTAGACAGACGTTCAGGCGTGTCAATTGTGGACTCTGTAAGAAGCCAATCAATTTCATCCTTTCGAAAAATGTCTCGAAGATTTGGAAGTGGGCCCTGCCAATTTTTTATGATAGGATCAATTTGGCTTAGATACTCTTTTCGCATCTTTGCTCGTAGGCTCTTCAGTTGTTTTAAGCTTGAGTATTCGAAATCGAAATCACATCGCTGTTTGGACATCTTGTTGCAAACTCACACACAAACACAATCACTGATAACTTGAAATAATCGTTTATTTTTTGCACGAAAATACTTGCTGCGGTCGATGCGATTTATTTGGCTGTTGACGTTGTGGCGACGTAACGTATACTGACTATGCAGTATATGATAGAGTGTGTGCGAAGCTATAAAAGTACTATACGAGAAGCGCGACTCATATGTTCGTTTCGTTGTTTGAGCGAGTGACTCGCACGAACACGTTACAGCAAGATTGAGACAAGTGAGCGCGAGAGAGACGAGGACACACGCCGCGGCGTAGACTTTACAATATTAAAAGGCAAGCGCCGAGTACTGATACTCGCCACTAAATAGTCCGTATTATGTCCGGCAGTAGCGGGGGGCGAACTAACTCTTGAGAATCGGACGCTTTTTAGGCACAAAACTTGAAATAAAATTGTCGTGCGCGCTTGCACGAGCTTCCCTTGCTTGATTTTAGTACTTGACGCCTCTAAAGAAATTTCACTTCAAAAAAACTAAAAGAAATAAAAGAAAGTTGTTTTTGCCGATAGGATAGTTTTTACAGGTTTTCATGCACCCGTCCGAAAAAAAGAGAGAAGCGGATAATTAAAGTAGCTTAGGATTAACTTAATTCCCATTGTGCGAAAAATGTTTCTGATAAAGTGCAAAAATCCCGTGAAAAAATTTCACCTCGGCCGGTGCAAAAAAAAAAACAAAAAAAAAGAAGAAAAAAAAATGAAAATTGCTAGCGCGCGCACAGGCAAGGGAGTGAGCAAGCGGATCGCAGATGCTTTCGCGCGGATGCAAATCGGGGATTAAACTCGGACCCCATGTGCTGCCGAGTATTGTGCTCCATACGTATACACACGTGCCATTGTGTACCGTAGGTATATACGCGGCGCTTCGTACGTAAGTCACATACCCTCCATATAGGCACATGCACGCACACGTACACAGGAGCAGTGCAGTCATAAAGATTATACGACGACGCGTAAGGATTATAATTATATATACGTACTTGCAGAGGAAAATTCGCCACGTCGAAAGAGAGAGAGAGAGAAATTATGTCTTGACCGACACCTGCGACAAACTTTTCAATCATCCTCTGGCACACTTAGCAAAAAAAGCAGTAAAGTATAAAAACAATGAGAAGTGGGTACACGCATGCATCGATGCGTGAAACAATTCTCCTATGCACGCGCGGATACATATCCTTCCTTCTTTTCTTTTCCTCTCTCGTTCAAGGGCGGATGTATTGTAGATAGATACGTATATAGTGCCGCGGTTCTCTTGATTAAAATGGCAAGCATATACGCAAGGACACACGAGGCAGGAAAAAGGTCTATATATACAGCGGGGATTTAAACGCGCGAGAGCAACAGCTGGATTCGTTTTCCCTGGAGCGCATTTAGCGGCTGCGACGAGTACGTATACTACGTAGCAGTGGAGTACACTATATAACTGACGCGCTTATAACACAGAGAGCCCAGTGCTGCCGGTGCGTGCCTGCACCCACTTATCTCTCGCGCACTGTGTCTCGACAATGTTTTCTGGATTAAACTCTATCAAAGGGATGCTTCCTCCTTTTTTTCTCCTTTTTCCCTTTTTTTTCTCGCTTTGTGTATATGATATACATGCGACGAGCGCGTATACGTATTCTTTGAGATTGTTTTGTGTTGAAAATAGTAAAAAAAAATATATAAAGAAACATGGAGATGCTTTGAGAGATAGCGTGGGTGCGAGGGAATGATAATTGTGCACGAGGGAGGGTAAATATTTCGAGCGCGAGAATATTTGCACTCGAAATCTTATATCTTACGTATAAGATGTACATTTTTCAGCAGAAAGATAAGTTTTTTTTCGAGCATTGGGACGTGCATCGGAGGTCATATGCTTTCGGGTACATCGCGCAAAATGAAATAAGAAAAAGTTTGTTCATTTAAAGTTTGTCGAATCGATCGCTACGTACTATATAAAATTTATACCGTATATAGGTAGCGCTCTTGGCCCGTCAGATTTCAATTCCATTATTGCATTATCGCAGATAATCAGAACCTTTCAATTATCTTGAATTAGAATATAACCTCTTGGTTGAGGGCTGTGAGAGTAGCTACTGCGATACAGCACGGTAACTACCGCAAATCTCCTTAAGCCCACGTTTATTTACGATCCACACCGCAAGCTCGCGTAGCGTAGAGCTTTTTTTTTTTGTTATATATTCTACTCCATTGCTGAATTCGGCTCATTAATTCGGGACGTTGTGCAGGCGCTGCAGCCGAGTAAAATCTCGCTTTAATACAATAACGCAACGCGTCGGGGATAATTAGCGTATTATATATATACGGGCGCGCGGGCGTGGAGTTGGCATGGCCGAGGGTAGTCAAAGCCAGCTGCGAATCGCATTAATCAAACGCCGTTGTTATATACATGGTACGGGTAGTGCGCGAACATACTCCCTCACGCACGCACACGCATACGCTATAGAACAGGCAGGCGGGCCGAAAGAATGCAATATTAGGCTAGGTTTAATTTTACTTTTGCACGGCTGCGTTGTACGGAAAGTTCGATCATAGAGCGCACAACAACGCAAAGAGTACAATGCACTCTGTCTGGGTCGCGTAGCGTGTCTTTTACGATGCAAGCCGGGGCCGCTACTTGCGTTTATGTGCGTTGCGCAATCTCTGCGCGAAATGACGAATGTTATCGATACTTGGCGAGTGACAGCTGGAGAGAGAGAGAGAGAGAGAGAGAGCGAGAGGCTGAGTTGGAGCTTTAGCTTTGCCACTCGAGTGGTGCACGGCCTGGTATAAGCGCGCACGCCGAGTCGAGTATAATTCGTGTCAGCGACAGACACCGCGCGCGTTCTGTGTATCATACGCCAGATATCGTGCACACACTCCTGGGCTGTTTGCCTGCCGCTGCCGTTGTCGCTGTTGCTGTTACTGTTGCGCATCGCTGGGCCTACGCGAGCTCGGATTTATCATTTTTCGAGTGCGCGCGCCTATACACGCTCGCTGCTAATGCACGTTAGACCACGCACGCATATAGTTGCTACAATAATTTCGCCGGAAATTCGTAATCGTCGGAGCAATTGGCAGTTGCGGCTCCCGCGCCAGGCCAATGCCCGAGTACCGAGCGCTGTCGCGCGAGTCTAGTAGGATTAAAGGGTTACCGCAAGGGTGTGCCTCGCTCGAGAGTCTCGCAGTGGGGTGTAGGGCGCCATATCAACTCTCTCTCTCTCTCTCTCTCTCTCTCTTTAGCTGCAAATCCGATCTCGCGGGCTAATATTAATAGCCGCTCGCGCGTATATACACATGCTATCTCAAATTGATAGACCCCATTCGCACTGCGTATGTGTCGCTGCCAAGGATGCCTCTCATATTTCATCCCCCATTGCGCGCTCTCCTGGGACGCGTTCGACGAGAGCCCAAAGAGACACACACACGGCGAGAGATAGCGAGAATGTCTATAGGCCTTTTTTCGCCGACTATCGTCTTCTCGTGTGTACGCAGCGGGCAGAAATTTACAGCCTGTTTCCCCGCTAACTCGCGTCGATTGAATAGCGCGCCTTAATGTCCTCCAGGCCTATATCCATCTTTTATTAGGATATACGTTGACGAGCCAATATAGCCGAATGCCCAAGATATAATAACATGTACAGCATTTACGATCATGCGCCAATTCCTTTGGTTTTGCAGGGCCAACTCGGTCACCTGGAACCCGCACAAACTCATGGGTGCTCTGCTCCAGTGCTCAACGATCCACTTCAAGGAAGACGTGAGTTTTCGTCCTGACAATCAGCAAACATACCTTGAACACGATTATCACACATACTTACGCCAGAGTACAGAGTACAAGAACGAGATCAGCAACCCTCGCAGCGCGCGCGCGGACGAGAATACCTACAACAAAAAATATCAGGCTAGCGCGCGCGCGCGCGCTCCGATCATTATACATTCCATCCGAGTCCAGCCTCGAGAATTGCCGCGCTGCTTACGCTACAATAACGTTTATGCACGCGCGTTCTGCGGGCCTTTCCTCGTCCTGCCTTTAGGAATTTAATTAAACTAAGAGATAACATATGTTGCGCGCATAACAGGGCCACCCTCTGCCCGTAGTATTATGGTATACGTCGAGCCTAGTCGTCGGCGTCGGCGTCGGCCCGTACTCGCAACGTGTATCACTTATTGCTCTCTCGCTCGGCTACAGCCTACGACTAGTCTACGTACGCCAGACCCTAACGCGAGATATTAAAATTCCGTGTGCACCGGCTGCCGAGAGACGACTTTCGATTGTTTTTCCATAGGTTCGTCTAGTTTCGCCGTCGCATAACGCGCCGAGCGGCTGTACGCGCGAGGGGAGCTTATATTATTGACGTTGGCACACGTGGTCATCACTGACTTTTTGTCCGCGATTCGACTTTTTGTTTTTTTTTTTTTTCATGCACGGATCGCACGTGCGACCTACGCTTTGATTTCTGGTGCACGACTAATCGCGCGGTCTGACAAGTCGACGCGTTTTTTTTTGTGTGCGCATGCTGATGAAAAATGAATTGGTGCGGCAGCCATGAAAAAAAGTAATGACGAAAGGCGCTAATTACCGAATGATATGCTAATGCCCGAGTCGATCATTTATTTTTACGCGGCGATGTACAGTGTAGCAAAAAGCTCGTATAGCACGTAGAGCGTATAAAAGCTCAGCCGTGACGCCATTTTGCAAGCTCGATATTCAACCTCGACATCAGCTGCGCATGTCTTGACTCCAGCTCGCCGTGTATCGACCGAATTCACGGCGCGCTTTAAACTCCGCGAGTACCTATACCTACTCTCTCTCTGTACTTGCACTGCGGCACATTAAAAAATTTTCATTCCTTTCGGAACGTGCATCCGACCGTAAAATACCCCGCTCGATTTCAGGGACTGCTCATGAGCTGCAATCAGATGTCGGCCGATTACTTATTTATGACGGACAAACTTTATGACGTCAAGTACGATACTGGCGACAAAGTCATCCAATGCGGTCGTCACAATGATATTTTCAAGCTTTGGCTTCAGTGGCGCGCCAAGGTATTATACATGTCGGCCGATGATACAATAATATAGACGAGGAGAAATAAACGATTAAAAAAATTATCTTTGCGCTCCTGTTTAGGGAAACGAGGGCTTCGAACAACACATGGACCGATTGATGGATCTCAATCAATACATGGTACGTCGCATCAAGCAGATGCCCGACAAGTACCACCTGATCCTCGAGCCGGAGCTGGTCAATTGTTGTTTCTGGTACTTGCCGGAGCGCTTGAGGAACGTGCCGCACTCGCCCGACCGAGAGCAGGAGCTTGGAAAGGTCAGTTCTCGCGAGGCTTTATAGTTAGACGACCAACAAAAAAGAAAATATGACTCATGCAAATCTCGTGTCGACCTGTTCCAGATCTGTCCTATTCTGAAAGCTAGGATGATGGAGGCTGGCACGCTGATGGTCGGCTATCAACCGGACGATAGGAGACCCAATTTCTTTAGGAACATCATATCCAGCGCTGCTGTTACGGAATCCGATATTGATTTCTTGCTGGCGGAGATGGACCGCTTGGGTCACGATTTGTAAATTCAGACAGTACGTGTATACCTATGTAGTTCCGAGTGTCTCTAAATTGGAAAACGAGCAAGGATAAACGTGATCTTTCGTTTTATTGTCGTATCATTGAATATCGTTTATTCGTTGTTCGGTAAAATTTTTCAGTATATAAAATAGTTGCAATTCCGAGAGAAAAAGAAAAAAAATTATAATTAAACACTGTTGCATAATACGTAGAAAAAAAGTTGCTGTTTCACTGTTCTAGTTGACGAGAACTTTTGCTTACGTTCGATATTTCCATTTTACGTGAACAATTTTGCGCGACGAACGTCTGTATACGGGCTGGGGGGGTGAAATTACATATAACCAGGAATATTATCGCGAAAACATATGATAAGAATAACGTGCAATTAATTAAACGAAAAAAAACAATTATTAACGCGTAGTCGTACCTATCAAATTTTATATAAGTACCAGAAAATCAATATAATCTGTAGAGCAGATTTTGTTAAAGTTTGCCGTAAATATGTACTAAACTCAATTATATTCAAGCGTAAGTTACCTAACAATATCAATATTAACATACCAGTTGAAAGATGAATATTATTTGATTATATGATTCTATGAAAATATCTATGTATACACAAAATAACAATATTTAACGAGAAGAAAGTATGAATAAAAGACATAGTGCGGAAGTTAATCAGATGCAGTCGAGAGATAAAAGATGTTGCGTAAATTTAGGTGCTTAAGATAAACAAATGTAAATGTATAAAGCTCATTATCTCGAATGAATATTTAATAATGTGAGTTTATGATGAATCTCAACCGTAAGCTATGAGTTTTCAAATTTTAAAGAGAGAATCGCGGTGCAGGGAAACCGGCTGTAATACAAAATAATCTGCAGTGCAGAAATTCAGAAATGAGATATTTTTTAGCGACAATTATTTACAAAACAAAAGAGTTATAAGTTAATTTTATATAAGGTTATAAAAATTAACAAAAGCTTTGGATAGAGAACCTGCATGGGAAACTAATAATCATTCACGAGCTTGGGGGTGCAATATTTTTCTGTAAGAATATTTTATCACACTTGTTGTGCAAGTTCCAACGAATTGATGATAAGGACAAAACTTATTAATGTATAAAAATCAATGTCAAAGTACCAAATGAATTCAGTAAGGTAAGCTGTTTGAATTATTGAATTGATTAATTCTACAATTAAAAGTGTTAATTTCTTTAAAATTTTAGATGAATCGATACAAATGATAAAATACAAACCCGTGAAAGTACGTGCTTTTTCTCGAAGCGCTAACCCTTGGCCTTTGTATATGTATATAATTTTGTTTACGCGAACTAATTTTTACTTGCAAAAGTAGCTAGATTTTCTGTGGTTTTTTAATTTAGCCGAAAAAAGCATGCCGTCATCAAAGTCGATCCGTGCGAAGCATGCTGTTAAGCGAAGAAAAAGAGCCGAGCCTTTAAAGTGAGAGTAATACGTGTGTAGATGCGCGATTATAAATGACAGATGTGTATCGTTTTCATATAGGTATGACTGGAATATTTACTGAGACCTTAAAACCCGTAGGGGAGAGTTTAGATAAGAGATTGTAAATTGAGTCTAGTGTAAAAAGTGTCTGGTAGTAGTTGATAAACGCGCCTAAGTAAATTTTCATGTCAATATTTGATTTTGCTACTTTGAAAAATTTTTTCGGAAAAATGACGTGTTCCGAACGTTGGTGAAAATTTTCTTGACGTGTTGAGCTCCATTAATACATATGAGTAAAATACACTGAATAAATAAAAGTTTCTAAAAAGTATATGTTGTATTCGTATATAAATATACAAGAAAACAAAGTAATGCTTCCGCATAATAATATTTCAAAGAAGTTATTAATAATTTTCGAAAGCCATTACCAGTTAAGTTGCGCAGTATATCTTATGCTTCAAAAAATCTAGAGATTTTATTCAAGTCGTTGGTTTTTTAGTAAGATTACCTTGAATACGTGTCCACATAAGCTCATATAAATATGATATGAGGTTGTAATTTTAATATAGGTAAACTACTAAATATTAAACTAACAATTGCATTTTTCTGTTGGCTATGATTTATCGTACTTACATGTAAATAAAAAAAAACATGTTGCTGTGTAGGTTGCCTTCGGCAGTTACATAAGATCGAATGAAGATTGCCAGTCCAGAAAATTATTATCAATAATGCCTCACTGTGCTAAGCAATTATTCTCAAATTATATTTTCCAATTTATCGAAATGAATTGATTTAGCTCGTTCTATGCTAATCTTCCGAATAATTCAACGCTAATGAGTACAAATGTAAACTTTTTTGATTTTTTTTATTATATTATTGCAAAGTGTGCTGAAATAAGTTTCAAAAAATAAGAATAATTAATAACTAATCAAGCGATGAGCAGGTCAATCAACTGTATAAAATAACATATCTTATCTACAGCAGAAAGAATATTTTTACTGGAAGCATCTAATTTTTCACGGCGAACTACTCCCTAAAACTATTTTGAGATGTGGGGATTTCCATATGATGATTGTAATTCCGCAGGCGTAGAATTGCAACAAAAAAAGATATCAATTTAATTACATTTGGGCTGAATAAATTATTTCGTGCGCTACTGATGTACCGATTTGTTTAATCCAAGAAAAATCACGCTCTCCTTTATTTGTCTTGATGACAAACATCTGTGATAGAAAAGTAATTATTGCTTAGGCAACTTTTAATGATAACAAAGGCAAATTCTCTGTTTATATGCATACCGTCAATTTTGTGTACGCATTTTGGATAATGCCCTTTATAAAAATTATCACAAAGTTGTAAATAAATAATGAATCATTCCAAATAGCGTATTAAATATTTTAAAAGAATGTATAATAGTGTTATTTACTTGTATTATTGTTTTGTTACGCCAACATAAGTTTGAATCGAATGAAGAAAATGGCACGATCAATCTTAAGTGATGAGATATTAATGACGAAAAAATTCTACGATGCTGATTTTTAATCATCGATTGTTGTTGAATATGTACAATTAAGTAAAAAAATGTAAGTACGCGTTAGTTTTAAGAAAACAGCATGTAATCAGATAAAAACAACAAAAAAGCATAGTACAAGGACAACAAATTTTTTAGAGTTTATCCGAATTTATGTTAGTTGATCTAACGATTCGTTGATGGCTTGAATTTTCTCTTATTTGAATATATTTATATGTTTATGTACCAATGTGGAAGTGACCTGTTAGTGAAAATCTCTCGTGAAAAATAATATTATAAAAATAAATATATTATACTCTATGTACAAATTTAATCTAAAGTTGAATTAATTTTAAGTTGATGATCTTTATTGTTCTAAAAAATTTAAAAAAAAGTTTATTGTCCGGAGAAATTGAGCTAATTTGAACGTATAAAATTTGGCATGGACTAAAAAAATGGTTATTTAGTGAACTGAACCTCGTGTACGAAAAAACACTACTCCTTGACAAAAAAGATACCTATTCCTAAACTACCTTGTGTAAATCAATGTCTAATAAAAATAAACTGCTGTTATCTCGTCGAAAGTTTACTTCTTTTGCATTCTATATCTGAATGTTATTTTCCATATCCACCTAAAAAAGCTCTTATTATAGAATCAAAAAGCAGGACCCGTTTTTCCAAGTGGTAAACAGGTGAATAAATTAAATAACACGAGCCTGTTGGCCTTGGGACGAGCCCCTCGCGCGGCCAGTATTAGAGAGAATCCGAGATTACGAGAAATCGCACCAGTCGCGTCTTGCCGGCATCGCGATCGAACGTTACTTTGCAAAAATGAAGTCTTTCATGGAATACTCCAATGAGTGCGAATTTCCAATTGAAAATCTACCGTATGGTGTTTTTTCTAACGATGCAAACGTAAGTATTCGTAATACCATACTCACTGCTTTTAATTTGCTTTTTATGAATATTTGCAGTGCAGAGGTTAACGCATTCATTTGCATTTTTACAAAATTATTCTTCTGAGGCTAAAAATGTTTAACTCAAAAATTATATTGTAAAATCTTTTGCTACAACCTTATCAGGTTTAGGTAAATTTAATTTCAATTGTAAAAGGCTTCATTATTTCAAATTTTTTTTTAATGAAAATAAATGTTAGTAAAGCAAAAACAGAACGCCAAGTATTATTGCAATTATTCTTATCCTACCCGCATGCCATCTAACAAATCCGATACTCAAACTTTACTTGGTATTGCAGAGATCTACAAAATTTGTCGTATCTCGTGTATATTGTAACACGTTGATATTCGCGGTTGATATTGCCACTCTCTGCAAATATTACCACATGATAATTCAGAATTTTTGTTTTTTCATTATTTTTTCCAGCGTAAAAAAAGAATAGGCGTCGCAATTGGAGATCAAGTTTTAGATCTATCTGCAATTTCGAATCTATTTGAAGGACCACTGCTATCTGATAAACAGCATGTATTTCAACAAGAAAATCTCAATGATTTTATGGCCCTTGGACGTCCCTCGTGGCTTGAAGCAAGACATACTTTGCAAAAATTATTATCTGTTGAAAATGACGCACTGCAGAATCCTGATGTTCGGAGAAAGTAAATATTTTTATATTATTAGTCTCATTTATTTTGTATTTAATGAACATTAGTGATTAGTTTATTCGATTTTTTATTAGAGTATTTGTGCCTCAAGAAGATGTAACAATGCATTTACCAGCTAAAATAGGAGACTATACCGATTTTTATTCTTCCTTTCACCACGCAACAAACGTCGGAATTATGTTTCGTGGAAAGGAGAATGCATTATTGCCAAATTGGTAAAGTTAAAAATGATCCAAAATCCCAAACATTATTACTATTGATTAATTATTTTTTCTGCAGGAAACATCTACCAGTTGGCTATCATGGCAGATCAAGTTCCGTAGTTGTTTCTGGTACTCCGATACGTAGACCTAAAGGACAAACTTTACCTGTCGAAGGAGCTGATCCAGTTTTTGGACCAAGCAGATTGATGGACTTTGAATTGGAAGTAGCATTTTTCGTTGGTGGGTCACCCACTAAATTGGGAGAAACAGTTTTAGCTTCCGAAGCTGGAAGCCATATTTTTGGATTTGTACTCATGAACGACTGGAGTGGTGTGTATTTACGAAATTAATGAATTTTTGATGAAGGTGTAAATCGTTTTTTAAATCAAATTAGCTCGTGACATTCAAAAGTGGGAGTACGTACCGTTGGGTCCGTTCGGCGCTAAAAATTTGGGTACTTCGATCAGTCCATGGATAGTCACGATGGAAGCGTTGGAGCCTTTCAAGGTTCCTAATATGCCTCAAGACCCAAAACCTTTTCCATACCTTCAACATTCCAATTTATGTAATTTTGATATAAAATTGGAAGTTGACATTAAAAGTAAGTAATTTTTCACAGAAAAGTATAATATCTAACGATCATAAATATGAATTAACGATTATTCGAACAGCGCCAACTGGAGTAGCTACAACAGTAACTCGTAGTAATTACAAGTACATGTATTGGACTCCCCAACAACAACTGGCTCATCATACAGTTACAGGGTGTAATATTAATCCTGGCGATCTTATGGCTTCCGGTACCATAAGCGGAGAGGTTTTCTTCATAATTTAATTAAAATCGATTTTGATCATAAAACATTTTTTCATTTTGAATAATTCTTTATATAGTCCGCTGATTCATTTGGATCGATGCTTGAGTTATGTTGGAAAGGAACTAAGCCAATAGCTTTGAAGGATGGTAGTTCAAGGAAATTTTTGCAAGATCATGATGAAGTTATCATAAGAGGTAAAAGATTAAATTTTTTATTTAAGAAAATGTTTTTCAAACGAAAAAAACTAATAATAAAAATGTTATTGTTAGGCTATTGTCAAGGTAATGGATATAAAGTAGGTTTTGGCTCTTGCAAAGGAAAATTACTACCAGCAAATCATTAAAATCTACCAAGACTTGTAACATTTTTTTGAACAAATAAAAATCCTATTCAAACAAATTTTTAAAAATTTAAAACCTGTAATCGATTTACTTTCAACCCGCCCCACTGAATATTTCACAAAAAGAAAAGGAAATATGTATAGGGCAGGTAAAATATTGATCAGAGCGCATTATAGCCCCTATGGTACGCAGGTGTGCGATCAATAAGAGGCAAAACACAGGCCAGTTGTTCACCTGCATTCGTCCAGCAATGGCGAATTCTTTCCTGCGGTAAATATGTGGTTTGCCAACCATTTTCCCCCGTAATTACGCATTATTAATCGTAATCTGTTGCACGTGGATTTTTTTTCGATTTACTTGCACTTTTTCGTTCAGTAAAAATAATTGTATACGCGTGTGTATACGATACACTGTAGCATTCGATAATTTGAGATCCACTCGCAATCCTCTTTCAACGATTTAGCACTCACTTTCACGAGCACGCACAAAATTATTAAAGTGTTGGATTAAAACGATCTTGAAAACAGGAGCCTTCAGAATCTCGAGTCTGTGGGAGGTGCTCCGACAGCTCGCTGGGAAGTGCCTCTGAAGGATGGGGTGCACATTTTGGAATTTGAACACGGCACGGCAACAGGTCGCCGAGTGGTGAAAATCGATGGTAAAGTCGTACTCAATCGAGAATGGATGTTCCGATTGGTCGGAGACGAAATTATTACTTTCGGAGACACCAAATTTCACATAAGGGTCGATCCTATACCAGGTACATTTTCTAAAATAGAATGAATTTCGGAAAATTCAGAACCATGTAAAGTTGTAAATAATTTTAGGCTTAAAATATTCCTACAGCCTGTGGGTGAATGGAGAATCTTACAAGAATTTCATTCAATCGCAAAATCAAGTACTCGAAACTTGGTGCGCTCAAGTTGGACCGGACGAGTATCGAATTATTTTAGGTATTTTTTTATAAGCAATAATTCATTTGTGATGGAGAAAAACAAAAATTAAAATTTATTACAGAAAAGAGTACGCAAAACGTGTGGGTGAACGGGGAATCGATCGAGCCCCGCTTCGAGTTCATCGACAACGGAGCGGAAATAGTATTCGCTTTGGGTGATGTGCCAGCCAGCATACGCACGAGCAGTCCAGGCTGCAAAAACGCCTCGATCATCTACACCCTGTACGTGAACGGCGTCGAAATAACTCAACAAAATCTGGAGGACGGCGTGACGGAATGACGTGCGCTGCTGCGAGCACATATAGTATAGTACTCAAAAGATGTTTTAAGATTTCAAGATTACGTAATGATATTTTTGTATTAAAAATGGAAAACAATAAATACGTCTCGATTTTGCACAGCCAATATGTCTTTCGTCAGCTGACCCAACAAACAAAGCAAACTAACCTCGATCTTGGCAGTTTCGATCGACCGTCTCTCGCGTAAAATGTACCAAAATTTCAAGCGGAAAAAATGCTAACCAACGCCACGAACTTCAAAACGTGCCTGCTGGGCACGCTAAAAAATGACATCCCCTTCGAAAGTAATTATCCGAGGCTTTGTTAACGAGGCGCGAGCGCGTTGGGTAATCGCGAAGCCGATTCTCATCGGCGCGAGACAATGAGCGCGAGATCTTACGAAAATTATAATTGCAGCATGGACGGATGATCAGTTGACAATAGCTTTAGAAGATGCAGTGCTGATGAAAAAAACGTTGACCCTAGAGAACGAGGTATTCGAGCGTTACTTGCGACGCAAATATCCCGATACTATGACGAGTGAGTCGTTGTTTATAATTTTTTTTGTTGCCGCTTTATCGCTTATTCCGACAGTAAAATAAAATAGTTAAAACGTAATAAAAAAAACCCTGGCCAGAGTACGCGCAGATCACGGAATCGACGCGACAAGGCCTGCGGGCCCGCGCGGCCAGGAAGATGCGCGACTCGGACGCCACGATGAGCGGCTTGAGCATCGCACGGGCGGCTTCGCTCATGACCACGGCCGGTGGCGTGCCCCAGCCGGTCTCGGCCAAGCAGGTAGTCGCTACCGGCGGCAAGGGCCTCAGGTACGCAGCAACATAAAATCACAGGGCGAATCTCCGCTTCTGCTGCTGCTGCTCTCTCTCTTGGAGCGCGTCCCGTTATACTTGCACGCGAGCTGCTGCTGCCTTTTTCCATTCTTTTTTTTCTTGCTTTTTAGACTGACTCTGAACCATCGGATCGAATTGATAAACCAGGAGCTGGATATCATGAGGCAAGTGCGCGAGGAGATGGAAAAAAATAGCGCCAAGAAGGAGAGGGAGTGGATAGATCGGCTGAAAGAGACGGAGTTTCGTATTTGGGAGGTCGAGCAGAATTCGGCGCAGTTCGAGGCAGACGTCATAGAGCAGGCCAATCCCATAAGCAAGCAGATACCCTCGAATAAATTTTTAAAGTTGAGCGCGACGTCCGGGACGATTGAAAATTTTCTCACTAATGCTACGAATGCTCTAGGTTTTTGAGATTTCAAGACAGAATGTCGGACCACCTGCTCGACACGTTGCATTTGAAATTCACCAAGTTGAAACAAATAATCACGAACGTGCGACGCGAGATGAAGCAGAGTCGCGAGCTCGGTAGCAATCTTCGGCCGATCGACTTTGAAAAGTTAGAAATCGAAATCGGATACGTGCTGAACGACAACGAGGAAAATAATCGCACGTTCAAGGCGCTGAAATTGCTCAACGGTACGTATTATGACGCGTATCTCGTGTCTGTTTATTTACACGATCGGGAATAACGAGCTCGGTTGCGTCCATCATCATCACGCGCATAGGCGAGTATCAACTGAAGATGAAAAAACAAACGGACCTGCTGCAAGATTGCCGAGCTGAGTTGGCCCGCAACGAGTCGGATCTGGCCAAGAATCAGCTGTACAACGTGACCATCAGGCGGGACAAGCAGCGGGCGAAGCGCGAGGCCGACCGAGCCAGCGAGCTGCACGCCCGGGTCCAGGAGCTGCTGCGCTCGTACGTGGCGCCGAGCGTCGTCGAGTTCGCCTTCACGGAGAACGCCGTGCAGGAGGCCAGGCGTCACTACCGCAGGACCCAGCACGAGCGACAGGTCCAGCTGTTCAAGATACAGGCCCGCAAGCGGGAGCTGCTGAGGGCCTTCTTGGCCGGGCCGAAGCCCCTCGAAGCCAGAGCCTTGAGATGCAACGTGCCACGGAGGCCGAGCGTCGCCAGCTTCTCCTCTTGCATCGCTGTAAAAGCCATCGCGAATAAATGAAAAGTTCATCCTAATCTCGCGTACGTGTATTTGTTATGCGTGTTTATAATAGACTTTTGTACTATCCGCCTCGAGGAGGAAGAAAAAGAGAAGAAGAAGAAGAAGAAGAAGGAAGTCACGCTTCACGCACTGCATAACAGCCTGTCCCTCTTACACGCGCCGCGAAAGACGCTGCGCTGCGCTGCAGTTCGAATCGAGGCGCCGTACGAACCGCTCGATGATTGCTTAGTTACACCCCTTCTCTCTTTCTTTTACCTTTATATATACCTTACCTCGATCCACTGCGTCCATGTATACATTTTTGTATACACACTCGAGAGCCAAGTGTCATTCCACCCTCCGATGATAAGTGTTTAATCGTGCCGGTGTGCTTTTCCCTTTGATATTTAGTGGTGCGCTTGTGCTCGAGCCGGACATGAGGTTTTACAAGTGCTGTTTCTCCTTTTTGGGACTACTGTCGACGGTGCTTTTCGACAGCGGCGGCCAGGCGAGATACTTGGAAGTAAGTTCAAGTGTGTCAAGCTCTTATCAAAAGCTCTAAATCTGCACTGCTTTTTCTGCTTTTTAATCAGCGCGTCAAACGAGAACGTCTCGCACACGCGCCGTACGTACAATCGTCGCAAATGTAATTTTAACACGCTCGATCGGTCGCACACACGACGCATAATGACTAATGGGAATTACGAAAATTGACCATTTAACTCCGGCGATGAACGATGTTGGTACATAACGGCATTCGCGAAAGATGATACTATTCGATAAATAGTTGGCGTGCGTCGGCCTCTCTGTGCCGTATGCGCGTATGTTATGTGTAGTATAGCGCCGATATGCATGGCAAAACTCGCGTATACGTATACATAAGTACGCTCATTGTTCCGAGGCTCGCGCTTAGTTTTGATGTTTTCTCTCTTTCGAATGGCCAACAGCGTCGCGTACGTACGTATCCAACGACGACCATCAACTACGACCTTATTTTACGAGGCGCGCGCGCGCCTTATGGCACATTGTGAGAACGATAATTTCGTCGCGTAATCGTGCGGGGCACGTGCCACAGTTTTCGTTTTATCTTTTATTTTTCTGCTCGAGAAAAGCTGCGCGGGGACGACTCGCGCGGCCTACTTGGCCCTCTGTGCGTGACACTCATGCACACGCGCTGGTATGGCGGCGCTTTTTCTCTATTTGCGCAGGGTCTGAACGTGAATTTGGGCGAAGCTCTGCAGTTTCTGCGCGAATACGACCAGGAGGGCTCGGCCGTCTGCACCAAAGTCATGACGGCCCAGTGGAACTTCGCGACCAACATGAGCGACTACAACAGGCGCAAGATGCTCGAGGCCCAAACGATCAAGCTCAAGTTCGAGCGGGCCTCCTGGCGCAAGACCGTGAGCTTCGCTTGGAACAGAATAGCCGATCCGCTGGCCAGGAGACAATTGAAAATGATCGCCGTCAAAGGACGCAACTCTCTCACCGATGATAAATTCAACGAGGTAATATAATAAGCCGTGTAATTACAATCTCATTATTACTTACGCAACTCGTATGACGATGCACGACACGCACGCAGATGCATCATTTGACGATGGAGATGAAGGAGCTCTACAACAGAGTCAAATTGTGCCCCTACAGAAAGCTCGGAGCACCCTGCGATTTAACTTTCGACGGAGGTAATCAATTGCGATCGTACCTTAACTCTCAAAGATTCGAATCGATATTATTTTTTCCTCGTGATTGCGCAGATATCTCTAGGATAATGTCGCAATCTCGGGACTACGAGGAGCTGCTGCACTACTGGCAAGCTTGGCACGAAGCGATCGGCCCACCGCTCAAGAACAAGTACATCCGATTCGTCCAGCTGGCCAATCAAGCCGCCAAGCTAAACGGTACATACATACACGCGAGCGCGAACGAATTCCCACGATGACAATGCGATGCACTTGCTCAATCCTTTGATTCTCACTCAGGCTTCGCGGACGCCGGCGACCAGATGCGCGAGCAGTACGAGGACGACTACTTCCAGCAGAACATAGCCGAGGTCGTGTCCTCGATCACGCCCATCTACAAGCACCTTTTCACTTACGTGCGCGCCCGACTGATCGAGCGCTACGGCGATCGCATACGCAACGACGGACCCATACCGGCCCATCTGCTCGGCAACATGTGGGCCCAGAACTGGGAGGGCGTCTACGACCTCGTTCAGCCCTTTCCCGCCGTCAAGAAGCTCGACGTTACCCTCGAGCTCATCATACAGGCCTTCGGACCGCTCAGGATGTTCCAGCTCGCCGAGGAGTTCTTTACCTCGATGGGCATGAAGCCAATGCCGCCGGAATTTTGGAAGTCGTCCATGTTCGAAAAGCCGCCCAATCGAAACGTCAAGTGCAGCGCCAGTGCTTGGGACTTTTGCAACAGGGCCGATTATAGGTATATAACGCATTCTCGGTTCAGTCACCTCCTTGCGGCTCGCTTATAATCTATTGCATTCGTTTGTCCAAAGGATCAAGCAGTGCACAAAGATGAGCACGGAGTGCCTCGTGTCGACTCACCACGAGATGGCCCACGTGCAGTACTACCTCCAGTACAAGGACCAGCCGCTGCTGTTTCGCAACGAAGCCATGCCCGGCTTCCACGAGGCCGTGAGCAACGCCATCAGCCTGTCGGTCTTCACTCCGCAGCATCTGCACAGGATCGGCCTCTACAACAACGCCACCGACGACTACGAGAGCAACATCAACTTCCTCATGCTGATGGCCCTGCAGAAGGTCGTTTATCTGCCCTTCGCCTACATCGTCGATCAGTGGAGGTGGCGAGTCTTCAGCGACGGCGTGGCCGACATGACGACCAGATGGTGGGAGCTGAGATTGCAGTACCAGGGCATTCTGCCGCCGATACCCAGAACCGAGCGTGACTTCGATCCGGCTTCCAAGTACCACGTTCCTGCCGATCTTCCCTATGCCAAGTACATTTGCGTTTTACTCGCCAATCTAGACCAGTCAATTTTACTTCGATACTTATTAATTTGTACTTTTTCAGTTACTTTGTGTCAGTCATCCTGCAATTCCAATTGTTCGAGTCGCTTTGCGACATATCCGGCCACACTGGCGATCTTCATACGTGCGACCTTTACCGATCCCGCGAGGCTGGACGGCTATTGGCGTGAGTCTTTATACCGATTTCGCGAGCATGTCGAAACCTTATCATCGATGTTTCTTATTCTCTCGCAGGGACATACTCTCGGTCGGATCGTCGCAGAGCTGGCCGGACGTCATCAGACAAATGACCCGGGGTCGAACCAACCGACTGGACGCCAGCGCCATGCTACGCTACTTCGCGCCCCTCGCGCAATTTCTCAAGCGGCAAAATCAGATGGAGCCGGTGATAGGCTGGATCAGCAGCCAAGAGGACGCAGGTTGGTAGATCGCGTATCCGCGACGATCGAGTCGTGCCACGATTACCGATTTTCTCGGAACAATGACGAATAACCTCGTGATATCAGATGCGTCGACTTCATTTTCAGCCCTCTTCGCACACTGGTATCTCGGCAGCGGCGCTGCTACCACTGCTGCCTCCTCCAATTGCCTGTCCTTCGCCACGACGACGCTCCTCGTCGCTATTGTCGCTTCGTTCTGAGCGATGCCGAACCGGCGACCAACTCCTTGTACATAGCTGCAAATTTTGTCTATTTTGTAAATAATTTACTGGCTCAGATTTTGTATAGTTTACTTATATTATACGTTTTTATAGATTTTTACACAATTACGACAGTAGACAGTATTAAAATTTAACAATAAGAAATATCAAAATATAATATACGAGGTATATGAACATTCAATAAAAAATACGGTCACAGATTTAACATTGAAAATTGGCCAATCTCCGATTTACTCGACTACTTTTTTCCATATCACAATCTTGTTATTGGCCGGCATATCGATGACTTTTTGCAACTCGATGCCGTGCTCTTTAGCAACTTTCGAGAGATCGGCCAGATCTCTGATACCCCACTCGGGATCTTGCGATCTGATATTCTCATCGAACATCACGTTACTCTCGGGGGCTATGACCCCGTCGATCGCCAAGGCACCGTACGTTATCAGCAAGCCGCCGGCTTTCAAGAGTTTTCCCGCATTTCTGAACACGCCGACGGAACACTTCCACGGCGAGACGTGGAAAAGATTGCAATTGTAGACGTAGTCGAAGCTCGACTCCGGGAACTTTTCCGGCCACTGCTCGTGATCCTCGCTGACGTCGATCCGACAGGGAGGCCGAACGTTGCTCATGCCCTCGGTGTAGACCTCGATGCTGCCGAGCAGTCGTTGATCGTACTCCGAAGGGTAGAAGGCGAGCTTGGGAAAGTGCGGCGCAAAGTGAGCCACGTGCTGACCCGAGCCTGACGAGATTTCCAGTAATTTTTGGTCGCAAGCTTCGGCGTCGATGTACTGCTTGAGAACTTGCAGGATCGGCTCTTTGTTACGGTCCGCTGCCGGGTACGTGAATTTCTTTTTTTCCGACGTCATAGTTACTTACTGCGAAATACGTGGAAACTAGAGTCAAAATTTTCTTCGGTAATAGATTGATCGTTACGTGAACGAAAATGAAAAATAATTTGATTTTAAAATTGATTTTTATTTAAAGCTCTCGATAATTTAGCACTTCATCATCAAGCGATGCAAGGTTATGTTTTATAAAGCGAACAATTAAAGCATTTATTCAACAAGTACTCTTAAAAAAATTAAGTTTTAACACGAGAATAGAGTAAGATTGCACATTTATTAATTAAATATTTAATACAAACGAACCTAAATCACTCAACTTGAATTTAAATAGACCCGTGTGTATATTTACAAATTTACTGGACGGGCGTGACAACGACTACAGGTACAAGTGCTGCGTGCACGCGCTGTGTAGAACGGACAAGTGCATATTGCTCAGTTAATCACAGCAGAAACGTCATTTTTCCGCGGTCGATGTAGCTGAGCATTATAGCAAATATCGCAGCGGTATCGGAACTACAAGGAAATTACTAAAATTTAAAATGGCAATATTAATTATAATAACGCTGACTATTGCTTCTAATGATAATTCAAGCGAAATATTTGAGCACACTTGAACTTTTTGACATACATTTAAACATATTTACTTTTATCGTCGGTTCATTATTATTCATTATAGACATGCATGTAGTTTTCAAATAACATATCCACGTTGAAATACTTTACATGTTCGAATCAAGTAATTTTGATGAAATTTTTCAAGTTGAAATTTATATTTTAGATGTATCAGTGAACTATCATTTCAAGGAATGAATACAAGTCGCATCTATTTAAGATTAAGTACTTCATAAACTTTGATTAAATATTATGCATAAAGATCTACGTACACACACATAAATATTCATAACTTCAACAAACATACTAAAAATACATTTTTCCTCAGTTCAATTAATAAAAAAAAAAAAAAGCAAAAATGCCTTAAACTAACTGAATAATTGCAATTGTAAAAGCGGAAGCCATTGTGATGTAAACGCAAAAGCACAATAAACGTGCAAACGAAGTTAAAAATTATAAAAATATAATCTAACTATTGTTCTGGTTTTAATATCCAACTTTCTGCCAGATGAGTGTTTTGTTGTTGGCTGGCATATCGATCATTTGTTTCAGCTGTATGCCATTATTGAGAGCCAATTTTTTTATATCCTCCAGATCTCTGACACCCCATTCAGGGTTCTGAGATTTTAAATTTTGATCGAACCGAACATTACTCTCGGGCGTCAATACACCATTGATAGCGTAAGGACCGTAAGTGAAAAGGATACCGTTATTTTTCAACAATTGGCCAGCATTTCGAAACAGACCCTCCGTACATTTGAAGGGCGATATATGTATCATGTTGGCATTGTAAATGTAATCCAGACTGTTTTCCTTGAATCCAGCGCTCCAGGTTCGATAATCCGTTGTGATATCGATAAGCATGGGTTGTGCTACATTCATGAGACCATAAGTATGTGCTGCAATACTTTCCAAGAGATGGTTTTCGATTTCTGATGGATAGAAGGTAACTTGAGGAAAGTGCGGCGCAAAATGAGCGACATGCTGACCAGAACCGGACGATATTTCCAGGAGACTTTGGTCCGGAACACGTCGGATGTAGCGCTGCAGAACGGATAAGATAGGCTCTTTATTGCGATCAGCCGCTGGGTATATCATTTTTTTTGATGCCATAGCGGTGGTTCTGCAATATATAAATATACTATAGTTTGAATGATTTAACAAACAATTGATAAGAAGCAGAGCTTTATTTACCTATGAGATGCAGCACAATGAATAACATTCATAATTGAAAGTTCAAAAAGTTCTTAGGTGATTGTTAAAATCAATTCTGAAAAAAACCAAGTATTGTAAATGGTGCTTAAAAATTTCTCATTTGAAGTGTATTTGAATAGAACTTTTGTTTCAAAGTACTCAGAAATTATAAATAATGGGTAAAATGGAAAAAAAGCCTGATTTCAAAGGTATATTACAGGTAGTTTATTACTAAATCACAAATAATCAAAATAATAATATTTTTACAATATTTGTATAATACATTGATTGGATGATTTAACATTGTAATAAGTCTTTTGAGCAAATTTAATCACTGTCGTTCTTAGATCTGCTTTTTCCTTTGCCACTTTTTTCTGACTTTTTCACTTTCACAACTTCGGGTATGTACACAGAATGTCCAGTTTTTTTTAAATGATCAAAAAGTTTATTTTTACTGGGAAATTCTTGCTTACAACTCACACAAGTATGGTCTAAATCTTGATCAACTTCTGGTATTTTTGACATTTTCTTAGTATTGGTTTCTCTAGCTTCTCCTGCAGCTTGTCTTTGAGCTTTTCTCAGTTCTTTGGCCTTCTTGCCTTTCTTTTTACCTGGTGCTGGAGAAACAGTTTCTTGCGGAGAATCATCTTCACTTTCATCTCCTTTACCCTGATTACCTTCTGTACTATTTGATGGGGAATTAGGTGAAACAGTTTTTGAATCTGTTTCAAGACTTGGTTGCTTTTGAACAATATTGAGCTTTTCAAGAAGAAGTTTTTGCTGCTGTTGCTTTTTACGTTGCTTCTTTGACAACCCTAAAAGCATTCCCATATTGTCATCGTCATCGGTGTCTTCTGGAATAGCAGGTCTTATTGTCTTTTTACGTTTTTTCTTTTTTGATTTTGGAACAACAACATCTTCCTGATCAGATATAAGTTCTTCATCGGGAGTATCACTAGCGTAACCCTCTTCTTTACTTCTGTCATCATTGTATCCTTGACCTGGAGGTGCATCCATTGTAATATTACTCGCTGTAGACCTATTAGCTTTTTCATCTTTTTCATCATCTGAATATTTTTCTCCATCAGATGTTTTATCATCATCGTTGTCTTTGGTTATGGTAGGTGGATCAAGCAAAAAATCTGGCATACCATGTCCTGTAGCTGGTTCTGAACCATCAGGCAAATGCCTTGACCTATTAGCTTTTTCATCTTTTTCATCATCTGAATATTTTTCTCCATCAGATGTTTTATCATCATCGTTGTCTTTGCTTATGGTAGGTGGATTAAGCAAAAAATCTGGCATACCATGTCCTGTGGCTGGTTTTATATCATCAGGCAAAGATGACTTTGAGTTTGTCTTTTCAGATTCATCCTCACTACTAGGGAAGTTAATGTCATCATCTACTAAAGATGCTGTCATTTTTGCAACATTATCTTTGTGTTTCTTTGAATTTTCATGATTACTGAAAGCTTTCGATGTTTTGAAAAGTTTAGTGCATGCCACACAGTACAATGCATTAGATTCCTCAGATTCGATATCCTTATCCTCATCAGAAGTAAGCTCTTCACCAAACTCTTCTGCGAGAGAAGCTTCAATTCTTTCAAGTTCTGATTGAATATTAGAAAATTTAGACCATTCTGATTCTTTTTGATTTTTCAATTGCTCTTGGCGTTGGAGTAACTGTTGTCGTTTACGTTCTTCGTGTTTCTTTTTATTTGCTTTTGACTTTTCTTCAAGTAGTTTGGCATGAGCTTGTACTCTCTTATCTCGTTTTCTTACGAATGCTACTAGATTTCTTATTTGCTCATTTCTTTCTTTTTTAGCTGCATCTCTCACTTTTTTATTCTCTTTTTCCATCTGCCTGACAGTCCAACGATTAGGTCCTTTTGTTATATTCCATGGATCTAACCAAGAAAATGAACGCTTTGTAATGTAACTTTGCCAGAATCCATAAAACCTGTGCACATCTTCATAAACAGTGTTGGAATCACCAAAGCCAGGTGCTGGTTCCTCATCAGAATCTCCTTTGCTGAACTCTTCATCCTCAGCAGCCAATTTTTCGAAAACTTTACGATATACGGTATAAAATCCTTTTTCGTCATCGCCATATCCTTTGAAACAAGAGGACGAAAAATATGGAAATACATCGAGCGAATCGTCTTGGTAGTCTTCGCCAATGCCTCCCTTCAAAATAGCCTCTCTGTGATTGTCGTACCACGCCCTTTCGTGAGGGTCACTGAGCACTTCGTAAGCTTGTTGAACCAATTGAAACTGTTCCTTGGCCTCAGACTGATTGTCTGGATTCTTGTCGGGATGCCATTTGAGGGCCAATTTGCGATAAGACTTTTTGATTTCCTCATCGGTTGCATTTCGGGGCAACTCCAAAATTTCGTAATGGCATTTCATTTTACTTAATTACTAATTAGCACCAATGTGAGAGGGTAATTCGTTGAATAACTTTATGTATACTTATGTAAGTGACAATTAGACACTTCTTGATTTAGCACTCGTTCTGAGTGATCAATCAATTGAACATGAGGTTTCGTTCAGTAGAGTTAATAATTGGCTAAAAATTGGCGTGATCGGAAGAGATAAGATTATCATTGCATTAGCAATGCACGATTGTAACACTCGAATAGGGCTGCTCAAAAGACAAGGACTATTTGAACGAGGAGCAAAGTTGTAAGAATTAAAAAATAGCAAGGCGTGCGTGTCAGAAGTACGTATGAACTAACTATCTTAAAAAGGTTATGAACACACAGACGTTCAGCGAGTTTTTGACTCGACGACGCTGCACGGGTTAAGCACGGCAGACATTAAAAACTCGTTGCCGAGCTTTCACGCTTTTGTTATGTTATTATCGAGGTCCGGAGTATTATGCGAGAAGAGAGACTGGCCACCCGAGAGATGAAACAACAATGTCTATATAATTTTATCGTGATACATATTGCTTACCCCCGAAGGTCTAACGTTGGACTCTCCTCCCCTCCTGCGAATCATCTTCGCGAACTTTTGCTGAATATGCGCGGTGGTGTCGGGTGGTTCGCTTCAATGCTGCGCCAAACGCCGCCAGTGCGGCCTGTCGAGTCTCGAGGACGGGACGGGGAGGGGAGGTGCGGGGGTAGTGTGTATAGTTGGGGATTTGCGTACTGCAAAACAGACTGGCTGTCGAGCAGCGCCAATTTCAACTCGACTCACGGCGACGTCCAGACTTGGAACTACGAAAATAAACATACCTACAACGTTTCGCGTATGCGTATATGGATAATTTACAACTTATCCTTGAAGTCTCGCGTTGGAGAGTTATAATTCTCGCTGGCATTTCGCTCAATATTTAATTTTTCTAGGCGTGGGATGTCTAATAATTTTTTCTCACCTATCACGCACGAGTTTCGATGATAATTTCATTATTGCGGGGGTAGAACAATCGATTTATTCGTTTGGGCATTTTTAAAAATTAGAAATTATCCATTAAAGCTCGAAAAAGAATTGAAAAAGCTCGATGCCAACTCTTTCTAATTGCAATATCTGTCGATTCGAGCATTTAACTGGTTGTGCGACGCGGTAAAAGAATCGTTATGGAATTACATCACACGCATACTGATATCACGTGCTAATCATTAAAATTGTTTACTAAAAGCGCCTGATATTTATAGCAAAACGAGAAACCTAATCATCTCTCGAGCCTCTCGCGAGGCGGTGCAGGCAAGGTTCGTCGCGAGTTGCACACAAATGTGCAGTGAGCGCAGCAGCACACCGACTACCCGCAGTGATCGAGTGTAGAACGCAGCACCTACACACTTTTATACCTTCGCACAATACACGCGGGTATTTTGTACGCGTTGACGTTTAGCAGACTACGCACGCTCGATCGACGCGTTTGCACGATTGCCATTTGCCGTCATTGTGTATACGCGCTTACATATATATGTGGAGCATGTTTGCGTACGTGTATAAGTCAACACACATCATTCAGAAACGCTGAAAAAACGTCGGATCACTTGAGCGCGAGCTTGCGTATGTGTACAACGGTGCAAGCAGGCTTTTACGTGGCTGCGCTCTCGTGTGTATGCGTGCATCTCTACTGCAAAAGTGAAGTCGATCGCGCTTAGCGGTTTTGCATGTTCATATACGAGCGCGGAAATTCTCGGATTTTTGGCAGCTCCTCGCCAGTAGTGAGGCACACGATATAGCAGTCATGCAATTTCACGTATTACCTTATCGTCTGTGTTAATCGATCGAGAGGCAAGGGTACACGGAGTTCATGTGCCGAGAAGCTTAATTAACAACCACGATAATGGCTAGCTGTATTTCCCGAGTTTATTGATCCAAAGGCCACTTGTGTCTGCTCTGTCTGCGAATTTCCTTACGCCGAGGGCTGCTTTTATCAATTGGTATTAACCTTATAAGCTAGCCGTTCGCAGCTGTAGGGAACAACACTTCGCTTATATAGACAAGACTGATAAACATCTCTTGGCTGATCGTTGCTTTTCTGACTTTGCATAGTAAGTAGCCATTTTAACAATCAAAAACCATCATTCACTCGTTTGTGTCTTCGGCACAAGCTATGAGTAATGTTTGTTTTGATCGCCGTTCTGCTTTTGTAATGATCAATGCGCTTCTTGTCCAACCATCGGATAATTCTGCAATTGAACGCTAAGTGGCTGTAGGCACATTCATTTGTGTCTCATTGATTCATTTCAGTTTATTATTTTGATGCAGAATAATCAGTAATCATGCCAGCTGGTAATGGCTTGGTTATTCCAATTGTGCTATGGGGGCGGATTGCTCCTACGCACTGCATATCCTGCATATACCTATCAAGAGACCAAAAGACTTTGGTCACTGGCTGCTATGATGGTCAGATATGTCTCTGGGCCATGGATCCAGAAACTTTAAAGGTAAACTAATTATATTAATAAATAAGTAAATAATTTATACATTGACTTATTCTTGTTTAGATGACACCAAGATGTCTTCTTGTTGGCCATACAGCTCCAGTAATGTGCCTTAGTAGAGCTAGTGTTATTATGGAGCAAAATTTCATTGTTAGCAGCAGTGAAAACGGTGAAATGTGCACCTGGGACTTGGTTGATGGCAAATGTAGAGAAAATGTCAAACTCAACAATGTTCACACTCAGATGTTACCTTACGTAACTACTGGAGGAGAGGATGTTAAATTGTTTTGCTCAGGGTAGGTATACATCCTTTACTACATGAAAAATTATAACTTCAATTTATTTTCTAAAAATTATTTTTCATCAGATATTATCCTGAAGTACTGGTGATGGATCCATTTAGCTTAGAAGTACTATTTGCTTTGAGTTCTCGAATGAACCCAGATTGGATCAGTGCTTTGCATGTTCTGCGCCCGGCCAAACGGACAGGTCGGTTCTACGTACACTCAAGTTAGTTACAGTCATTCACACTTACGCTTCAACCATAACTTAATTTTTACATTATTTATTCCCTTTAGTTTTGTCTATTTATTTTCTTGTAGAGTAATTTATTAGCACTGCTCAAACTTACCTTGTGTCAAAAAATTGAAGAAAATTCTTTAACTTAATATATTGAAAGTCCATACAATATAGTATTTTGGAATAAGCTTTCTACTTTTTTGTAATTTAGTCCAAATTAATATGGATAATGTGGATAACAATGGGCTGCACTGTTTTGATCTATCAACAAGTTAAAGAAACTTGTCAATTAATATTTGAATTAAATCTAACATGGGCAAATATTTGAGGCTATTTGTATATAATTAATGGTATCTACTATGACCATTAATATTTTTTATGAACTATTCTAATGTATAATATGTACTGTTACAGCATGTAAATAAAGAGGGCTATTCTGGTGTTTGATTACTAGCAGTTGAATTTACATATATTTTTAAAAATATCTGAACTGCAGTATATCAGGGCTATATTTAAAAAAATTATACTTTAGCTCGTATTCATAAATTAGAAAAATTTGTTTTTAAGTAAACTTCAATCTTTGGGGTTTTTAACTTTCACTTTTGGGATATTATTTATTTATTCTCCATTTTCAACATTAACATCTCATATTTCTACTTATCATTACCTTTAATATTTTCACCCTACTTTTATGTTAATTTTATTTTCATCATCTCATATTTCTCATACATCTTACGTATCATTTTTTCATGCTCATTAATCATTATACACTACAATTACAATACAACACAAACACTGTAAGTATAAAAATAAAACTATAATTAAAAGGAATTCTTTTGTTAATACATAAATACATTAAAAAATTTACATTTGTGTACATTTGTCAATGATAACCAAAGAAACATTTTTTGAGCATGAGAATTCTGTTCATTTCTAGATTAAATATAGCCATTAAATATAGTATTGCTTGTTATTTATAAATATCAATATATTTATCATTTTCTAGATCATTGTATAATTTTTGAAAAATAACTAAAATTGGTTTTAAAGTACTTTTTTTTTAAATTACTATCATTCTTACTTTTGAATATAAGTATCAATTATAAACAAGTATTCATATGAACAAAAAATGGTTTTAAAAATTTTTTTTATTTTATTTAAAATTTACACAAACAATTAGTATATGACTTTGAGTTGACTTTACTTAAACTATATTTTTGGCTTTACTCAATTAAATAACTGTAGGTGACATTAATTTTAACACTAAAAAATTTTTGGAATTTGTAACAATAGAAATTGTATTGATTTGCATGTGTGGAATGTCTAAATCACTTTGGCAATTGATTTCTCTCATTTCTTTTTTAATACTATCTTTTGTTGCTTGTTGTAAGTTAAAGTAGTATCTTTCAAATGTGCATGTGTTCTGTAAAAATTTTTTGTGGAATATTGTTGAGTTTCTGTAAATAATATTATTTTTAGGATAAGCTTTTTTATTTTGAATATTAATTTCAATATAAAATTTTAAATATTTTATGAACAATAAGTTATTTAATTGAAAAGATTTTTTCTATCTGCATAATTAAGATTATGTTAATTCCTCAACTAAAGAAAATTTTTTTGAAGATGATGTGGTCTTGGCCATTACGACTGCTGGCACTGTCAAAGTTTGGACCCTTCTGGGTTCAGAAAATCGCAACAGTGAACCTTTGTTTGAGCATGAAAGCAAACAAATTCGATGTGTGAACGCTCTATGCCTGACTTGCTGCCCTTATAATCAAAGAACAGTACTCATAGTTTGTTCCAAATATTGGCAGGTAAACATTCGATTTTTGATATTTTTTTCATTTAAATGACAGTGATTCTAAATTTTACATCGGTTTAGATCTACGATGCTGGAGATTTTTCAGTATTGTGCTCTGTCGATGCACCTGTTGGAGAAAGATGGATGGCTGGTGACTTTTTATCTGCTGATCGAGTGATTGTTTGGAGTGATGAAGGACATGGTTATTTATATAAATTACCAGCTAAGTAAGTTACAAGCACAAATATATTGAAATGAAATAACTCAAATATTCCCCAATGAGTAAACTAAATATTATTAAATAAATCAATTTTTCGATTCTCAAGATTGCCCGTTACAATTATTCTCAAGTTTAATATCGGAAAATTTGATTTTAACTTTTGAATGTAATGTCTCTTATATTTTAATACACAATTGCACATCAGTTTAAAATCTAATTTAAAAAAAAATTACATCCTTGTATTTTTTTATTGGTTGTAGGGTTTTAACACAACTTGAAAGGTAGTCCTCACAAGTATTTACGACAAAATTCTTACTAAAATTTTAATCATTTATGCTCTTGTTTTATTTCTTTATAACTTTTTATTAGTAACTATTTTTATCAACTAACAGTTATGGTCTAGATTTTTTATAATCACTTATGCCTGAAAGTATTTACACGCCATTTATATAGTCTTAAAAAATTTTTCTGAATCTATATAATGCTAGATACTGACATGAATGTTTTTATATTACATTAGAACTGGCTGCTAATTATCAAGCAAAGCACTAGCAGGCTATGCACAATTTACAGTTCATACAGTATATCAGTATTTATTTTTTCAAGCATTCAGCGAGAAACATTTATAATCATAGTAACATGACATGACATAACTATCATGCATTACCAAACAGTATTGCTAGATCACAAAATTAAATTAATTCATGTGGCCTTATAATATGTATGATCTATAATAATAGAAATTCAGTTCAATCAGATTAATCTTAGTCGAAATTTCTTAAAATTTTTTAAAAGTATAAAATAATTATTGAATTTTTTAAATAAAAAATGTTAATTAATGCTCCATTGATCTTTTTCACGATGATGTTTTGTCATAAAAAAATTTAACAACTGACATAATCCATGGTGGACCTGGTGTAATAATAGCAAGCTGAAGGGCAAGGCTCTCAGCAGGTAACTCTACAAGAATTTCATATTTTATCTAGTACAAATTGTAAATTAAATGCTATTTTCTATTATTGAGCCTTTTCTAAGAATCTTCAACCATTCTTTCTTTAGAATGATTTTTAAAATCCAACAAATCTTTATAGTAAACACATTATGATTTGATATTATATTTATTGAAATCTCTATAATAAAAATTGTAGCTTGTGTAAGTAAGAAAAAGCAATTCACATTTTCAATCATGCAGCATTTTAATTTATGCTCATATCATTTTCATTTAATGTTTTTTATTATTTTTATCAAATAATTTTACTTCTTTCTAGAAGTAGGGTAACAAATCAATTCCTTTTCGTCATTGCATCAAAATATAATAATGAAATTAACTCTAAATGCTTTTATTGCTTACTGCATGTTCTTTTACTAAATCACACTTGAACAGTTTTATTTTTGATAAACTATAAATATTTTCATTACAATCAAATCACACATTTATTATTACTGTATGTGAAAATTTCTTGCAACGTTTCAAAATTTAATTCCTCAAGTAGATACTCAAGTCAGTGTAAAATGATAATTACGAAATATTTTTTCGGAGATTTTAAGCTCATGTTCTTAAAAAAAAATTATGTGTGAAAAGATATTTTGAATTGTTCATTTTTAACCTGGCTCTGATTTTATCTCAAAGAAATTAATGTTTACTGCTCATATAGTTCCATAAATTGTTGTGTTTTGTGTTATCTGTTTATTTTGGTTTTCAATTCCTAGTAAAGTCTAAAGTATTTGTTGTTTTATATGTGTAAAATAAAAGATTCAATATCATCCTTGAGTACTAAAACTTTTAACTATGATCAAGCAGCAGTGTGGCAGATAACAAGGATTTCCATACTGCAGCAATAGAATCAGATCAACCTTATTTATACTGCACTCTGACGCAACCTGGTGATAAAGTAAGATACATTTTTTCATGTTCAAATAATTCTATAATTATTTAGCTAATTGAAATTAAATTATTTCAGCCTTTATCGTGTCCACCTGCAATGCGATTGGTAACAGCACAGAGAGGTAGCCAAACCCAAAAATATCTTCTAAGAGGTGACAGTGAAGGAGTAGTGATGCTGTGGACTGTACCAGAACCTACACAACCATTGTCACAACCAGAACCTGGTCAGGACACGCCAATTCTAGCTCCTACATGTAAAACAAGTTTAACCTTGGCTTGGGAGGCTATGAAGCCCTCTCCAGTTGGTATACTGGACCAATTAGATAGTGGAGATGGCCATGGCATAAAATTGACAGCCAGTATATACTTGCCGCAACAAAGCAGATTGGTAGTCGGGAGAGAAGATGGAAGTATTATAATTGTCCCAGCTACACAAACTGTGATGTTGCAGTTGCTACACGGGAATCATCAGCAATACGACGGTATAAAAAATTTTAATTTTTTTTATAAAATTATGCGGATAAATTTTACTCATATTTTTTTTCAGATTGGCCTCCTCATCAGATTCTCATGGGCCATGCTGGTCGTGTCAACTGTTTACTTTATCCACACGGTGCTCATTCGCGATACGATAAAGCTCACTTGGTATCTGGTTCAGTTGATTTTGCAGTTTGCCTTTGGGATCTTTACGCTGGAACGCTAATCCATCGTTTTTGCGTTCATGCTGGAGAAATAACACAGCTTCTTGTTCCGCCCGATATGTGCAGCGTATGAACACTAAAATTATTATGAAACCAATTGATTTTAATTTATTGAACGTTTCGTTACTTTTAATACAGCCAAGAATACAAAAGTGCATCTGCAGTGTGGCTTCAGATCATAGTGTTACCCTATTGTCGTTGGCAGAAAGAAAATGCGTCGTTTTAGCGTCGCGTCATTTGTTCCCCGTTGTTACAATTAAATGGCGACCAGGCGACGATTTCATGATTGTCGGTTGCTCCGATGGAGCCGTATACGTCTGGCAGATGGAAACTGGCCACTTGGATCGTGTTTTACACGGTATAATTGCAGAAGAAGTTTTGTACGCTTGCGATGAGAATACCTTGGCTACGAGTGGCTCTACTGGTGGAGGAGGTGGTGAGCTAGGTTTAGCCAACCCGGCAGTACATTTTTTCAGGTATAATTCATTCAGCTCAGTATGTGAAACTGGATAGTTACTAATATTATTTGAGATTGGACTACAATTCAAAAATTTCCGCAGAGGTTTGCGACATCGAAATCTCTCTGCTATTCGTCACGCTACCCAACGTGGTCTTCATCAACTGCAGCAGCTTCACGGAGGTCACGGCAACGATCACGGCAATCAAATGAGAGCGAGAGGTGCTCCATTAAACATACAAGGCTTCCGTAGCAATCCCAAAGATCCAGAAAGCCATATATTGTTTTTCGACATCGAAGGCTTAATAGGTAAGATTTTCTTGTCTTATTGCACAAAAACGCACACTTTTTTTACAGGATTTACAAGGATTGGTGAAGTAGGACAAATACTTGAAAGATAAACTTCTCGTATTATTTTGTGATCAATCGCATTACTACAATTTTCCCATGTTTATGTAGTGTCATTATTGAGTGACGAGTACGCAGTCATGTCGCCAAATACATTAGAAGCTAAAGGATTAATCGAAGCGTCCGAATATCAAAAGGTCGCTGCGCTTACGCAATCTGTTAGTCCCGATGCCCATAAAAAAATAGCAGGTGAGATAGAGAGTTTTACGAGTATCTGGGGAAATTCTATTTTTTGAAAAATGACAAATGTTGTTTTATCAATGTAAATAATTATTCCAAAATGATCAATAACAATAATGGGAGCAAATTAGTTTTACTTACGCGCATTAACGTATTTTGCTTTCTTGGTCTTTAAAATTTTTCTTTGGAAATGGAAATTAATAATTCTATCAATCTTAAAAATGCAACAAAGAATATGCTTTAGAATAACAGAGGTTTAAACAAATACCTTAGAACAACAGTCATTAAAAATAACCCGAAACAGGAAAAATAAGCATTAATTAATCGCAAACATTTATAGACTTTTTTGGTCGCGTCAAGGATAAGGCTGGTGATTTGGAAAAGCAACTGAAGGAAAAAGATCGACATGGTACTATATTGTTGATAAATTGTTGTCTAAATTTCGTTTTGTATTTCTCATTTTATTTTTGCATGGCTCACAATAGAGCCGTGTAATTTTCATTTGTGCTTTTGTAATTAATAATTATTGATAATTCATTTATAATTGATATCGGTAGTTAGATATTTTTAGTTTAATTTATTCTTACATTTAAAACTTCAATTGTAAAGTAATAATGATTAAATCATCCATCGTCGACTGTTGGCATTTTCATCAATATCGTTTCTACAGAATAATTACAATTGATCTTTTAATTATCTCAAAATTTTATCGTAGAATCTTATGTTCGTTAGAAGTTTCGATGTCAGGACTTGCAGCTTTAATAAAACTGGAAGATCTGTACACAGAAACAGTGTAGTTCTTGAGATTTTTTTGTTGCCAGTATGCGAATTACGTCTTCGAAAGTGTTAAAACGATAAATTTTCTGCACATATAGGTATAATTGCTAAGATGAAGGAAGGAGCTGAGAATATGCAAACTAAGATTCAGGCCAAAGTGGAAAGCGTTGGCCTTAAGCCATCGAATCTAGATGGCAAAGGTTAGCAAAATTAGATTTGAAAAAGAAAAACGTATTCAATTATCAGTTTTATTTAATGCTATGCATAGTAATATTAGCACAGCCTCTTTCATAGTATACTTAGCTTATTATATAATTTTAAGTTTTATCAATTTCTCTTTTAATAATGTTAAGTTTATCATTTTATAAGTTTTAATTATTATTTTCACGTATTAGCTGCAAAAGTTCTACATTCCACGATATGCAATGATTGCTTATAATATATTTATCTGACGGCATGCCCACACGCTTCACCGTCATTAAATCAATTTCTGTCATTTTCAGTTAATCCTTATGGCAATGTTCTGAACATTCATCTTAATTCATTCACTTAATTATGTGATAGTATAAATTATAATTTTATTATATTACAACTTATGTCTTTATTTTCTATATTTAATGTACTATTTTATCACATTTACATGGTGTATCATTTTTATTTAGATCATAGCCGATTAAATCATTTACCTGTGTCAAAAATCACAACGATTATTTAAAATTTTGATGCAATAATTATCACACTCTTTGCACGTATGCTGTATCGAAAAAATTGTGTTTTTATGTTCTTTATTGATCTAAAAGAGAAAAAAATGTCTGCAGGTGATGGTTGGAACAGCGATAACGCTAAGGGCTCGCTTAAACGAAACGGTGCCTTCAGCGAGCCAAACAGCACGATGGAGATAGCTCAATTACTTCTGAGTTTGCTGCATGCCTGGGGTATGGATGCTGATCTTGACAGAGTGTGTGAGAGCAAATTAGGCCTACTGAGACCCATGGTACCGGTTTCTTTCGGCGTCATTTCTAAAGGTGGTAGTATCATTTCCAAGTTCATTTTTTAATATCATGTTGTTTATAACGTCCATTTACATAATTTCTAGGCTATATGTCATTTTTGCTACCCACTTATCAAACCCATTTGGAGAGTTGCGTAACGGAACCGATACCGCAAGGAGAGCAACGATTGCCTATGGAACTAGTCAGGCAAGAGAGACTCACTCGTGCCTTTACTAAGAGGGCTCACTGGGAACTATCTACTACACTGACTAGTAATCACTTGCTGGCTGTGGTTGCTCTTTCCAATACGCTCATGTCGATGACAAATGCAACTTTTGTCCCTGAACAAGAGAGGAATCGTAAATTGCATCGGTAAATACAGCTGCGATCGACTTGCTTCATCGACCAGCGGCCATGTCTTTATTGTATCTTTCCTATTTTCAGTTTAAATAGTAGACCGGTAAACTGGAATAAGGTCGAAGAGGAAAACGAGGAAATGTATACAGCGCACCAAGCGCAGATAAAACAGGGCTGGTCCTTGATAGCGACTTTGCATTGTGTTTTATTACCTGACAAAGTGTCTACTCAGGGCGGCTCAAGGTCATTTAAAAGACCACAAGTAGAAATGATGGCTCGTCGCTGGCAGCATCAGTGTCTCGAGGTATGAAAAATAGAAAAAGAAAATTCTAACCAGACATTCAATAATATCTTGACCTTTTCAGATAAGGGAAGCTGCACAAGCTCTCTTGCTTGCAGAGCTAGGTAGAATGGGAGTCAAAGGCCGAAAAGCTCTGGTAGACTATTGGTCACCATATTTACCACAGTATAGCACTCAAGAACCCATTGCTCAACATTCTCAAAACCATAGTCCGCCACCGGGCAGTCCACCTCCGACGCACGAACCGCACGAGCCCGAAGACGACGACGAAGAAGAACTTGCTGAGGAACTCAGCATATCTAGAAAGCCGTCGAGTGTGTCGGAACTGAGACGAAAACAAACTACTGCCGTGGTTCTACTCGGAGTAATCGGCGCCGAGTTCGGCCAAGACATTGGACCAAACCATCCGAAACGCGAAAACGACCAGCGTCGTAAGAGCTCGGTGGTTGAGGGCTTCGGTATTGGCAACAATAATCTGTCGCGTTTAACCAGTATGGCCCTCACCCACCTACTGTACTCGCCTCCTTCATCAAGAATGCCTTTGCACACGGCCCTGCGCAGATCTGCCATTGATTTGATCGGTCGCGGGTTTACCGTGTGGGAACCGTATCTCGATGTCTCTCGAGTACTTTTGAGTCTTCTCGAGATGTGCTGTGAAGCAGACAAGCTTGTTCCAACTTTGACCTACGGCTTGCCCCTAACTCCAGCTGCAGACAGTTGTAGAACTGCTAGGCACGCACTAACACTCATTGCCACTGTAAGACCGGCTGCTTTTATCACAACAATGGCTCGAGAAGTCGCTCGTTACAATACGATGGCTCAGAATGCTCAAACTTTGAATGTTAATTTGGGTCAAAGCATCTTGGCCAGAGCCAAACCAGAAATATTAAGAATTGTTGAGCAACTGATTGAAAAGATGCAAAGCGAAATGAGTGACTTGCTAGTTGAGGTACGTTGCATATGAAAATGTCAAATGAACCTATTTGATTACATGTATATTCTCTTGCAGGTCATGGATATTATTTTACATTGCTTGGATCCTGGACACTTGAAAACCAAACCTTTGAACGAAGTCTTCCCAGCTATTTGTAAATTCAATCAAGTAAGATCAATTAATATTTAATGAATTTCAAAAATCCGTTCTTCAAATCGTTTTACAATCAATTCGTGTAATTTTCAGATAAGCCACTATCCGGCTCACCGTAGAATAGCCGTTGGTAGCAAAACAGGACATATCGCTCTTTACGAATTGCGTGGTACCGTAAAGTGTCAAACGATAATTGCACATCAAGCTCCAGTAACTGCCCTAGCCTTTTCACCCGAAGGAAAATACCTCGTTAGTTACTCTGTTTCGGAAAACAAGTTGTGCTTCTGGCAGGTAGGTTCTATCAAGTTTTCATTTAAACTATTATTTTAGAAGATTGACACTGTTTTCACATTTTTTTCAACTTTCAGCAAATAAGTAGTGGAATGTTTGGCCTTGGAAACTCTCAAACAAGATGCATTAAATCATATAGTACCGCTCCAATAAATGACGTTTCCAGGCTTAATCCAATGAGATTAGCTAAACTGATCTGGATTAACAATCGCCAGGTTACCCTGATGCTAGCTGATAGCTCAGAAACTCGCTTTAACGTATAAATATATTTATCTTGTCAAGATCGCAGTTTTTGTGGTACGAAAAAGTATAGATACCAAGTTTTTTAAGCGTGCAGTAGGCATGAATGGGGTTTTACATATCTTCTGAATTGAGTTTGTGATTAGTAAAACCAAAAAATATTGAGATTCACTTCATTGCATTCTGAATTGAGAAAAAAAAATTCACGATAAATTAGAGTTCATGAAAGTACAAATAAATGATATTAACGATATCAACGTTTTTCATATTCGGTGATTCAAAGTGGATGTTTGATCCATGCAATTTTTCCATGTTTGTTGACTCTTGCGTTATAGGTAATATTGTTAATTGTTTTATCCTGTATTACAGGTATAAGAAATGTTACATTAACTTGATCTTTGCAATCTAATTTTAGAAAAAAATAACGAACCATTAAAAACCTTCTATAATATTGAATCAAATATCAATGTTATCGAAGGGTACGCAGAAAGTAAAAACTAAAACACCGCCCAGGTCTAAATGTTAACATTAATCAATAAATTATTGTTAATTAACTTATAGAAGAATAAATGCGTGAGCTTTTACGATTTTTAAAGATATTACTGAATGAAATGAAAATATGTATTTAATGTTTTGATGAGTACCATGTATTATATTTTGTTTTCTTTATAGTGCAAAGTTCACAATTTTAAATGCTTTTAAAATATGTATGAAATGTAGAATATGATTGATTGTTTTAACGTCACTCAGTTGTAGATATTAAATTATATATTTTAATTAAAACACTTCTAATACTGTCAGGAAAAAAATTTGAAGTAGTTGCAGCAAATATGAAATTTTAGATTTTATAGAGGACTCTATGAGTTGTTATTTAAATGATTATACAAATGCAATATTTTAGTTTTAGACACGTTTACTTTTTTTAGATGCTAAAGGACATACCAATTTGTGGAAAATGTTACTGTATGCACAAATTGCTTTTAATTTTGCTTCTTAAGAAAATTTTGAATGTAAACTAACACGTACTATTTTTTATAAAAAAATCTTGCACATTGCTCGATATCACATTCAACTTTGTAAGGACAAAAAGTCTTGAGAGCTACAGCAAGCAAGTTTTGAGCTGTACGATGTATGTTAAATCTCAAATTCGCTCTTATACGAAAGCCTGCGACGACAATAAAAACAGTCTAGCTTAATTTTATCACTAAATGTTACCTAATTGACGTGTATCATAATGTTGTTGTAAATTTTCTTCATTAAAATGAACGAAATCATAATTATACATTTAGTAAAATAGTATTATACGCATGCATCTAGACAAATCTAATGAGAAACACAAATGCAAACTCAATCACGCAATGGTAATAACACATATGTAATTTTTATCAATAGTAAGTAGTTGAAATCTAGCGATAAATGCCTTCCGGATCTTTGACTTGCTGGCGAGCAAAGAGTCTTTATTTCAACGAAACTGTTATATTTTTTTAAATTTTGGGTACCATTTTTTATCGAGTTTTGTTTTTGTTCATTTGTAGAAAACAATTTTGTGAACCAGAACTTGTTTGGTTAAGTAGTAAATACATTTACCACCAGATTACCAAAAAATGCAACATGAATAATGTATTAGTAGTTGTGTTAAAATTCAATTGACTAATTATGTATGAATGTGTGTGTGTAATCACGATAACAACCATTAGCTTATTCGTAATATTTAGATTATTATTGCAATTTGCACGATGAATTATAATGGCCATTCAGTCTCTGATCCTGAAGCGAAAATCACGCTTATACATTCATTGTAAATTTTAAATACCGTTGAACACGCAAGATTATCGAACTTTTCATGTAAACGATGCATCTAAGTGTCAAAAACGGCGTATACCTAATACAAGCGTAGTGAAATACTTAGTTGATATTATAAAAAAAAATTATAGGGTTATTGCATAATAGGAATATAAAGAGACGAGATATGCAATGAAATTGATATGTAATATATTCAAATGAGAAAAAAGTGGCAAACATCGTCTTTATCTTCAGATGAAAAAATACATAAATTTATATATATATTATATATTATATGCTAAGAAGCTGCATTCTCGTTACGTTAAATACTATATATTTGTTGTTATCGCTCGTACATATATTATCAAAAATGAAGGAAAAGAAGTATTAAATATATCGGAGCTCATTGATGCGAGCAAAGAAAGTATATCTAAAATGTATTACCGAGTGAATTATTGTACGATATTCTATGTATGTGTAAATAAACAAGCAAATCAACTGGATGGGCTCTGTTCATTTGTGTTGGAACGGGAATGACCGTTGAAGCGTGCCCCGTGTGTCCCTCGTCTGCATACAAAACTGCTGCACATGCCGCGGAATTCGACGTGGCGCGCTGCAGCTACTGACGTCGTGATCTCTGCACGCAATTTTTCAAAGCTCTTCGCTCGCCGCCCATGGAATGACAATGAGCCTTTCAGCGGTTCGATTGCGTAAATACCGATTCCTCGAATCTGTGTCGCACCAGCGCGTGGCGGCAAAGTAAAAAATGATGAAAATAAATAAAAAAAAAAAACGAAGCAGAAGAAATCAAGTAGCGCATCCTATCGCGCGCACCCTCGATTTTAAATGCACCCTTGTATAAGGGTTAACCACTCATGAATATCACTTTAATCGCGCAAGACGTGTGTCAAAAGCGGCCGTGAGCATTGATTCGGTATTATATTATTATCTTTGTGCGTTATATGCTTGTCCGTCTCTCTTTCTCCGCTGCTTCTCCCTTCGGCAATCGACCCCCCGCCGCCTCGCGAAAAAGTACCAGAGAGCTCATTCATAATTCACGCGTGCGGCTCGAAACGCGTACACGTATATTGCTATAGCATATCTTATATACATACAGACGTATACATATACACGAGAGACAAGCGTGACGCTCCGAGCTGAGTCGAGTGAGAGAATCGTTTCTGTGCGATTTAGCGACGAATTTGATACACGAGAGATGCATCGCTTGTTTGCTCTCGAGCAATTGAATGTGTATACATATTATATGGTACGGGCGCGAAAGCGAAAGCTTTGAGAGAGCGAGGATCGATTTTTCAGCGCAGAAATCATTTAGTCACGGACGCGAGCTCGAGCCAAATGAATGCAACGATCAGACAAGAATCGAGAGTCGCATGCATGAAGGTGTGTCGCTCGCGCGTACTTTCAATGAGCTGCAGCAGCTTCCTCGGCGTGTCCTCGACGAGTAGTATCTCAAAGTCGGTATCGATACTACTTCTTTCCAATATGTATGTTAATTTCCAGCACAAGGTACGCGCGGGCGCGATTGCAGCTCCGATGACGCGTTCTACATTTGGTAAATAGCGATCGAGATCATACCGTCGTCGTGACGTTATTCAATTCGTAATTTGTTACGATAACCAAAGTCATTACGATAAGTTAACTAATATGATCGTTAGAAGAGACGAAAAGCCGAAAAAACAATTCGGTTTTTCAGTATGGAATCAAAGAAGCTCGAAGAAACATGGATTCGAGAAAAAGATTGCGGTATTTGTGTTATTGTTTCTTACTCACGGGTAAGATAATTTAACGTTAACATTTTACGTGACAACATTTCAAGCGCAAGATCTTTTCAGTTATCCTGCTGATACCCCTCGTGATAATTTTAACCCACAAATTAACTCGGGACAAGGAATGGCTGCGAAAAAAAAACGAGGCTGACAGCACGACTCCCAAAAGTTTCGCTTTTCAAATAATAACTCAAGAAGACGATGGATACGTAGTGACCGAAGGCATGAAAAACGGGACGAAAGTGACTTACATGGAAGCTCGGAGCCTCGGCAAATCGTCGAACCACCAGAGCGAGGCATCGCCCGGCGAATTTCCCTATCACGCAGCCATCTTCGAAGGCAACGAGTACGTCTGCAGTGGAAGTTTAATAAGCAGAAGACACGTCCTTACGGCGGCGCAATGTGTCGTGGATATTAAGCAAAAAATTAAGATCCAATTGGGTCGTAATTTGAAGCGGGGCCTGCTATACGACGTCGACGGAGTGTCAAGGCATAGGCATTATCGGGGAGGAAAACGATATCACAAAGCTGATGTTGCCATTATTCGTGTAAGTGTGCACATGCTTCATCGATCTTTTTTTCGAGATTGTTTCAACTATATGTTTGACTTCTTCAGCTGAAAAAATCGATCGTGACATCGAATTTTGTGAGACCCATTGCCTTGCCAGAAGCCGAACAACCGTCGGGATTTTTTATATTTTACACGACTGGATACGGCGTTGATGTGGGTCCCGAAAGCGTCCTGAGAAAGATGCCGCTGCGCCTGGTACCAAACAGCGACTGCTATAACGCTTCTACGGACAACGAAGAATTACAATTCGCCAATGACATCATTTGTACCAGGATACTCACCGAATACGATAGTTGCGAAGTACGTAATATATTTTTGTTTTGGTAAATAAATATTACATCACTGTGACTTTAAATTTTTGTCTATCGCAGGGCGACATCGGTAGTGCACTGGTCGATGGGAGGAAAAACGTCATAAGAGGAATCGCCTCCTCGGGCGACGACTTCTGCAACCATCCAGATATTTTTATCAACGTGACGGACTATCTGGATTACATAAAGATGGAAATTTCATCGGATAAGTTTAGCGGCCAACATCCGTCGATGGTATTCAACGAGCGCATTGGAGCACCGCCGGTAGATCGGAACGATCGAGTTGAGGGCGAAAAAAACGAAGATGACGATAGTTGGTCGCCCTTATGGGTCAAAGTACTGACGACGATATTCGGTGGAATGAGATAGAAGCTTCGGAGGTGCCTCTGATTTCTTCTAATTTACTGCACATTGCAATTATTTAGAGTGGAATTAGTCGTTTTATCACGAGTCGCGCGCCTATGGCATTAGAGATATTAATGGTCATTGCACGATATCTGTTTTTAATAACAGAAAACTTCTTATCTACGTTAACACAGATCGATAAATGCGCTAAGAAAATTTAACGAAACACAATTCTATGAAATTTACACGTGTTTTTTTCTACTATTGATCTATTGTATATTCTAAGCTACAGTTGACGAATTCAAAGGCAAAATCATTCGCGAATTAGCATATCCACATGCGTCGCGTTGGTCAAACGATTCGCGTTTCTTTGATGTGGGCGACCGAACCACAAGTTTGTATAATATTGTCGACATGAAAGTCGTGTCTCGAGAAGTCACTGTCATTTTGACTTCAGTTAGTTCTATAAGTGCGAAAGTTGTTTGTTTTCGAGGGAAATTTTAACAAGGCTGTTAAAATGAATCGTGTGAGTAAATTTATGTAGATAATTGTTTAAATAATAACTATTAAGCTATTATTATAGTTCAATCCTTCGTTTTAAATAGAATAATATCTTGTATTTATAACTCTTGATTTAAGAGAAAAGCAGTGAATAAGTAAATATGATGAAATTTTACTAAATCTGACGTAAAATCGAATTATTTTGTAAATCGTGTTAAATTAAATGTCAAATAGAATCAAAGACTGAATATACTCTAGCGATAAAATTGATTGAAGATCGATATATTAGAAAATGTTATTGCTGCTGCAGCAGCTGACGGAATTCAAAAAGGTCGCGAAAGATTTGATCGATCAGTCCTTTGAGAATAAAACGCGCGGGATCGGATTAGTAACGAGATTACACTAAAAATAAAATTATGCTTCGTTATTGTATAGATATAGATTGGTTTATAAATAGTGAACAAAGCGAAACTGTCAATTTGTACAGAAATACACGATGTTCTTCTGCGAGCGAAACAAAACATTTGTGAGATTAATAAATAGTTGACTTATGGAAAAAAGGAGCACGTGTGTAGCGTCTTTATAGCTGCGTCACTGTCCAAGCGTCGTGTCGCGCGATGACTATACTCTAATTCGGATGTGCGAGCACCGCTGCAAAACGTGCAATTTTCGCGGAACGAGACTCGACGTAGTAGCGTAAAAATGATTCATTGCGAGGCGCTCGCTCGAGTGCAGTCGAAACGCAGTCGCGAATCTTCGCCTCCCGAAAGTATGAAAGTCCTCCTCGTTGTCGTCGTCGTCGTCGTCTTGCTGCTTCCGAGCTTGATCCAGACAGTCGTGGCCGCGGGCACTCACTCGAAAATCTACCAAGGCGAGGCCGCGGCCAAGGGTGAATTTCCCTACCAGGTCAGCATAACCGTGGGCGGGCGACACATTTGCGGAGGCTCGCTCGTGTCGGCCAAGCACGTCCTGACCGCGGCTCACTGCGTCGAGGAGATCGTCCTATCGAGGAGAAACTTCACTCGGGGGGTCGCTGTGAGGACCGGCTCGGTCATGCTCGGCAAGGGTCGCAATTACCTCATAAGGAGAATCTCCTATCACAACGGATTCAGAGACAGCTATAGACTTTTCCTACCCAACGACATCGCCGTTGTACAGGTACTACTTTTTATCCCTTCGAGCAACGTGTGCACGAGAGAGCATCGGATATCAATGTTTTAATTGAATTTTGTAGTTGCAAAAGCCAGTGGAACTGGGCGATTACGTTAAACCTATCAATCTGCCCGAGTACCGAGCCGAGTTGCCGGAAGGATCGAAGGTAATCGTCACTGGGTTCGGCACGACCATCAGCAACGACTTGTCGCCGGTACTCAAAAAGCTCGTCACCGAGACCTTTTCCAATACCAAATGCGGCAATTACTTCTTGAGACTGACCGGCCGCAGAGTCATGACTTCGCAAATCTGCGCGGAAAAGAAACGCGGCGACGGCACGTGTACCGTAAGTATAGAAGAAAAACATCGTCGTCGCGATATTGCGCGGCTAATTCACACGTGGAACATTTGTTTTCGAATAAGGGCGACAGCGGAGGTGCACTGGTGGATCTCGACAAGACCACGATCTACGGCATCGTCTCCGGAGGCGGCTACTCCTGCGACGGAGCCGATCCCACGGTTTACACCAAAGTCTCGTACTACGTGCCTTACATACAGCGAGAGATGACGTACTTCACTCGCGAGCCCACTGCCATTGGCCCCAATCCCGCCGTCGTCTTTTACTGAATCGATTCCATCATTGTGAATGAATTTTTTATCTAATAAATAAGTGCTCTTTTTAATAACAAGTACATCGATGTACGGCGCGTTGTTTTTATTTAAAAACAAAACAAAATGAAAAAAAAATAGGCGACGCATCGCCAAGCGAGAAAGGTCGCGCACGAGCGACATGTCGCCTGTAATTGACTTACCCGGTTATTTTGAATTGAAGGCAAAACACATGGCTTATCTAACAACGCGCTCGATGTTGTATTTATACACATACGCACGCGTTTCCTGCCACCTCGCTCTAAAACACGAATAATCCATTCGATACTATTTGCTCGGCGAATTTTCGGTATCTTGGCAATTATGCTCCACTAAATATTCAATTCTGTAAAGCAGACACGTTTGCCAAACAATGGGTCATCGCACCTGTTTCGCGTCTCGTTATCGTCAGCAACAGCTTTTTAATAAATTGTATCAGCACTACCTTTTTTATATCGATGGGCTTGTACCAATCGACGATGATTCAATGGAAAATATTTGCCGATGCGTGCTTAGCATTGACATCGAAATTAGACGTCGGTTTTTCGATTTTAATCTTAATTATCAGTCAAATTGGCTCGCTGTTTTGAGTCGATATCAAAAATTTGCAAGAGACGTTCAAAGTGTATAAAATCGTCTGAAAGTTTGTATTCGACATCAGTCAAATTTTTGCAGTGCAAAAGTTAACAATGCTGAGTCCTGAGGCAAATTTACTTTTATTGGGCTGCCTAGTCCTAGGTAAACACCAGTACTCCGATCAGTGTGTTCGTGAATTTTCACCTATTCGTTTTATTTTTTAGCTGCCACTCTGGTGTCTGCCGATCCCAAAGATGCTCATGTATCGATTTTGAGAAGAAACAAAGTTTTGTGTGGAGGCTCATTAGTTGCCAATAGAAATGTCATCACAGCTGCCAGTTGCTTGGATTACCTATTCACACTGAGGCCCGAAGATCCAAAATTAACTGTGAGGTTTGACCAAACTGGCCAACGCGTCAAAGTCGAAAGGGTGTCGATCATCAATAGATTCAAAAGTGACAGTGACAAGTATGCATCGTACGACGATATCGCCATGCTTTTGGTAAGTCAACCGCATGATTATAATTATAATTAAAGTAATAACAATTTCGGAGCATCGTCACAGCAAAAATCTATATTTTTATTTAGTTGGCGGAAGAAGTGAAAAAAGCAACTCCCTTGAAACTGCCAATCAAGGACTTGGAAGTCGAGCCCTACGTGGAGTACGAATTGACGAAAAACACGCCGAATTTGACGACGATTGCGGCATTCAGCGAGACCGAGGCGGATTGCGACCTCGATCTTTCGATCGCCAAAACCGAGCGAGAGCTGAAGAAAGACACGTCGTTCTGCACGAAATCGGCCGACTGCAAGGCCGCGCGCCTCGGTGATCCTGTGACGAAAGACGACGTCGTCCTCGGCGTGGTCTCCCGCCTGCCAACTGGCGAGGACTGCCTCACCGAGCCCATGGTTAACACTCGGGTGTCCAAGTTCCTGGACTACGTCAACGAGGAGCTGACGACGTTCACGCAGAATCCAGCCGACAAGTCGAAACTGGCCAAATCGATTTACATCGAGAACGACGGCGAGCAGACGCTCTGCCAGTACTTCTTCGGTTGGCTCCTCGGCGAGGACAGCGAAGAGGACGATGACGAGAACGAAGTCGATGGCAACGAAGACGCCGAAGACGAAGACAGCGAAGAAGATTATTTGGATATTTTCGGACTGTTCGGCAATGCCTTGAGAAGACCTTAGGTTTAAGAACATTGTAATTTCATATGACTAAGCTCTAACTTAGTTTTATCGTAAAATTTTGTGAAATATGTAGTTTAATCTTTGCCATTTACATTGATTTGTAAATGTTGTTTAAGATATCATTCTATAACTAGTCGGTAATAAAATTATTTTTCAAAGTACAAGATATACGTGGTCTGAATTTACCATCATACGCATATTGAAACGAAGCTGCACTTTCTGCCCGATCATCGGGTTTCATTAAGATCGCCAAGAGGATATATAGATCGAGTCCACCTCGAGTTTAAATCGACGACACACCCAGTCGATGGTCTCTCTCTTTAATTTTTTCTTTCTTTCTTTTCCTCGCGATTCAGCGATTTCCACCTCTTTCTCTACATATATCTATCTCTCTCTCGAGTTGCTTTGCCAATACACATACGCGTGTGGCCAAAGTAAACGACTCGTTAACACTCAATTAATATTCACGACTGATTTACAGTCTCGTTTATTTCTGGACTTTGCGATTGCATACATTCCGAAAATACATAGTATACAGCTCGTGTACGGCGTAAAAGCTTCTAGCCAATAATATCGGCCAACATGTTTGTGTGTATACTATTCCCAATTAGCCGCAAATAAGAGAAGATTAAATCGCATCGAAATCGTTGCAGAAATGCGAAAACAGCTAGATGGCAATTACGTATTATACGCGCACCGATTTAGCCGGCCGCGTGTCGTGTGCGATCTCTGGGCAGCAGCTCGTATAAATAAATAAGTCGGAATAATATCACGAGCTTGGAAACGTATAGAGTTGAAAGCGCGGTGCGCGATGCTGACTAAGAAATCCCCGAGAGCTGGTCCGTTCTCTTTCTCTCTCTTGGCTGCGTGGAAATAGCTCCACCCACTTGATCCCCGATTTCACACGTATAAGCTTTTCTCCGGGTCTCGTGGCACTTGCAGCGCAGAAGAGGAAGAGATAAAGAGACTCGCGCAAAGTAATAAAAAACATTCCAGTCAGCGGGGCGTGGTGGATATATGCCGAAAAGTCTCCGGGTCGTTGCGGCCGCTATATTGTACCCTCGCACACACACATATCCAGGCGCGCGTCCAGCGGCAATTGTCTTGCGCCAAACCTGTGACATTTAAAACTGTATACGGACGAACACGCGCGCACACACGCTAACAAGGGAAGGCAGAGAGAGCGAGAGAGAAAAAAAAAACCGTCGAGCGACGAGCTTTTTTAGTGCGGCGTTGCATTCGCGCGCGAACCTCGAAAAGGAGTGTCGATCGAGATAAATTTCGCACCGCTGACGTTGGCGTTGATTTTTGTATCGACAAAAAGCTCGAAGAAGCCGATGAAAGATATCCCGCGAAGATGCCAGCCTACAGGAACAATGAGATAGGTGTGAAAAATATCGATTATAAGTGCCATATAAGCTTCGGATACATTGTGTGCAGTGGAGAGGAAAAAAAAATCAAAGACGAAAGCGAATAAAAGAAAAAGGCCGAGAGCGAAGGCCACCAGGGCCTATCAACGCTACTGATATAACTCTCGATTTCATAAAGAGTAATATGTTCGAGGGAAAAGTGAGAGGAAGCAGCTCACCGAGAGCACATCACTGGTTGTAATCAGTGAGCCACGCCCAAAAGTCGCTAAGCACAGACGCTCACGCAGACTCTCGCACTCTCGTACATGCACACACACGAATACACACACACACGTGCGTACTGCACATAGACAAAGTTGCGCGCGTACCCGCCCATCGCAATTACACCCACGCGCGAAATCCTCACCATCGCCGCCGCCGCCGCCGCCGCATGCAGTGCTGCGAGGGCCATGATGAAGCCGCAGCGAGTGAACACGTAGTATACAAATATACATGTATATATTTCGAGCCTCACTTACCAGCGTAATGAATATATGAATTTCGAGAATCGTGTGCGCAGGTCGTTGGTGTGCGCAGTTAGTAGGCCTGCGCCGATTTCTCATTTAAACAAAGAATGTATAACTTAATTTCTCCCTTCAATCAGGCGAATAAATCTTTTTTCTTTCTTTTTTTTTTGCCCGCTTAATTTGTCACATTGAACGGGCTCGTACTTACTTGCACTTTTTTCACCCCGAAGGCAGTGTTTTTTCTCTCTCTCTCTCTCTCTCTCCCGACGACTCTGCCCCTGGCTGTTTTTTTCTTTTTTGGCAATCGGCTCGATAATCGATTCGAGCGATCCCCCAGTAACACGACGGCGGACGATCATCATGCGGTCATTCAGTCGCTTCTTTCGGCAAATGTCGTTTCGAGCTACATGTTTATTTTGATTAAATTTTCAGGCGCGGAAACACGAGAAAATACTCAATGCCGCTGTACTCGCAGATTAATTTGTACAACACGCGGCGCTTGTCGGCTGCATTATTCAAACGAACAGATCGTCGTCGTTGGCCAATTGAGAAACGGGAAAAGGATATTTTATGAATTAGAATAAACCGATAGCTCGTTCAAATAAATATAGAGCGTAGCGAGCTATTTTAAAGCCGCTGTAACAGTCGAATTCAATTGATCGATTGTCTTGGCTTTTCGACGTCGATAAAAGCTTTTATGTAGAAGCTGCATAAGTGCCATGCATTATTAAATCAGCTGCCGCAATGTATGCGCACCGCCGCGGCTGACCTTCTTACACGCGTTAAAAAGCTCATCCTGCATAAGTCAACATTTTTTTTTGTCCAATTTACACGTACAAACGAGCTCGCAGTTTATATAAAAGCTATAGCACTCGATTTCACGGATACTTATATTCCGAGCAATTATTATTCGGCACTGTGGGAAAGAGACGGCTTCGAGAGCTCCCGGAACGATTGAAATTATCGTGCCCATAAAGTCGAGGGGATTTTTTCGCGCTCGATGCACGGGACGAGCTACTAAACGTTTGTTTTGACTTCGAGCGCGTGAAGAATGTTAATGAACTTGGCTCTCTTGTGACTTACCGCATCCCTTTTATTAAAAATCGAGAGTAAAAGTGATTCATCCATTAGGCGCAGTTACAGGCGACACGCATCCTCGGACGCCTCTCTCGGCACTACAGCTTTGCAGTCTTGGCTTCTGCACGGGATCCATTGTGTACATATAGAAACGATCCGCGCGCCAGCGCTAAGTCATCGATGACAAATGACCCTCGTAAAAGTTTTCCCTTACACACATATAGGCACAGAGATCGAGAGCGAGAGAACCAGACACGTGTCCGGGACAAACCGCAGGAAATGCGGAGAGCCGAACTTTTTCTTTATATCGCGCGGTTTGTCCCGTACTCGCCCAAGACACGGCCCAATTGAATTCGAAAGGCCACGCGCGCGGGCTTCGAGTCGTTCTCAGCGAGAGATATTTATACCGCGTGATTTTATGAAAAATTAATCTCTGTAACTGCTAACGTTCAGGATCTCGATTTTGCAAATATAGCCCGATTCCGATATGAATGAACGAAAGGTTCTCGGGCCAATCGACTTATCCGTTATCGATATTGCCTGATTAATTGATACAAGACTTCCTTAGAACTGCCACTGTTTGTCCATTAAAGTTTAGTCAACTTTTTACGATTCCAAGGGCGGATATAACTCGTCCAAATTAAGCAGCGAATTATGTCATTCGAATTGTGCATAATTTTCTAAAATAAAGTGTTTATTTACTCAAGAGTCTCATGCATTTTACTACTACATTTTAATATTTCCGCGAGGTAAGTTGGTTAAGTTTAGAAACACGATCAATTATAGAAAGATTGCAATATGAATTTCAACAGTGCATGTAAAATTTAAAGTAACGATCAGAAAATTCGGTAATTTCGAATAGATTCCTGGTAATAAATACACATGCGCTTTCAATAGAATTATCTGACTTTAATTTTTTATAAAATCATCCATTTTTGCAATCCATGAGATGTATTTTTACATCGTATCGCTTGTTTCCAAGACGAACTCTAATTGACAAGCCATAATGAATCTACATTGTCAGAAGAGTAATCATAAAATTCAGTGCAGCGCTTTCATTAAAATTAGTAGCCAATCAATTCAACGTTCCTGACGTATCCACTGAAACATATCATTTATTCATTCAACCTGTTTTTCACTCGGTGAAGCTCTGCTTCTCTCTAATCGATGACGCGAAATGACAATCGGATGAAAATTCGCTACATTTTCTATTTCATAATTCGATAATTTGAGAAACAGAAATAAAAAAAAACCTCGATCATAATACACGAACAATTATTGCCACATATAAGCGTTGCGACGTCGACAAAAAAAAGTGGAAAACGTCAACGTTTTTTTCTCTCAGCAACTACGATACACAGAGAGAGAGAGAGAGGCATGATCCCCGCAAGCATCGAGACAGAAATTATATGATTTCACTGTGCGTTGCTCTTTTGTATACGCTATTATACACGTACACGGGAGAGAAATTTCATACCCGCTCAGGGTGAGCGCTAGGGTGGAGGGAGGGGGGGTTGACTTTTAGTAGGAGGCGTGTCGGCCGGCATTAGAAGAGCAAAGAATGATTTATCCTTGATAGCTCGCAACTATTAAGCCTTAATGCACTTGGACATTGTAAAAACTAGCTCGCTCGTACATGTAGGTAGATTTTTGCTCCCTTTTGTACGAGACGAGAAGCGAGATCAGCGCACGAGTCGCGCAGTAGGGAGCTTACACACATGCCTCGCATTATTGTTACGAAGGTTTTTTTAATGATGCCAGAAGCAGCTCGCGCGCGAAATTTGCGGTGTATTTTCGTCTCACCGCGTGGTCGTTACCGCGCGAGCTTTTAATCGCTTTAGCCGATTTCTTTGGTTATTTTTGCGCTCTTATGCGCGTCTAAGGAGGATCGCTCGCAGATGATACGTGTCCTGCGCACTCTGTCACTCGCGTGTATCGAAATTCAATTATCGTCTCGTCACAGCGTGATAAAATCAAAAAACATACATCTTGAGATTTAAAGCTTGGAGCTCGACTCGTTGTTTATATGTCGTAAAAAGCAGCAGCAGTAATAGTAGTACAACTAGTAGTCGGTTAAATTCATTTCTACATACAGTAGAAATAATATCATGCCCACCGAATTACGATTATTTTTTTCCACCGCGAGCATGAAAAGCGTCAGCAGTTCTACCCGCAGTCCCCCACGTATACAGAGCATTTATAGATGTGTAAGAGCAAAACGCCTACTTTTAACTGTGTACGTCCATGTGTGTGTGTATATGATACACATTTATAATGCGCGTAAACGAATTAGCGAGTGCAGGACTTGAGCTTTCTCGCGTAATTACGTTTTCTATTATACATACATCGCGCATGTACATATAACCAGATAGGGGGGTAAAGCTCGGATACATGTAGTATTATTTATATACATGCGCGCGTGTGCACGTGAGTTGTCGAACGAATTACGTCGACCAGGATCGCGCATATACATAGCCAAGCGATAAGCAGCAGCATCGGCGAGAAAAAGTACGAGCATTCGCCAAAATAGTTTCGTCAATGAGGTAAGACTGATCGAATTAAGCTCTCCCCAGCGCGCGAGTCTTTTAGCCGAATGGAATCGATGCGCGAGAAAAAGGATTAATTGCATTGGAAGGTGCGGCATTTGGAAGCGACGCCGGATCATCGTCGCGTTTTCGACCATATGACAGTTCGGCTCCTGCGATAAAATTACGTTAGCTGCTATACATAAGTATGCTCGCGCGCGCAGTCACCTATGTCATGTACGCGTATAGGCGATACAGAACAAATGTGCCAGAGGCACATATGGGCGGTCACGCCCACGAAGGTGTTTCGCAGTACCTTTATGTGTACGTTGCTGCACGAGGACACTGTTTCTACCGCTGCTTCTGTGTGTGTGTGCCAGCGTCGTATACGCATTGTAATAATACGTAATCGAGGGTCTGGGCATTAATTTCATAGCTCATCGTTTTTTTTTCAACCCCGCTGGGACCGACGTAAAGAGAGAGAAAGAGAGAAGAGTCATCTCCGCGACAAATTGTCAAAATATACCGAAGCCTCGCCAGTGTATACGTCTCACGCCTATTTACGCGATACATCTTTTACCTATAGGATGCTACATACAGCAGGAGGTATATCTCTACGTGTCGTGTCAACGGCATACACACACACGCGCGCGCACGAAAGCAATAACGGCAGATACACGGCACATTATAGGCGTTACAACCGAGACAATAGCTTCGATTTTTCGGCTACTTACCCTTGCAATTCTCGCCTATGTCTGACTCTCTCTCTCTCTCTCTCTCTCTCTATACCAAATCGGGAGAGCATATAATACTCGTGTCTCAGTGTCTGCGTTGTACGTTTAAGTATCGATCTTTTCTTCTTCCTTTTTGCCTTCGACTTGTATTATATAGCTGTGGGATCTTATGCCTGAGTACTATTGACACTGGAAAATTTTCAGCGGAATAATATCATGCTCCATAATTCATAGCTTTGAAATTGCATACTCCTGTGTGTAAGTGTATTATGTACGATGAAATATTGAATATATTCTCGATAATGGACGCGACAAAAGAGAGAATGAGAGAGAGAGAGAGAAAGAAAGAGAGAAATATTGTGGTATCAATAATTCTAAATAAATAAATGATTAGGCACTTACAATTGGTATTCGTATATAGCATTCGTTTATTGCATTTTCTTTATCACCATATATCATTATACACAGTCGGTACGATCGTAAAATTAATTGTCAAAATTGTATGCTATATTAAACTGGTTCCGTAGAGAACTTTTTCGACGATGTGAGTGCACAGTGAATCGAGCCGAGCTGCAGTCGGATGCATATAGGTAGCACACGCGTACACGGAAAGAGATTCGAATTGAATTTGTGATCCTTTGTACGGGAATGAATTTTATATTCATTTAATGTCGACAATTAAAAGCCACAAAGTGAACGCTGAGCGAATTCTCATTTTGTCGCGCAAAACTTTTTTCCACTCATGGGACGTATTTTTGACAAGGTCTAAAACAATAACATTTTTTTGCATTTGACTCTTGCGTAACGTTATACGTAGTAAAGTTGAGATGGGGCATCATACATGTACGGTCGTCGTTCGTGTTTGACGAGGTCGGGAAATCGTCCCACGAGTGGAAAAAAATTACAAACGATATGCCAAAAATCGAAAGCAAAGCCACTCACTCATGATCTTATGTCAAAACCATTAAGATTGTGGTTTATACATATGTACAAGTCCACAGTTGGTCACAAATTCAATTGACAATTTTTTCCGTGCAAGCGTGTGTCAAAGGAGTGTGTTTATGTGTTACATGTCTGTGTGAGTGTGCACGCGAATCCTAATTCGTACGGCACGACCGAGCGCAGTCCGGCCAGCGCCGTCGGATATCAATATGCAGAAGCTCGAGAAATCGAACTCGCATGGGCGATATATAATATAATAAATGCGCGTTCTGCTCGCGATTATCTCCCTTATTATTATGTTCCGTGTGTACTCACACACATGTACACACATACACACACACACACAGACATATATTTATGCAGTATGCATTATGTACACGAAAGCGCGCATCGATCGTTTATGTCACGTTACTTATACGCGGGCGAATGTTCTCTTCGTTCCCTTCCCACCTGCACCAACTCGCAGCTCGAGCTTTATTTATAAATAAAACATCGTTTGCTTTCCGTTATATGTACAAGATTATATAGCCGCGCCACGAGTCTTATTGAGCTACGGATTGTTTGCGTGAAAAGATATTTGTAAAAAAAAGCATCGATTATTGCGGATTTACATACTGCATTATATGTATAAATGTACAGATCGGCTGGAACCTATTTCGAGGAGCTGTTTATTTACACGAATAAAAAAGTCGAGCGATCGGCTAGACGACACCGAGACTCGATGCATGAAAAAAGAAAAAAAAAGAAAAACAGTGTGGCATAAAAGGGCTTGATTAAGCTTTCGTTAAAAAGCCAATCGGCCGTTCTCGGCGCGTGCATTATTAACGAAACAATTACGCGTCACAGACACGCGAACGATATAGATGCGATACACATATATTCATGCATCGCATATCGACTGAAAAATTCAACGCGTTTATTTCGCAGTATGAACACGTCCACGTGCATACGAATCGCGAACCTTACGTATTGCTCATCTATAAGCGCGCGGGTGTAATAATCGAGGCTTTGTCAAAAGTTTGGGCGCCGCCGCAGCAGCGACCCTCGTCGACGCGACTCGACGTTCTCTAGCATGTCACCGTTGTGTATCGCGCATATGGCTGATATATGCAACGCGAAATCTCAGCGGTGTACAAGAGTCGTCCATTAAAATCTAGAATGGCAATTTGCGGTTGGCTTATATTGAAACGTAGAAATTGCTCTATAGCCGTCACTCAAGCTGCGATATAATATCATAATCCCCAAAGTCTCTCTAGGCGCTTTTCTGTGTGCCTGTGTGTGTATGTGTGTGAGTGTGCGGGAGTTGTTGTGTACCAGCGCCAACTTAATCTATGCACATTTATACGCGGATAATGGTTAATTTTTCCGCGCAAAGGCGAGGGTGGTGATCTTGAGCTCGTGTATATAATACATGCTGGCGAATGTATCGTACGCTCGAAGAAGAAACAAGTTGGCGCGTGCGTGTTATTTACATTTTTATTGACGCGTCAATAATTGATTCGATGATTCCGTGAATGTGGCGCGTTGAAAGGTGAAAAATTGAAAAATTGCTTCATTACTTTCCGGGAACTAGCATTTTTCCTTTTGTATAATATTATAATATACTAAGCCTGCAATGCACGTCGCTTATTGTCCGTTCACAGACTAGTTCGATTACATGCTACATCGATATAATATATATAATACGATGACGCGTCTTTACGTCCCGCGAAGAAATTTCATTTCCTCGCACGCGCTATATACCGTCGAACAACAAAACTTACATCCTACGAACAATATATTTACAATAATTATCGAGTTCTATAAATATTTTCTATACTAGGCTAGTGAGATTCCTAAACGGTAATTAATCGCTAATCATATTTGGCACTTCTATTCGGTATGTATAAACAGGATGATAAAGTCTCTCTCAGGCTGTCAACGATAACAAAGCGAGTGGCCGAGTCTAGGGCGGCGCGGGCTACCTGGCGGAGCTCGTGGCGTTCGAGGGCCGAGGCGTCGTGAAGGCCCTCAGAGCCCCGGGCGTGCCTAGGCTCAGAGCCGCGGCGCTTGGCACCGGCGCGACTATGGGTATCTTCGCGCAACCCGACAGATTCAAGCCCGTCTTCTGATGCTGCTGCTGCTGCTGCTGTTGTTGCTGCTGCTGCGACTGCTGCTGAGTCGTCGCGGGCTGCGGACACTTTTCCAGGTGATGATGATGCGATCGCACGGCCAGACGACTGACGTGCACGGGTATGGGCACGACGATGCGCGGACCGCTGCTCTGGCTCGACGAGGACGACGAGCCGTTGACGTGGTGACGAGCCGCGGGGTTGCTGCCACCGCTGCTGGTCAGGCCGGCCTTCACTCGTTTCCATTTGGCGCGCCGGTTTTGAAACCAGATTTTCACCTGAAACAGCGGCAAACGGTTGTTTTCTTTTTATTCCGTGCGCACATCGTCTGTGTGTACGATTATTCAAGCATTTTATCGCTTGGCAATTATCCGTAGGCTATAATTTTTAAATTGCATTCTACACTACTTCTATTAACTACTATAAACATTAATTTTTATCGCGTCGAAATAAAAAGATCGAGCGTCGCGAAGAAAATTGGCAGTTGCAATTTAAATGACTAGGACGATGTTCGGGAAATACGTGCTTCTCTTGGTTTTCGTACTTTTGGCCGTGGCTAATGGGCAGCTGGATCAGCAAACATTACAGACACGACCTAAATTAAATATTATACGATCGGGCATAAAAGTAATGATTGATTGGAAAAATAATCTCAGTCAATTTTCAATACGACTTGTTTTTTTGTTGCAGTTCAAATATTTCGTTTCAGTAGCTGCGGAATGGTTAAAAAGTTTAGCACTTAGACATTGCCCTACGGAAGAATGGGATATAAGAGCATTCGTCGAATGTGGTGTAAGCATTTACAAGAAAATATAATCGAACATTCAATTACAGCTCATTTATCCGTGTATAACTATGCATATTTTCAGAAAAACATTATGGTAGCACTGAAGCCGAAAATTTGTGGTAATACTCTCGGTGCCGGACTTATGAGCGGACTAGTTGGTGCCAACAGTCAACAGTCACCAGTTGGAAAAAAGAAATGAAAAACAAAATTAAAAAAAAATTTTTTTTAATATGAATATATGAAGGCAGATCTTTGAAAATACCATCGAGCTTGTGTAATTTTTCAGAATTTTGAATCTGCAAACGTAAGTAACCAAATCGATCCAGCTCGTGAATTGTTTTGATAATTTAATATACGAACTTAGATAACTTTAAGTAATCCAAGTTACCCAATAAATCAAACTCATGCATTTTTCAAATAATCAAATATGTAAACCCAAATAGTCCCAAGTAATACAAGTAACCTGAGTCCAAATCAGCCCAGCTTGTGTACTTTTTATCTCGTTCAGTGTATAAGTAAGGGTTTATAGGTATCTTAAAATTGAAAAAATGTATTCAATTATTAGTATAGTATATTTTGCACCTAGGGAGTGAAAAACTGAAAGGCATGATTATCACGTGCTCTGAGACTTTCATTTTTGGAGGTCCTTGAGGTTACTCGAAGTTGCATATTTAATTTTTAAAAAACGCTAGAGTTTGATCGATTTGAATTGTTGGGGCTTGAATATTCGAAGCTCAAAAAAATTGATCACTCGTCTCAAGTGGGCCTTCGCAACAACTCCGCCTGTGGGCCTTTAAAAAGTAAATCTGATTTTGGCTACTTTATAAGATATTGTATTGTTTCTAACAAAAAAAAAAGGCAGGAAAGAAAAAAATTGATTCGTTCATTCTCGACTCGTACTTGTACGCGACTCACCTGCACTTCGGACAACTTGAGCGCGTGAGCAATGTGGGACCTCTCGGTCAAGCTCAGATACTTTTTGGCGTGAAACTCGCGCTCGAGCTCCAACAGTTGCTCGGACGTGAAGGCAGTCCTTCGTCGTCTGGCTTTGTTGGCGGCGCTGCTGCTGCTGTTGCTTGTGCTGCTGCCGCCGCCGCCGCTCACCCCGTTGTTGTTGGCTGCGGCGTTGTTCGAAGCGGAGCCTTGACTCGAGCTGCCTCCCCCGCTGGTAGCGCCCGAGACGACCAGGCCGTCTTTGCACTCGTCCTCGCTGTTGTCCTCGACGGATGCCCGGCCGCTCTCGGAACCTACACGGCGCCGGCAACATGAAAAAAATAAAAAACGCCCAGCATGATATTATAATGAAAACGAAAAACACGAGTTAAGGCGGAGGCGTGAAACGAATGGCTAATTCGGCCCTGGCGCCAGAGGGACAAGCGCTTTTCGCGTTGAATATTGATCGCGCAGTCCGAGCGCCCAAATATCCTGCAGTCCCCGAAACTTGTCCTCGGCTCTTTCCTTTTTTATTCAACAAAAGCAACGGAAATCTGTCCCCCCCGAATCTCCGACGGTATATTACACTCGCCAGGCGCAGAGCTTACACGGAAACAAATAAGAAGAAGAAAAAAAGTTACTCGGCTAACTTGTGTACGTACTTGTCGTACTCTCTTGGCGGCGGCAGAAAAAAGCAAAAGTAAGTAAGTAGTCGCGCCGAGCGATAATAAGAGGGCAAAAATAGAAACGAAAAGCCGATTGCTCCTATTACGGAAAATAAAGATTTTAGGATAGTTTCGCTGATAATTGCAAGTTTGCGCGCCGTTGGCCGTCTTTACACGCGGCTATATACTCTAGACGCGCCTATAAATATATGCAGGCGGCCACTTATCCATTGTTTGTATCGGCTAGAAACTGGTCATTGTACCCTCGTACATATATATCGAGGTACACCTACATGTCATGCTCGCGGCTCCGCTGCTAATGCCTTATATAGTGAAAAATAAAACCTACGGCGAAGTTTGTCGCTTTTAATTGGCCTATACAGCAGTCCGTTACAAGGTTGTGCCCCGCACGGGTGTATAGAGCTGCAACAAGGATGATTGCAGTGCTGCGTGTAAAGTCTAAAAGTATAATCACTGCTAACATAGTTGCAGCACGTACACATGTATCGCGAGAAATATGGGGCGATAATAAGCCTCGATTTTCCGTAATAGCATCGCGTCGGGCTGTCGTCGACTTTTCTTTGTCATTTTGCAAAAATGTATATATTTTCTTGCTCGACGTACATAAATGCACGTATTGATGAGCGAGTGAATATTTAAAGAAGGGCGACACTCGAACCGAGCTCGTATACATATTGCTGCAGCTGGCCCAACACATTCGTTCGAGTCTCGAGCTTTTCAGCTTTTCCAACTGCGAGTCGTCGCCACGTCTTATACATGCACCGACCTATACGCGTACGCGCGCGAACGCTAAAATACGTCACAGCTGCAGTCCCGTATATGTATGATCTAAAAATAAAATCGAATTATCTTAAGCTCGAATCGAGCGGCTCGAAGAAGTAGCGAGGAATCGATGACCCGCATATATATGAGCCGCGCGATATACGAGTCCGAAGCACCAATTCGACCAAGTCGACGTCTATCTATATCCTATATGTATACTTTCGATACGACGTCGACTACGACGGTGGCAGCGGTGCACATGGACGTGTACGTGCTGTATCCATGTAAGCATTGCATAATGCATTAGAATATCTGCACACACACACATGTAGACGAGCGAGAGAGGGTAGCGCGTCGATGTCGTGCGCGCAATAGACCGCGATACGCATCGATCGGGGAAGACGCTTCGCTGAGCTCTCCTCGTGCCTCGATATCATACTTTCATCGGAAGTAATTTAGCCTCGTGAAAGATCGTTAAACGGCTGCATATTTCAGCGATAGCCGATCGCACGCACCTACATCTTGTTTTCTCAGTTGTATATTATGCGCGCGGATCAATGCGCTTAATCGAGCGCGCGTCTCTACGCTGCATCGATTTCTGCTCCCTCTTTCTTTTCCTCGAAGCGAGCTTGCATGGCGCATAATAATTTACTACTGTATTTTTCGGCCGCTCACGATACGTATGTATTGCGACGTAGTACACGTACAGACGACGACGACGCGTCGCGGTAGGTAGGTAGGATGGCGATTCGTCGCGAGGCTCGCGCGTGATTGAAATTTCGTGTCTGGCCGCCAGCAGTACCTGCACGTATAATATAATATACACCTGCATGTGCGGCTGCAGCGTCGCGCACGTGCACAAAGCCGAGAGAGAGACCACCACCTTGCACGAGCTGTGTGCATGTGATATACACGTCGGGAAAAGCCCAGGATAATTCGAGCTTCGTTAAATTTTTAAAATATAAATATAAGTAATTAGTAGCTTTTATTTCTAAAGCACACGATTATCTCCCTCGTGTGATCGCGGCTTGCTCGCGCGAGCGATATATTTTTAGCTTCGCTGCTCCCCCCGTGGGCGCTTAAAAAATTCATCGACTTGTCGTCGAGCTTAAATCTCTCCCTCCTTCAATGCTGCTCGTCGTTTGCTCGTCGCGCGTTTCATTCGATTGAATTTAACGAGTATTTAAATTGCCTCGTTCGGCCGGCCGCAGAGGCGAGACTTCGTTACACGGCAAAAGGCTGCCGTTGTTGCGTTATTCGATCGATCGATTTTTCTAATGCCAAAGATCGACACCGCCTGAGCTAGACGCTACGATCGTCGTGTTATTGAAATTTCATGGCACGTAGCCCGATTAACGCGAATAAGAGCCCCCCGACCGCACACACAAGTGCGTAATTCGAGAAACAATGCGGCAATTAAAATACAAGCGACGATCGGCCGCCGCCGCAGTGCAGTCGAAGAGAATCGAAAAATTGCGATGTCTACGTACGTACGTGTGTGTGTGTGTGTGTGTTAATTCCACTGCCACCGGCCGCACATAATATGCCGCTATACACATACGCGGGCCTAACGACGATCGATTACACCATATGTGTAGAGGCAGCGCACATAATGTATATTATAACGACGTAAAAGGGCTACGACGACGACGCTGTGCATGTGACATATTCCTCGACGCCGAATCAATTGTTAATTAGCTTCTTATATATGTACGCGGGCGGGCGCACTTATTTATGCCTCAGCCAAGTCATCTTACGTAAACCCCAGAGCGTATGAATTACCGTACGTCAGATACGTGTCTTTAATTAATCATAGCCGCGGCTTTCGAGAGCTTCATAATCGTTCCGATGTATGTATCCTATGTATGCACACATACATATATATAAATATGTATAAATGTACAAGTCGAGCGCATTGTGCGCTAAATTTAACAATATAAAAACGGCCCCGAGTAGCTTAATCACCGTCGCTTACATATCTATAACAATTGTACTATAACCCATTACTACTATTATATTCGAGTCGACGCAATTCGTCCTTTATTATATTCCATTTCCTGCGCCATCTGCGATCCTGTCACTGATTCTATTATCTAATTATGTGAACAAAGTGTTATCGCAGAGCTTGCTTTATCTATATCATACTCATTGCTCGAACGAGCTTTACAATGATTAATTAACTCGTGATATGATCATAACTCATTTATTTAATTTTACTAAAATATCGATTCAGTGTACAGATTTATCGTCATTATCCTTCGATGAGACATTCGGTTAACTTCCCGGTGAATAAGTCATTCTGCGAAACACATGTAAATTAATAATTCGATACGTCTCGCTCGAGTCCGAGGATTCAATCGTATACAAATATACTCACGGCACATTTGATGAGCTTTTTCGGATTGTACCACTTTTTGGCGCACTGCTTGGCCGCCTCCTTCAGGCACTTTTCGCTGGTTCTGAAGTGCTTTTTCAGGATTTTCAAGGCCTTGTCACGGAGTTTGCTCCACTGTTCATTTATTTATTTTTTTTATAGTTCAGAGTTATATAACTGGGGCAATTTTTAATTGGAAGAAAAAATTTGGCTTACGAAATCGTATGTTTCGATGGAGACAGAGTTGCCCTCGTCGTCTAGCCTCGACAGCGAATTATCCTCAATTTCGTCGCTAAATGCACCGCAATTAACCGAGTAAATTACCGCGAAGGTAATTGCCAAAATGACCACTAAGCGACGGAAATCCATGATTTTTGCTTTTCGTGAGCTCTCGCGTTTGTTCGACTGCGAAATTGATTTTCTATACCGACGTATTTATATTGGTTTATTGACAGCGAGTATCGCGGATGCATCAAACTGATAATCTTCGAGATCAGATTGATAAAATCAATTAAGCGATTCTAATGAAAATTATAAATAAATTTCACTTGAATTGTGCGCAAAAAAGAATCGAGGAAAATTGATTTATAAAGGAATGTTTGTTGCAATAACGTTTTGGCGAATGGTCATGAATTTTTGACGCGTTAATCGTCCAATTTTGAAAATCGGAATTTTGTTTTGAATTTTTCATCTGTGGTAGATGCGTTTATTCGCTACGTTTGCGACGTAACTCAATTAAGTGAAGTTTTCAAATAAATTGCTCGAAATTTTGTCGCATGATAATAAAAAATTTACAATCACGATCGATTATCCGACGACAAATAATTCTTCACTCGTGAATCCCCCAATTTTATCAAAGATAACAGTCACACTCGAAGCACTCGAACTCGTTATCGCAACAAGATGATTTTTGCAACGAATCAATATATAAAAGCTCCGACCGGACCAAAGGAAGACAGTTGAATTTTCTGAGTGTTTGTCGACGAGTAATTCAAAGATTTTTAAAATGCAGTCACGCTACATCTTGATCGCTTGTATCTTTGCCATCTCAATGGCAGTGGCTTATTCCGCAGTAGTGCCATCCGAGAACTCAGACGAGAGCGAAGTCAACTTTTTAGAGTTTGACGAGACTTTGAACGAGATCGAAACACGTGACTTCGTAAGTATACTACATTTTTTGCGTCATTTTTCAAATATACAATGAGCAACGTCCATTTTAAAACAGTGGAGCAAGCTGAGGGACAAGGCTTTAAAAATCATAAAAAATCACTTCAAGGGTGCCACCGAGGAATGCCTCAAGAAAGCCGCTAACAAGTGCAAAAAGCACTGGCATAATCCGGCCAAAGTAATCAAATGCGCCGTAAGTAAACAAACACACACAGTTTGACGCTATTGAAGGAAAAAAAAACGAAAGGCTATTAATGCGCATTTGCAATTTGCAGACTGACTTTTTCACCGGGGAAATGATTGGCTGCATCGTCACTGGCTAGACGCCCAATTACAACTGTATTTAGTTTAATTATCGCCAATAAATTCAGTCTTTAATTAAATAAAAAAAACCGAACTTTTCACTTGACAAAAAACCAAAAAAACCAATTAAATGGCCAAAACTCACCATGCTGCGACTTGGACAAGTCGTGGACGGAGGACGCGGGCGACAGGCTGCGATCGTCCTCGCTCTCGTCCGTGTTGTAATTAGCCGTTGCCGCTGCGGCGGCCGCCGCTACGGCGCACAGATGCGCTGCCGCGGCTCTGTGGTCGGGATAGGCCGCGGCGCTTTGCAAATGATCCAGAGTAAATTGTTGTTGTTGCTGCTGCTGCTGCTGCTGTTGTTGCTGCTGTTGACTAGCCTCGCTGGGCAAGTGCGACATGTGCTGAAGATTCGAGGGTGGACTGGCGCCGCTGTAAATTCGCTGCATGGGCTGCTGGAGCCAGGCACCGTACAAGCTCAGCGGCATGGGGAAACCTGTCCGAATTTTCACGCACGGTCATATAGACGAAGAGAGAAAAAAGACACGTCTGTCGGGTGGGTGACAGATGTCACGATTACGAACCTGGTATCACACCGCTGGCCAGGCAATGCTGCTGATAAAAAAAGTCCCTCTGGCTGAGACTGTCCTGGATGTTCTTTTTGACGGTGTCGTGGCTCGTCCTGCCGCTGCCAATGAGGCTCTCGATGGTGAAGGGCTTGGGATTCGAGCGAATCTTCAGGTCCATCGTCTCGTCGTTGACCGCCACGACGTCCGTTATCTCTTGCTCCATCATCGTATCGATTTCCTTCATGATAAGGACGATTGATTTTTGCCGACGTATAGCGAGCACTTTTATTGCAACACATTTGACATCACGAGCACACAAGTGTTGAAACGGGACACACCGATCTCACGACGGACAAAAATAACAAAACAAACGAAACGTGCAATCACACGAGCCGAGGGGGGAGCCAAATAAATTCACTCTCGGATTAACGTAGCGCACGATACACGATGGATGTTGAAGGTAACCGAGTCGTCGCTCGACTGATGTACTTTGCTGAAATTGCACGAGCATACAGCCGCGGCGGCGGTGGCAGCGACGGTGGCAGGGTGCAATCGCTGGGCGGGGCTTGGCACGCCGACTTATTGGTCGGAGCTCGTCCAATGGTTGGCTCTAGACCAAGCATCCCGAAAGGGAATTCGCCATCTTGAGCGGCGAGTCGGCGCTGCGGGAAGGGTGGGGGCAACTGATGCTGCTGCACACAGATACACACACTCGCCTGGCATTGTCTTCCGATTAACTTTTTCAAAGCTTCGCCCGTTTTGACAAGCGCGAATTAATTCGCTAATTATCATAGGCTGCTATTTGCATTTTTCGATCTTTGACGCTTCTTGCTTTTTTTCCTTTTTCACGGAAGGAAAAAAATAAAGTAGGCTTGAAAATCTCCCCAAGTTCCTTTGTTTTTGATATAATTAAAGCACACGCAAATAGCAAAACGCAAATAATTGATTTTCGAATTCGATACTTGGACTCGTCAAATTTCTACAGTTTATAGTTTCTATCAGACTTTGTTAATGAGCAATCCAATAAATGGACTTTGTATACGAAACGGAAATCGTCGATGGCAAATTAAACTTTAATTGCGACACAGTGGCTGTCGAAGCGTGACAAACTTCAGCACTTCTTGTCGGCATTCAACGTCGCAAGAAATTCATTGGAAAGGCTGTAAGTGGCCTGCAAGCGGTCAAATTTACTTATGGAAGTCTGAAAATAATCTTCCGAAGATAATAATCCAGACACTTGCGAGCGACGCGGACGGGCTATAAAACGTCTCGAGGCACAAAAGTCCATATATCGATCGGCGATTCGCGCGCTCACGTTCCACTCCATACGTTTCTCGTTATAAGCATTACAGACACGCCGAGAAATTAAGGAAAAAATGTCGAGTCTCGTTATTAAGAGGCTAATTCTAATTGGGCCCGATGAGTGGAATGCGTCACTTATATATTCTGCTGCTTCTGTAGCGTTGCTAGATCAAGCTTCTTCTAAAGTTAAACGAGCTTCTCTTTCATCGGTCAGGCAATCTGCCAGGAATTTTCATAGGGTAATTGAGATATCCGAGAGAGAAAGAGCAGCTAGCCGCGCGCCGAGTGACGAAAATATATCCCCCCGCACACGGCTATTGTCGAGCTTTTGTGTATACAAGACGAGTCGAAACGTCGTTCACGAGTCGGGAGCTTTTCTTTCCATTGTACAGGGATAGATATCGCATAAGATACGATTCGATACAATTACCGTATCGCAGCTCGAGCCGCATGAAAAAATAAAGAGATCCAATGTGTAAAGACGACGATGCTGAGGCTTGGTAAATGCTGGGGCCGCATTGCTATCGCCTCGCGCCGAGCTCAATTCGCATAAAACGTCGGAGAAAAAAAGCCGTCTTTGCGGCGCATTTATAAGCGCGCGGCAAGAAAAAATGCAAATAGTCGTGTACGTCGGGGCTACTTACAGACGACAAATTGGACTCTCTCGTTCTCTTTCTCTCTCTCTCTCTCCCTTTCTCAGCGGTTTGTAAGCGTTTAGCGCATAGCGCAAAGCATCGCAAAAAGAAAGAAAAGAACGTCGACTCGCGCTGCACTCCGGGATGCTCAGACGGCATTAAATCTTGGGCTCGTGTGCAGAGAGATAGAGGCTGTACACTGCGTCGAACACCACTGCCACGTTCGGCTGCTTTTTCGGGGCTGCACGCACGTGTGAGCTTCGCAGAAGACGAAGAAGAAGAAGAAAGTTAGTCGTCGTCCCTCGCAGCTCCCGCGCGCCCAGGCCGCTTTAATTACCCGTTGCTTTATTAACTTGACACGAGCGAGCTTACGAGAGGATGTACTTTACGAGCTTTATCACCTCTGTGTGTGGTGTAATTTTCGTTCGCTTCGTGCATGCACTTCTTCTTTCTTTTTTCGTCCGTTTATATAAGCAGCGGGTGCGTGTGTATTGTGCGATAAAATCGATGGAGCAAGCTGCGCAGAAATTATTTACGACTAATAGAGCTGTTTTTTCATCGGAACGGATGTAGTAATAATTTAATTTTGTGTGACCGAAGATTGAATTCCATACGCGATAGGGCAATTCTCTGTATTAGAAAAACTTCAAAACGACACTTCGACTAAAAGCTCTAAAACTTCAAAAGTCGTTAAAACTATACATCGTTGGCTGAAGTTTGCAAAGATCCAGTTGAAGTTGAAAAGAAACGAAAAAAAATTCAGTCGATGTGGCTCGTTGGCAAAAGTACGGGTAGAGAAAGACAGAGAAAGAGAGAGAGAGAGAGAGGCCGGTCCCGTAAGTGACTTTATGCATCGTCACTTTCATTTCACGCGCAATCGCCACACTTTCCGAAGATAGCTCCTGCGCAACCGTATACATACTTACTGCAGGGTGCTTAACTTGATTTATCAAGCCCCGTCGCTGCACGACTTTACTAGACTGCCGTTTAGCACGAGCATACTCGTTTCTTTTTTTAAAATCTTCCTCCAACATTTCCCTGAAACAGATCGATGATCGGTTCGCACGGGAAAGCACCGACTTGATAAATCAAGTACGAAAATTAATCATCGCTTCTACTCGTGCTAATTCCAGAAAAACCAATTAAACAAACTCGCTCGTTGTGATAATACGAAAGAAGCGAGGCTGCTGAAAAATACGCCGACTGTAAAGAATGCCATCCTCGCGCCTAGAACGAGCTACGAAGTTTCTTTTCAAACGAGGCGTGCCCCGAGAGTATATTCGATGCTGCGCGTCGACGGCGACGAGCGATGCCGACTGGAGCGAGCCGACCGAACGCCAACAAGAGAGAGACACTTCGGCCGCAAATAGCTACATACGCGCGGCCCACAGCCAATTTGTCGTTCGGTACAAAACACGTCTTTGTTGGGGCTTTTCGTTAATTCGTTCGTCATTACTCGTGTTCGCCTGTCAAGAGCGCGTCAAACGTTTTTGACATCGACACAGAGCAACGATCCGTGCGTCAACGCCTGGATGAATTTTCCAACGAGGGCCGGAAAAAAAAAATTGAAAATGGGCGGATTTTTCTCTCTATAAACGCGATAACAGCTAGCGAGCGTAGCGATCGCGTGTATAAGCGCACACATACACGCAGCCGAGGAATTCCAAAGCACACGTGTGCGGCTCGGCAGATTGTGCTGCAGCGATCGTGTGTGTATGGTATGCATCGGAGCACACACACCCAACCCATACGCCCTTTTGAAGTCACCGCAGTAGTCACCTCTTTTTTTGCTGCTGCTGCGGCTTATATCGATGACAGTTAGACACGCTATTTCTGGACATTATTTATTTTCGACGAATGCCGTATAAATTAGAATGGAAAAAGTTGCCAGAGAAAAATTTCGTCTACATATAGGAACGTAGCGTGGCGCGTACGTGCGCGGATTTGCATGTAGTTTTCAAAAATCGACAAGATGAGCCAGAAGCCATAATTTATTGGACGCTCGCGAGCACTCGCGCGCATCGAGGAAAATTTTTTGGCACCGAGATCCTGCGCCGAATGTATAAGTATTGAACATTTTTCAGCAAAGAAGCGAATGATTTATTTCGTAAGACTGATTACTTTTACGATTCTCGTTCAAAGTAATAATAAATATTTAGCTGGGCGTGAGAAGTTTGAAGTTTTGTAAAACATTAGAATTAGGGTGGCTAAGTGTATGATAATAAAAGTTATTTGAGGACAAACCCAAGCTGTACCACAAGAAGGAAATAAGTTTATTGCTCGTAAAAAACGTCGTTATGGAGTAACGCAACTAAATCGCAACGAACAGAGACTCGTGATTCCAGAAAATATTATGATGACCCAAGCGATATGCCGAGCACAATACTTGGCTTGATTGATGTAACTCGAGAAGTCGTGAAAAAATCAGGAGAAAAAAAATCGACATATTGTCAAGTGGACTATACACGCAGCCACAGCTATTAGAGTTTATAAGCTTTTAATAATTCAATTTTAAACGACGAATATGATCGAAAAGGAGCGAAATTGAAATGTTACGTGGAAGCATTCAATCTATCGGCGCGTTGTATTGATATTATGGATTTTCGACTCGCTCGACTCCGCTTATCGCTTATTTAGTCGCTATGTACAGGCCGAGCATTGAAAAGCTGCCGTCGCCGCCTTATACTACTGCACATAGTATAAAGCAATATATATGTGTTGTAAGCGGCCGCTACGAAGTGCAAACAAAAGGGCCGCGTGAAAAATCAAGCCAAAGCGCGTTGAAATGTAAAAAAAAGCGCACATTTGAAAGTTAAATACGACTATATTCTCCGGGGCTGCCGCCGCTGCTGTTGGTGTGTACGCGCGGATGCACAAAAGTGAGGCAGATGAAGGGTGACTTTTTTTTTGGGATGTTTCGTGCACAATCCCCCCCGCGCACCGTAAAATTATCGATTCTCGCCTGTAATGCATCGATGCATCGACGAGTGATTCACAAGCTGCGAGATCCGCGGCGACGTCTCCAAGTTGGAGCGACGGCCGAGTTATACATCCATTTCGCACATTGCCACGAACGAGAAAAGGAAAATAATTCATTAGAATATTTAAGGCACAGCAAGAAGAAAAACATCCACGACGTCGTTTATATTTCCGTAATAAGGATGCAGTCCTTAACATCCGTGCGGCAAAAATTACACGCGCCGTTATATGCGACACGCTCAAGCGCACTCGCGGGAGGGCAAAGAAAAGGAAAAAAAAATAAAAATAAATTAACGATAGGAGGAGGAGGAGGAAGAAAAGTGACGAATGGCCGATGGGATCTCTTTTGATGTTGCGGGTTATCGACGCGTGCAAAGCGCACACCACTACACGCGTACAAGTACACGCAAACCACATGCGGACAAAAAAGCGGAAGAAGCTGCGAAGGAGTCTCGATGGGCGGTCCCTTTCAAATTAACGCGATACATGCTGCAGAGCACACGCGCGCTTACATCTCTGGATTAATTTTCGTATTAATAGTTTCTCGTGGTCGCCGCTCGATGGGATTTTTTTTCTCTCTCTCTCTCTCCGCTTGCTTGAGAGGGGTAATGTCGCACGCGTTACGCTACTTACGTTCGAAAATATAATACAGAGTGTATGTGCGTACTGTGCGAGATCGCGGGCGGGGATATATACAAAAATTTGTACTTAACCAGTGTGCGATCGATATCGTGGCACCTCTATCATAAGTGCGAGTTCGAAAGAGCAGCGACGACGACCAAAACGCATAGAGAAATTTTGACGTCAATTATCATAAATAATTGGCATGACGAGAGCTTGACAGGCTTTATATACACCGAGCAGTAGTAGTAGTAGTGCGCGCACCCCCTTACGTCCCACACGGCCCTGTGTTGGCGGAATACGAGTAGTCACCAACGCCACCGCCGCCGCCGTCGGAGTGCGAAAGATTGACGGGCATGGCGAATTCCGTTGTTATAATCGCATATAATACCCGGGGGAATTATTGTTTTGTATTTATGGAGATTCGCCTTCGAGTTTCCAATGTTTTCGGCGAGAAAAAAATCGACCGATTGTGGCTTTGTTACGCGATCTCTGCTCGCGAGAATTTAAATCTCGAGGATATGATTTTCGAATTTCTTGCGTATACGATTTAAGGCATTATAATTCATTGCAACTAGGCGAATTACGAGCAAAAGGCAAACATTACGAGGCGTGTATAATAATAATGACGATGATGATAAACGCAGCGCTTCGCAGTCGAGTGGCTGCCTTTCGAGCTTTGGGAGACTACAATGAGAAATATCCTGCGAGCGGATATATATTTGCTCGTCAGCATAATCACGTCACCGAGTCATTTGCCTCGAGATAGTCGACGACGTCGTTCGTCGTTTTCTCAGTATAATAGACATTATACCCCATCGGCTTTTACTGGGATTTCATGGCTGGTTTCCTTCGCGAGCTACTCTCCGCGCGGTATTATTATGGCACGTATTATATTTATAAGCCGACAGAAATTCATCGTCTCGTGTCGTCCGCATTTTTGCATTGTTCGGCTTGTAACGATAGCCCATTATGACGACAAAGACGATAACGATGATGATGATGATCGAGTGCCCGACGACGTGATCAATGACGCTTTTGGTTTTACATACGAGGGCTGCTGATGCTGCTGCTCCGTGGCAGAATATTTTTTTTTTTTTTTTTTTTGGCACGATATTTCCAAAGTAAATTAGTTGACTTTGAGATTTTACTCAAGTGTTTTAGAATTTTTTCCCTTGCCCCCGCCCAACTTCACCATAGCGCTCGACTATGAATACGCGGATAGGGTAATGCAAAAAATCACTTTAGCCTTACCCTCCAAATCAAAGTCAAAATATGACAGTTATTCGGGCTGTTGCTCCGCTATTCTCTTTCTCTCTCTGCTTCTCTTTCTCCTTTTCCTTTTACGGCGAAGGGGAGAGACTGGAAAATCACGAGTTTTTAAAGTATTCTCGTCTTTCTTGTAACCATTGATAAAGCTTTAATTATTTTTTCATTCGATTTTCAATGCTTAAGTCATGAATTCAACTTCAGTAAAATAATAAAAATTTAAAAATTGATGCATATATTTTTTGTCTTTGTCAGTTAGAAATAAAAAAAAACATGGTAAATTAAAATAAGCTAGTCGATATCAAATTATTCGATTTGATGAAAGAATATATACTGCAACTAGAAAAATTACATTTGACTTTGAAAAATGTGCGCATAGTGCCACCTAGTAATTGAAATAGAAACTATTATGTAGATATCTACCTTAGTGATGAAATGTACACAATTTCATAAAATTTCTTTTTATATAAAAATGTTCAATCATTATATTTTATATTTTATAAATGAATAACTAAAAAATACTTATCTATAACTTTAAAAATAATACAACGGCTTATTAAAATTATAATTGTATTACGTTGATTTCATATTTGGCTTAACAATATGATGATAATTTGGTAGTATTTTCACTAGGTAATCTAATTGACCCATCTGAGGCTGAAATTTAATTAAAGTGATTAAATACACATTGAAAATTTTATGTTGTAAACATTGTGTAATAAATATTCATCTACGACTTACATTTGGTCTATCTCTCATTTCTCTTCTCAGATGTTGATCACTGTAAACTATGGTATTTTCTGGTACTACTTCATGTTCTGTCATAGAACATCCTACTCCTACAACACATCCATTTGATAGTTCTACTTCTTTACCAACAAATGCTGTAAAACCCATATCATTTTCATTAATGTTCAAAAAACCACTGCAAAAAATTGATCAATTATTCTTACATTTGCATTCAAGAATGTTATTATCCCCAACTTTTGAAGCTTCGCATGTAGAATCAACTTCAAAAATATTATAATTTCCAATAATTTGTACAGGAGTAGTAGTAAGATCACCTGAGCCTCTAAAATAGAAGAAAAAATTGATTAAAATGATAAAAAAATTTCTTCTAAGTTGAAATAAAAATTACCTGTTAATAATAGTACACATTTCTTCAATTATATTTCCATCTCCAATAATTATAGGTCCAGCTTCAGCAATAATATTTGCTCGAGGATGTATCACAGTAAGGCGACCAATTGTTATATCTCCTTTAAGAACTGCTTCATCACAAACAATTGCTCCCTCAGCAACTTTAAGACTATAAATAGAGAATAAATCAAAGTTAATTTAAAAAATGCAGAGAAACTTAAAAAATACAGTAACTTTGTATGTACACAAAAACATAACCAAACTTATTTTCAAAGTACGAGATACTTATGAACGTAAATTACTTACTTGCTTCTTCTATTAGATGAAGCCATGGTCGAAAAATATTTTAACGTAAAATGTAATTCGTTTAAATTACTACGTCTTGATCAGATCATTTATCATGAATAGATTCGGTTTGCTTTGACGGCACAAGTAAACGTCACTGGTGACTGATCCAGCAAAACAGTCTGCTACATGCTGCAACCTGCAATGCAAGGTCGATTGCTTTTTAGAAGACTTTTCAAATATTTTATGTATTAAAATTTAATGTAATGAGTAATGAAGTCAAGGTCAATTTTATGGATTTTCATATAATCTTATACAAAACAGCAGGAAAAAAATAAATATTAGAGTAGCTTTGTCGACGTCTCATAAAATTTGTGTCAAACATATCACTTGTAAATATGACCCGTTGCCATGTCATAGGCGCCTCACAGATCGGTTCGTTGCTTCAGTTAGTATCAAGTACAATTTTTTCACTTATACATGATATATTATTGCACACATAATTGTTCAAATTCATAATCTTTTCGAAATTATTTTGAATAATAAGTGTCCCCGATCTCTTGTAGATATCAGTTACCTGCCAAACAATGAAGTTGAAATGAAAAAAAAGGGGAGTATATTGTGTTCGTATCTTGGAAATAAAAATTCAAAGATAAGGTTTATTATTTTAAATTTTAACAATACATTGATTCATTTTTGATTATCAATAAGATACATTTATTGCTTAATATTTGAGTATATTTGTGAATCATATCTAGTTGCGATTAATAATTCGTTTGCGATCCACTTTATTCCGGATAAATAATTCATTGGCCCAAAGAGTTATGGCGACTACAATAGTTCCTGCAGCCTATCGATAAAAAAACGCCAATCATTCAATTAGACGATCGTTCAATACCGCGTCAAAAAATTTTTTCGTATGATATTAAAAAAATGATAAGACATTAATTTATGAGAGAAGCGAGCGATAAAACGTGGCCAAAAGATAGCGAGGATATTTTCTCTTTTCCTCCGTCTCCTGTTTTCAGAAAACTATTGTACACCCGTCATTGTGCCGATTAGCATGATAAATAATAAGGCGCAAAAGATTCGATACCACAAAACGACTCATATACTATATAGGTATAGACTAGTGGGTCGCTCATCGCATGCGATACGCGAGACAATAAAATCGGCGGCTGCTAGGCTCGCGACGTTATGTAGCACACTATGAGGACTTAAAATCTATCCATGGGAATGTGTATAAGTATACAGATTCCACAATGGATAAATTTCATGTCTGCGCAGTGTACGGCTCGTCACTGCCACACTAGCCATGATCGTCCCGCGGATCGGTATACACTGCGTTGCTCATATAATATACTTACACATGTATTTCGCAACGTTAACAATCATAATTAAAATGCACGACGAATAATTTACAAGGCGTTTATAATGCCACACGAACGTGGCCTCTTGTCGCTCTCTCGAGTATAAGAGAGGCAGACGCGCTCGCGCGACAGTGTAACATTGTTATCTGCACCTTAATAATAATCTCCTTACGGCGTGTGTTTGCTGTCTGGTGCCAGCTCACTGATATATACACGAACGTATGTACAGCTCTCGGCGTGCGCCAACACGACTCGCCTAATTATTACATTGTTCTTATTCTTTTTTTTTCATTTTTATTTCTTTCTTTTTAGAGTCACCTACACAGTGAATGAAAGGTTTCAAAAAAGTTTGCTTAAATTTAGCTCAAATCAACGTTTTTAATAAATTAAAGGCTATTATTCAGATGAATTATAATAGTAAATGTCTTTCCCTAATGAATAGAATTTTTGCAGAATTTTCACTTTCAACTTTCATTAATAAAATAACATATAAGGGAAACGATGCACCAGTGAATGAAACATTTTTACCAGTAAATGAAACCATTATAATTAATGATAATATATTCAAAAAGTTGTTAAAAACTATTGAAATATTTAGTATTAATGCTCAATTATATTATAAAATGTCACTACCGATGAATTAGTTCAGTATAATTAAATTATATCAATTTATAAATAAAGTTTCATTCACTGATGCGTTTTCAAACACTGGGGAGGTGACTCTATACGAACAAAAAAATGTCTGGTGAGTTGAAAAAAAAATAATTCAGACATGCTTTGCGGCCTGCGCGGGACTGCAGGAAACGGCGAGAGGTGCGTATATCGGGTGAATCGGGCGCACAGCTAAGCGGCAGCTTATGGACTTTTATCCTTGGCAGGCTTGCATGGCGGTTCTAATCAACGGCCTGCAGGGTTCAACGGACCTCGTGCTGCGCTGCCGCAGTCGAGTTGTTTGCTCAGCTCGCAGCCACATAAGCGAAGGCGAAGCTCGACTCTCGTGAACTTTACGATTTACAATGTAAATCCTGTGCAGCTCCCTTCCTCTTCGCCTCTTTCCTTCGCCGCAACGCTGCACTCCTTCATATACAGTGATATTACGAGCGAAAATTCATAAACGTGACTCGTGCTGGCTACAGTTGAACTAAGCGACGTCCAAAAAGAGAGCAAGTCCATGACAGTGTTTCTAACTCATACTGTCGATGGAAAGCTCTCTTTACAGCATTCGCTTTTTTTTTCTTTATTCGCAGCTTCCAGTCCCATCTTCGCCTTGGTAATCTATTTAGAAAGAAAACAAGCAAAGTCGATAATGGTTCACGTGTGTGCACGCTTAAAATCTTGAATGAAACTTAGATGAATGCTTGATGACTTGACACGAGTCCAAGAAAGGACAATTGTGTCGACGAAATTGTTACAATGAGAGATGACACGACTTATTATTACAAATAATCAGCGTGAAATGTGCTAAATCGCTGCTAACTCAATAATACAATAAAAGGTTTGTTAAACCGATGCGGAGAACACGTTTTGCCGACACGTATGGTATACGTATAATGTTTTTTTCCCATTCCATCCTCTTTTCATTTTCTCCTCTTTTTACTCGACTTTGCCTCGTACAGCGAGCGATATATTACACTTGTTATTGCGCGCAGGCGTTATTACTTTGAACTACCGAAAGATGCAAGCACGCGCGGCGTTTTTTATTTTTCCAACCGTCGATGGAGAAACGAGAGACGTCGTAACGTGCACGCGCACACACGCACGCGCACACACACACACTTACGCGCGGCTAGAGCAGTTATCGGTCAGGTGCTACGAGACACGAGACGAGGCGACGCAGGCGGTAGGCTTTTCAATACTTAGCACCTGTGAACATAGAAGAAAAAAAATTATGAAGAAAAATAACGCCGGAGCCTCTCTGGATTTGCTTCTTGTATGCAACTTACGATCCTCGCTCTAACCGAGCCAACACGATACAAGGATTGCTCCCAAAAAAAAATGAGGCTCGATCGGGCCTTACGCCTTATCTCTCTGCCACACCGGTGACTGTGCTCGAGCTCGTATCGGAGAATGGAAGGGTAAAAATTGAAAAGAAGCGAGGAGCTTATCGGAGAATAGATAAAATCATCGAGCGGCTTGTGACCGTGTGGGTGGATGTGTGTGTGTGTAATACATCCGTTATGTTTACTACGCGCACACAGGTGCGCGACACGTATGTCGAGGAAAAGAAAAGACGAGATCGCGAGTCCTATTTTCCCAGATCTCCGCAGCTCGACCGGTCTCTCTCGAGCAACTATTGAATTCTCGCCCGAGCTGTATAGATACGCGTTACCACTTGTGCCCCCGGTTCCGCATTATCAGGCACTCCCTAAATTTTTAAACAAATACCAAAAAAAAAACTCGAAGAAAGAGAGGGCGATTAGTGCCTGTGTATCAGTGCTCGGCAGACATATTTACCTGCATATATTTCAACTGTTTGTTCAGTTGATCAGTTCTCCTCTCTTTTTTTTTGTCAGAGATACGTGTTACAATAATGAACATCTGATCAAACAACAGCATGATGAAACAGCCGTTGATTTTGGTAAATTCTCATTTCGATGCGATTCGTGGCGTTTTACAGCGCGAGCTAATGAACGCGCGCACCGTATTTTTAGATAGCCTAATTTTTTCGCGTGTGCATAATTCGTTCTCATTAACCGGCGCGCGAGTCGCCGAGTCCAAGCTGATTATGCTAATGAAGGCCTAGGAAAATTTATTAATTAGAGATAAACCACCAAGCAAGCACGAGAATTCACGCGACGATCCCAAGCCACATTAAATATATGTTTTATTAATATATCGACCGATCGGCTAATAAATCGCGCAGAAACACGTGTTTTTATGGCCTTATTAGAAGCGATACGACGACGAAATTTATAATCGCGCTCGCAAGCTCAATAATAATAATGAAACAGAAAAATAACGGAGAAAAAAAGCGACGAATTTTTGCGAAAGAATATTCTTTTCTTGGCGGTTCGTGGTGATAAAATCGTTATCGCGCTATACCGAGGCAGCGTTACGCGCTCTCACCTACGCCGCGAGTGATAAACGATAAAGCGAAGCGCCGCCGTCGCCGCTGCTGCTGTTCGCCATGAGCTCGCGATATCTTACACATATTGCAACGATGCAGGTATAAACATTATTATGTGTGCGCAACTTTGAAAAAAAACCCAAGCCAAGTGATAAAGACTCTACGGGAGAAACGATCCTCGTCGTTTGTTTTTTCAACCACGCGCGCGACTGCAATTTTTCTCCTTTTCGTTTTCTCTCTTCGATACCGCAGCCAATGAGCGTTACGTAATGAAACAAGGCGCAATTGGTATGTGGCATCAGGTGCGCGATATGTTTCAAGAGTAAAAGAAAAAAAAGTTAAACGAGTCGCTTCAGGTTGATCTATTTAATACACATATTGGCACGTCGTCGCGTCGTTGTCGTCAGCGTTGTCGCGCAATCGTTATTTATTTACACATGAAAAGAAGAAAACGTGTACTGTTACACACCCGCACGCACCTCTACGCGAACGTTCAATTGGATGACGCGAAAGTGTAACGTTAAAAAATTGATGCTCCGCTTTTAAAATTAATTACTTTTATCACAACGCGATCTCTGGCAAATAAAAACATAATAACACTGAACTTACTTTGAGCAAAAATAAACCATCACTTCTGTATCACACTCGATATCGATTATCTAACAACTTCGGCAATTGGAATATTTTCCGCGTCAATTTGACGAATGAAAAAAAAAAGAAGAAATCGTGGTGAAAATGACTGAAAAGTGAGCTCTCAAGTGGCTGTCCGAAAAAGAAGATGCTTAAGGCACGAATGACGTGAAACACTGTGCCGCCGACGACTCATATACTAGCTCTGACGTCACATTTTTCGTACCCACCCGCACACCGGCGGTTCTCTTATCAGCCTATATACACATCGCATACACATACGCAAGAACGAGAGAGAGAGAGAGAGAAAAAGTGAGAAAAAGTATGTGCTAGAGAGAGAGAAACACACACTTGTTATAGACGTGTGCATACGCGACTCCGTTTGAATTTTTTCGAAAAAAAAAGAAAGTACACGAAACTTTTTACGAATACATATGCTGCAAAATAATCGGAGTCGCAGAAAAAATGCAGCAGGCTCTAAACAACTAAGCGAAAAACGCGTCAATTAATGCGAACGCGACTTCGAGAGTCGCGATGTCGCGGAAGGTGCATAGCACGGCGGTGGAGTAGGCGCGAGACTGGGGACTCGCGAGCCGTCGGCAGGTAAAATACGAAAGGTAGGCAGGCAGGCAGGCAGGAGAGGCCTCGGAAGACTTTTCGAAGACCCACAAAATATCCGGCATGCTGACCGCAGAGCGAATCCCTTCAATGTATGTATAATCGTGCGTGTGCCTATACCGCGTCCAGCAATGAAACAAACCCCCGAGTCCAGTCGCGCGAACTACAATCGATAATTTTGTCTCTCTCTCTCTTTCTCGCTTACCTTTTTTTTGTCGATGAAGAGCACCTGAATTCATCACACCTATGGCAATAATGAGCTTTGCGGGACGAGCAGCAGCGATAGAAGCAACAGTAGTCGGTCAACTAAGCATTGTACGCGCGTAATGCGTTTCGATTATCGAGTAAATAAGAAATATCTCGGAGCCTGGACCAAGTTCCCTGACTCTATTGCAGGCAGTTTATTATAGTTGGGCGCGATATATGTGCAGGGTGCCATAGGCACTGCCTCTCGGCTCTTCTTTTATTTTCCTCGTAACGCTGCTACGTTCATTGGAATCGCTCCAGCTTCGTTTTTGTTTTTCTCCTTATTTCTCTGCATCTGCCTCCCTCTCAATAATACAAAAAAACTATTTCGCAATTATCGCTCGAATAATACTTACGCGCCTTTCGAGGCGCTCGGATATATAGAGGCTGCTGCAGCACCGCGTACAAAAGGACTCTAATGCGCGCAATCTTTAGAAACGGCAAACAAAGCGAATAATTTACCTGCGCCGCGTACACGGCATACGTAGCGTTGCCTATATTACTGTAAAAAAAAAAAGAGAAGAAAAAAAATTCTCGAGCTCTGCGTACATATGCGCGACGATGAATTTACGGCGTTGTGATATGCGTGGCAGTATATATACGTGTGTACACGACGCCGAGCGCTCGCGCACGCACAAACATAATCTATATGGAGAGCTTACATAAAAAGTTGGGAAGAGGTGAAGAAAAAAAAAACGCCGAAGGAAACGTTTTCGCCTTGCCATGCACTTGTCGGCTTATCGCAATTTCTTTCTTTTTTTTCGATTGCGTAATTTCTCGTAGAGCAGGATTATTATCGGACAAAAAGAAGAAATTCGAAAAATGTTTTGTTTATTGTCGTTGAGCTTTCGTATCATTATATCGTTAGAGCTGAGTGACAGCCGATGCCATTCGACACTTTTCCCCTGCAAAGAAATCGAAAAAGTTGTCGTCAATCGATTCGTCGATCAAACTCGATGGAAGTTATACCTGTAAGCATCTTTGAATATTTTCCTCGTTTGATCGAGGGTCCGCCGGAAAGTCAAAAGATCGGCGCTTTTGTCCTTTCGCAGCGTAGCCAGGCGCGTCTTCAGCGTCAGGCATTCCTCCTGCAGCAGCTCGTACTTCAATCGCATCTCCTCGGGATCGACGTCGTCCTTGCTGCTGCCGTCCGGCGCTGCGCTGCAGATCCTCGGAGCTTTCGACCGGTAGGAATTGACCCTCGCCAGACCGACTCGTTCCAGCTCCAGCTTTTGCAGCTTCGCGTTCAGTTTGGCCGATTTTTCGCGTTCCCTCTTGAACGACTCCTGCGAGCGCGACCAACGTTTATTGTTTCTCTTTCGAACGCATGAAAAGTACTCGAGTGATCGCGCATTGGAATTTCAGCTCACGTTCAATTGCTCGTAATCGTTTTTCTCCCGGTCCAATCTTCTGTTCAGCACCGTGACCAATTCCAGCAGCCTTTCCCTTTCTGCTTCGGCGGCGATGCTAATAGCCAAGCACTCGTTCGTGTCCACGACCGTCGAGCTTCTCGCACTCTCAACGGGGCTGGTTCTACAGGTCGTCGCCAGGGCTTGCTCCGATCTCGCCAGAGATTGACTTCCACTTTTGCATCTCAGCTGCTCCAGTTCTCTCTCTTTGGCCTCCATTTGACGCCTCAAACTGTTCAAATGCAAATGAGAAGCTTCGAGCTCGCTCTGCACCAACACGACCTCTCGCTTGTGCTTGTCCGTCTGGTGCGCCGCTATCGTTTCTCGCTCTTGGGACTTTAGTTTGACTTGTTTCAATTCTTCCTGCGGAAAAAAGGACAGCCGAGCTACAGCTTACGAGGGAAAATTGTCACTGCGATTTTACAAAAAGTTCGTAACCTGTAGAGCTTCGATTAACTGATCGTCGTGGTTGGACTTTGCGCTCAATGCACTCATGGCCCTTTTCGTGGAGTTGGTCTCGCTCTCTAGAACTGCCACACGAGCCCTGCTGATTTCCAGTTTCTTTTTCGCATTATTCAGCGCGTTTTCCATCTCCTTCAATTCGTGCGTCAGATTCTCGATTTGCTGCTTCTTTTCCCGATCTGGTAGTCTGCTGGCGCTGTTTCTTCTCAAAACCAATGACCTTTTGGGGCCCAGTTCGCTCGCGGGCAGCTTCATTTGCAGCTCCGAGACTTTTTGCTGCAATTGCCGAATCTGCTCGGCTCTGCCACGCCAACCAGCGTTGGCCTGACTCGATAAACTGGCCACACTCACGTTTTCGCCGACTTCGCTGCACAATAACTACATTAAATTGAACGAGTATTTATTAAGCAAACGGCGATTTAAATTAATTTCGATACTTTTTGAGCTTTGTTGAAATCTTGTTTCAGGGCCGTATAAGCATTTTTCGATTCATATAGTTTCGACTTTGTCTGATGTAATCTCTCGGTTAGAGTTTTTATTTGTTCATCTTTTGTGCTCAATTGTGCCTCGAAATTCAAGATTCCTAAAGAAGAAAATTTATTATGTTAGAAGAATGATTTTTTTATAGGAAAATTTTTCATTGATCAAATTTTTACCTTCATCTCCAATTTGAGTCTCCACCGACCGACTTTTACGTTTTTTTTGAATATCAATTTTAAACTCCGGTAACTGGCTACCATCGTCAGACGTGCTCTACAAAGCAATCAAATTGCTGCAATTAAGTCACTGAATTCCTATCAAAAATAAAATTATTAGTACTTACGTCATAATTTGACAAAGACGTTTCATTTTTGGAATCCTCGTTTCTATGTCGTCGCTTTTTGGGTTTCTTGGACTTTTTTATAACTTCCATCATCACCGGATTTCAATTTTGAACATTATTCTAGGTATTTTAGGCAAATACGTGACTAATAACGAGATTATACACGATAAGTCGAGTTAAAAGAATATTTCACTAATCAAGAAATTATGAACTAGCGTTTACACCATAGGTTATAAAAATGTAAACAGTTATGTATATATTTTATTCTATTTCTAATCTGATAATATACATAGCTCCAAAAGCAGATCGATATTTTTCCACGATAACAATAAAATTCTATTTCGCAGGAACTTTGTTTTCGTTTTTGATTCATTATTAATTTCTTTTTATATGATTTTAATAGTCAATAGTTAATAGTTAATATTTATTCAATTACTAACTTAAGGTGGACCTAAGTCCTTAGCCTTAACTAAATAAATATTAACTATTGACAATATGATTTTAAATAAGGAAAAGGTGATTTTTTTCTATACATTATAATTGAAATTGTAATATTTGAAAAATCTCGAAAAAGTTAATAAATTGTTTGTTCACTCAGACTTTCGTACAAATTTTAGTCTTTGAAATCTTATATAAAATAATTTGTCGTTTATTTTACTTGAAAGTAATGGATTTTCGCCCTTTATACATAATGTATTGAATTACAGCAAATTATTTGTATAGAGATGGCGCTACAAGTTGGTAAAACAGATTCTGAATAATCGGAGCTCTTCTCATCGCCCCTGTGGCCTAATGGATAAGGCATCGGTCTCCTAAACCGGGGATTGTGGGTTCGAGTCCCACCAGGGGTACATCTCTTCTTTTGGACTTTATTTTCGTAAAACGCCAAGCTCATGTAGTTGAATTGTTAGGCAAATGGAAGATAATTTTTTTGAGCCTCTAAAACTCCTTTCTGATCACATAGATTTTTCAGTATTCCATAAATTTATAAGTAGCTTATGGTAAACGTAGATTTGATTCAATTTGGTCATCTTTACTAAATTCAAGGTTGCATATAATCTATGTTAAAGGCTTAGCATTTATTAACATTTATTCAAGTAAATATGTATTCAATCTCTTTTCTTCTATTCATGGACTTCTTTCAAATTCAAAATTGTTCACTTCTCATTGGCCCGCAGCTATGGGTGGGAGCTTTTTTAAATACCATTGTTATTGAATTTTGTCATTCTTGTATATTATTGAAAGCATTGAAAGATTTTCTGGAATTTATCATTATGTGGTTGCAACAATTATCTGATTTTGCATACTTCTTTGAGATTTCAATGAAGTCAGGTTCAACTACTTTTGAAGTCAACCCATTAAGTGACTTGATTAAAAAAATATAGATGGTGAACTGCTTGTATCAAGGATTCTGAGCCTGTTGATGTCCCGAAAAATGTACAAATATAGTGTTTTGGGACATAATTCGCTCTCAAATTTTTAACGAGTTGAGAAACTCTTTAAAAAAATTTACTTAAAAAACTTTATCCCAGGAAAAATTCAAAATTTTCGGACCTCATAATCAATCTCAAGGGTAGGAAAAATTATAAAGAAATCTAGTAATAAGCATTTTCTATTTCAAGCTCTCTTCTCAGCTTTTGGCGGTGGACGTTAAAGAGTCCACTAATCGTGTGCTTTACACGAGTTATACACATTACATTAAGAACTTTTTCAGGTAAAATTAACTTCTGCAGTTAATCAACTTTTAAACCTTCACAAATTAGATACCAGAAATAACTTCGTTTATTTCCTATTCTTATTAATCGGTGTATGAAAGTTATCCAATTAATAATATAAATTATTAAGTTCTTTAATGTTTAAATTAGAGTGACCAGCACCACTTTCAGAGGAAATGTAATGAACTTGAAAAGTTGAGAAATGAAAAAAAAATTATTTTCATAAGTAATTTTTTATTACATGTAACTAATATACATGTCAAATATTATATTTAAATGATCATTTTTGTTGAAGTTCGTAAGATTGAAAAATGGTTCTACATTTTATTATGTACATACTTAGGAATGCCAAAAAATTGACACAGATATAGTGCAGCTATAAAAATTAACACTTATTATTATAATAAAAAAGTGTGTGTAGAAAAAATAAAAAAAGTTGAGACAAAAATTCCATTGCTAATAATCATTGCGTCAACTTAAACTTATTGGTTTTGGGCCTTATTTCTTCGGAAACTACGTTTTTGGGTATCTTTCTGACTTCCTTGCAAAGCACCCGCCTTACGCATAGAATGAAGTTTTTTATTTTTAGCTTGAATTTCTGAATTTCTACCCGCATTCTTAGAGCCTCCTTTTGTGTATTGAACACGGATTTGTCTTCCATTTAAGAATGTTTCATGCATGGACAATGCTCTCTAAAAGAAGAAAGTAATTCAAGTAAAGAAAATGAAACATGATGTATCAAAAAAAAAAAAAAGATTTTAACACTTTACCTCATAGTCTGAAGCATTATCAAATTCAACATAGGCAAATCCTCTGGGAGTATTTTTTTCTGGTGCTAGAGGAATTCTAACATGCTTGATTGCTTCGCATTTAGTCAAGAAATGATTTTTTAAATCATTAGTAGTCGTCCTATAACATACATCAAAGTTTTCAATACAGTTTATCTGTAAGCAAAAAATTTGTAATTTAAAAATTTATTTTCTTTACTCACTCATAACTTATGTTTCCAACAAACAAAACAAATCTGGTTTTTTTGCCTTGAGCTTCATCTCCTTTCTTATTCTTTTCCTTTTTGTTTTCTTTTTCAACAGGTTTCTTCACAGGCTCCTCAATCTTTTCATCTTCTTCATCTTTGTCTTCTTCTTCTTCTTCCTCCTCCTCTTCTTCTTCGTCATCTTCATCGTCCTCTTCTTCCTCAACCTTACTTTCTTCATTTTCATCACTGTTTGAAGCACCATTGCTTACATTTGCTTCTTCTTCATCAGAATCTTCTTCAGATTCATCTAGCGCCAAGTTGGACATATCACCTTCTTTGTCTTCAGTAAAACTGGGCTTAGCTTGGTCTTCTTTCTGATTTTTTTTCTGTTGTTTTTGTTGTTTCTTACTTAATTTTTTTTCTGGTGATTGAGCGACTTTTTTTGGAACCACTTCTTTTTTTTCAACGGCTTTGACCAATTTTGTTTTTTCAACTGGCTTGTCAGTGCTCTCAGTTTCCATTGGTGTTTCTTCACTAACAGATTCATTTGCAGTTCCTTCCATGATTCCTACTTTCTTTTTCAGCACTCTCAATTTTCTTACTGCTGTTTTAGATATAGTTTCACGACTTTCAATTTCAGCAATTTTTTGTTTCATTTCTTCTAGTGACATTTTCTCAACCTTATTTTTGCCTCCCTCTTGTTTGATGTTTTCTTTGAGAGCTTGGATTTTTTCTTCCTTCTTTTCCTTCAATTTGGCAATTTTAGCATCTTTCTTTTTGTCTTGGTTGGCAGCTGGTTTTTCCTGTCCAGATTTTTTATTATTTTTTACATCTTTTTTGTTGTTTTGCTTAGCGGCAGGTTTATCCTGCTCGGATTTTTTAGCATTTACTGCATCTTTTTTGTTGTTTTGTTTAGCAGCTGGTTTTTCTTCTTCAGTCATGGAAGCATCAGCAGTATCAGTTGTTGCATTGCTTAAAGCAGGCTTCTTCTTATTCTGTAAATAAATTTGAGTTAAAAATGTACAAAAATTTCTTGTAATGTCATGTAACTTATAGATCATAGAAGAGCATTCAAATTAGTAAATTTTTTAAGGTTACAGTTACACGTACCTTGTTCTTATTCTTTTTCTTTGGAGACTTGTTTTGAACATTTTCAGCAGAGCCATTTTCAGTAGTTTTCTTTGGAGCTGGTGTGTTTTCGGCTTTGGGAGTTTCAACTTTAGGAGCATCAACTTTTTTTACTGCTTCGGCAGTTTGATTCTTCTTCTGCATCAATGGAGCCTTAGCTTCACCATTACCAGTAGAAGCATTGGGTTTGTTTTTGTTTTTTTTTTGTTTTTTGTTAACTTGTTCAACTTTAGTTTCGGCCTGCTTTTGGAGCTTTTGCTTTTTAACAGGTGAACCTTCGTCAACTGGAGTTTTTTTCATTTCTACTTTCTTTTCCTCGGACTTGACCTCGGACATGGTTCTTTTTTTTGAGATTTTTGCCATTTTGGAAATGTTTGAACTAAATAAACCAAAAGTTACAATAGTTGAATTAAGAGTCAATTATTTTTATCTTAATTATGATTTTATTTCATGCCTACCTTGAGATTCACGTGGTCGAAATACTCGAAAAATTTAGAAGGCTTCTGCTGCGGTTACCGGCTAGAATGCTAGTAAAGAATGCTAGAATGCGAGGGGGTTATGTGGGACTCAGATACCATGTGTTAATATATGTGCGGCAAAATTGCGCACCATCGCCTCGGCGCCATCAGTGTGTCTGTGTGTGGCACAAACCGGAAACGGTCGTTAGCGCGCCAACTATAATGTCTTCAAAACAAAAATTTTATTTTAAATTGTAAAATTATATATAGTTTTATAAAAGGCAAAGAAAATTTTGACTTGTTTTTACAAATTAAAAATCACTTCAAAAAATATTTTTAATTGTAATATAATAAATGATAGACTACAATGATGACATACAAAAATAAAAAACAAATATATTGTGCTTAAAAAAGAATAATTTAAATATATCACTTTTATCAACTATTGAAATGAGACCATAAAGTAAAGAAAATGTATTTTTTATTAATAATTGTATCCACCCTCATATTTTTACTGGTGAGAATTGAACTTTGTAGCACATTTACGAAATTTGCACAGAAAACATTCAAGTTTTTGTGATAAAATTTTTTATATATTATTTTTAATTTTTAATACAGACAAGTTGGATTGAAAAAAAGTTTCATTAAAATATATCATGTTCATATATTAATCAAAATATACAGTTTGTATTTACAATTTGTACAAGCTTAAATTTTATTTTAAAATGTCAAAGAGGTATTTTGAAAAGTTAAATTACTTTTCGTTCAAATTAATAAAGTTATAAAACATTCATTTATTTTGAGCTTTAGCCCAATTTTGCGCAATCGACAAAATTTTAAGGTGTGGTTTCTTAGCCTCATCTTCTGGGAAAATGAACTCCATAACTTCTTCCCATCCTTCATCAGTCTATAAATGAATAAATAATATTTAATATTTATGTACAAAAATATAAAATCGTTGCGTAAAAAACTGTTAACTCTTACCCCGTCATCGGAAACAATACGTCTCCTCTGTTTAACTCTTCGTGGCATTTTCGATGCAATATCAGCTTGGCTTTTTTCGTCACCATATTCGTTTTCAAAATCTCGCCAAGCTTCCAAAAGTAAAGCTCTGCTTTCTTTATCTTTGCTTAATTTTAAAGCATCGTTACCACGTTCATACACTCTTCTCGCTAAGTTAACGTTATTCACGTCTTCTTCTTTACAAGTATTCGCCATTTCAAAATTTGCATATGCTATCCAAACCTGAGAATAAATATCATCTCTTCATTAGTACCTGAACAAATAAATCTCTCTAACAATACCAAACACTTGATTAAAATTACCTTAACGTGGAGCGTTTTTTCTAACAGCCTTTCGTAAAGCTGCCTAGCTTTTTCAGGCTCTTCCTGTGATATTTCAAAATCTATATAAGCTTTCCACAGGACTTCGGGCATATCTATCCTAGGTTGACTTATGGCTATTTCATAAATGGCTCTGGCCCTTTCTGTATCGCCTAAGAAAGCCTCGAGCTCTGCAAACTAAAATAAAAGTAGATTTCAATGGTGAAAAACTAATTTTAATAAAATCAACATAAAGTTTTTAAATATATATTTTTACCTTGAGCCATGTTGTGCAATTTTCTGGCCCAAATTCGATGAATTTTTTATACAGTGTTCTACATCTATCAAATTCTCGTAACTGAATTTCGAGGTCGATGTAACCGCGATATAATTTATCTCTAGGGCACACTCCCAAAGCCATACCCTAAAAAAATGAGTTATAAATATTTGTTCAAAATCATGTGTACAATGATTGAATATAAAGAATACTAACCAATGTCTTCCTGGCCACAGTTAAATTTTTTTGACGTATCTCAAATTGCGCATAATATAGCCACATTTTAGAAAATGTGAATATTTTGTGAGGGATAAGATCCAAGCACACCCTAAAAATGGAATTGCATAATAATTACAAAGTAAAACTAAAAATGTAGCTGATCTTGAAAAATAATTCAACTTACTTATAAACTTGACGAGTTCTTTCTACATCTTCAGCTTCAAGTTCTTCATATAAAGCGTAGTTTATCCAAAGATAAACATACCGTCTCCAAAACTCTTTATCTTTAGTAGGAGGTACATTTGCAATGGCTCTTTCGTAAGTTTCACGAATAACATCAACATTACCTTCAGATTCGACCAATCGCAAATAATCAAACCAAGCATCATAATTTGAAGGATTATCTTTAACTTCGTTTTCATATTGCGCTTTTCTTTTGCTAACAATTACGTCTTCAATTCCTGGATTAGAGTTGGATGTTGTATTAGTATTAAATAAGTTGAAAATTCTCTGTTCAATAGTTAAGACAAAAAGTCTTTTATTTTTTCACTTACCCGACCTATCACCATATTTCTTCTCATGAATTGTATACGCTTTGTAAATATCTTGCGTTTTTTCTTTCGGTATATGAGCTAACGCATACTTGTAAATAGCTTTGGCTCGATCATGCTGTATTAATACAAATTAAATAATAAAATAATCAAACTATGCTATAAGCCTATATTAAAAAAAGTATCTTACAAAAACTTACCTCTCTTTGTCCTTCTTCAAATTTAGCAAAGGCAATGATTAGTTTTTCGTCCAAATATTCATCCCCATAAAATTCGACAGCCCTTTCAAAAACTTCTCGTGCTCCGTTTATGAAACCGTGATTTTCCTCAAACCTAGCCCATTTAATCCAATGTTTTACTTCGGGATGAACCATAACAAAACGCCGATGAATCTCTCTGGCTCTTTCGAGTTCTTTATAGCGCAACTCGAAATTGATATATGTTTGCCATGCCTGCTCATGTGGTTCCCATTCCATCCATCTTTCAAAAACTTGTCTGGCAGCTGCTATATTTTCAAGCATTTCTTCCATATATGTGTACTTGTACCAAAATTGGTTTACTCTGGGAAGAATAGTCACAACTCTGTCCCACAAATTTCGGGCATGATTCACTTGCCTATTTCTCATTTCCATTTCCGTGTATTTAATCCATAATACTGGATTTCGATGATCTACATCTAATGCTCTTTCATATATTGATCTAAAAACACAAAGAACTTAAGTACATTGATTCTTTATAATTACGTCAAAGTTATATGGTTGAAAAGTACCTTGCTCGATCAATTTGCTTTTGCTCCTCTTCCCACCGAGCATATTTAATCCAATTGGCAATGGACAACCTATTTTTTCTAATACTATCTTCAAAAGCTTTACGCTTTCTATGTTGGTAGTCTGCGAGCTCATGAGGGTCAGATATTTTTTGTTTTGGTGGCTAAAATAAAGAAAAATTTTAGTTAGGACCATGAACAATTTATATTATTAGTTAAAGAAATAATTTTTTCTCTTACTGGTGGTAAAATCTCAAGGTCACGTTCCTTAGCTTCTCTCAAAAGCTGCTCAGCAGTGATTTGGATTTCTGCCGGAGCTTTATTTTTTACCTAAAAATTAAAATATTATTATTGATGTGAGTTTTTAAAGTTTTTAAGGGTGCTGTTTAGTGTAAAAAATATGGTTTTCAATTATATTCATGAACTTTGCAAAATTTCTTAGACATCATACATCATAATTATCAATTAAAGTATGTGATGTTTGTTTAGAACAAAACGTGACATATAAATGGAGTTGTGAAAATGTTTAAGCATTTCTAATTTGCAATAGATAGCATATAACATTCTCATAATTAAAGGAAAGAAAGATAATTTGGCATGAAAGAGTTTGTAAACAAACGAAAAGGAGGTTAAATTAAAGGTATGGAAATCAATACAGTCGTAGATAAATCCTTATTTACCTTGGCCACCTTCGGCATTTTTTGAGGTCGCTCCATTTTCTGCAGTTATATAACGTCACTGATCCTTGAATTAAATCTCAATTGATTGCCACAAAAATTATTACTTTGCACAAAATTGCAGATGCAACAGAAATGTCTACACTCTACAGTATTTGAAGAGAAGATTCCCACTCATTCACCTCTAGCGGCTAGCGGCTAAACTGATGCCGCTATTGGTTGGGCCGTGGGCAAACAGTTGCTGACTTGTAAAGCTTATTATTTGCCAGGTTGATTAAAAACTATTCAGATGAAGGGTGTTTTAACACCCACGTTAACAATAATGAAAGAAAGACAAGTAAAGGCTAAAAGGTTCAGTGAACTGACTGACTTTATTTACTAGAGATGAATTCGCGTTAGCAATCCGGACGGTGGTGCTGCCACGCGAGTCGGATAACGCTAATAAGTTAGAAAGAGAGCGCGTGGCTATCGTTTTCGCAAGTTACCACGGCGGCAGCAGCATTCGCGCGCTCATTTGCTATGGCAAAATATATACGATATATTTTGGGCCACTGATAGCTAGCGACATCATTTGTTGTGAATTATAATTCGATCGTTTTTTCTGATGAAAAAGTATTAAAATAAAAATTTTTGCGATGAATAAAATGGCACGTATAATAATATTTACTTAACTTAATTCTAAGAAATTTCAATGATATGTAATTTTTTTGGCATAATTAAATTATTACGTGTTTTTCCATTATACTTTCTCGAAGAGGAAACTATATGATGTCTAAGTGACATTTTCACTTAAAGATCATAGAAAAGTTCTGTTTACAAATGTAATGACTAGATCGGATTTCTGACAGATGCTTGTACTTATGCATATGTGTGTGTAGATCGCTATCTCGTAAATCGTAATTGGATTATTTAATAATCGTAAAGTTACCAAGTGCATTTATTGTCAATTGCTATGAAGATGAAGCTTAAATAACTTATTTTGAGATTAAAAAAGGAAACAATTTTTTTTTTGATTATTTTTAGAATCGAAGTGACTGTAATGAAGTGATTGTGAGAAAAAAGTAGATGCATGAGCTTTAGTTACGACCAAAAATTTAAGGACTCTACTTTACTACTTAAGGACTTTGTTTTGAAAGTTATATCTTGAAAAGAAAAATTTTCTTTTTTTAATTTTTCAAAAATTATAACTCATATGGTTATTGTGTAGGTTGAAGGGGTTTTTTGGAACATCTGCGTAGTAAAATGGTAGGAATTCGAATAATATTTAAAATCTTAGATTTTGGAAGCGAATTTTTTTTTTAATTTTTAGGAAATTCTTGCTATTCCGATTTTGTTAGCAGAGTTTTAGTATAAATTTCAATAACATTTACATTCCTGCATGAATGTAAGAAAATAATAAATGTTGGAGTTGGTGTAGAACATTTTTTATTTACATCTCCAAAATAGAAAAATGTCTTCTTTGTCAGCAATCATATTTTAACCATGCCATTATGCTTTGGTAGCTGTCTGAGTGTAGGATTTGATTATTTAGTCTTATTCTCTATCAAACATTTTAAATTTACGGTTGGGTAAGCTGACAGAGAATCACCCCATGTGTGCTAAAAATGAAAATTTTGTTTTGTTCAATTTTTGGAATTTTTTATATTTTTTGTTCTTTTGCAGCGCTTATTTGGTGAAATAAAAATGAGTTGAATGTGGTTTTTACGGCTCTTTGACAATGAATAATTGGCATACGTTATTATTACACGATAATGAACATTTTGCGAGATTTGACTTGAATTTTTGAAAAGGTCTCATAAATTTCTAGTCGATCGAGTGATTAGTTATTCAATTATCAATTAGAGAATGCCCATACTTCGTAAAATGATCCAAAAAGACGATAATCATCAACAACGTTACTACATGAAATATTAGATAATCAATGCATTATTAAAAATACCTCGTTAAGACCTCGGTTAATTGTGTCAATCAATTGCCTTAAGTTGCTGCGTAGACGCTACAGTCGCAACACTTACAGTGTAACTTGACGCAAGCTTATCGAGAACCCCATTATTATTTCTTCCAAAAATTTTCACTCTCAGTGAACGAAGATGAACGAGCTGAAACTAACTCGCGAGTTCGACAATCATTTTTTCTTGACGAAAATCTGCATGATTTACATTGGACTGTGGCCTTTGGACGGCGCTTGCAATGACTTGAAGAGAAACTTGAAAGTCTTCACGGGGTACTTTTTCGTCGTGAGTTTGATCCTGGTCGAGCTGTACGACATATACTTTTACTCTTCGGGTAGTATCGAGGCTACCGCCGAAATAGTCATAACGATGACTTATGCGTTTGGCGGTCTCATGAAAATAAGCCATTTTTTGAAAGAGTTCGGTGTCTTCAAGGTGAAGTAACAATCGAGAGCATTGAGCCAATTTAATAGCTGCCTTCTGTCCTATAATGTTATCAGGACATGTGGCACACGATGCACGTCGACTGGACCGGCGTGCTCGGGAACGACCAAGAGAGATCGTACAGGAGTCATGTGATGCGTCGAATAACCATCAAGACGCGGAAGTATTGCCGCCAGTACGCCCTGCTGACGCTCGGCGCGGCCGTCATGTACATGACCATGCCGTTCATCGGCAACCAAGCTCATCGAGTCAGGAAGTATCCTTTCTTCGGCAGGTATTACTACGATGATCAATCCGACCTCGTCTACATCCTTTGCTATTTCAGTCAGGTACTCTATTGATTTACCCGGTACTTTTTTACAATGTTTAAATTATCCTTTACTTATTCGAAGGTAATAACGGGCACATTTTGCGCTACAACCAATTACGCTTTAGATACTTTATTTCTCATCTGTTCGTATCACATGTGTGCACAGTTAAAAATTTTAAAGCACGATTTGATAAAAATGAGCAAGGAAAATGTGGCCCAGCGACTGACGTGCTTGATTCGTCGACATCAGAGAGAAATAAGGTAAACTAAATCGTAATAATTTTGATTATAGAGATTTCATGGAAATTAGATCTTTATTTTCAAGAAACGTCAAGAAATTACAGAAAGTTTTTAGCAACGTGGGATTTTGGCAATTATTCGTGGCTTGCGTGATTACGTGCATCAATATCTTCAAAATGCTCAATGTAAGTCTTACGGAAAATGTATTTTTCATTTCAAATATTTGAGAGAGATTTTTTCCAATAATACCTTGATTACAAGTCTATCAGAAATAAAGATCCTTACATGGTGCTTTATTTACTCTGTCTACCACTGTTTTCGTTTCAAATTCTCTTTTACTGCCAACCAGGAAATAAGTTGATGCTTCAGGCAAGTTAAAATATTTATATTTTTTACCATTTTCAAAACTGCTTACACTTTTGCTTACAGAGTCAAGCACTTGGAGATGCCATTTATAAATCTGGATGGTTGGATTTTCAAGGTAATTACAAGCGGGACCTAAAATTCATGATACATCGATGTCAATTACCACTCACTATTACTGCTGGCAAAATCTACACCCTTTCAATAGCAAATTTTATGGAGGTGATTGTTAACTACATAATCTGTCAGTTATCCAACCAAACTTGTCGATTATAAATATTTAATTTTTAGATATCAAGGATATCTTTATCAGCCCTTTCAGTTTTAAGAGCAATCGATAGAAAATATTATTCATAATGTCTTATCAAATGGAATTTTGAAAAAATTTATAATCCATGATTTTCTAAAGAACATGAAGTTTACCATTAACTGGAATGTAAAAAAAATGATATAGGATTAACACTAACTACATTAAAAATTTTAGAAGTTTATAAAATAAAATTGTTTTGAAAAACAATCGATTACAGATAGATAGTCATCAAAAACAAGCTGGCAAACTCGATAATTGTAATACTTTACTTTTTGAAGTAGTTATCACAATTTATCTTATCCCCTCTCTGGCTGACGCCACAGCTAGCGCGTAAAATACGCGCTTTTACTGCTTCTCTTTAATATTTGCGTAGACCAGTGCTACAGAAAGTCTTCTATCTTTTTCACACTTATGGCACTTCATACTTATCAACTAGTGACGTCATTTTTATTTTTTTCAACTAATACGACAAGGTAAAATAATCATTTCTCGATTATTCTGTATCTAAGAGAAATTTTCAATTTGGAGAATTTCTTCCAAAACTCCGCCTACTAATGGAGCCGCTGACTTGACTATCAAATTTCTAATTTCTAATTTCTGCTCCTACAAATTTTTGTGTTCCTGATCCAAAAGACCTTGAAAAACCGCAATAACTACTTTTTTCTAATGAATTTCTATTTTCGTCTAAAACTACTCCTACTTATGTAATTACTGACTCGATTTTAAAATTTTTCCCCTAATTTCTGCTCCTACAAACATTTGCGTTCCTGATTCAAAAAACCTTGGAAAACCGCAATATCTATTTTTTTCTAAAGGATTTCTATTTTTAACGACCAATCTTTGAAATTTCAGACACGTTTGAAAGCCAATAATTTTTCGATCTTTGATATTCATAAAAATGAAAGAAAGGCAGTACATGAAAATACGGAGTCCAGACCATAAGACACGAAGAGCAATCATTTGAAATGCCTTTTACAAAACTAACTTTCACTTTCTATAATTTTTCTATAATTACGCTCAGTGCGCAACACTAAGACCCATAAGTCACCAACTCAAAAATTTGAGCTCTTTTGGTTTCTTGTTCTCCTAGTGAATGAAAATTAAGGAAAATTACTTTTTCATACTTCATGTTTTCATATTTCATAATTCGACTCCTATGCGCTCGTATTCTCTCATAAGAACGATTTTCTTTCAACAGGAGGGTCAGAAGTGGAAAGAGCTAAAAATTTTAAAAGACCATTGATCACCATGGTCTTGCATGCGAGTTTTTAAAAGTAAAAGTTGTAGATTCATCAAAGGCGTATCAAATAGCTTCTCAAATCCTATTAAGTGCTTGTTGAGACTTATAATGACTTCTGTAATTTCATTTCACGACTATATTTGATTTTTATAACTAATATAATGTAATGACTAGCAAAGATCAAAAACCTATTTGGCACAAATATCATTCTTTGTCATCATCTTTCTGAACCGAAAAATAACCATTTTACGAGCAATGATTAAAAATTATGTAGTAAATATTATGTAGTAAATAGTAAGTAGGACGAAATCAGCGCCAAATTGTAAGAATAACTTGACGTGACAATAATGCATTGAAAAATTAATTGTGTTATTCGCATTCTTGTTATACATTACAATGTGAAGCTAGTACATATCAGATTGAGCGCAAAAATGCGAAAAAGAGAGAAAAATTTCTGTATAGATCACCGAAATGATTAAAAATACGTCTACTATGGACCACGACTAAGTGATGTTGCGGTTTTTCAAGGCCATTTTGATCAGGATCACAAAAGTTTGTGGGAGCAAAAATAAGAAATTGGAAATTTGATAATTAAGTCATTGAATGTACAGATGGCGGTGTTTCAAACGAAATAAATAGAAATTCATTAGAAATAAGTAGATGTTGCGGTTTTTGAAGGCCATTTTGATCAGGATCACAAAAGTTTGTGGGAGCAAAAATAAGAAATTGGAAATTTGATAATTAAGTCATTGAATATACAGATGGCGGTGTTTCAAACGAAATAAATAGAAATTCATTAGAAATAAGTAGATGTTGCGGTTTTTGAAGGCCATTTTGATCAGGATCACAAAAGTTTGTAGGAGCAAAAATAAGAAATTAGAAATTTGATTGTTACGTCAGCGACTATAGATTAGGCAGAGTTTTAAACGAAAAAAATGTAAATTTATTAGAAAAAAGTAGATATTGCGGTTTTCCAAGGCCTTTTTAATCAGGAACATAAAAGTTCGTAGGAGCAGAAATAAAAAATTAGAAATTTGATAGTTGAGTCAGCCACTATATAGTAGGCGGAGATTTAAATGAAACAAATGTAAAATCATTACATAAAATTAGATGTTGCGGTTTTCCAAGGCTTTTTGAATCAGGAACACAAGAGTTTGTAGGAGCAGAAATAAGAAATTAGAAATTTGATAGTTGAGTCAGTGACTCCATTAGTAGGCAGGCGTTAGACGAAATTTTCTAAAACAGTAATTAGATACGGAATAACCAAATGATGTCTATTTTACCTAGTCGTGGTAGTTTAAAAAATGAAAAAGTAGTTACTAGTTGATAAGTATAATGTGTCATAAGTGCGAAAAAGATAGAAGACTTTCTGTAGCAATAGTCCAGCGCAAATATTAGAGCGAAGCAGTAAAGGCGCGCGCGATTTACGTGCTAACTTTAGCACCAAGAGAAGAGGAGATCAGAAGATTCGGGCTGACATATGATAAAAATTCTGCATTTTAAATAAAAAATTAGAAATTATCACGAAATCTTTTTTTTAGTCAGTCCTCAAAAATCAACTTTTTTACAAAAATGATTTTTTAACATTTGGGTTTGTAATACATAACATTACGTGAAACTCTATTTAAATACATTTTTTTAATATTTTCCATATGAAGTTATATTTACTGATGTTACTCGAACTTTGAAGACATGGTTAAAACTTTTTTGATAACAACGTGTATTGATGATATCACTTGTATTATGAGCATTTTTGAATCAATTAATAAATAAATAGATCTGATGGTGTTTAAAATTTACTACGAAAAAAATTGAAAAAATGTACAGAAGTGTCAAAGGCAAAAATGCTATATAAATTTATTAATTTATAATTAAACGATGCGTTATGTGACTTATGATAATATAACATATAATAAAACAAGTTTACAATAATAGAGGCGTAAAAAAGGACTAATAATCTTTACAGCGTCATTTCTTAATCTGTTTCGCGAAAAATGGAGAAAAATATTTACCTCATAACGCTGTGTTTGGATCACTGAGTACAAAATACAGCCGAGCGCAAATTCAATACGTGACGTTCGTTCATTCATCACCCGAGGTATTAAAATATATCTTTATTAAAGAACACGAATACTGCCGTAGCAAATACAGTCACGGTTAAACGGCACTTTTGCAATAACGGCGTTTCACATATTGCAAAGCTTTGCGCGACGACTGTTATTATAATTTTGCAAGTATTCAAAATAGACCGACTATGATAATAAGCCTTTTTTTTCAACTCCGAGTCGTTACGCGGTAGATTGATTGTTTATGCGTACACGAAGGCACGCAGTGATAATTCGTTGTTGGCTGGATTTTTCTGTCAAGCATTCGTGCACATGTAATATAGCCAAGCGAGTATGCGCAGCCAAGATCCGATCATTCAGAAATAATTCTGTAAAATATTCGCGACGAGTTAATGGAGTTGAACAAATAAACTGCACATCGAGATTAGCTCTAGTTGTTTTTTTTTCTTTTTCAATGCGAGATCGTCGATAATACAACTCTATTGCGCAATTGTAATGGTAAATTCGTATCGCGGTCATTTGAAATTTGAAAAAAAATCTCGTTCGTCAAGCGCGTATTTATATCGCTGCGAGCTTGAGGTATTTGCGTATACTTTCACCTTTGAGCCGAAACGCGAGTATATGTGTTCGAATAATAAACACCGAGGCGTTTTTGTTGAAGTCAGCTTCAAACAATTTGAGGTAGAAAAAAAAAGAAAAAGAAGAAAATGTAGATCGCGCGTCACGGGTTGACGCGTTTAATCTTCGCTTTTACACCCTTTGCGCCCATATATTTCGTCCCAAACGGTCATTAAATATTATATTTGCAGATATATATATTATGCATATAATGGAGGTCGACGAACGGTCTGTGTCACCGTTATAATAGAATACTCACACACATTTAGAACCTGTAACGCATCTGTACACATTCATTCAGGTTACAGTATCAAGCCTCTCTCGCTGCCTCAATCTTTCGAGTGCCCATCGATATCGTTATCGGCATTTTCGCTTCGAGTAGACTTTTGATGTACGAGCGCGGGCACTCGAGCCGGTGATCGATCTTTATACGAGAGTTTCTGGCTAGTGTATTTCGATGCGAATTTTTATAAATACAAGAGCAGCTCGACCTCGGCTGTATAGTACGCGAGTGCACGTAAGCGCGCGTGTGGCAGCGAAGCCGGGCGTGGTTTTTATCACTCGTACAATGTAGATTTGCAGTAAAAAAATACCCCCAAACGGATCGATCTCGAGACTTTTTCGGTCCAAGAGGATATTTTAAAGCTCTCGAGCGTAACATATATAATAATACACACAAAGTAAACACGTTAAAGACAAAGCGCAGCTTTATTGCATCGCGAGTGCGCGCGAGACTTCAATCGGATCGCATTTTACGATCGGTTTGTCTGCGAGCCTATGTGTGTGGGTATATGTATATGAGGCCGAGGAGCACTTCCAAGACACGCCGACGGAAATAATTCCGGAAGCTCCTTAAAAATGACCGCAGCGTGCCGTAACCGTTTGATGATGCGAAAATGATAAATCGTCCGTGCGCTCGACTCTCTGCGATATCTCCCTTTTTTCTTCGCGTATACGCGGCATTTGTGTACATTGTGGAGATGGTCACACACAAACACCGAACACACTCGGCCTCCGGAGCAGGAGCTCCGCGAGCCAACTT